TTAAAGAAGCACCCAAACCTGAAAATACCCAACAACTAAGAGCTTTTTTGGGCTTGATAAATTACTATGCAAAGTTCATAGGAAATCTGTCTGGTAAACTATCACCACTGTACAAGCTGCTACAGAAAAATGCAACTTGGCACTGGGGTAAACAACAAGATACTGCTTTTAATACAGCAAAAGAGGCTTTGTCTTCTGACACCTTACTAACTCACTATGACCCAGGGAAAAGACTTATATTAACATGTGATGCTTCACCAGATGGTGTAGGAGCAGTCTTGTCCCACATGGATGAGAAGGGTGACAGACCCATTGCTTTTGCCAGTAGATCTTTGAACCAGGCTGAGAAAAATTATTCTCAGTTAGATAGGGAAGGCTTAGGCATCATTTTTGGTGTTAAGAAATTTCATAAGTTTCTGTTTGGTAGGAAGTTCACCATCTTTACAGATCATAAACCATTGCTAGGTTTATTTGGAGAAAACAAAACCCTACCTGAGCATGCCTCACCAAGAATTCAAAGATGGGCTATCACACTAACTGCATACAATTATGAATTGAAATACAAACCTGGATCTGAGAATAGTGCAGATAGTCTTAGTAGATTACCTTTAAAAAACCAAAGCCTTAGCTATGTACCAGAAGATGTATTTGTTCTCTTCACTATCATGGATAACTCCAATATAAATGTGAATGATATTAAAAGAGAAACACAAAAAGATGAGTGCTTAATAAAAATATATGAGTACTGTAAGAATGGTTGGCCTGAAGAGTCTGTGAATGATGACTTAAGGCCATATTAAATAAGAAATAAAAACCTTTGTGAAGATAATATAAAAGATGGAGAAGATGCAGTCCATTATCAGTCAGAGTTGCCTAAACAAAGTATTTGTAACTTAATAAATGATTATGGTGATATGGCAATTTCAAATATTTGTAACTTAATAAATGATTATGGTGATATGGCAATTTCAAATGCTTTAAGTAAGAAGGAATGTGATCATCAAACAACTTTGCTAACATCATTAGCACTTACAGAAACTAAAAGGGTAACATCAAAAGAAAAGAAAAAAGATTTTTGCCATTTAATACACCCACTTCAAATACTGGATCACAGTTGCAAAGTGATATGGTCCAGAATAGTACTTTTAAACAGTATTTTTGGTTACCAAAAAGCACTATCAGATTACCTGAGAAAATTGATCAATCAAAGAAATCTATGTCAGTCAAGGATCTGAATAACAGCATAATGCTCCCAGATGCCAATTCAAAAATAGTTCCATTAAATCATGACAAACATCCATTGAAAGAGAATTTGGTGTTAATGAGAATGTGTATCTGAGAAATTATGGGAGAAAGGAAAAATGGATACCAGGTCAAATTGTTCAATGTACAGGACCTGTGCCTTATAAAGTTAAAAATAACTTGTGCAGATAATAAGTGTGAATCTATCAATCCCACCAAATCTGAACAGTTCACACCAACCCAGTTTGTTCCACAACCAAGTTCTGTTGATATGAGTGAACCAAGTTGTCTGGAGTCAGAAAATGTAAATTCTGGAGTTAATGATTTAAATCCTAGACCTCCTGAGATAGAGAATCCAAATGGTCAGAATATTGAGTCACCAAATCAAAAGCCACTGAGAAGGTCAAGCAAGACAATCAAGGTCCCAAATAAGTTAGACCTATGATTTTAAAGGTCAAAAGGACTTTGACATCATTGTTTTGTATCTTGATTATGTTGTAGCATATTGTGCATTGTTTGTAAGATGTAATCTACCATAGTGTTCATGTTACAATATAATTGGTGATTTTAGGATACTATCAATTGTTCTATTGAGAGATGTGTTATTGTGTTCTAAGGGTAAAGGGATGTAATAGATTGGGATAATTGTGAGGTCAAGGGAACTCACTCTTCTGTATTAGTATTATATTTATATTGTTATCTTGAGTGATGTCCCTTACATGTTGTTATCTATAAATAGTTGTCTCTCGCCACTTCCTTCCTCTTTGCATCATGGCTGTCTGTAAATAAAGACTGTTAACACCAATGTGGCTCCTCGTCAATCTATAACAATGGTCAACATACATGATGATGATAACCTTATGTAAGTTTGATGTCACCCCTTATCAACCACTCTCCTTCAAGCCGCACATCGTCTCTACTGACTCTCTACTTAGACTTTTAGTCCAACCGAATCACGGTGTATCATCCTCCAGGGCCGCCAAGCAGAGGCGTAGCGAGGGGGGGGGGGTGACATATGTCCCCGGGCGCCGACTTTAGGGGGCGCCTAAATGGGTTGGAAAAACAAATTGAAAGTCTGAAGAGGAGTGCAAATCGAAAGTTTGAGAGGGGGGGGGGGGTGGAAATCGAAAGTTTGTCCCCGGGCGCTGAGTTTTTTATGGTCTCCATGAAGAGAATTTTATATATACGAGCCGACCCGCGGCATATCATACGCCGATATTTAGTTGTTTTATTTTCTACTTTTCAGTCATTCATAATGTGTGAATTCGACAGTATCAATGCTGCGACTGAAAATATTTGCTTAATGTGAGCGGGTGAATGGATTATTTATTTTGTATTAATTTATTTGGTGCGAATCTGTGAGTGCATGGTGGTCCAATGGGGAACGGCCACGGGGTTCCCCCTTCCGCCCGAAGCGGTCATTATAAATTGACCGCTCGGAGGATTTTCTTTTTTTGACCCGAGGCAAGATCTAGACAGGGTCGGTTTCTGTGTGGGCGCGTGGCGCACCTCACGCGTGGAGTGAGGTTGCTTGTGCGACTTGGCTGGGTGTTTTGTTTGGTGTAAAAAGTTTGTTTTGTATATATTGTTTTGTACGTAATGTTGTCTACGTAATGTATCGTACGTAGTGGTTGTACGTAGTGTTTTGTTTGGTGTGGACTTTTGGATGTCGAGAATGGATGAAGGGAGGTTTCTGTGTGTCAGGGCCTGGACCATCCTAGACATCATAAGTCGGTGCAACACCAGCAAATGGTCGAACGTAATGTTTTGTTGTATATAAACTGTTTTGTCCCATTAAGTCTGTTTGGTTTTGTTTTGTCTGTTTTGTGTCAGTAGTTTTTATCTATTCTTTTTTGTGATTTTTCATTGGTTCCATATTTTTTGGAAAATAAATTTTATTAATTGTTAAAGATTTTTCTGTTTTTATTATTTAGACTAAGGTTAGGTTATTAACCAGTCTGGGTTTAGCCGGGCTTGCACTGACCGGTCGGTAGATTTTAAGGTATCCCCCCCCCTAGCAGGGCTTACATTTAAAACACTATCAGTAGGCCGTTAAGGACGATACCCCCCCCCCCCCTCCTTTCCCCCAACCCCGTGAAAGCAGCCTCCTCTTAGTTACCTCCCCGAAGTTTAAAATAGTTTCAAACTAAATTATCTGCCCCTAATAGGCGCTACTAAACCCGGCTGTACGATTGTAAACATTTAGCGTGAACCACAGCTCACAGACCATGTGGGGGTGGGGGAGGTTGCGATATGTCTAGAGAGGAAGAGAGGGGCCTGCTAGGCGCGCTTACAGCTTGGTGTTTTCTGGTCTGGTCTGGTCCGGTCCGGTCTGGTCCGGTCTGGTCTGTCTGTCTGTCTGTCTGTCTGTCTGTCTGTCTGTCTGTCTGTCTGTCTGTCTGTCTGTCTGTCTGTCTGTCTGTCTGTCTGTCTGTCTGTCTGTCTGTCTGTCTGTCTATCTATCTATCTGTCTGACAAGAACGCTATAGAGAAAACACAAGCAAATTAAAAACGTGCATAGTGAAACGGAAACGAAACATGACGTCACATTGAGTATATAGCAAAAAATTGTCTCAAGCCGGGAAAGTGCATAGAATAATATGACGTCATTGATTCTCGAGTAAACATTGAATTAAAAAGCCAATTTTGTCTAATCTTAAAAGTGGTTTGTGTGAAGAGTTTCTTTCATACAATTCTTCGGGTAGGGGCGAAGCCCATCCCCCGCGTAAGAACGTCTAAGCCGATCCCACCCCCCACCCCCCCCCCCCCCATATCAAAAGAAATGTCGTCATCGATACACTATAATAAAATTACAGCCTAATTCATGTGTCTAACGTAAAAAGTGGTTTGCTTGCAGAGTTTCTTTCATGCATCTCTTCGGTTAGGCTGGTATAACGTCTAATCCCTCCCCCTAAAAGTGTTTCTTACATGCAATTCTTTGGTAGTGGCTAAGCGCGACACCAGCGTTTCTTTCAGACTTTTTCCTCCCGGAGGGAGGAACTTTTTCTAATCTAAAAAGTTTTTAGCGTGCAGTTTTTTTTTCATGCATCTCTTTCGGTAGGGACGAAGCCCCGCCCAGATTCTTCCTTTAGTTTGTATGATCTACAGACTTTTTCCTCCCCGGAGAGGGGTGGGGGTACTTGGAATTTTCGTGTCGGGGGTAGAATTTTCTGGGAGGGGGCGGACACTGGAAAAAGTATATAATTATATTTCGTTGAATGGGACGGTAGACATGTTTTGGGGTGTGTGTGTGTGGGGGGGGGGGGGGGTGGGGGGTGGGGCGGAGCCCCCTCCTCCCAAGTAGAGTTGCCTGAAAGAAACTCTAAATGCGACTTTTGTCATGAATGAGATTATGTGCATGGTTTAGGGATATGCCTATGACTTTATTTTGTATAAATTAAAGTACCGAGAAAATAGACAGCACTATCAAACTAGCGCCCGTTGTATCCTTCCTCAACGGGCCATTTTTCGCGTATATATATATCATATATATAGATATAGATTAGTATTACGTCATTTATGGATGATTTCCCCCCCCCCCCCCCCCCACATATAAAAGTATTAAAGTATGCCCTTATTGAAAAAAAATTAGATTCTAGATTAGTTCAACAATCTAGATCTAGATCCTATGATCTAAACAAAAATCGATGACGTGTAATTTTCTTTGAATACAGCGAAACTGCATGTTGTGTTTTTTTCGATTATTAGACACCTTGGTAATATGAAAACTAAGTGTATGGTGATAGTGTAGAATAGTGTTGGCTATCTTCATTTTCTAGATCTAGATTACTATATCTCTAAATTAGTAAATTAGTATCTACTATCTTGAGTAACAAATTATTAGTGACTAATCAAATCTAGATCTAGAATCTAGATCTAGATCTAGATTTGCTGTCCATTTCCGATTTCGTAAGACATGTTATAAAGTAAAGTTTTTTTGAATTATGCCATGGCATATGGATCTGGCCTTTTTTCTATCAATATGTCATATCATAGATCTACTAGAATAGATCTAGATCTAGTACAAGATTTCTGATTTAGATCATCTAGATATATTGATTGAATATTTCAATATTGATATTCCTATGACTATGCTATGATGATCTAGAATCTAGAATCTAGATCTAGCCGGCCTAGAGTAGAGTTCATATAGACTATAGACTGTCTACCAGGCCTAATGGCAGAACATTGTTAGAACATTCATATGATAGTTCATAGAACTTCATAGAAGAGCTAAAAAATCTACACACTAGATCTAGTTAGTAGTTAGGCCTACTAGAGAATCTAGCTAGAAATCTAGAATAATTTAATATAATCATTTACACGACATTTAGATCTAGATCTAGGGGCCTACTAGTTTTTAATATTTATTATTTAGTAAATTACTAAAAAGGCCATTAAGGCCTAACTTAAAATTCTGAGTGTATTTTTAGACGCTTGATTAGCAGCCCAGCATATTGGGAACATTGTTTCTATTTTTGTAATAGTAGGCAAAGATTATATAGGACCTTAACAAGTTAGCGCAGGCCTTGACTTGTGCCAGTTTAGATTTTTTGTATGGCATTGGTGAGTTTTTAACTTATTTGGATTAGGCCTGTAACTCACATACGCCAGGACCATATTACTTCCATATAACATACTAACAGTACTATAAGCATACTCATACTGTTAGTTATTTAAAATTGTAGTAGATTTACTCAAGTTTTACATTGGAAGATAGTTTACTACTTAAAACCTGACGCCCTTATACAAACTGTTAGCTTGTACCTTCACAAAAATTGCATTATAAAATACTGTTTCAAGATCATCAGCAGAACAGTAAGGTTGCTGAGAGTCAATATTTTACAGACCTGTTCCATTTTATCTCAAACTTTGCAGTCTGGAAAGAGTTTTAGGTTGGTCATTTATTCTAAAAATAGCTTTAATAACATCCTCTAGGTTATTTTTTTTTTCTTCTCTTCAGTATCCTAACCCTCTTCAGTATCCTAACCCTCTTCAGTATCCTAACCCTCTTCAGTATCCTAACCCTCTTCAGTATCCTAACCCTCTTCAGTATCCTAACCCTCTTCAGTATCCTAACCCTCTTCAGTATCCTAACCCTCTTCAGTATCCTAACCCTCTTCAGTATCCTAACCCTCTTCAGTATCCTAACCCTCTTCAGTATCCTAACCCTCTTCAGTATCCTAACCCTCTTCAATATCCTAACCCTCTTCAATATCCTAACCCTCTTGGTTAATCCTAATGTTTGACTACAGTTTAAAGAAGAGACATCCTACACATTGGCATGGTTACAAAGCAAACAATGGAGATCAATTCTATGCGATGTTTCATCCAATTCTTTTGTTCAGCTCTGCAGCCATGAGTGGACTTTCAAAAGTTTACAATGAGTGTGACATCATCAAGTCTGCAGCAGACACTAGAAAGTACAGAGGTCTGGAGCTGACCAATGGGATGAAAGTCCTTCTCATCTCCGACCCAGAAACTGATAAATCCTCAGCTGCTATGGATGTAAATATAGGTAGGTAGCCTGGTCCAACTAGGTCAAGTCAAACTAGGTCATGGAAAGCTCAGATCAAACTAGGTCATGGCTAGCTTAAGAAACTAGGTCATGGCTAGCTCAAGTAAAGCCTGTTCATTTGGGAGGTATTGTTGAACTTGGTGGAGTCAAATAGGAAGCCAGCCGTGTCCAGTGTAGACTAATCCAATCCATGTGTCTAGACTAATCCAATCAATGTGTCTAGACTAATCTAATCCATGTGTCTAGACTAATCCAATCAATGTGTCTAGACTAATCCAATCAATGTGTCTAGTCTAATCCAATCAATGTGTCTAGACTAATCCAATCAATGTGTCTAGACTAATCCAATCAATGTGTCAAGACTAATCCAATCAATGTGTCTAGACTAATCCAATCAATGTGTCTAGACTAATCCAATCAATGTGTCTAGAATAATCCAATTTTTGTGTCTAGACTAATCCAATTTTTGTGTCTAGACTAATCCAATCAATGTGTCTAGTCTAATCCAATTGTGTGTCTAGACTAATCCAATCAATGTGTCTAGACTAATCCAATCAATGTGTCTAGACTAATCCAATCAATGTGTCTAGACTAATCCAATCAATGTGTCTAGACTAATCCAATCAATGTGTCTAGACTAATCCAATCAATGTGTCTAGACTAATCCAATCAATGTGTCTAGTCTAATCCAATTGTGTGTCTAGACTAATCCAATCAATGTGTCTAGACTAATCCAATCAATGTGTCTAGACTAATCCAATCAATGTGTCTAGACTAATCCAATCAATGTGTCTAGACTAATCCAATCAATGTGTCTAGACTAATCCAATCAATGTGTCTAGACTAATCCAATTGTGTGTCTAGACTAATCCAATCATGTGTCTAGACTAATCCAATCAATGTGTCTAGACTAATCCAATTGTGTGTCTAGACTAATCCAATCAATGTGTCTAGACCAGGGGTCGGCAACCCTTTAAGACGGAAGAGCCAAAAGTTATAATTTTCAAAATTTCCCAGTCTTTAAAGAGCAACTGAAATTTTATTTTAATATTTTATAATTTGATTATGATTAGGTAAATTCATTTGATTTGTTATTTAAAATAAAAAGATTTAAATATGAAATAATATTTATTCATTTGAAAACATACACTTGTTTCGCCAGAAAAATGAAATTAGTAATAAAAAAATAAAAATATAGGACTACCCCAATTCACTTTAGAAGCTGTTAATTTAAAAAAAAATTTTTTTTTTAAGGATAACACAGGCTCAGGAAGCATCTTCCTTTAGCCAGGCAGGCCTCAACATGGCAAACTCAGACTAACTGGTTTGGATATTGTTTTGATTGCTGTGTACCGGTCGCTTTGGTTCCTACCTGACTTATCTTCCACCCCACAGAGCCCGGGTAAACTCATACCCCACCGTCCTATACCCGGCTCAACAGTAGGAAGCTAACACAAACTACGTCACTTGCGTCAAATTAATGATTACTGACCGATAGGGAAACGCATTCTAAATTAACATTCCCCAATTAACGATATTCGAAAAATTCGGCTTTGGGCATGGAATTGTTGTCCCAGGGCTGAGTGTTTTTATCCTGTTTAAACGTGTGTATCCTTACAATATAAATTTTGTTATGAGTTTTGAAAATGAAATAATATAAATATTAATATGTGAACAAGGTGCTGGAGATTTGCATCGTGACACCAAAAGAGCCACATGCGGCTCACGAGCCGCAGGTTGCCGACCACTGGTCTAGACTAATCCAATGAATGTGTCTAGACTAATATTAAAGTGAGAAATGGCCTTGAGTCCACAGGTCACCTAAAGGATCCAGATGATCTCCCTGGCCTGGCCCACTTCTGTGAACACATGCTGTTTTTAGGTACAGAGAAGGTCAGTGGGGCTTAAACTACAATTTGGCCTGTTGTTTTTGCTTTCTCGTATATGAAGTATAGATGAAGTATTGTAATCGTGCAAAAAAAAAAATTGAGATTTTTACAAATCTTGAAGTTTTACACCTCCCTGAGTTGTAAAAACATAGTTTTGCAATTTTTTCCATGTGTCTGTGTGTGTGTGTATGTATGTGTGTGTTTATGTATGTGTGTCTGTGAACACAATGAGCTAGGTTGATGGAATTTCATATATAAGTATTATATCAAATTTGTAGTTCTGTATCAACTTTTCATGTGATGTGAATTTATAAAGTACTAATAATATTCTGCACTATTATTGTTTGGTGTTCACTTGGTGTGCAATCCTTTTTTCTAAGAGATTAAGTCAGTCACCACCTGTCAGATTAAGTCAGTCACTACCTGTCAGATTAAGTCAGTCACTACCTGTCAGATTAAGTCAGTCACCACCTGTCAGATTAAGTCAGTCACCACCTGTCAGATTAAGTCAGTCACTACCTGTCAGATTAAGTCAGTCACTACCTGTCAGATTAAGTCAGTCACCACCTGTCAGATTAAGTCAGTCACCACCTGTCAGATTAAGTCAGTCACTACCTGTCAGATTAAGTCAGTCACTACCTGTCAGATTAAGTTAGTCACCACCTGTCGGATTATGTCAGTCACCACCTGTCAGATTATGTCAGTCACCACTTGTCAGATTAAGTCAGTCACCACCTGTCAGATTAAGTCAGTCACTGTCAGATTAAGTCAGTCACTACCTGTCAGATTAAGTCAGTCACCACCTGTTGGATTAAGTCAGTCTCCACCTGTTGGATTAAGTCAGTCACTGTCAGATTAAGTCAGTCACCACCTGTCGGATTAAGTCAGTCACCACCTGTCAGATTATTAAGTCTGTTTGATCTAATCCAATGTATTTTGTTTTTCAGTACCCAGAAGAAAATGAGTATAACAAGGTCAGTTTTTATTTTCTTCATTAGTCACCTGGTGTGTGGCCAAACAAATGTTTGACAAGAAACTCCCTATTTATTTCCCCCATATTGCCCATGTGCTATGTGTCAGACAAGCCCTCCTGATTTCCCCCCAGTTTCTGAGTGAACATGGTGGCATGTCTAATGCCTTCACTACACTGGAGCACACCAACTATTACTTTGATGTTTCACCTGACTACTTACCTGGAGCTCTTGATAGGTACATTGTGGTGTTTATAGTGTTCAGTACTCTCATTGTGTTCAACAGCTCTCATTGTGTTCACTACCCTCATTGTGTTTATTGTGTTCAACAGCTCTCATTGTGTTTATTGTGTTCAACAGCTCTCATTGTGTTTATTGTGTTCACTACCCTCATTGTGTTTATTGTGTTCACTACCCTCATTGTGTTTATTGTGTTCACTACCCTCATTGTGTTTATTGTGTTCACTAACCTCATTGTGTTTATTGTGTTCACTACCCTCATTGTGTTTATTGTGTTCAACAGCTCTCATTGTGTTCTCTACCCCCATTGTGTTTATTGTGTTCACTACCCTCATTGTGTTTATTGTGTTCACTAACCTCATTGTGTTTATTGTGTTCAACAGCTCTCATTGTGTTCACTACCCCCATTGTGTTTATTGTGTTCACTACCCTCATTGTGTTTATTGTGTTCACTACCCCCATTGTGTTTATTGTGTTGTAGATTTTCCCAGTTTTTCTGCTGTCCACTCTTCACCCCATCAGCCACTGGTCGTGAGGTCAACGCTGTGGACAGTGAAAACAGTCGCAACTTGCAGAGTGACCCATGGAGACTGTTTCAACTAGACAAATCTCTGGCCAGACCAGACCATGATTTCAGCAAATTTGGGACAGGTAATGTTGAGCTAAATATCACTATGATGCTTCACACAAGTGAACTGAACTTGTCCTTTTTGTTACGTTGAATTTGTTGACTTGACTGTGAAATATCAAGTACCAGGTGGCCATACTACAGGCATCCCACCTACATCAGTCCTAATACAATCAAGTACCCTTCATGTGTTGGGCCCCTTCATGTGTTGGGCCCATTCAAGTGTTGGGCCCCTTCAAGTGTTGGGCCCCTTCAAGTGTTGGGCCCCTTCAAGTGTTGGGCCCCTTCAAGTGTTGGGCCCCTTCATGTGTTGGGCCCCTTTAAGTGTTGGGCCCCTTCATGTGTTGGGCCCCTTGAAGCACTGGGCCTGGGTCAGCCAATTGCCACCCAAAACGCTAGCTCTGATAATAAGCCTGATATAAGTCCCTTGTTACGTTACAGACATGCCCATTATTTGTATTCTATCTGTGAACTTTGACCTCTTGAAGGCAATAAAGATACGCTGGAGACTATCCCCAAGTCCAAAGGCATTGACACGCGGGATGAACTGCTCAAGTTCCACAGCCAGTATTATTCCTCTAACATCATGAGTCTGTGCGTGCTGGGGAGGGAATCTCTGGATGAACTCAGTCAGATGGTTGTGCCCCTCTTCCAGCAGACTGTCAACAAGAACGTGGCAGTCCCCAGGTGGGATGATCCCCCATATACCAGCAACCAACTGCAGGTCTGTCGGTCTCTAAGTCTGTCTCTCTGTCCGACTATCTGATTGTCTTTCTCTGTCTACCTGCCTGTCTGTCTTTCTTGATCTGTCTGTCTGTCTCTGTCTGTCTGGTCTGTCTGCCTGTCACAAGCAATAGACGCCATTACGATGTCAAACTGCGTGTTCTCCACAGTGTATTGTTCATGCCATCCCAGTGAAAGACATCAGAGAGATGTCAGTTGTATGGCCAACTCCAGATCTTAGTGAACATTATAAAGCTAATGTAAGCCAGTCATTCATACATACTTTATGTCAGCTTCCACTCTGCATATATATATATATATATATATATATATATATATATATATATATATATATATATATATATATATATATATATATATATATATATATATATATATATAGGTAAATATATATATATATATATATATATTTACCTATATATATATATATATATATATATATATATATATATATATATATAGGCATTTATATAGGCATATATATAGGTAAATATATATAAATACATATATATATAGGCATATATATATCTATAAAATATAAGATAGCGTTAAAGATACATGTAGAGAGATAGTTAGATAGGATTAGATTTTGATTAGATTAGATTACATTACATTAGATAGATTAGTGTAGATTAGACTAAACTAGACTAGATTTAGATTAGATTTAAATTAGATTTATAAGTTAGATCTAGATAGATATGAAATGAGCCTGCTTGTAACATTTTCTAGCCAGGTCATTATTTGGGTCACCTTCTTGGTCATGAAGGCTCCGGCAGCCTTTTGTCAGAACTGAAAGCACGAGGTAAAACATTGCTACTTGTTTAGGTAAAAAATTGCTACTATTTTAAGGAAAACAATTGAGACTTTAGTTCAGGTAAAAAAAAAATGTCTACTTTTGTTGAGGTAAAAAAAATGTCTACTTTTGTTGAGGTAAAAAAATGTCTACTTTTGTAGAGGTAAAAAAATGTCTACTTTTGTTGAGGTAAAAAAAATGTCTACTTTTGTTGAGGTAAAAAAAAATGTCTACTTTTGTTGAGGTAAAAAAATGTCTACTTTTGTTGAGGTAAAAAAATGTCTACTTTTGTTGAGGTAAAAAAATGTCTACTTTTGTTGAGGTAAAAAAAATGTCTACTTTTGTTGAGGTAAATAAAATGTCTACTTTTGTTGAGGTAAATAAAATGTCTATTCCGACAGGATGGGCCAACACTTTAGTGGGAGGACAAAAGTCTGGAGCCAAGGGATTTTCTTTCTTTTCTGTTGCCATTGATCTGACGGAGAAAAGCCAAGGTATGTTTTTATTCATGGTGTGGATGGTGTTTTGGTGTGGATGGTGGATGGTGTCTTGCTGTGGCTGTGGCTGTGGATGGTGTCTTGCTGTGGATGGTGTCTTGGTGTGGATGGTGTCTTGCTGTGGATGGTGTCTTGTTGTGGATGGCGTCTTGTTGTGGCTGTGGATGGTGTCTTGCTGTGGATGGTGTCTTGCTGTGGATGGTGTCTTGCTGTGGATGGTGTCTTGCTGTGGCTGTGGCTGTGGATGGTGTCTTGCTGTGGATGGTGTCTTGCTGTGGATGGTGTCTTGCTGTGGATGGCGTCTTGTTGTGGCTGTGGATGGTGTCTTGCTGTGGATGGTGTCTTGCTGTGGATGGTGTCTTGCTGTGGATGGTGTCTTGCTGTGGATGGTGTCTTGCTGTGGATGGCGTCTTGTTGTGGCTGTGGATGGTGTCTTGCTGTGGATGGTGTCTTGCTGTGGATGGTATCTTGCTGTGGATGGTGTCTTGCTGTGGATGGTGTCTTGCTGTGGATGGTGTCTTGTTGTGGCTGTGGATGGTGTCTTGCTGTGGATGGTGTCTTGCTGTGGATGGTGTCTTGCTGTGGATGGTGTCTTGCTGTGGATGGTGTCTTGCTGTGGATGGCGTCTTGTTGTGGCTGTGGATGGTGTCTTGCTGTGGATGGTGTCTTGCTGTGGATGGTGTCTTGCTGTGGATGGTGTCTTGCTGTGGATGGTGTCTTGCTGTGGATGGTGTCTTGCTGTGGATGGTGTCTTGCTGTGGATGGTGTCTTGCTGTGGATGGTGTCTTGCTGTGGATGGTGTCTTGCTGTGGATGGTGTCTTGTTGTGGATGGTGTCTTGCTGTGGATGGTGTCTTGTTGCTGCTGTTGTCTGATCTGACCATTAGATGTTGTGACTTTAAGATTGTATTGAGGACATCATCACCCTCATCTACCAGTACATCAACATGCTGAGGAGGGAAGGAGCTCAAAAGTGGATTTTTAAAGAATGTCAGGTTTGTAGCCTTTACATTTTTACTTGTAAGACCTTGACCTTTGTACTTGTAAGTTGTACACCTTGACATTGGTACTTATAAGATCTTGACCTCAGTACTTATATGACCTTGACATTGGTACAATTAAGACCCTGACCTTAGTACTTATAAGACCTTGACCTTTGTACTTGTAAATTGAAGACCTTGACCTTGTAACTCATTCCTAGGACCTGGCTGCAATGGCGTTCAATTTTAAAGACAAGGAGATACCTAAGGCCTGCACCAGCAATTTAGCAAGCAGAATGCAGGTAAGGTCTCACACAGGTAAAGTCTCACACAGGTAAGGTCTCACACAGGTAAAGTCTCACACAGGTAAGGTCTCACACAGGTAAGGTCTCACACAGGTAAGGTCTCACACAGGTAAGGTCTCACACATGTAAGGTCTCACACAGGTAAGGTTTCAGAGAGGTACGGTCTCACACAGGTAAAGTCTCAAACAGGTAAGGTCTCACACATGTAAGGTCTCACACAGGTAAGGTCTCACATAGGTAAAGTCTCACACAGGTAAGGTCTCACACAGGTAAGGTCTCACACAGGTAAGGTCTCACACAGGTAAGGTCTCACACAGGTAAGGTCTCACACAGGTAAGGTCTCACACATGTAAGGTCTCACACAGGTAAGGTCTCACACAGGTAAGGTCTCACACAGGTAAGGTCTCACACAGGTAAGGTCTCACACATGTAAGGTCTCACTCAGGTAAGGTCTCACAATTTAGCAAGAAGAATTTAAGGTCTCACACGTTAGGCCAATGATTTTATCTTCAGCAATCACAAGTCTGTGATGGGTGTTTGTACATTAGGCCATTATGTTTTAGGCCATCATGTGAGTTTGTACATTAGGCCATCATGTGAGTTTGTATACTGACCTAATGTAACCTTGTCTCCCAGGAGTTCCCTATGAAAGATGTTCTAAGTGCCTATGTGTGTTTGTATACTGACCTAATGTAACCTTGTCTCCCAGGAGTTCCCTATGAAAGATGTTCTAAGTGCCTATGTGTGTTTGTATACTGACCTAATGTAACCTTGTCTCCCAGGGGTTCCCTATGAAAGATGTTCTAAGTGCCTATGTGTGTTTGTATACTGACCTAATGTAACCTTGTCTCCCAGGAGTTCCCTATGAAAGATGTTCTAAGTGCCTATGCCCTGTTTGATGACTTTAGACCAGACCTGATCCAGCAGCTGCTAGACAAGCTTGTCCCCAGTAACATGAGGTAACCATGTCCCCAGTAAGATGAGGTAACCATGTCCCCAGTAACATGAGGTAACCATGTCCCCAGTAAGATGAGGTAACCATGTCCCCAGTAACATGAGGTAACCATGTCCCCAGTAACATGAGGTAACCATGTCCCCAGTAACATGAGGTAACCATGTCCCCAGTAACATGAGGTAACCATGTCCCCAGTAACATGAGGTAACCATGTCCCCAGTAAGATGAGGTAACCATGTCCCCAGTAACATGAGGTAACCATGTCCCCAGTAAGATGAAGTAACCATATCCCCAGTAACATGAGGTAACCATGTCCCCAGTAACATGAGGTAACCATGTCTCCAGTAAGATGAGGTAACCATGTCCCCAGTAACATGAGGTAACCATGTCCCCAGTAACATGAGGTAACCATGTCCCCAGTAACATGAGGTAATCATGTCCCCAGTAACATGAGGTAACCATGTCCCCAGTAACATGAGGTAACCATGTCCCCAGTAAGATGAGGTAACCATGTCCCCAGTAAGATGAGGTAACCATGTCCCCAGTAACATGAGGTAACCATGTCCCCAGTAACATGAGGTAATCATGTCTCCAGTAACATGAGGTAACCATGTCCCCAGTAAGATGAGGTAACCATGTCCCCAGTAACATGAGGTAACCCGTCCCCAGTAACATGAGGTAACCATGTCCCCAGTAACATGAGGTAACCATGTCCCCAGTAACATGAGGTAACCATGTCCCCAGTAACATGAGGTAACCATGTCCCCAGTAACATGAGGTAACCATGTCCCCAGTAACATGAGGTAACCATGTCCCCAGTAACATGAGGTAACCATGCCCCCAGTAACATGATGTAACCATGTCCCCAGTAAGATGAGGTAACCATGTCCCCAGTAACATGAGGTAACCATGTCCCCAGTAAGATGAGGTAACCATGTCCCCAGTAACATGAGGTAACCATGTCCCCAGTAACATGAGGTAACCATGTCCCCAGTAACATGAGGTAACCATGTCCCCAGTAACATGAGGTAACCATGTCCCCAGTAACATGAGGTAACCATGTCCCCAGTAAGATGAGGTAACCATGTCCCCAGTAACATGAGGTAACCATGTCCCCAGTAACATGAGGTAACCATGTCCCCAGTAACATGAGGTAACCATGTCCCCAGTAACATGAGGTAACCATGTCCCCAGTAATATGAGGTAACCATGTCCCCAGTAAGATGAGGTAACCATGTCCCCAGTAAGATGAGGTAACCATGTCCCCAGTAACATGAGGTTAAAACCTGCTCCCCAGGGTGACTGTAGTGTCTAAAAAGTTTGAAGCTCTAGCAGACCAGACAGAGAAATGGTACGGGACACAATACAAGGTGACCAGGCTCTCTCCAGACCAGATCCAGGTCAGTTTTACATTCTGTACACAGTGTACACATATAACTGTGTTTGGTGTACACACACATCACATTGAGGGATGTACACATATCACTGTTTGGTGTACGCACACATTACATTGAGGGATGTACACATATCACTGTGTTTGGTGTACGCACACATCACATTGAGGGATGTACACATATCACTGTGTTTGGTGTACGCACACATCACATTGAGGGATGTACACATATCACTGTGTTTGGTGTACGCACACATCACATTGAGGGATGTACACATATCACCTTTTGGTGTACGCACACATCACATTGAGGGATGTACACATATCACTGTGTTTGGTGTACGCACACATCACATTGAGGGATGTACACATATCACCTTTTGGTGTACGCACACATCACATTGAGGGATGTACACATATCACTGTGTTTGGTGTACGCTCACATCACATTGAGGGATGTACACATATCACTGTGTTTGGTGTACGCACACATCACATTGAGGGATGTACACATATCACCTTTTGGTGTACGCACACATCACATTGAGGGATGTACACATATCACTATGTTTGGTGTACACACACATCACATTGAGGGATGTACACATATCACCTTTTGGTGTATGCACACATCATATTGAGGGGTGTACACACATGGTATAACAACATTACTGTACTCTGTGACAGAAATGGGCAGACAGTGGCCTACATGAAAACCTGCGACTTCCTGCACAAAATGAATTCATTCCAAGCAACTTCCAGCTGGTGTCCAGGGAAATTGATGTAGGTAGCTGTGGTTGACAGAGTGATGTTGTAGGTAGCTGTGGTTGACAGAGTGATGTTGTTGTAGGTAGCTGTAGTTGACAGAGTGATGTTGTTGTAGGTAGCTGTAGTTGACAGAGTGATGTTGTTGTAGGTAGCTGTGGTTGACAGAGTGATGTTGTTGTAGGTAGCTGTAGTTGACAGAGTGATGATGTTGTAGGTAGCTGTAGTTGACAGAGTGATGTTGTAGGTAGCTGTAGTTGACAGAGTGATGTTGTTGTAGGTAGCTGTAGTTGACAGAGTGATGATGTTGTAGGTAGCTGTAGTTGACAGAGTGATGTTGTTGTAGGTAGCTGTAGTTGACAGAGTGATGTTGTTGTAGGTAGCTGTGGTTGACAGAGTGATGTTGTTGTAGGTAGCTGTGGTTGACAGAGTGATGTTGTTGTAGGTAGCTGTGGTTGACAGAGTGATGTTGTTGTAGGTAGCTGTAGTTGACAGAGTGATGTTGTTGTAGGTAGCTGTAGTTGACAGAGTGATGTTGTTGTAGGTAGCTGTAGTTGACAGAGTGATGATGTTGTAGGTAGCTGTAGTTGACAGAGTGATGTTGTTGTAGGTAGCTGTAGTTGACAGAGTGATGTTGTTGTAGGTAGCTGTGGTTGACAGAGTGATGTTGTTGTAGGTAGCTGTGGTTGACAGAGTGATGTTGTTGTAGGTAGCTGTGGTTGACAGAGTGATGTTGTTGTAGGTAGCTGTGGTTGACAGAGTGATGTTGTTGTAGGTAGCTGTGGTTGACAGAGTGATGTTGTTGTAGGTAGCTGTGGTTGACAGAGTGATGTTGTTGTAGGTAGCTGTGGTTGACAGAGTGATGTTGTTGTAGGTAGCTGTGGTTGACAGAGTGATGTTGTTGTAGGTAGCTGTGGTTGACAGAGTGATGTTGTTGTAGGTAGCTGTAGTTGACAGAGTGATGTTGTTGCAGGTAGCTGTGGTTGACAGAGTGATGTTGTAGGTAGCTGTAGTTGACAGAGTGATGTTGTTGTAGGTAGCTGTGGTTGACAGAGTGATGTTGTTGTAGGTAGCTGTAGTTGACAGAGTGATGTTGTAGGTAGCTGTAGTTGACAGAGTGATGTTGTTGTAGGTAGCTGTGGTTGACAGAGTGATGTTGTTGTAGGTAGCTGTAGTTGACAGAGTGATGATGTTGTAGGTAGCTGTAGTTGACAGAGTGATGTTGTTGTAGGTAGCTGTAGTTGACAGAGTGATGTTGTAGGTAGCTGTAGTTGACAGAGTGATGTTGTAGGTAGCTGTAGTTGACAGAGTGATGTTGTTGTAGGTAGCTGTAGTTGACAGAGTGATGTTGTTGTAGGTAGCTGTAGTTGACAGAGTGATGTTGTAGGTAGCTGTAGTTGACAGAGTGATGTTGTTGTAGGTAGCTGTGGTTGACAGAGTGATGTTGTTGTAGGTAGCTGTAGTTGACAGAGTGATGTTGTTGTAGGTAGCTGTAGTTGACAGAGTAATGTTGTTGTAGGTAGCTGTAGTTGACAGAGTGATGTTGTTGTAGGTAGCTGTAGTTGACAGAGTGATGTTGTAGGTAGCTGTAGTTGACAGAGTGATGTTGTTGTAGGTAGCTGTAGTTGACAGAATGATGTTGTTGTAGGTAGAGAGTGATATTGTAACTAATTGTGACAGTGACTAATTGTGACAGTGACTAATTGTGACGGTGACTAAATGTGAGTGTCTGATCATGCCACCTCTATACAGCCCTACCTTTCTTCTCTTCAGACAAATGGCGCACCAGATATTATCAAGGTTGGTTGATTTAGTTGCACTTCATCATTAGCTTCATCAATCAATGATTTCAAGTTGTTTTTATGCTACAAAGTATATCCAGTGAATAACCTTTGAATATTTCAGAACACCGCCTTCAGTAGGTTGTGGTTCAAACAAGATGACAAATTTCTCAAACCTAAAGCTTGCGTCAACTTTGATTTTATAAGGTACCCCATGTTCTAGTTTTCTGACATTAGAGAAAGTGTTTACTTGAAGAAGTGTGTTCAATGAATTAGAGATGAACTATTGTCACTTGACATAAACCAAAAAGTTTGATGTGTGAGCAACTTGTCTGTTTCAGCCCAATAGCGTACACAGACCCACTCCACACTAATTTGAATTCTCTATTCACTCAACTCTTTGACGACGCACTCACTGAGTACTCTTACATGGCTGAGATAGCAGGACTCAAATACAGTCTGGATAGTTCTGTGTATGGGCTTACGGTAAGGCTTTATAGTTTTATAAATGGGCTTACGGTAAGGCTTTATAGTTTTATAAATGGGCTTACGGTAAGGCTTTATAGTTTTATAAATGGGCTTACGGTAAGGCTTTATAGTTTTATAAATGGGCTTACGGTAAGGCTTTATAATTCTGAGTTTATTAATTCTGCGTATGGGCTTACGGTAAGGCTTTATAGTTTTATAAATGGGCTTACAGTAAGGCTTTATAATTCTGTGTATGGGCTTATGGTAAGGCTTTATAGTTTTATGTATGGGTTTACAGTAAGGCTTTATAGTTCTGTGTATGGGCTTAAGGTAGGGCTTTATAGTTCTGTGTATGGGCTTATGGTAGGGCTTTATAGTTTTATGTATGGGTTTACAGTAAGGCTTTATAGTTCTGTGTATGGGCTTATGGTAGGACTTTATATTTAGGTTTATGAGCTTATGGTAGGGCTTTGTAGTTGTTAATATCTTAAAATTTCAGCAATTGTTAAAGGCATAGGTGGGTGATGAAAACCAAATAACCAAAATGCTTATTTATATCATCATATAATTATATCATATTTAGCATATAGTTATAACTCAGAGTTAAGTCTTTAAATGAAATAAACCGGGAGTGATCTCCCCTAAACTTTCTCGAATATTCTTATATAAAATAACAGGGGATGGGAACTCAGGCTATAGACATGATTTTTAATCCATTTTAAATACTTAAAGTTTTAAAAATAGAATAAAATCTCGTAGACAAATTAATTGCACACCAAGTGAACGCCAAATAAAAAAGCGCATAATGGTGCGCAATATTATTATTACTTTTAAAATTTACATTAGTTTTTTGAGAAATCGGAAGTAGCGTAAAGTACTACTTCCAGTCAACGGAAATGACTCAAAATTTAATAGAAGGTAGAGAATTAGATCTTTTACTTACATATGAAATTTCATTTATCTATCTGAAATAGTACTCAAGTTATAGGCTTTTGAAAAATTCAAAGTAGGAAAAGTACCACTTCCGGTTATCGGAAATCGCTCAAAAGTTGATACGGATCTACGATTTTGATTAAATACCTATATATGAAATTTCATCAACCTAGCTGTAACGGTACTCAAGTTATCGTGTTTACACACGGACAGACAGACACACAGACATACGGACAAGATTGCAAAATTATGTTTTTCCGTATCAGTGAGGTGTGAAACGTCAAGATTTGTAAAAATCTCGATTTTTTTTTTTGCACGATTACAAGACTTTCTCTATACTTCGTATATTCGAGAAAGTAAAAATGGCTGGAAATTTCATGCTGTTGCCATGGTGATAGCAGCCATCTTTGAATTTTTTTACAACACTAACATTGAAATAACTTTCTTAATTATAATTAAAATTGATCAAAATTTTATCTAGTTGTTTTGTATACATATACCAACAAAACTGACTGAACACACTTTTGAACATTTGTATGGTTTTTCTTTTACAGTTCAAATTCTAATTTTTGCACAAATTTTTATTTTTACTTTCTTGTATACAGAGTATAGAGGAAGTATTGTAATCATGCACAAAAATCACATGAACTTTTGACAGTTTTCACCGTTTTACACCTCAGTGCTTCATCATATATTTAGTATAGGGGAGTTATTTTAAATCCAGATTTATCAAAATTTCGCCGTTTTACGCGTAATCGAGTCAGAAAAACAGGGCTTTGCAATTCTGTCTGTGTGCATTTATGTGTCTGTGAACACAATAACTTGAGTACTGTTATAGCTCGGTTGGGACAGAGTGGTCTAGTGGTAGAGAGCTGGACTGCTAACCCGTCAGTCTCGAGTTCAAATCCGGGTTCAAGTCAGTAGACCGTCTCTGAGTCCACCCAAATCTGATGGGTACCTAACTCATGTTAGGGAGAGTAAAGGCGGCTGGGCATAGTGCTGACCACACTATCTCATCATATACCGAGGTCACAGAAACAAGTGAACTCTACTTTACTTGCCCTATAGACTGTCAGGTTTGAAAAGGGAACTTTACTTTTTTTACAGCTCGGTTGTATCAAATTTGTAGTTCTGTATCAACTTTTCTGCAATTTCTGATAAATAGAAGTGGAACTTTTCAAAAGCCTATAACTTCAGTACTGTTTCAGATAGATAAACAAAATTTCACATATATGTAAAAGATCTAATCCTCTACCTTCTATTAAATTTTGAGTTATTTCAGTTTACCGGAAGTAGTAATTTACGCTATTACCGATTTCTCAAAAAAAGCATATGAAGTTATAAAGTACTAATATTCCGCACTATTATACACATATTGTTTGCCATTCACTTGGTGCGCAATTCTTTTTTCTACTAGATTCTATTCTATTTTAAAAAGTTTAATTAATTATAAATGGATTAAAAATATTGTCTATATCATGAGTTGCCATCCCCCATAGTTTTTATATAGAACTCCCGCTTTATTTAAATTGTTTAAAAAATTTTTTTGTAAAAACCAAAGTATTTGAAAATGTCATCTATCATGATTGTTACCAAGATTTCTCTCTATAACCCTGCAAGTTTTTAGTGAATTCCCATCAGCTATCTTTGAGTTATTTCAATGTTAAGAAGGTCAATAAAATCCAAGATTTAACACATTTGAAATGCTCTTGACCAGCTGACCATTAAAGGCTACAATGACAAGCTGCCTATTCTCCTAGAAAAAATTGTGGAAAAGATGGCGTCTTTCAAGGTGGATCCCACTAGGCTGGAGATATTTAAAGACATTGTAAGTTAGCTCTTTACATGACATACATGTTGTCTTGTTGATTTAGCCTAATGTTGATCTAATGTTGATTTAGTCTAATGTTGATCTGATGTTGATTTAGTCTAATGTTGATCTGATGTTGTCTTGTTGATGTTGCCTAATGATGATACACTTTAGCATGGGAGAAATTTGCGCAACTTTCAAGCTGAGCAGCCTCATCAGCACGCCATCTACTACACTAATGTACTCACCTCCGAGTCCCTGTGGACCAAAGATGAACTGCTACAAGCTTTAGAAGGTGAGATGTTAAAGTTGACTGGCTGGCTGGCTGGCTGGCTGGCTAGCTAGCTGGCTGGCTGGTAGACTGACTGACTGGCTAGCTGGCTGAATGACTGACTTGTTGGCTGGCCGAATGACTGACTGACTGACTGGCTGGCTGATTAACTGACTGACTGACTAGTTGGCTGACAGTTGATGGTATGAGATTTCATCCACAGCTAACACTTGACAACTAAAAGAGGACTTTTATTTTCTTATTTTGAGCCCAAATCTAGTCTTGATTTATTTCCTACCAAGATGTAACATTGGAGAACCTGACAGTCTTCATCAAACAACTGCTGGGTAGACTTTACATTGAAGCTCTTATCTACGGCAATGTCACGCGATCAGTAAGTGCTGACATGAGATAGACAGATGACATCAGACAGACAGATGACATCAGATAGACAGATGACACCAGACAGACAGATGACATCAGACAGACAGATGACATCAGACAGACAGTAAGTGCTGACATCAGACAGACAGATGACATCAGACAGACATTAAATGCTGACATCAGACTGACAGTAAGTGATGACATCAGACAGACAGATGACATCAGACAGACAGATGACATCAGACAGACAGATGACATCAGACAGACAGATGACATCAGACAGACAGATGACATCAGACAGACAGTAAGTGCTGACATCAGACAGACAGATGACATCAGACAGACAGATGACATCAGACAGACAGTAAGTGCTGACATGAGATAGACAGATGACATCAGACAGACAGATGACATCAGACAGACAGATGACATCAGACAGACAGATGACATCAGACAGACAGTAAGTGCTGACATCAGACAGACAGATGACATCAGACAGACAGATGACATCAGACAGACAGTAAGTGCTGACATGAGATAGACAGATGACATCAGACAGACAGATGACATCAGACAGACAGATGACATCAGACAGACAGATGACATCAGACAGACAGATGACATCAGACAGACAGATCACATCAGACAGACTGATGACATCAGACAGACAGTAAGTGCTGACATCAGACAGACAGATGACATCAGACAGACAGTAAGTGCTGACATCAGACAGACGACATCAGACAGACAGATGACATCAGACAGACAGTAAGTGCTGACATGAGATAGACAGATGACATCAGACAGACAGATGACATCAGACAGGTGATGTCAGACAGACAGATGACATCAGACAGACAGATGACATCAGACAGACAGATGACATCAGACAGACAGATGACATCAGACAGACAGATGACATCAGACAGTAAGTGCTGACATCAGACAGACAGATGACATCAGACAGACAGATGACATCAGACAGACAGTAAGTGCTGACATGAGATAGACAGATGACATCAGACAGACAGATGACATCAGACAGACAGATGACATCCGACAGACAGATGACATCAGACATGCAGTAAGTGCTGACATCAGACAGACAGTAAGTGCTGACATCAGACAGACAGTAAGTGCTGACATCAGACAGACAGATGACATCAGACAGACAGATGACATCAGACAGACAGATGACATCAGACAGACAGTAAGTGCTGACATCAGACAGATGACATCAGACAGACAGTAAGTGCTGACATCAGATAGACAGATGACATCAGACAGACAGTAAGTGCTGACATCAGACAGACAGATGACATCAGACAGACAGATGACATCAGACAGACAGATGACATCAGACAGACAGATGACATCAGACAGACAGGTGATGTCAGACAGACAGATGACATCAGACAGACAGATGACATCAGACAGACAGATGACATCAGACATATGACATCAGACAAACAAATGCTATCAAAATTTTTCCCCAGCAAGCCCATGAGATGATGGACCTGGTGGAAAAAATTCTGATGGAGAACTGCAAGTCTAAACCACTTTTGGCCAGCCAGCACAGAAAGCTGAGGGAGGTCCAGTTGCCAGATGGTAGGTCTTGTGGTCTGATAGGTGCTAGGTCTTTTACTTGTGGTCTGATAGGTGCTAGGTCTTTTACTTGTGGGCTGATAGGTGCTAGGTCTTTTACTTGTGGTCTGATAAGTGCTAGGTCTTTTACTTGTGGTCTGATAGGTGCTAGGTCTTTTACTTGTGGTCTGATAGGTGCTAGGTCTTTTACTTGTGGTCTGATAGGTGCTAGGTCTTTTACTTGTGGCCTGATAGGTGCTAGGTCTTTTACTTGTGGTCTGATAGGTGCTAGGTCTTTTACTTGTGGTCTGATAGGTGCTAGGTCTTTTACTTGTGGTCTGATAGGTGCTAGGTCTTTTACTTGTGGGCTGATAGGTGCTAGGTCCTTTACTTGTGGCCTGATAGGTGCTAGGTCTTTTACTTGTGGTCTGATAGGTGCTAGGTCTTTTACTTGTGGTCTGATAAGTGCTAGGTCTTTTACTTGTGGTCTGATAGGTGCTAGGTCTTTTACTTGTGGTCTGGCGATAGGTGCTAGATCTTTTACTTGTGGTCTGATAAGTGCTAGGTCTTTTACTTGTGGTCTGATAGGTGCTAGGTCTTTTACCTGTGGTCTGGCGATAGGTGCTAGGTCTTTTACTTGTGGTCTGGCGATAGGTGCTAGATCTTTTACTTGTGGTCTGATAAGTGCTAGGTCTTTTACTTGTGGTCTGATAGGTGCTAGGTCTTTTACCTGTGGTCTGGCGATAGGTGCTAGATCTTTTACTTGTGGTCTGGTGATAGGTGCTAGGTCTTTTACTTGTGGTCTGATAAGTGCTAGGTCTTTTACTTGTGGTCTGATAGGTGCTAGGTCTTTTACTTGTGGTCTGATAGGTGCTAGGTCTTTTACTTGTGGTCTGATAAGTGCTAGGTCTTTTACTTGTGGTCTGATAAGTGCTAGGTCTTTTACTTGTGGTCTGATAAGTGCTAGGTCTTTTACTTGTGGGCTGATAGGTGCTAGGTCTTTTACTTGTGGTCTGATAGGTGCTAGGTCTTTTACTTGTGGTCTGATAGGTGCTAGGTCTTTTACTTGTGGTCTGATAGGTGCTAGGTCTTTTACTTGTGGTCTGGTGATAGGTGCTAGGTCTTTTACTTGTGGTCTGATAGGTGCTAGGTCTTTTACTTGTGGTCTGGTGATAGGTGCTAGGTCTTTTACTTGTGGTCTGATAGGTGCTAGGTCTTTTACTTGTGGCCTGATAGGTGCTAGGTCTTTTACTTGTGGTCTGATAGGTGCTAGGTCTTTTACTTGTGGTCTGATAGGTGCTAGATCTTTTACTTGTGGTCTGGTGATAGGTGCTAGGTCTTTTACTTGTGGTCTGATAGGTGCTAGGTCTTTTACTTGTGGTCTGGTGATAGGTGCTAGGTCTTTTACTTGTGGTCTGATAGGTGCTAGGTCTTTTACTTGTGGTCTGGTGATAGGTGCTAGGTCTTTTACTTGTGGTCTGATAGGTGCTAGGTCTTTTACTTGTGGCCTGATAGGTGCTAGGTCTTTTACTTGTGGTCTGATAGGTGCTAGGTCTTTTACTTGTGGGCTGATAGGTGCTAGGTCTTTTACTTGTGGGCTGATAGGTGCTAGGTCTTTTACTGTGGTCTGATAGGTGCTAGGTCTTTTACTTGTGGTCTGATAGGTGCTAGGTCTGATTGTAGTTAAGTTGAGCAACAGAAAGTTTGATTTTTTCCAGGCTGTTACTTTTTATACAAGCAGAAGAACCTGGTACATGAGAGCTCTAGTGTGGAAGTTTACTACCAATGTGGTCTGCAGAACACAGAGAGCAACATGCTGTTAGAGCTCTTCTGTCAGGTAAGTTTACTTTATCTCTAAGACAAAAGCTCTACCCTCAGTGTGAACTGTGGGTTTGACAATTGACTGGCCGCCATTCCTGAAACTGGCCAAGATTTTATGGTACAGTCCTGTGCACCAGATAGCAACTGAAGAAAATATGGTGTGCTCACAGAGGTCTGGTTTGTGACAAGATTTAGGTGCTACTACCAAATGTGGGATTGTTTAGGTGCTACTACCAAATGTGGGATTGTTTCGGTGCTACTACCAGATGTGGGATTGTTTAGGTGATACTACCAAATGCGAGTAAATCAAAGCTTATTCTAAAAAAGTGATTCAAATATGGAGCGTGTAGATCAAAGCATATTATATAAAAGTGATTCATATAAATGTTTTTATTAAAACTGATTCAAATAAATGTTTGAAAAATGGTTTCATAAAAATTAATATAAACAGAGGTTTAAAAACTGTTTTTCTTTGAACCAGGTGATTAGTGAACCATGTTTCAACATACTGAGGACTAAAGAGCAACTTGGTAGGTACAACAACTTCTCACACTCAATCATCAGCACACTAGACCATCAGCACACTCTACCATCAGCACACTCAATCATCAGCACACTCAATCATCAGCACACTCAATCATCAGCACACTCAATCATCAGCGCACTCAATCATTAGCACTCTAGACCATCAGCACACTATTCCATCAGCACACTCAATCATTAGCACAGTTAATCATTAGCTCAGATAATCATAAGCACACTCAATCATCAGCACACTAAATCATCAGCACTCTAGACCATCAGCACACTCAATCATCAGCACTCTAGACCATCAGCACTCTAGACCATCAGCACACTCAATCATCAGTACACTCAATCATCAGCACACTCAATCATTAGCACACTAGACCCTCAGCACACTCAATCATTACCACACTCAATCATTAGCACTCTAGACCATCAGCACACTCAATCATTAGCACACTAGACCCTCAGCACACTCAATCATTACCACTCTCAATCATTAGCACACTAGACCACCAGCACACTCTACCATCAGCACACTCAATCATCAGCACACTCAATCATCAGCACACTCAATCATCAGCGCACTCAATCATTAGCACTCTAGACCATCAGCACACTATTCCATCAGCACACTCAATCATTAGCACAGTTAATCATTAGCTCAGATAATCATCAGCACACTCAATCATCAGCACTCTAGACCATCAGCACTCTAGACCATCAGCACACTCAATCATCAGTACACTCAATCATCAGCACACTAGACCATCAGCACACTCAATCATTAGCACACTAGACCCTCAGCACACTCAATCATTACCACACTCAATCATTAGCACTCTAGACCATCAGCACACTCAATCATTAGCACACTAGACCCTCAGCACACTCAATCATTACCACTCTCAATCATTAGCACTCTAGACCACCAGCACACTAGACCATCAGCACACTCAATCATAAACAAATTCAATTGTTTGCACACTCAGTCATCAGCACACACAATCATTAGCACAGTTAATCATTAGCACACTTGATCGTTAGCACACTCAATCATTGGCTCAGTTAATCATTAGCTCAGATAATCATTAGCACACTCAATCATTAGCACACAATCATTAGCTCAGATAATCATTAGCACACTCAATCATTAGCTCAGATAATCATTAGCACACTTGATCGTTAGCACACTAAATCATTAGCACACTCAATCATTAGCTCAGATAATCATTAGCACACTCAATCATTAGCTCAGATAATCATTAGCTCAGATAATCATTAGCTCAGATAATCATTAGCTCTGATAATCATTAGCACACTCAATCATTAGCTCAGATAATCATTAGCTCAGACAATCATTAGCATACTCAATCGTTAGCTCAGATAATCATTAGCTCAGATAATCATTAGCTCAGATAATCATTAGCACACTCAATCGTTAGCTCAGATAATCATTAGCTCAGATAATCATTAGCACACTCAATCATTAGCTCAGATAATCATTAGCCCAGATAATCATTAGCTCAGATAATCATTAGCCCAGATAATCATTAGCCCAGATAATTATTAGCCCAGATAATCATTAGCTCAGATAATCATTAGCTCAGATAATCATTAGCACACTCAATCATTAGCCCAGATAATCATTAGCCCAGATAATCATTAGCCCAGATAATCATTAGCCCAGATAATCATTAGCCCAGATAATCATTGAAATGTGACCACCTCCCAGGCTACATTGTCTTCAGTGGTGTCAGACGCTCCAAAGGTGTCCAGGGTCTGCGGGTCATTGTCCAGTCCTCCAAACCAGCCCAGTACGTCGAGGAGAGGATTGAGGCCTTCATACAAAAAATGGAGGTGATTAACTAGTTGCTACAGTTGTCTTTTCTAGAAATCTGCCTCTTCTGTTTCAAAATGTTTTCCAACAATTCTTTTTCCACTACCAAATTTGAAAAAAAACTGTTCTTTCTGCGCATGTTTGTACATGTCTGTGATGTTGGTACATGTACTTGTGATGTTGGTACATGTACTTGTGATGTTGGTACATGTCTGTGATGTTGGTACATCTCTGTGATGTTGGTACATGTACTTGTGATGTTGGTACATGTACTTGTGATGTTGGTACATGTACTTGTGATGTTGGTACATGTCTGTGATGTTGGTACATGTACTTGTGATGTTGGTACATGTCTGTGATGTTGGTACATGTCTGTGATGTTGGTACATGTACTTGTGATGTTGGTACATGTACTTGTGATGTTGAGACGCCTGTGAGTGATGTGTATGTTGTGTACCCAGGAGGTGCTAGACAAGATGTCAGATGAGGAGTTGAGCAAACATGTCATGGCACTCTCCACCAAGAGACTGGAGAAACCCAAGAAACTTATTCAACAGAACAACAAGTACTGGACTGAGATCATTTCAAATTACTACAACTTTGATCGAGGTCAGACATAACACGGTACCAATCAGTACTCATGGCCATGGATTATGTATTATCCTGGGCTTTCCCTTGAGCGCAATGTCACTTACGTTAGTTGTAAACAGTTTGATAGATAATCAATAAGATGGGGTTTTAGAGTCGCTCACTAAACATAATCAGGTGCGTCCACCAGCACACCGGCAGGGTGTGATTTGGCGCCTATCATGTGAGCACTTTGGCACCTACTTTAGTTTTAAGGATCACCCTAGAATATTGGTAGCACACGACATGCGAGGATCAAACTAAACCAGGGGACGTAGCGTCATTAGGGTAGTTTAATCATGGGCTCGCAAGATACTTAGGCTTGAGTGTTTAACAGTGATATTACACCCGGTGAGTGATAACGTACACTTAAGGCTTTCATACAGCACGCCCGTTTTAGAAAACAAAGTCACGCATTTAAGAACATAGGATTGGTAAAGCATTGATGAAACCCTCCTAATATATTTCTTCAGACGGGCACGTTAGTTCATTATAAAACTTTTATTAGAAAAGATCTATAGGATTTAGAGAATTCATTATAAAACTTCTATTAGAAAAGATCTATAGGATTTAGAGAATTCGTTATAAAACTTTTATTAGAAATAGCTTTAGTTGTTTTTATGTGGGCATTTTGTGTTTAAAGCAATGACCAGTGTTGTTATATTTTATGAAAGACTTGAGTGCTGTTGTACATAATTAGCAAGCACACAAAGTGCGTACAGGAATGTCTTGAATTGTTTGCTTATTTTACAGATGCAATAGAAGTTGCTTTCTTGCAGAAGTTAACAAAAGATGATTTACTCCAATTTTACAAGGTATCTGCTTTTGTATATGCTAGTGTGACCCAGAGATCTAGAGCACAATTTTGTGACATCTGGGAGGTGTAAAGCATTATTTTATGTGATAACTGTGACATCTGGGGGGGTGTAAAGCACAATTTTATGTGTTAACTGACATTTGGGCTGTGTAAAGCACAATTTTATGTGTTAACTGACATTTGGGCTGTGTAAAGCACAATTTTATGTGTTAACTGACATTTGGGCTGTGTAAAGCACAATTTTATGTGTTAACTGACATTTGGGCTGTGTAAAGCACAATTTTATGTGTTAACTGACATTTGAGCTGTGTAAAGCACAATTTTATGTGTTAACTGACATTTGGGCTGTGTAAAGCACAATTTTATGTGTTAACTGACATTTGGGCTGTGTAAAGCACAATTTTATGTGTTAACTGACATTTGGGCTGTGTAAAGCACAATTTTATGTGTTAACTGACATTTGGGCTGTGTAAAGCACAATTTTATGTGTTAACTGACATTTGAGCTGTGTAAAGCACAATTTTATGTGTTAACTGACATTTGGGCTGTGTAAAGCACAATTTTATGTGTTAACTGACATTTGGGCTGTGTAAAGCACAATTTTATGTGTTAACTGACATTTGGGCTGTGTAAAGCACAATTTTATGTGTTAACTGACATTTGGGCTGTGTAAAGCACAATTTTGTGTTAACTGACATTTGGGCTGTGTAAAGCACAATTTTATGTGTTAACTGTGACATCTGGGAGGTGAAAAATAGTATGATGATACAGCTATTAGGATCTCAAGCATTTGTTGATGTCAGAGTGTGACACAATATAATCTAGCATTAGATTGCAGATGATAAGTAGAAATATAAGTTTTCTATACAATCCACTAGATGATTGATTTTATCTTGCTTCTAAGGAAAAAATCGCACTTGATGCCCCTAACCGGCACAAACTTTGTGTTTATGTTCTGTCCAACACATCAGATGAGACGCCCCCTGTGCTAGAGGCCGATGGCTTTATACCTGCACCCAAGTTGCCACAGGTCAGTGCTGCAGCTAAGATCAACCAGCTTTCTTTTAGTCTTTGTTTAACCAGAGAGTTGAATACATTTGTTGCATCTGTTTTTTTCAGCCTAGTGTGGTAACAGATGTCATGGAGTTTAAAAGAGACTTGGGGCTGTATCCCCTGGCTAAGCCATGCATTGATCTGACCAAAGCCAAACTTTAGAGATCTCTGTATTGATTGCATTGACCAAAGTTAAGTTATTTCAAATTTTGATTCTTCCTGCCATCAACACGTTGGAGACATGCAGCAGAGGCCAACATAGAGCAACCATCCCTCATTGGCGACACAAAGCATTATGTGAACATCAACTTTAAACTGCAGCCCAATATTGATTTCTATGAATATTTGATGCCATTACCCCATGTTTAAAATACCTTTGTATTCTCTTGAAACATTTGATGCTACAACTCTCCTCTGAAGGAGTATCCAATGACTGTCTAAATAGCACATGGGAGCCCTGCTATTTATAGGTGACCATCTCAGTCCACCATTTTCTTTCTTACCAGAATGTTTGCTTGTTGATTTGTTTTTTTAGTCAGGTGATAAGATCTTTTCATATTATTCAAGTTTTTAAAAGTAATGTACAGGGTATAAGGTATTTGTTTGGCTTGTTTGTTTCTTGCACCTGAATTGATTGAACTATTGATACATCTGTCATGTTGTCAAATGTCAGGTTGGAATGGTTTCACACAGTGCTGCAACCTTTCTCTTGGTAACCCAATGGCTCTCTGTCATGAGGCCCATAACCATAATGTTGAAGTCAATAATTTGTTCCATTCCATTTTTGGGAGTGCAACAAACCTCCACATAACTCAAAGCATAATTTTGGCTGAAAGTGGTAGTGATGTCATGATGTGATCAGACACTGAGTGACGTCATCACCTTGTGATCCAGCTGTTCACATGATATGCTCAGCCTCCACCCATGACACAATGGGGCATATTGAATTCTTTTGGGAACTAGTGGCTGTACAACATAAAATATCCAGCAGTCTCAAGTGGTCTCTTACATCAGTGCATGCAGTTGAAAGACCAGTTACCACAGTCTTGCTTATTATCATCAATTTTAGACCTCTAAAAGTTAAGCCTATACATATTAATTATATATGTACACTGCACTGCCAATCACCACTAATGATTTTTTAATTTCAGAAATGATGGTATTAAATATCAACAGTAAAACCTAAAATATGTTGAGAAAAATAAAGATGTTTTTTTTAATACATCAGCCACAAACAGAGGCATAGTATTAGCATTTATATTCTACTTTTTGTACATGTCAGTAACATGATCAAACATTGTAAGGGCACTTAAACTGTCCAGCCAGAGGTACCCACTAATAAAGTTTAAACTGTCCAGCCAGAGGTACCCACTAAAATAGTTTAAACTGTCCAGCCAGAGGTACCCACTAATAAAGTTTAAACTGTCCAGCCAGAGGTACCCACTAAGATAGTTTAAACTGTCCAGCCAGAGGTACCCACTAATAAAGTTTAAACTGTCCAGCCAGAGGTACCCACTAAAATAGTTTAAACTGTCCAGCCAGAGGTACCCACTAATAAAGTTTAAACTGTCCAGCCAGAGGTACCCACTAAAATAGTTTAAACTGTCCAGCCAGAGGTACCCACTAAAAAAGTTTAAACTGTCCAGCCAGAGGTACCCACTAAGATAGTTTAAACTGTCCAGCCAGAGGTACCCACTAAGATAGTTTAAACTGTCCCCACTAAGATAGTCTACTGTGCTGGAGATGTTTCTTTGACCCTTTACCAGCCGGGGCATTTAAAACTATTTACTTCTAAGGACAGGCAAAAAGATTGGGTATTTTTCAACTAAGGTCATTTTTAAAAATTAAAACAAAATAATCTCTTAAATTAAAAAATAAAATTCGTTATACACAAAACGTTTATGTATGCAGTTAAAGAGGATAGTTTACTAATAATAAATAACACTAATCCCAGAAAAGCGTGAACAAAAAACTACTAATATTTCCATGAAAAATTTATTTTAAAATCAAATGCAAAAAAAAAAAAACTATTTTAGTCACTGAAGCTACTTTCTTTATCAATAATTACATAAAAAATAAAGCCTGATTTAATTAGATTTTATTTCACTAATTATATTAAAATTATATGAAAAAAAAATCAACTAGTGATAGAAAGAATAACCTCAATGAAAATTTCCCGCTTCCTCTGGTATTTTCAAAACCTAGTTACCAACAAGACTTCCGCTACAAAGCATAAAAATATTGTTTTATAGAGTACTTTGGGCACACCGGACTGTACCACACAAAAAAATTCTAGGGCAACCGCAGATGCATAAACCTGTAAAGGGTTAAGGAAAAAAAACAACAACCAAGGGCTCATTTAGTAGTTTTGTGTACATTGAATTAGACGGGTCGGCGCGGTTGAGTCAGTAAAGCTCATGGTTGCTAAACCGAAAAAGTCTCTGGCAGATGAGGCTTGTTAGCTGGGGACAGCCGCTCTTCTAGGAGAGACAACTCCGAAATCAAACTACTGCTGCCTTGTAGTTTGTTCTTGGTTGGACAAAGGCTATGAAAGCAAATCCAAAAAGAAAAGCAGGCTGAAATTGGAGTCAATGGCGCATAACCAGTTGACACGTATCCTTAATTGTGATGGAGGCGTGGTCGAGTCAGCAAAAGCTCATGGTTGATAAATTCAGACCCTCTGGCAGATAAGGCTCATAACCTTCCAACACTAAAAATTAAGAGCGAAGAAGAATTAGTCATTCCATTGTACTGTGCTAATCAGTCACCATGTTGGTATTTTTTTTCCCTTAAAAAAAAAACCACTTGCAATATTCCAACTAAACCTCTAAATCAGGGGTCTCCAAACTTTTCAGTCCGAGGGCCGCATCAGCTATCAATTTTCAGTTCGGGGGCCAGTTTCTTCCAGGCATGTCGTGATTTTTCTGGGCAAAGTTCCTCAGCAATTACCAACAAACTTTTTTCCGTGGACGAAAAGATCTCCGCGGGCCGGATGAGAGGACATCGCGGGCCGCAGTTTAGAGACCCCTGCTCTAAATAATAAAAATTGAAAGAATCAAATTTTTAACAATTGTTTTATTTATAACTGTGGTTGAAGAACAAATATTTCATTTAAGTCTATCCCATCTCCATATGCTCCCATCATCACTGACTGCCAGCATGATATTTCCATCTTTAGACAGGGCTGTTTGCCGGATGGCTGAGTTACATTTGTGGTGAGACAGTTTGGTGAATCTGTCAAAAGGTAGCAAGGCTGAGTTACATTTGTGGTGAGAAAGTTTGGTGTCAAAAGGTAGCAAGGCTGAGTTACATTTGTGGTGAGAAAGTTTGGTGTCAAAAGGTAGCAAGGCTGAGTTACATTTGTGGTAAGAAAGTTTGGTGCCAAAAGGTAGCAAGGCTGAGTTACATTTGTGGTGAGAAAGTTTGGTGAATCTGTCAAAAAGTAGCAAGGCTGAGTTACATTTGTGGTGAGAAAGTTTGGTGTCAAAAGGTAGCAAGGCTGAGTTACATTTGTGGTGAGAAAGTTTGGTGTCGAAAGGTAGCAAGGCTGAGTTACATTTGTGGTGAGAAAGTTTGGTGTCGAAAGGTAGCAAGGCTGAGTTACATTTGTGGTGAGAAAGTTTGGTGTCAAAAGGTAGCAAGGCTGAGTTACATTTGTGGTGAGAAAGTTTGGTGCCAAAAGGTAGCAAGGCTGAGTTACATTTGTGGTGAGAAAGTTTGGTGAATCTGTCAAAAAGTAGCAAGGCTGAGTTACATTTGTGGTGAGAAAGTTTGGTGTCAAAAGGTAGCAATGCTAAGTTACATTTGTGGTGAGAAAGTTTGGTGTCAAAAGGTAGCAAGGCTGAGTTACATTTGTGGTGAGAAAGTTTGGTGTCGAAAGGTAGCAAGGCTGAGTTACATTTGTGGTGAGAAAGTTTGGTGTCAAAAGGTAGCAAGGCTGAGTTACATTTGTGGTGAGAAAGTTTGGTGTCAAAAGGTAGCAAGGCTGAGTTACATTTGTGGTGAGAAAGTTTGGTGTCAAAAGGTAGCAAGGCTGAGTTACATTTGTGGTGAGAAAGTTTGGTGTCAAAAGGTAGCAAGGCTGAGTTACATTTGTGGTGAGAAAGTTTGGTGTCAAAAGGTAGCAAGGCTGAGTTACATTTGTGGTAAGAAAGTTTGGTGCCAAAAGGTAGCAAGGCTGAGTTACATTTGTGGTGAGAAAGTTTGGTGAATCTGTCAAAAAGTAGCAAGGCTGAGTTACATTTGTGGTGAGAAAGTTTGGTGTCAAAAGGTAGCAATGCTGAGTTACATTTGTGGTGAGAAAGTTTGGTGTCAAAAGGTAGCAAGGCTGAAGCCAATGAAAAATTGTACCTAGTCTGTGTGGGGTCATCAACCTCCAGGTCCCAGACAAAGATGTGACCCACTTGATTGCCCAGTGCCATCACCTGTCATACACAGTGGAGAGAGAGTTGGAATTTCTTAGTGACCATCCAACACTAATTTACCTATTAAAAATAAACTGATTTGCATACCCTGTTGTTAAGGGCATGGGCAGGTGACGAGTACCAACTTCCGTATTTCCGAGTCTAAAGATATAATATTTGGCTAATAGTTATAACCCAAAGGGTTAAATATAAAAATATTTCAAATTTTTTTTAAATACTCCGTTGCCATGGTGATGGCGGCCATATTGGATTTAATTGACAATTTTTAAATGGAAATAACTCATGAACACTTAATATAGTCTGGAGACACATGTGTTTAAGAATTCTGATAATTACATTTTCAAAAATGAAGATAGTTTTTTTTTTTACTTTAATTTCTTCCAATTTTTTCACTATTTCAACAATTAAAAAATAATTTTTTTTTTCAAAAAGTGTTCTATCAGTTTTATTTGAATATATATAGCCTACAGCGTAACTGGAGCAAATTTAGTTGAGTTCTGATAATTATTAACAAAGTTATTTCAACAATGGTACAAAAAAACATCAAACTTAGAAAAATGCAAAAAACCAACATAAAGTTGGACAAAATGAAAATTAACTTTCATTAAAATAATTAAAAATTGGCCACATTCATAAGCCAGAAGTATGGTGCTGCTGAATCAATTCCTTCAGAGCTTGTTTAGCTGCTAGTTTCCTTTTTTTCTGGCGCTCTTTGCTTTTACCGTAAGCTGTAGTCAGGCTGTTGTCAAGACGTCTTCTTTGGCGTCCTTCACTTAGTCTTTGACTAAGGTTTCCTTCTTTTGACAGTATTGCCATAACTTGCATGGGCCCAAAATTGGATTCTGCTATTGCAGAAACAGCAGCATATTTTGTATGGTCCCATGTCTAAAGCCAATGATGTCATTGTTTATTGTGAATGTCCTTGTTCTGGTTTCTTTTGCAGTTGTATACTTACTGTTTACAACATATTTACAACTGCCACACCATGCTTTAAGCAAACCCTTTACACTTTTTTTCATCAATAGTAGCCACTATATCACAGTTACACTCTGGGCAAGGAAATTTATTGATAAAACCAAGAAGCAAATCACCGTCATCAATAAATCTGCATGGCTGTGGTTTACAATTAGCACTACCAGTACTAGATGTAGCATTGCTTTCTTCTGTCTGTAAAAACTGAGTCTTACATTACCAGTTTCTTATTAGTAAATGTGCTTATTGCATCTGCATAAGTGCTTGTCTGAATAGTTCTAGACTGAGTAAGGTAGCTGCAATCAGTTGCATTCAGACATGCCTTGTTTTAGACTTTACTTAGATGTGTTTCTATTTTTAGTGAGTGTTTGGTTCTAACCATAATCGAAAAAGAAACAAATTTAATCCTCTCACTGCTTTTGATAATTCACACAAATTAACCTAAATGGTTAATAGTATATTTAATTGAAATAATTATATGTTAAAATAATGTAAGTATTTCACAGACGCTTAGAGAAACAAAATTAAACCAAATCAAACATTGCAACGCACTGAAACTAAGGGAATGTTTACTACTGAAGCGAAACAACCAAGCGCTAACTAGCTTCCGCCGCTGAAGGCCAATGAAAAAATTGAGGTAAAAAATTTGCATACCGAAAAAACCCGACTGAGTAAAATAAACAACTTTATGACGTAGAAAAATAATCATATTAAAATAGGTATTTTGATTGGTCCTTTAATTTTAGAACAAATAAAGAAAGGAGATCACATCCTTTCCATTGATATGAAACACATTAGACTTACGCGAAGCCTAATATCACTTTTCTAGGTCCAAAAATGGCCATTTTTACCAAAAAAGTAAACCAATGACGCTATACACACTACTTTGAACCCAGTTTTTCATTGATAAATAATGCTTTTAGGGTCATAACCATGTCATTTTTAGATTCAACAATGGTTATTCTGTATAGATCAAGTAAAAGTGGGAAATCGATGATTTTGTGGATTTTTGACAACAAAAAAAACCACCCGCCCATGCCCTTAAGCCTAATAATATAGTGTGTACATTTGTAACTCTCCACCCTGTCTAGATTTATTTTTTGCAAATACCATCTTAGAGGCTGCATAGCTAGAACATCCCCCCCCCCTACCAACCTGTTGGTTGTAGTCCAGTGAAAACCTCATGTACCAGATTTCACACTCCTTGTACTCAAACCTGTGGAGCACCCACACATTGTCATCAGATTTCCCCTTGCCTGGCTCATCACATTTCATCTTTGCTGGCTCCTCACATCTCACCTTGGCTGGCTCATCACATTTGACCTTGAGTGGGTCATGGTGGCTTCCTGGCCGCCAACACACAATGCAGTTTTCACAAGACTGAAACCAGAAGATCACTGGTCAACACAAACTGTTCAACTAGCTATATGCCTGTCAACACAAACTGTTCAACTAGCTATATGCCTGTCAACACAAACTGTTCAACTCTAGCTATACTCCTGTCAACACAAACTGTTCTACTCTAGCTATACTCCTGTCAACACAAACTGTTCAACTCTAGCTATACTCCTGTCAACACAAACTGTTCTACTCTAGCTATACTCCTGTCAACACAAACTGTTCAACTCTAGCTATACTCCTGTCAACACAAACTGTTCAACTCTAGCTATACTCCTGTCAACACAAACTGTTCAACTAGCTATACTCCTGTCAACACAAACTGTTCAACTAGCTATACTCCTGTCAACACAAACTGTTCAACTCTAGCTATACTCCTGTCAACACAAACTGTTCAACTAGCTATATTCCTGTCAACACAAATTGTTCAACTCTAGCTATACTCCTGTCAACACAAACTGTTCAACTCTAGCTATACTCCTGTCAACACAAACTGTTCAACTAGCTATACTCCTGTCAACACAAACTGTTCAGCTCTAGCTATACTCCTGTCAACACAAATTGTTCAGCTCTAGCTATACTCCTGTCAACACAAACTGTTCAACTCTAGCTATACTCCTGTCAACACAAACTGTTCAGCTCTAGCTATACTCCTGTCAACACAAATTGTTCAGCTCTAGCTATACTCCTGTCAACACAAACTGTTCAACTCTAGCTATACTCCTGTCAACACAAACTGTTCAACTCTAGCTATACTCCTGTCAACACAAACTGTTCTACTCTAGCTATACTCCTGTCAACACAAACTGTTCAACTCTAGCTATACTCCTGCTATGTTTACAATCAAGTTGGGTATCACATTTTAGAATTGCCTTTGAATGTTTACACTCATTTTCAGAAATTCCTTGAATTGTTTCAATATATTACTTATACTTAGAAATTCAGTGTAATTGAATGCTCTTCCCACACTTAACTGCCCTTTTGCAGATGCTTTACATAACATATTCTGAAACATTCTTTTAAATACAAATAAACTTGATTGAAAACCTAAACCTAAGGAATAGAATTTAAAACTTCAGGTTAACTTTTAGTTTTAAGTTAGTGCATTGATAATTTCCTTCTTAGTTTAACACATTTTTTATCTTGTCTAATTTACTATTACAAATCCCTAAGAGAGTGTTTATTTGGTATTCATCCCTTATTTTATAAATGAAAATTATGCAGAAAATTATCCCAGTTAGTGATTTCATTAGTCTTACCTTTGACAAGACCAGATTCCCCAACCACCGCACACAATCCACATAATTCCTGTGGATGTCTCTGGTTGAAAAGTCAGGAAAATGGCAATACTCTGTGGGAAAAGGGCTGAAAAAAAAAACAGTTCATAAAATCTAAGCATCTGCTAGAAGTAGAAAAACTGCAGAAATCTATAATTTTCTAGCTGCACAAATCTAAGCATCTGCTAGAAGTAGAAAAACTGCAGAAATCTATAATTTTCTAGCTGCACAAATCTAAGCATCTGCTAGAAGTAGAAAAACTGCAGAAATCTATAATTTTCTAGCTGCACAAATCTAAGCATCTGCTAGAAGTAGAAAAACTGCAGAAATCTATAATTTTCTAGCTGCACAAATCTAAGCATCTGCTAGAAGTAGAAAAACTGCAGAAATCTATAATTTTCTAGCTGCACAAATCTAAGCATCTGCTAGAAGTAGAAAAACTGCAGAAATCTATAATTTTCTAGCTGCACAAATCTAAGCATCTGCTAGAAGTAGAAAAACTGCAGAAATCTATAATTTTCTAGCTGCACAAATCTAAGCATCTGCTAGAAGTAGAAAAACTGCAGAAATCTATAATTTTCTAGCTGCACAAATCTAAGCATCTGCTAGAAGTAGAAAAACTGCAGAAATCTATAATTTTCTAGCTGCACAAATCTAAGCATCTGCTAGAAGTAGAAAAACTGCAGAAATCTATAATTTTCTAGCTGCACATTGAGGGCCTGACTGGGTTCCTGGAAAGGTTTTTTGTTTTATTTTGACTTCTACTAATGACAGAATAGAAGAAGGAAGACCTGCCAGACATGCCTACCTAAAGTAAAAACAGTCATGCCTAAAAAGAGGAATTTGAAGCCAAAAAGAGGAACATAGACACTATTTTACCAAGTCAAAAATATAAAAAAATGATTTAAAAGAAGTCAAATTCTCATGACATAATAAAAGATGGAAGACCTACTCATCATTCTTAGCTGGACTGTAGCTGTGTGAGTCCAGCAAAGCTTTCTTGATGTCGGCTTTCTGGAGATTCCAGACTTTCAGGGAATGGTCCATGCCACAAGACACAATCTTGGTGCCACTCAGGTTAAAATCCTGAGGAGAAAAATACCTGCTACGTCATTGTGTACACATTACTTGTTGAGGAGATAAACAGCAGCTCTGTTATTGTGTACACATTACTTGTTGAGGAGATAAATACCAGCTCTGTCATTGTGTACACATTACTTGTTGAGTAGATTAATACCTGCTCTGTCATTGTGTACACATTACTTGTTGAGGAGATAAACAGCAGCTCTGTTATTGTGTACACATTACTTGTTGAGGAGATAAATACCAGCTCTGTCATTGTGTACACATTACTTGTTGAGTAGATTAATACCTGCTGTCATTGTGTACACATTACTTGTTGAGGAGATAAACAGCAGCTCTGTTATTGTGTACACATTACTTGTTGAGGAGATAAATACCAGCTCTGTCATTGTGTACACATTACTTGTTGAGTAGATTAATACCTGCTCTGTCATTGTGTACAAATTACTTGTTGAGGAGATAAACAGCAGCTCTGTTATTGTGTACACATTACTTGTTGAGGAGATAAATACCAGCTCTGTCATTGTGTACACATTACTTGTTGAGTAGATTAATACCTGCTCTGTCATTGTGTACACATTACTTGTTGAGGAGATAAACAGCAGCTCTGTTATTGTGTACACATTACTTGTTGAGGAGATAAACAGCAGCTCTGTCATTGTGTACACATTACTTGTTGAGGAGATTAATACCAGCTCTGTCATTGTGTACACACTACTTGTTGATGAGATTAATACCTGCTCTGTCATTGTGTACACATTACTTGTTGAGGAGATTAATACCTGCTCTGTCATTGTGTACACACTACTTGTTGAGGAGATTAATACCTGCTCTGTCATTGTGTACACACTACTTGTTGATGAGATTAATACCTGCTCTGTCATTGTGTACACACTACTTGTTGAGTAGATTAATACCTGCTCTGTCATTGTGTACACATTACTTGTTGAGGAGATTAATACCTGCTCTGTCATTGTGTACACATTACTTGTTGAGGAGATTAATACCTGCTCTGTCATTGTGTACACATTACTTGTTGAGGAGATTAATACCTGCTCTGTCATTGTGTACACATTACTTGTTGAGTAGATTAATAGCTGCTCTGTCATTGTGTACACATTACTTGATGAGATTAATACCAGCTCTGTCATTGTGTACACATTACTTGTTGAGGAGATAAATACCAGCTCTGTCATTGTGTGCACACTACTTGTTGAGGAGATAAATACCTGCTCTGTCATTGTGTACACATTACTTGTTGAGGAGATTAATACCAGCTCTGTCATTGTGTACACATTACTTGTTGAGGAGATAAATACCAGCTCTGTCATTGTGTGCACACTACTTGTTGAGATAAACAGACATCATTTTGGCTGGCTTGGTGTCCCAGTTATTCAAAACCCTGGGTACCTCCATTAGCTGTTTCACAAGCACAAAAGCTTGACCATCCTCATGGTGGATGTATTTGGTAACATAGTGCTCCATATGGCATCCATTCAAATCTTTGGTAACATAGTGCTCCATATGGCATCCATTCAAATCTTTGGTAACATAGTGCTCCATATGGCATCCATTTAAATCTTTGGTAACATATTGCTCCATATGGCATCCATTCAAATCTTTGGTAACATAGTGCTCCATATGGCATCCATTCAAATCTTTGGTAACATAGTGCTCCATATGGCATCCATTCAAATCTTTGGTAACATAGTGCTCCATATGGCATCCATTCAAATCTTTGGTAACATAGTGCTCCATATGGCATCCATTTAAATCTTTGGTAACATAGTGCTCCATATGGCATCCATTCAAATCTTTGGTAACATAGTGCTCCATATGGCATCCATTTAAATCTTTGGTAACATAGTGCTCCATATGGCATCTATTTAAATCTTTGGTAACATAGTGCTCCATATGGCATCCATTCAAATCTTTGGTAACATAGTGCTCCATATGGCATCCATTTAAATCTTTGGTAACATAGTGCTCCATATGGCATCCATTCAAATCTTTGGTAACATAGTGCTCCATATGGCATCCATTTAAATCTTTGGTAACATAGTGCTCCATATGGCATCTATTTAAATCTTTGGTAACATAGTGCTCCATATGGCATCCATTTAAATCTTTGGTAACATAGTGCTCCATATGGCATCCATTCAAATCTTTGGTAACATAGTGCTCCATATGGCATCCATTTAAATCTTTGGTAACATAGTGCTCCATATGGCATCTATTTAAATCTTTGGTAACATAGTGCTCCATATGGCATCCATTTAAATCTTTGGTAACATAGTGCTCCATATGGCATCTATTTAAATCTTTGGTAACATAGTGCTCCATATGGCATCCATTCAAATCTTTGGTAACATAGTGCTCCATATGGCATCCATTTAAATCTTTGGTAACATAGTGCTCCATATGGCATCCATTCAAATCTTTGGTAACATAGTGCTCCATATGGCATCCATTTAAATCTTTGGTAACATAGTGCTCCATATGGCATCTATTTAAATCTTTGGTAACATAGTGCTCCATATGGCATCCATTTAAATCTTTGGTAACATAGTGCTCCATATGGCATCCATTCAAATCTTTGGTAACATAGTGCTCCATATGGCATCCATTCAAATCTTTGGTAACATAGTGCTCCATATGGCATCCATTCAAATCTTTGGTAACATAGTGCTCCATATGGCATCCATTCAAATCTTTCTTTTGACAAGTGTCATCAGTTGGTCTGACTTTGTTTCTATCTAAAGGACCCTCTCCAGCAACAGACATTTTCCAGTCTAGAGAAAAGACTATCCAGCACTAAGATGATAAGTTACAACCATTCTGTCTTACACTGAGCTAACCAGCAAACAACTTACAGCACTGAGTACTTCATCTCTGTGTCCATCAACCCCACCAAAGATCACAGCACACACTCCTGTCTTCACATTCCACACTCGGAGATCGTGATCTGAAAAAGTTCAACCCACACCTTAAAAATCTTACTTTACCATAACCAACATCTTACTCTAGTACTACCATCATAATCTAAATCAATATCCAGATATGCCTACCCCTGGCGACCAAAAAAAGTAACACTCATCTCAAAAAAGAGAAATTTGGAGACAAAAAGAGGAACACACCAAAAATAAATAATTAAAATAAGACTAATTTACACACAGTAGAGTAGATACAAGCATATGTAAAGTGTTTAGTAGGTTATATATAGTCTCTAAGCTACATCTAAATAATGTCCATTTACAACTTTTTAACTATTTTGGACAATTCCTGGCTTGCTATGTACTAAGCCAAATGAACACCAAAAGCCGAAGCACAAGAAGTTAAAGCCTACCTAGCTTGTAATACTGCAAGTATTACTAGATCTAGATAGAGATTAATAAATAAAAAATAAGCGAGTTATTTATGATTTTATGGTGTTTTCCTCCGTACATTTTTTTACGCATAATTTAAATCTACTATTTAGTTTCAAATGTCAAAATGAACATTTACTTCTGAAATATTGTGTTTGATCTGAGCATAGTGGCTAATTCTCAAAAATTTCCATAGTCCATAGCAAGCCAGGAATTATCCAAAAACATTTAAGGTAGCCAGACAAGAGCTCAGATAGCCAAACTACTACAGGCCAGGTGGCCAAACTACTACAGGTAAACAGACAATTGTCTAGATAAGCAGACACAAGCTGAGGGGAAAAACATGAGGCAACATTTACCTTTGCTAACAGATAATAATAAATTATTATCTTTTGGCTTAAATTTCAGCTCATTGACTGCATTTCCATGGCCAACAAATTGCTGAAACCAGAAGGAAAATGTCAGAAAACATACAAATGCTAAGCTTAGACAAACGCTAACTAAATCATACACAGCTACAGGCAAGAATATTACAACTGACCTTAATGCACTGCCCCATAGTTGGACTAATGATGCGGATGATCCCACGAACACCAGCTACAGCTAAGATTGGTTGACCAGAAGCATCATCAAAGGACCAGGCGCAGCAATAGAAATTTTCTTCTGTCTCATCCAGTTAAGGAATAGCTTTACTCTAACTACATCTCAGTAGGTTTACTCTAACTTCATCTCAGTAGGTTTACTCTAACTTCATCTCAGTAGCTTTACACTAACTTGATATGGGTGGCTTTACTGCAAATTCATCTCAGTAGGTTTACTCTAACTTCATCTCAGTAGGTTTACTCTAACTTCATCTCAGTAGGTTTACTCTAACTTCATCTCAGTAGGTTTACTCTAACTTCATCTCAGTAGCTTTACTCTAACTTCATCTCAGTAGGTTTACTCTAACTTCATCTCAGTAGGTTTACTCTAACTTCATCTCAGTAGGTTTACTCTAACTACATCTTAGTAGGTTTACTCTAACTTCATCTCAGTAGGTTTACTCTAACTTCATCTCAGTAGGTTTACTCTAACTTCATCTCAGTAGCTTTACTCTAACTACATCTCAGTAGGTTTACACTAACTTCATCTCAGTAGGTTTACTCTAACTACATCTCAGTAGGTTTACTCTAACTTCATCTCAGTAGGTTTACTCTAACTACATCTCAGTAGGTTTACTCTTTGTATTGGTAGGTTTACTCTAACTTTGTACCTGTAGGTTTACTCTAACTATACATCAGTAATTTTTTACTCTAACTTCATATCAATCTGAAACTCAATTGTATCTATAATATGCACTAGATATAAACCTTAGGCTCAGCTGCAATGAATACGAGGCTATAAACCTTAAGCTCAGCTGCAATGAATACGAGGCTATAAACCTTAAGCTCAGCTGCAATGAATACGAGGCTATCAACCTTAGGCTCAGCTGCAGTGAATACGAGGCTATAAACCTTAGGCTCAGCTGCAATGAATCCGAGGCTATAAACCTTAGGCTCAGCTGCAATGAATCCGAGGCTATCAACCTTAGGCTCAGTTGCAGTGAATACGAGGCTATAAACCTTAGGCTCAGCACAAGGATACACAAGGGTCAGCATAAGATTGAAGCAGCTTGATCCTGCCACCATCATGACACTCATAGATTGTAACCTGGAGAAATAGAGACACATTTCTCTTGTACACTCACAGATAGTTATCTTGTACACACATCAAACTAAAAAGATAAAAACTTCTCAATCGATATATGGTTTGTCAGTTTGTATTTTATGCCTTGCATCCGATCACAACTTGATTCTTCTCTATAAACAGTATATAAAAACAATAAAAAATAAAAGTTGATTGCGGTTTGACACCATTTATCCGATCTGCATAAACTTAGGGAGTTGATTTTTAAGATTTTATGGGCCCCGGGAGTGCGATTTTTCGCTCTATATGGCGGCTCCGGGAGCACGCCATTTTTGTCACGGTTTAGCGCCCAGAGTTCCAGAACACTGTTGTAGCACTTGGTAACCGTTAATCGGTGTCCTATATAGCAGGAAAAGGGTACTACTATATTCAGCTGTAAATTGAACTATAACAGACGCAGCCACTGGCGACCCGGTGATTGCTTGTAAAATGGGATGTAGGTTATAAAAGCTTGTAAAATGTAGGTTAGAAACTTATACTATAAAAGCTTGTAAAATGGGAAGTAGGTTATAAAAGCTTGTAAAATGGGAAGTAGCTTATAAAAGCTTGTAAAATGGGAAGTATGTTATAAAAGCTTATAAAATGGGATGTAGCTTATAAAAGCTTGTAAAATGGGATGTAGGTTATAAAAGCTTGTAAAATGGGAAGTAGGTTATAAAAGCTTGTAAAATGGGAAGTAGGTTATAAAAGCTTGTAAAATGGGAAGTAGGTTATAAAAGCTTGTAAAATGGGATGTAGGTTATAAAAGCTTGTAAAATGGGAAGTAGGTTACAAAAGCTTGTAAAATGGGATGTAGCTTATAAAATGGGAAGTAGGTTATAAAAGCTTGTAAAATGGGATGTTGCTTATAAAAGCTTGTAAAATGGGAAGTAGCTCATAAAAGCTTGTAAAATGGGATGTAGCTTATAAAAGCTTGTAAAATGTAGGTTAGAAACTTACACTATAAAAGCTTGTAAAATTGTAAGTAGGCTATAAAAGCTTGTAAAATGGGATGTAGCTTATAAAAGCTTGTAAAATGGGATGTAGGTTATAAAAGCTTGTAAATGGGAAGTAGGTTATAAAAGCTTGTAAAATGGGAAGTAGGTTATAAAAGCTTGTAAAATGGGAAGTAGGTTATAAAAGCTTGTAAATGGGAAGTAGGTTATAAAAGCTTGTAAAATGGGAAGTAGGTTATAAAAGCTTGTAAAATGGGAAGTAGGTTATAAAAGCTTGTAAAATGGGATGTAGGTTATAAAAGCTTGTAAAATGGGAAGTAGGTTAGAAACTTACACTATAAAACAGGGGTCTCCAAACTACGGCCCGTGATGTCCTCTCATCCGGCCCGCGGAGATGTTTTTGTCCACGGAAAAGACGTTAGTTGGTGACGGCTGTGGAACTTTGCCGAGAAAAATCAAAGACATGCCTGATAGAAACTGGCCCCCGAACTGAAATTTGATAGTCAATGCGGCCCTCGGACTGAAAAGTTTGGAGACCCCTGCTATAAAAGCTTGTAAAAACATTGGCTACCAACTTACTCTGTTGTGTCCAACTGTGGCAAATAAAATGGGATCTGTCTCTTTCATGACTAAATTTATTTGAATTCCAAATAAAGGTTGTCCATGATCTTCCTGTTAAATTTTGAGTTTAAAAAAAAAATTCAGCCAATAATTTTATTTCAAACTTATCTATGACTAATCTATATATAATAATATGTGTCTGTCTATCTATCATCTGTTGATCTGTATCTATCTTTCTATCTATATATATATCATATAAGCGGCAAGGTAGTGTGTCAGTCTTTCCTTCTGTCGCTATAGATTTGGGAACCATAAAAAGTAAACACCACATGCTGTGATTTTACATGCATCTCATTATCTAGTTAAAAGTACAGGAGTTTTGTTCATTTATATAATATTTTAAATTTTTTAATGAAAGTTTTTACTCTTTTGCATACATCAACAAAAGAACGTGAAGAAAATATTAAATACACGTACATTGCTAAAACATATTAAACAAATCAGTGTCAAATAATATTTTCGCTTATAAGACTAAAAAATTTGATACATTTTTAAAATAGTAGGATTGAAAAAACTAATTAATTTAAATGTTTTATAATTTTGCCAGGGGAGGTAATTTAAAAAGAAATTCAACTCGCGCTAAATATTGCTATTTATGTTTTTTTTTTTTTATGTGTTTGCAGTTGAGTTTCAATTGTGTTGTGTTTGTGTTGCGATAGCATTTGTGGGGTTTTTTTTGTGTTTGTATTTGTTTTTTCTTTTTGATTTGTTTTTTCTTTTTGTGTCTGCGTGTTTGTGTTTTTTTTGTGTTTGTGTTAATTTGCATTTGCAATGTGTTTTCTTTTGTGAACGGAGAGAACAGTGTCGGTAGAACATGAAGTACGTAGTAGTACAGAGTGTGTACCTGTGACTTTCATGTTATTCTTGGAACAGTGATTAAACAGTGAAGAAATAAAAGGTTGTAATCTTAACTGTAGTCAGAGTGTGTTTCTTTATACGAGTTGGATATGTCGTCAGTGCCAAATGGGGTGTCTACAGCTTAGAGGCATAATTTCTAAGCCGCGTATGAATACCCACAGACAGGTGGTTACATGCCTCTATTGGATGCTGCGAGAGGGGGTAGCACAAGACCTAACAAGGAACGTCACACGTCTGTCATGGCTACAGGACATTCCCCCCCCCCCTTCCCCGGAGCATATACCCTCACCCCCCATCCATCAAGTTAGAATCCTAACTCAAACTATATATCTTTATATAACCTTAATCCTAACCTTAAGAAAAATACAAAAACCTAAAACACAAAACCAACTCTAGACATTGGTTCAAGCCTAACCGTGACCATACAGTAATCCTAGCCCTAACCCTGACCATAACTAACCCTAAACCTAAATCTAGCCCTAACCCTAGCTCTAAACCTAACTGTACCTTAAGCTATGTCCGGGGGGGGGGGGGGTAATTTACAGGGGGTAATGCCCTGTTCTGTCTGTCATAATAACCTTTAAATAATTTGTGCATTTGAACTGCAGTTTGCATTTTTTGGTTTGTCTCTTATTCCTATTTATGGCCCGACAACGAAGAGTAGGTGTATCACTTCTAGAGGATTCTTCTTCTTTGGTGCTTGCTGTACTTGAATTCTCATCCTGTTAATTTAAAACAATATCAGCTTATTAATTGATTTTAAAAAAGCAATAAATCTATTGACATTAGTGTGGTTGATGACACTAGCTAACCCTCAAGTAACAAACTGTTTGATACAAGATAAGACTTAATAAGGTTAATCAACAAAAATAAGAGAACAAAAGCAAAGCATTTCATTAGTTTCCAGGGCGAATTTAAAAATTAATATACTTATATTAAGCCACTTTTAAGATAAATGGGCCAGTTTGTCCAAAAAGTTTTTCATATAGGCCTATAAAATATATGAAATATATGTAAATTTCTATTGCCAGCATCCTTCAGCAACCATGTGCAAGGTTTTATCTTTATATCTTCACAAGCGTACTTATCCCTCACTTCAGCAACCATGTGCAAGGTTTTATCTTTATATCTTCACAAGCGTACTTATCCCTCACTTCAGCAACCATGTGCAAGGTTTTATCTTTATATCTTCACAAGCGTACTTATCCCTCACTTCAGCAACCATGTGCAAGGTTTTATCTTTATATCTTCACAAGCGTACTTATCCCTCACTTCAGCAACCATGTGCAAGGTTTTATCTTTATATCTTCACAAGCGTACTTATCCCTCACTTCAGCAACCATGTGCAAGGTTTTATCTTTATATCTTCACAAGCGTACTTATCCCTCACTTCAGCAACCATGTGCAAGGTTTTATCTTTATATCTTCACAAGCGTACTTATCCCTCACTTCAGCAACCATGTGCAAGGTTTTATCTTTATATCTTCACAAGCGTACTTATCCCTCACTTCAGCAACCATGTGCAAGGTTTTATCTTTATATCTTCACAAGCGTACTTATCCCTCACTTCAGCAACCATGTGCAAGGTTTTATCTTTATATCTTCACAAGCGTACTTATGTTGTCGCAGGGATAGAACAAAGTCTGATGAAATGCTTTACCAATCCCATGGCTACTTAAAACTAACATAAGCGCCATAGTGCTCACAGGATAACCCAGAGCGCAAATAGCATCCTGAAACAATGATGCAGATAGATTGCGTCATTCGCAAAAGTGACACAAATCAACAGGTTTTTTCTTTAACACGTAAAAAAAATTATTTGACATGTTATAAACATCAGTGTTACTTTCCTCGTGTTACAAAGTTATTTATTTTTAGAAGTGTGACTTTTTTTTTTAGATTTGAGCTGCCCTCCGAAAACTAAATTTTTTCCGAAAACATGCTCATTATTTCAAGAACTGTAGACTTTGGAAATTGTTTGGAGTTTTTTGATGGACAAAAGGAAACAACACAGTTAATAATCTAACCTTGGTTAATTTATCTGATTATTAAAAAAAATTTATTACAGGGCCATGAGCCATTTGAGCCTTTGGGGCGGGAACTGAAATTTTTGTTCGCAGCAAAAATTGCACCCTACCAGGGCACCGGCGGAGATGCCTGATTCAATTTAGTGAGCGACTGTAACGTCACATCCATTATCTATCGCATTGTTTAGAACAAACGCAGGCATCATTGCGATCAGAGGAAAGCCCAGGGCGTCAAATCGAACCATATAGGGGCGTTGGGAGATGCGCCTGGTTGTATATGGTCAATGATTATTGTTGCCCATCTTGTTTTTAGTGTATAGCCTTTTTTAAAAAATGAACTCAGGTGCCATAGTGCTCTCAGGGGAGCCCGGGGCACTTCGAGCCGTGCAATCTATGGGGCGCCATCCCTCATCCTCACCAAATTCCACCCCCCCCCCCCCCCCTTGGGAGCATTATTATGCCTTTTAATACTTTTATTCAGTTTGGTTGAAATTGGAACACTTATTTGTACAAATTGTCCATTTCTATTTTTGTAACCAACAAACAAAGCATTTCAGTCAGTCTCTTTGCTGTTTTTATTCATTTGTTAAAACAAAACTACAATACAAATAAATAAATCGTGTTTTCCTAATGTTTTGGTTATTATAATAAAAGGATGATATTTAGAATCGACCTTTTGAATCCCGGACAGATCGTCTGTCCGGCGTGGCCTCAACCAACCGATGGGCTCGTTGCATTGAGTTAAATATAAACTCAAAACAATAATATAAACAATCTTCTTTCAGTCGGTCAGGCCACATGCACGCATATCAGTGTTGTGTGTCGTGCCTTAACCAAAACAGCCTCCCTTCATTATAATTAGGCCTAGATATTTTTATAATTTAATTAATGAATTAGTTTGCTGATTTAAAAAAATAATTAGATCATTTCCTGTATGATGGATAGGAGTAGGTAAGTATTATCTTTTATTATGTAGTAATATGTAGGCCTATTTGTACTATTAAACATCTTAAAGAACATGTTAGGGCCTAGGTTTATTATTTATTTAATAATATTTGACACAAATATATCGATTGTAGGAAAAAAAGTCACAGGAAAAAAAAACACAGGAAAAAAAAACACAGAAAAAAAGTCACAGGAAAAAAAGTCACAGGAAAAAAAGTCACAAATATATATTTGCATGATATTTGTTAATACTTATGTATTAAATAATTAGAGAGTGCAAATTAACTTAGGATTAATTAAATGTAATGTAATGTGTGTAGGCTGTATACGCATAGGAATTTTTATAATTCATCTAAAAATATTTATTATGAAGTATGTAGATTGTAATTATTTTAAACTTAAGATTAGTAGCATTTAATAGAATGCCCCAAAGTCCATGTTTTTTCATCGCGTTTTTTAAAAAAAATACCAATATTAAATTACCGTGAAATGGTAAGTTCGTCGGACTTGCTGCCCTCAACTCATGGCAACAATAGTTATGTTTAGTTCAACCACCTTTACTGCCCACATTTATCACGCTCATTACATAACAAAACTTAGGATCAAAACAGAAAGCCGACAAGGTTCAAAGGCTGTCATTGACGCATAACGTCAACAACACAAATATGTTCGGACAATGCCTACTGAGGAGAGGCCGACCAGATAATAGCCTACAGCAAAATGTGCCTAAATTTCTTTTATAATTAACTTTTCTACCGTGTATTTAACTAAATACGTAACAAAAGTTGAAATTGTTATGTTAATTATTATAATTATCTTAGAGTATTTTTACTTACAATTGTTATAAATCATAATGCTTTTAACGTCTATAAATAATTTATGCTATCAAAAAATACAACCCATAACAATAAACATACAAAATTTACAATTCTTAACAAATTAATAAAAAGATTTCTAAAAAGATTTTTGTGACTTTTTTTTTGTGACTTTATTTCTGTGACTTTTTTTCCGATAAAATTTCTCCACTGTGACTTTTTTTCTGTGACTTTTTTTCCTAGCAAAAACTGTGACTTTTTTCTGTGTTTTTTTTTCCTGTGACTTTTTTTCCGTTTACCAATATATCACATTGAATATAGTTTGAATTTCAATAGGCCTACTTCTATTAAAGCCTTGACAATGAGGTAACTTTGGTAAAATCACGATATAGCGTCGGAAATTATTGGGTAATGTTCGTTGAGTTTCGGTAACATTCGTTACTGTAAACCATCGTTTATTTGACCGCTGAAATAAAAATAGAGTCAGGTGCATTAAATTATTGTATTGTAATTTAATGTTTAACTGACAAAAAAAAACGCAATAATTAGTAAATCTAAATATTATTAATAAAGTCGAGTGTAGTAATTAATGTTTTTTTTTTTAAGAAACAGAAAAAACCTGCAGAAGATTTGCGACAACCAGTTCTAGTTCTTTTAGTAAATAAGACGATTAGATTAACTAAAGTTAAAAGTAGTCAGAATATCTAGAATAATGTTTAGTAGCAGCAATAATTAGCACATACACTTAAAATAATTAGAAATACAAAATAATTAGCAAAACAGTATTTTAAATGCAACTAAAATCAATCCTTGCACATTTTTAAACATTAAGTATTAAAAATAATATGGCGGCAAATAAATTATGGTTTACAGTATTTCCGGTGGTTTCCGGAACGGCTCGACTACGCCATAGTTTTACTGTTTTTTACTGCTGTACAGTTCCGGAATAATAACCGACGCTATATCGTGATTTTACCGTAACTTTTTCGTACATTATTATTCTAGCCGCGGGCGATTTTACGCAGATCTAGAATTTCTAGATCCTATGACCTATACCTAAAGCCTAAAACGATAGATTACCCGTTACCGGCCCCCCTGGTCCTAACCCTGACTAATCTAAATCTAAACAGTTACTAGGCTATTAAAATTTTAAAAAGCCTTACTTCACTATCCATTTTTAGTGACTATTACTATTTAGATCTAGTCTACTATTACTAGTCTAGAATCTAGATATAATTATTCTTGCCGATGTTCTAGATAGAAATAAATCTACGCTTGATGTATAATTATAATTAGAATCTAGAGTTAGATCTAGAGATTAGGCTAGTTCTCAAGATTTAAGTCTGTAGTCTGCAGCTTTTTAAAAATGAAGGCCTGCGTCTAGGCCTAAGCACCAAAACAAAACAAAATATTTAATAAAAAAATAAAAAAAAAATTGCCGTCTGCCAGTGTTTTTTTAATTGGCTTTCCGTTACTTGAAATAGAGTGTCTAATAATATAATACTCGTATCTAACTGCTAATTAGATCTCTAGGCCCAAACAACTTATTGATTTTAATTAAAATTAGTAAGTTTAATAGTGAGTCCATAGTTAATTATTTTTGTTTCGGTTCTTTGGGCAACCAGAAAAAACGGAAAAAACCACAATAATGTCGAACAGCGAAATTCGAGTCCACTTTCGAGTTATTAAATATATTCACGAATCGGGTATAGATTTATTAGTCAAATTATGTAGATCTATTAGCTATAGCCTAATATTAGTCGAACATTTATAATTTATAGATCTAGATCTAGTCGTTTGCTTTTATTCCGCACCATTAAATTAGTCACTAATTAGTGTGAAATGGTTGATTAGTTGATGAGTTGATGATGATTAGGCCTAATTATAATTAATAATTAGGCCTAATTGATTTGGGACTGGGAGGGTTAGAAAAATCGTTAATCTATCGTTTTAGCCAGTTTTAGGTACGTAAAATCGCCCGCGACTAGTAATGTGAAAAACAGGTGACTCCTTAAATTTTAATAAATATTTCACATTTTGAGGAGGATTACGGTAAAACCTTGCCTTAGTTTAGCGTTGGTTATTATTCCGGAATTGTATAGCAGTAAAAAACAGTAAAACAATGCCAAAGTCTGTCACACACTTCGGGAATTCACAGGAAGTAGGCTACTGTAAACCATACTTTATTTGGCGTCATCTTTTATTTTTATACAGAATGTTTAAAATTTGGATAGATTTATTTTTGTAATCATTTTTACATTTTGTAATCATTTTTACTATTTTCGTAATCTAGAATTTTTTACTTGGCCTAGCAACTAGATATCTAGCTAGATCTAGATCTAATTAATTAATGGTTGCAAGTCCGCTGCTAGCCAAAAACATTAAATTATTACATTTGACTTCATTATTTATATTAATAGGCCCTATAGTATAGATCTATGTTTTTTTTTTATTTTTAGATCTACTAATTAAAATCTACTATTATATTTATTCTTGTTTCCTTTTGTCGATTTTTCTTTAAAAATTAAAACATTAATTTACTACAATCGACTTTCAATTTATTTATATTTCAATGGTCAAATAAACCATGGTATACCGTAACTCTAGTTACCGAAACTCAACAAACATTACCCGATAATTTCTGACGCTAAACTAAGGTTTTACCAGGATTAATGTTTTGAAAAATACAAAAATGTTTCCTTGTTTCCTTTAAGTCGTGTAAGATGTCTGTTTTTAAACAATTGTTACTTGTATTAGGCATTAGGCCTAAAACTTTTCATTAATAAATTCAACAGAGGCAAACATGCTCATTTACTATAGCTAGTAGCCGTCTTGATTAAGATTTTTTTTTTGTAAACTTATATCGCAAAATTCAAGGGAAGCCAATCTATTTTAGAAATGGCTGTTGTTTATAGGCCTATAACAAATCTTGCTCACAAACACTGCTGTTTAAAGATAATTTCTGGCCTGTATTGATATATTTAGCCATTGATTTAGGTTTAATATTCATTTATACATAATATTTGACACAAATCACAATATACCTCTATTAAAGCCTTGACAATGAGGTAACTTTTTCGTACATTACTAGCCACGGGCGATTTTATGTACCTAAAACGATAGATCTGAAAAATCGGATGATTCATTGATTAGACCTAGACCAGAGGCGTATCCAGGTTTTCGTTGTAGGGGGAGCGAAAAGAGCAAAAAAAAGGGCGCCAAATTTTTAACACGTTCTATATACGTGTATTATATATATATACTAGCGTACCCGACCCCCGCGCATTGCCGCGGGGATAGAAGAAAGTTTGACGAAATATATTAGAAGGATTTCACCAACGTGCTACCAATCATATGTTCTTAGACGCGTGACCTTCTTTTCTAAAAATCAGTTATTTAAATGTAAACAAAGCCTGCGCTTGAATCATAAATATCAGGACACGGGTTTACCTACACTAACGCATGAAAACCTTGAGTGTACATTAATCACTCAGCAAAATAATTTGGTATAACACACTTCGGTGACCGCACATGTGTCAGAGACGTAGAGGTCCGCTTTCAGGAGCCCCCCCCCCCCCCCCCCCCCCATTACACTACCGCATAGGCGCGGCGTACGACGCCTGGCTCCTTAAAATAGCATCCTGTTAACAATGATGCAGATTGCGTCATTCACTAAAGTGACACAAATGAACAGGATTTGTTATTTAACATGTAAAAAAATATTTGACGCATTTTAAACATCAGTGTGACTGATGCAATATGCTAGTGTTACTAATGGATTGTCTAATAATAGCTGCTTATTGCATCATTCGCAAAGTGACGAAACTCTACAGTAGGCTCCTCATATTCAAAAAGTTATTTTTTCATCTTTCGCAAGGTGACGAAACTGTACAGAAGGATTTCCTCGCGTTACAAAGTTATTTTTAGAAGCCTGTTGTAGTTTTACCGCTGAATATAGTAGTACCCCTTACTCGCTATGCAGGACTCTCGATTAACGGATGCCAAGTGCCAACTTAGTCGCTCTAAAACTCAAGGCGCCAAACTGTGTATTGACGAAAGTTGTACCCTATATGGTGCCGCCTGTAAGAAACTTTAGTTTTCTTTTTCGCAGAAATATTCTCGGGAGTATTCTCATCTACTCCTTAAAGTTTCATGGCACTCGGATGAATCGCATCCAAGTTTTAATTTTTATATACCGTGTATAGAGAAAAAAAATCGCCCCCCCCCCCCCCCCCCCCCCTGGGGGGGCGCCGCCCTTGCAATATTAAACAATATTTTTTTGCAGAACCCTACCATTGAGTGATCTTATCATCTCCCCAAAGTTTCATGGTACACGGATGAACGGTGTGAAACCGAAATTTTATAATCCATTTATAGAGAAAAATCGCAGCCGCCCGTGGCGCCGCCCTTGCGAAATTAAAAAGGGATTTTTTTTACAGAACCCTTCCCTGAATTGTTCTAATCAACTCCCCCAAAGTCTCATGGCTATCGGATAACGGTGTCACACCAAAATCGACTTATTTTTATAAACCATATATAGAGAAAAATCGCACCCTCCCGTGGCGCCACCCTTGCGAAATTAAAATTTTTATGAACCCTTCCCTAGAGTTTTATAATGAACTCCCCAAAGTTTCATGCCTATCGGATAAACGGTGTCACTGCAATTCACTTTTATTATCTTTTTATACCGTAAATAGAGATACATCGGACCCTCCCGTGGCGCCGCCCTTGCGAAATTAAAAATTATTTTTTTACAGAACCCTTCCCTAGAGTGGTATAATGAAAGTCTCATGGCTATCGGATGAGCGATGCCAAACCAAAATCGACTTTTATTTTTATATACCGTATATAGAAAAAAACAAATCGCGCCGTTTCAGGGCGCCATCCCTGCGAATTTGAAATATTTTTTTTCGCAGAAACCTCCCCAGGAATATTCTCAACAACTTCCTAAAGTTTCATGGCAATCGTTTGAACGGTGTCACGGCAATTCACTTTTATTATTTTTATATTCCGTATATAGAGAAAAATCGCACCCTCCCGTGGCGCCGCCCTTGCGAAATTAAAAATGATTTTTGTACAGAACCCTTCCATAGAGTGTTCTAATCAACTCCCCAAAGTTTCATGCCTATCGGATGAACAGTGTGAAATCAAAATAGACTTTTATTTTTATATACCGTATATAGAGAAAAACAAATCGCGCCCTGCCGGGCGCCACCCCTTCGAATTTGAAATTTTTTCGCAGAATTCTCCCCAGGAATATTCTCAACAACTTCCCAAAGTTTCACGGCGATGTGATAAAAGGTGTGGTAATGCATAAAAGACAGACACACACACAGACACACACACATACATTGCTTTATATATATATATATATATATATATATATATATATATATATATATATATATATATATAAAGTTTCCAAAAAGGCGCCACTTTGCTGAAAATGGCCAGAGGGAAGCGCCGCCCTCCCTGCTCCCCCTCCCCCCCCCTGCGTACGCTACTGGCCTAGACCCTCTATCTATAGAATCTTTAGAGATAAATTATTTATAGATACCGTCAAACATCTATTTAAAAAAAAATTTGTTTTAAATTTTTCCGTTTCGTTCCTTGAGGAACATAATGGGACTTCTGTCAAAGCTTTCTCATCCCCACAGATTTCATAGTAGATCTAGATACTAGATATCTAATGTACACTAAAAATTTGTCGGATTTTTTTACCAGCGTCCGTAATAGAATCTTCAAAAAAGTGGTGTTGAGTGTTATGTTAGGTAATTAATTACTAATCACACACATTCACATGGCTTCAATGGTTACCCTAAGTCCTAACTAACGCAACCCCAACCCTAGTCCTATCATTTGCCAAACACTAATTTCTAGCCAGAAATTTAATTGAGATTACAGTACTACACAAAAAAAACGGTAAACGGAAAAAAAGTCACAGGAAAAAAAAAACACAGAAAAAAAGTCACAGTTTTTGCTAGGAAAAAAAGTCACGGAAAAAAGTCACAATGGAAAAATTTTATCGGAAAAAAAGTCACAGAAATAAAGTCACAGAAAAAAAGTCACAAAAATCTTTTTAGAAATATTTTGATTTATTTGTTAAGAATTGTAAAATGTTGTGTGTTTATTGTTGTGGGTTGTATTTTTTAATAGCATAAATTATTTATAGACGTTAAAAGCATTATGGTTTATTAAAATTTTAAGTAAAAATACTCTAAGATAATTTACACAACAATCTCAACTTTTGTTACGTATTTAGTTAAATATGGGCCTAAATTTCTTTTATAGTTAACTTTTCTACTGCCTAGGCCCCTATTTACTATAAAAGAAATTTAGTCACATCGTTGTGTTTTGCATATGTTTCGCCGTAGGCTATTCTCTGCTCGGCCTCCCCTCATTAGGCATTGTCCGAACATATTTTGTGTTGTTGACATTTTGTATCAATGACAGCCTTTGAACCTTGTCGGCTCTCTGTTTTGATCCTAAGTTTTGTTATGTAATAATCGTGATAAATGTGGGCAGCAAAGGTGGTTGAACTAAGCATAACTATTGTTGCGATGAGTTGAGGGCAGTAATTCAGATGACTTTACCATTTCACTGTAATTTAATTTTTAAAAAAACACGATGAAAACCTTGGACATTCTATTAAATGCTATAAATATTATGTTTAACATAATTACAATCTACATAATTCATACTAAATATTTTTAGGTTATAAAAATTACTATGCGTATACAGCCTACACACATTACATTACATTTAATTAATCCTAAGTTAATTTGCACTCTCTGAATATTTAATACATACAAGTATTAACAAATTCCATGCAAATATATATTTGTGACTTTTTTTCCTGTGACTTTTTTTCCTGTGACTTTTTTTCCTGTGACTTTTTTTATGTGTTTTTTTTTCCTGTGTTTTTTTTCCTGTGACTTTTTTTCCTACAATAAAAAAAAACACACCTATTTTCGGTAGAGCCATTTTCGAACATAGGTATCCTCAGTCATTCAATTGTTTATTGTTTAAATTTTTTAAATCTTTTAGGCCACACTACCTAGTTCTGCCATTTTTGTTTAAATTTTCTGTGATAAATTGTAATCAACCAAATTGTTTTTGCCTTTTTAAAATAAAAAAATTGTGTTCAAATACCAAAATGACTAAAACTTGAAAAAGTTTGTAGTTCCCAGCCCACTACCTAGTGCTAGCATTAATATTATTAAAGAACTAAACTTCCTTCAACAAAGGTGAAATGTATCTTTTTGAACATTCTTTTCAGGTCTAAAACTTCATTTGCAAAGTATTCCAATAGCCACAGCGTGCACATTATACCACCAATTTTTCAGACATAATGTTTTAAAAAACTATGACCCATTTGTAAGTCATTTTTATTCAATTGATCTGGTACATTATTTCAATTTTAACTTAATCTGTCTACAAAAACTTTATTTACCAACTTAAATTTATGCTCTCTATATAAACCTTATAAACCAACTTAAGTTGTCTATGAAAACCGTATATAATAAGCCAAGATTACAATGCTAAGACTAATATGCCAAGATTACTATGCTAAGACTAATATGCCAAGATTACTATGCTAAGACTAATATGCCAAGATTACTATGCTAAGACTAATATGCCAAGATTACTGTGCTAAGACTAATATGCCAAGATTACTATGCTAAGACTAATATGCCAAGATTACTATGCTAAGACTAATATGCCAAGATGACTATGTTTTTCAGCTGCTAGGTGCCACCTGTTTATCACTGGCTTGTAAGATAGAGGAAGAAAATGTCAGGATCAGAGACATTGTCAATGTTTGTTACAGGTGACCATTCATTCAAATAATATTTCTTTGTCTGTGTGTGTGTGTGTGTGTCCCCCAAACACACACACATTCATTCAAATAACATCTCTTTGTACTTAGAAGGTCTCATCCATTAATGATGCCCCCACACACCCACACACACATTCATTTAAATAACATTTCTCATCCCCCCTCAAGATTAAAATATTTGTCTTTTAAAGCAGCTATTTCTCTCTAAAATACTAACTACTATGTCAACATTAGGAGTGGTGGCATGGTTGGGTTGGTCAAGGTTGCTAAACCAGAAAGTCCTGAGTTTGAATCTCTGGGCAGATGAGGCTTGATAGCTGGTGACAGCAACCTACGTAGATTAAAAAACTGTAAAAATTGAATCTAGGGCAGATGAGGCTTGATAGCTGGTGACAGCAACCTACGTAGATTAAAAAACTCTAAAATCAAACAACTGCTGCCTTGTAGTTTGTTCGCAGTTGAGCTAAGGTTATGGAAGCAAATTGAGAAAGAAAAACAGGCTGAAATTGTTAACAGCCTATATAGTGCATAGCAAGCTCATGCTTAATTTAGTTGGAGGTAATCCCTTCCAACATAACAAAAGAATGACAAGATTGGGCTTCTTAATTAAAATATGCAACAAAATAACTGCTCAATTTCAGCTTAAAAAATGACTCTATAAATTGCTAAGTGTAATGACACAGTTTATGAAATCTCCTTTCTCTCCCCTCCCCCCCATCTTACATTGTCACAAAAGGCCATACTCTCCCAATTCCTTAAGAGCTGATGTCATTGATGGATGAGCACTACTATATATTAAGTGTAAGTATAGAAGCAAGTATAATTCCAGTCCCTCTCCCATTGTGAGATATTGTATCAAACAAACAAATAGGACGTCACAACCATCAACCCTCAAATGTCAGAATTAGGTCTCAAAGTGCACATGGTCACAAACTGCTGAATGAATTAGGTCTCAAAGTGCACATGGTCACAAACTGCTGAATGAATTAGGTCTCAAATTGGTCACAAACTGCTGAATGAATTAGGTCTCAAATTGGTCACAAACTGCTGAATGAATTAGGTCTCATATTGCACATGGTCACATTAGTAAAAGCCCACCCATACTCCAGGTACATGTTAGTTGACCCATAAACATTTGAGCCTAGTTAGTCTTGAAATCATTCACAAATGATCTTAATTTGAAGAGGATGTGAAAACCTTAAGTTTATAGTGTGGTGATAACATGTGAAAACCTTAAGTTTCTAGTGTGGTGATAACATGTGAAAACCTTAAGTTTCTAGTGTGGTGATAACATGTGAAAACCTTAAGTTTATAGTGTGGTGATAACATGTGAAAACCTTAAGCTTATAGTGTGGTGATAACATGTGAAAACCTTAAGTTTATAGTGTGGTGATAACATGTGAAAACCTTAAGTTTATTGTGTGGTGATAACATGTGAAAACCTTAAGTTTATAGTGTGGTGATAACATGTGAAAACCTTAAGTTTCTAGTGTGGTGATAACATGTGAAAACCTTAAGTTTCTAGTGTGGTGATAACATGTGAAAACCTTAAGTTTATAGTGTGGTGATAACATGTGAAAACCTTAAGTTTCTAGTGTGGTGATAACATGTGAAAACCTTAAGTTTCTAGTGTGGTGATAACATGTGAAAACCTTAAGTTTATAGTGTGGTGATAACATGTGAAAACCTTAAGTTTATAGTGTGGTGATAACATGTGAAAACCTTAAGTTTATAGTGTGGTGATAACATGTGAAAACCTTAAGTTTATAGTGTGGTGATAACATGTGAAAACCTTAAGTTTATAGTGTGGTGATAACATGTGAAAACCTTAAGTTTATAGTGTGGTGATAACATGTGAAAACCTTAAGTTTATAGTGTGGTGATAACATGTGAAAACCTTAAGTTTCTAGTGTGGTGATAACATGTGAAAACCTTAAGTTTATAGTGTGGTGATAACATGTGAAAACCTTAAGTTTATAGTGTGGTGATAACATGTGAAAACCTTAAGTTTATAGTGTGGTGATAACATGTGAAAACCTTAAGTTTATAGTGTGGTGATAACATGTGAAAACCTTAAGTTTATAGTGTGGTGATAACATGTGAAAACCTTAAGTTTATAGTGTGGTGATAACATGTGAAAACCTTAAGTTTCTAGTGTGGTGATATGAATGTCATGTGCCACACTGTCAATATTCCTGTCTGGATCTCAGGGCGCAAAATCGTGTATTGATAAAATTATCACCCGCGGGGGTGATGCTCAAAAGAAACTTACAATTTTTCCTTAGAAAACTTCTCGGGAGTATTCTAATCCATTCCCCAAAGTTTGATGGCGATCTGATGAACAGTGTCAAAGCGCAATCAACTTAAATTTTTATATACCGTATATAGAGAAAAACAATTTATATACCGAATATAGAGAAAAAAATTTTATAGACCGTATATAGAGAAAAAAAATTCATATACCGTATATAGAGAAAAAAATTTATATACCGAATATAGAGAAAAAAATTGTATATACCGTATATAGAGAAAATCTAAACGCCCAGCGCCACCCCTTCAAATTTGAATTTAATTTTTGGCAGATACTTCCCCAGGAATATTCTCAACAACTTCCCATGGCGATTGGATGAAAGGTTTAGTAATGACAAACAGGCACACACATACATTGCTTTTTATATAGAGAGAGGATTGAAGTGATTAATGTTTTTCCCATGCTAGAACCCTCCACAAAAATAAGGCCCCGCTGGAGATAGGCGACAAGTTCTGGGCACTGAGGGAAAGTGTGGCCAGCTGTGAGCTCTATCTGCTGCGAGCGTTACAATTCAAGGTTGTCTTTGATCACCCCCACAAGGTATTTACACCATCTTTAGATCAGTTGAGAACAAGATTGTCATTGACACAATGATGGCAACAAGATAATGCTGACATGTCTCCACCTTCCAGTACCTCTGCCATTACCTGAAGGCTCTGGCTGACTGGATGCAGCCCTGTGTCTGGGATGAGTCCCCTGTCCCCCGCACGTCCTGGGCTCTACTGCGAGACAGCTACCACAGCTCCCTGTGTCTGGACTTCAAGCCTGAACACATTGCCATTGCTGTACTACACTTCTCCTTGTTGTCTCATGGTCTAGAGGTCCCATTCTCAAATCAAGCCAAGAATAAGTGGTGGCAGGTTTGTCTTGTTACATGACTGCTGTTTGTCTTGTTACATGACTGCTGTTTGTCTTGTTACATGACTGCTGTTTGTCTTGTTACATGACTGCTGTTTGTCTTGTTACATGACTGCTGTTTGTCTTGTTACATGACTGCTGTTTGTCTTGTTACATGACTGCTGTTTTTGTTTGTGCTGTAACATGACTGCTGTTTGTCTTGTTACATGACTGCTGTTTATGTTGTAACATGACTGCTGTTTGTCTTGTTACATGACTGCTGTTTATGTTGTAACATGACTGCTGTTTGTGCTGTAACATGACTGCTGTTTGTCTTGTTACATGACTGCTGTTTGTGCTGTAACATGACTGCTGTTTGTCTTGTTACATGACTGCTGTTTGTGCTGTAACATGACTGCTGTTTGTCTTGTTACATGACTGCTGTTTGTGTTGTAACATGACTGCTGTTTGTCTTGTTACATGACTGCTGTTTGTCTTGTTACATGACTGCTGTTTGTGCTGTAACATGACTTCTCTTTGTGTCTGAAAACATTCTTGAGTGGATGCTGTGCTAAAAATGTTTAGTTAAACCAATTGAAAAGATTTTTCTAAAAGCCCTAGCACTCACTAGACTGTCTCCTCAGCCCTAGCACTCACTAGACTGTCTCCTCAGCCCTAGCACTCACTAGACTGTCTCCTCAGCCCTAGCACTCACTAGACTGTCTCCTCAGCCCTAGCACTCACTAGACTGTCTCCTCAGCCCTAGCACTCACTAGACTGTCTCCTCAGCCCTAGCACTCACTAGACTGTCTCCTCAGCCCTAGCACTCACTAGACTGTCTCCTCAGCCCTAGCACTCACTAGACTGTCCCCTCAGCCCTAGCACTCACTAGACTGTCTCCTCAGCCCTAGCACTCACTAGACTGTCTCCTCAGCCCTAGCTAGACTGTCTCCTCAGCCCTAGCACTCACTAGACTGTCTCCTCAGCCCTAGCACTCACTAGCCTGTCTCCTCAGCCCTAGCACTCACTAGACTGTCTCCTCAGCCCTAGCACTCACTAGCCTGTCTCCTCAGCCCTAGCACTCACTAGACTGTCTCCTCAGCCCTAGCACTCACTAGACTGTCTCCTCAGCCCTAGCACTCACTAGACTGTCCCCTCAGCCCTAGCACTCACTAGACTGTCTCCTCAGCCCTAGCACTCACTAGACTGTCTCCTCAGCCCTAGCTAGACTGTCTCCTCAGCCCTAGCACTCACTAGACTGTCTCCTCAGCCCTAGCACTCACTAGACTGTCTCCTCAGCCCTAGCACTCACTAGACTGTCTCCTCAGCCCTAGCACTCACTAGACTGTCTCCTCAGCCCTAGCACTCACTAGCCTGTCTCCTCAGCCCTAGCTAGACTGTCTCCTCAGCCCTAGCACTCACTAGATTGTCTCCTCAGCCCTAGCACTCACTAGACTGTCTCCTCAGCCCTAGCACTCACTAGACTGTCTCCTCAGCCCTAGCACTCACTAGCCTGTCTCCTCAGCCCTAGCTAGACTGTCTCCTCAGCCCTAGCACTCACTAGATTGTCTCCTCAGCCCTAGCACTCACTAGACTGTCTCCTCAGCCCTAGCACTCACTAGCCTGTCTCCTCAGCCCTAGCACTCACTAGACTGTCTCCTCAGCCCTAGCACTCACTAGATTGTCTCCTCAGCCCTAGCACTCACTAGATTGTCTCCTCAGCCCTAGCACTCACTAGATTGTCTCCTGAGCCCTAGCACTCACTAGACTGTCTCCTCAGCCCTAGCACTCACTAGCCTGTCTCCTCAGCCCTAGCACTCACTAGACTGTCTCCTCAGCCCTAGCACTCACTAGACTGTCTCCTCAGGTTTTCAACCAAGATATAACACTGCAGATCATCCAGAACATTATCAGCAAAATCATGGACACATATCAGGTGGAGAACCAACTGCCCAGGTAGCATTTCTCATGTGGACAGCATTTGTCATGTGGACAGCATTTGTCATGTGGACAGCATTTGTCTGTCAACATGACTGGGATGATGTGGACAGCATTGTTCAAACATCAGAACCTCCTCACTTGGACAAAGTGTTGGTGGTATAATAATTGCACTGTTATCAAACACGTTTAAAAAAATAAAAATTTTGAAATGAAAAAATAAAACAATTAGGACGTAATTTTTTCTTATGTTTAGATAAATTTGTATGACTGATGTAGCAAGTTACATATATTGACTACCCACTGGCATTGCAAGAACGAGAATGTATTGTTTGCCACTGACAATGAGTGGAGATGGTCAAGAAAGAAACAACACCACCAACTGTTGCAATTCATTTCTTTAATTCCCTAGCACAAAGAAAAATGAGAATTGTACAACGTCTAATAAAACATTAGGATGGACGGACTACAGTTAAGTTCATTTAGTTACACTATCAGAATGGGATGGCCACTTGAACTAGTTACACTATCAGAATGAGATGGCCACTTGAACTAGTTACACTATCAGAATGGGATGGCCACTTGAACTAGTTACACTACCAGAATGGGATGGCCACTTGAACTAGTTACACTATCAGAATGGGATGGCCACTTGAACTAGTTTCACTACCAGAATGGGATGGCCACTTGAACTAGTTACACTATCAGAATGGGATGGCCACTTGAACTAGTTACACTACCAGAATGGGATGGCCTCTTGAACTAGTTACACTATCAGAATGGGATGGCCACTTGAACTAGTTACACTATCAGAATGGGATGGCCACTTGAACTAGTTACACTATCAGAATGGGATGGCCACTTGAACTAGTTACACTATCAGAATGGGATGGCCACTGAACTAGTTACACTATCAGAATGGGATGGCCTCTTGAGCTAGTTACACTATCAGAATGGGATGGCCACTTGAACTAGTTACACTACCAGAATGGGATGGCCACTTGAACTAGTTACACTATCAGAATGGGATGGCCACTTGAACTAGTTTCACTACCAGAATGGGATGGCCACTTGAACTAGTTACACTATCAGAATGGGATGGCCACTTGAACTAGTTACACTATCAGAATGGGATGGCCACTTGAACTAGTTACACTATCAGAATGGGATGGCCACTTGAACTAGTTACACTATCAGAATGGGATGGCCACTTGAACTAGTTACACTATCAGAATGGGATGGCCACTTGAACTAGTTACACTATCAGAATGGGATGGCCACTTGAGCATCATTCTGCCTTATGATCATTGGTTCAATTGAAGGCCATAGATCTCTGGCTAGATCTTATTTGGATGGGACCAGGTGGTTAACCCAACCAGCCAGGGGAGAATGTCATTATCAATTATTGGTTAAAAAACTCCAGGCTTACACTCCACAAACTTACATTTATATTTATATGGATCTGTATCCCCTTCCGACACGGTGGTCATTTTTGTATACATTTGATTTGACCAAGAAAATTTCTAAGTAAAAACACAAATTTTAATATTGTTTTGCATTTATTCTATTCCGGCACCTCTTTTAGTTGAAGACGTTTAGTATTTTTTTATTGCTTTACATTTTCAACATTCAAATTGGAGTCCAAAAAACTGTTGACCTCAATTTGAAAATTTTAAAAAAATTATTTAATTATTTTTTTAGATCGCTTATAAATTGTTTATTCTTAAAATAAAATGCTTCATTCTCATACTTGGTATATAGAATTCCAGAATTGCATGTTATAAATGCAGTTACTGGCGCTTTATTGTGACACGCTGTACATTTTTGTACACATCATAATTTGCATAATACCTGACTGATGGAGATTTGGTATAAGATGTCAGGACACCAACTGTATCATTTTCTATACATGGGATAAATTTTTGGACAAAAATCCTGAGGTCGTGTCGGAAGGGGTATATAATAATATGTATAGTACAATAGAGGAACATGAAATCACAAATGTGTGAAGCATAGATGAAAGAAAATTGTAAGGAAATACCAATTTGTGCACCTAACAATCAAATTTAACACAAGCAAACAGAAAAATAAAAATCTTGCAGGTTGCATGAAAAAATTGGAATGTTTTAGCAATGACACAATTTTTGTATATATTTGAGGTATGATTTTATTACAAATCAGAAGTAATGAAGTTTGAAAATGAAGTTGGTGTATAAAACATGTTTTTCTGTTGAATGAAACAATCCCCTGCTGATGTTAGCTCCTGTCATGCCCACTCACAATTTGATGATAGCAAACATGGTCAACAGTTGAAAAAGTTATTCACATATAAATATATAAAATCAAACAGATTGTTTTAATGTACAAACTAATTCAAATTTTGTATAGAACATTAAAATGTTGAATAGAAATATGAATGTAATTGTAAATGTAAAGTTTAAAAAAAACATTGTAGGACAACTTAATTAGTAAAATCTATTGATTTAGATCACAAATATCACTAGGGATAGAACCCCAGGCTGAGGTCAACTCTGAACCCCAATAAGGTCAACTCTGAACCCCGAATGAGAAGGCAGCAGAGATCCCCAAACAGACTATCTCTCTCATCATCTTCTGTTGATGAGAGAATTTATACCCAAGCCCACAAGTAACAGCCAAGACAAATGGTGTCTATAGACACCATGTTTGGGTGTTACCAAGACAAATGGTGTCTATAGACACCATGTTTGGGTGTTTGCCTCTGATGTTTCACAGCTTTAAAATTTGAACACAAATATTTTTTTTTTAGCAAAGATCAAACTTGAGATGATTCCAACAGGTGAGCTAGTTTAGCAGTACTCTAGTCAGTGAGTCGCAAGAAATCATGTTCAAGTGAGCTAGTTTAGCAGTACTCTAGTCTGTGAGTCGCAAGAAATCATGTTCAAGTGAGCTAGTTTAGCAGTAGTCTAGTCTGTGAGTCGCAAGAAATCATGTTCAAGAGGCTGTAGGCTGACTACTACTGGACAATTAATACTTGGTCAGCAAAAAAAGAAATAAATAAATGGCAATGACAGATATCACAAGCAAACCTCAGTCTGCAGACAAACTCTTTCTAAATGGCAATGCCAGATCATCTTACTTCATCAAATATAGTTTTTATCAATGTACATTTTTTCTACTAGAAAATAGTGGAACAAATTTTTTGACATCTTTCAACACTGTCTAGTATGTAAATATGACATCTTTCAACACTGTCTAGTATGTGAATATGACATCTTTCAACACTGTCTAGTATGTGAATATGACATCTTTCAACACTGTCTAGTATGTGAATATGACATCTTTCAACACTGTCTAGTATGTAAATATGACACTTTTGACACTGTACTTAAGTTGCTTATCAAAGCATTACTTTCACAGATTGTCAAAATCAGTATATCTTTTACGTTAGATATGGTGAAATATTGAGGACACATTTAGCTCATAATAAAAATTAATTTAAATATATATATATATATAGATCTATACAAGTAATTAAAAACCATTTCTTAAAAGTACAACAATAAGGTAAAAGAATTGTGTAAGTATCAAAACATTTTTGTTTCTGTGGCAAAATATTTGTTTAAGGGGTCAAAATATTTTCTAATGTCAAATCATTGAACTAGAGTCTGAACATTTTCAACTGAATAAAAGGATCACACTTGGGCACATGAAAACATCATTCACACCAGGGACAAATACCCCAGCCATGTACTCAGGTGCTTTAAAAAAAGTTCAAGGTTGTTTTTTACTCGACACTATCTCATATATTAATCTTGATACAAGCTCATATATTAATCTTGATACAAGCTCATATATTAATCTTGATACAAGCTCATATATTAATCTTGATACAAGCTCATATATTAATCTTGATACACGCTCATATATTGTATATGGAATGTGGGAAAGGGATCAAGTGGAAATGGCGGAGTTTCAATCTAATTCTAGAGCACTACATCCAATTCTCTTGTCTATGTCAGGCCGAAAACAAATGGATTTTAATGTGAAAAACAAAAGTCATTTGATGTGAAAACAAAGGTCAATTAATGAGAAAACAAAGGTCATTTGATTTTGATGAAATTACACAGCAAACCCCAGACCTAACAAGTGACCTAACAGACAGCATTGGAGCAATGTAAACACACTCCAATAGTCTAGACCATCATTCAAACAGTCCATACAATCATTCAAGTCTAATCAATGATTCAAACCATATATTCAATCCTTCAAAAAGTCTAGACAACCACTCCACCAGTCCATCAAGCTAAAGCTAGTGTTGGACTGAATCTGCCATGTAGAAGTGTACAAGAGATTGGTGGCCAGCTCACTCACACGCCAGCTTGCCATCAAAGCTGCTCAGGGCAATGCCAAAAGCCTGCAGGGCACACATGGGATAATTGTAGTCCATTGTGAAGACGTCCTCGGCCACACGGCCAAACTGCATGACAATGTAGTCCACTACAACAAGAGAGGTTCAGGCATTTAAACACGCAAACATTCAACTTTTCCACGCAAACATTCAACTTTTCCACGGAAACATTCAACTTTTCCACGCAAACATTCAACTTTTCCACGCAAACATTCAACTTTTCCACACAAACATTCAACTTTTCCACGCAAACATTCAACTTTCCCACCAAAACATTGAAACTTCCATAACTTAATGTCCTACTTACCATCACCTAATGTCCTACTTACCATCACCTAATGTCCTACTTACCATCATCTAATGTCCTACTTACCATCATCTAATGTCCTACTTACCATCACCTAATGTCCTACTTACCATCATTATCATGCACAATTTGAAAATTTTTGACAGAAGCTTGAGTCACACGTCCATGGAAATTTAGAACATAGGACTGTGTATCTGTAGAGAGGACAGGTCAATAAAGGTCATACAGACACCTACCATCATTACAGACACCTACCATCATTACAGACACCTACCATCATTACAGACACCTACCATCATTACAGACACCTACCATCATTACAGACACCTACCATCATTACAGACACCTACCATCATTACAGACACCTACCATCATTACAGACACCTACCATCATTACAGACACCTACCATCATTACAGGCACCTACCATCCTTACAGACACCTACCATCCTTACAGACACCTACCATCCTTACAGACACCTACCATCATTACAGACACCTACCATCATTACAGACACCTACCATCATTACAGACACCTACCATCCTTACAGACACCTACCATCCTTACAGACACCTACCATCATTACAGACACCTACCATCATTACAGACACCTACCATCATTACAGACACCTACCATCATTACAGACACCTACCATCATTACAGACACCTACCATCATTACAGACACATACCATCATTACAGACACCTACCATCATTACAGACACCTACCATCATTACAGACACCTACCATCATTACAGACACCTACCATCCTTACAGACACCTACCATCCTTACAGACACCTACCATCCTTACAGACACCTACCATCCTTACAGACACCTACCATCATTCCAGACACCTACCATCATTACAGACACCTACCATCATTACAGACACCTACCATCATTACAGACACCTACCATCCTTACAGACACCTACCATCCTTACAGACACCTACCATCATTACAGACACCTACCATCATTACAGACACCTACCATCATTACAGACACCTAACATCCTTACAGACACCTACCATCATTCCAGACACCTACCATCATTCCAGACACCTACCATCATTACAGACACCTACCATCATTACAGACACCTACCATCATTACAGACACCTACCATCATTACAGACACCTACCATCATTACAGACACCTACCATCATTACAGACACCTACCAACCTTACAGACACCTACCATCATTACAGACACCTACCATCATTACAGACACCTACCATCATTACAGACACCTACCATCATTACAGACACCTAACATCCTTACAGACACCTAACATCCTTACAGACACCTAACATCATTACAGACACCTAACATCATTACAGACACCTACCATCATTACAGACACCTACCATCATTACAGACACCTACCATCATTACAGACACCTACCATCATTACAGACACCTACCATCATTACAGACACCTAACATCATTACAGACACCTAACATCATTACAGACACCTAACATCATTACAGACACCTAACATCATTACAGACACCTACCATCCTTACAGACACCTACCATCATTACAGACACCTACCATCATTACAGACACCTACCATCCTTACAGACACCTACCATCATTACAGACACCTACCATCATTACAGACACCTACCATCATTACAGACACCTACCATCATTACAGACACCTACCATCATTACAGACACCTACCATCATTACAGACACCTACCATCATTCCAGACAGGTGTTTTATTGTGTAGTTCCAAAAGATTCTCCATGTTTTTTCTTTTCCATCTTTCAATCAAGCCATCGTGTTGCTGCAATAGAATTAATGGACACAAGCCCTAAGTCTACAGGCTAATCTAGAGATCAATGGACACAAGCCAAGTGTGATGTGTGTACAGTGTGATGTGTGTGAAGTGTGTGAACAGTGTGATGTGTGAAGTATGTGATGTGTGAAGCGTGTGAAGTGTGTGATGTTTGAACAATTTGGTGAGTGGTGTGAACAGTTTGTTGTGTGAAGCGTGTGATGTGTGTACAGTATGATGTGTGTACAGTGTGAAGTGTGGGGCGTGTGATGTGTGAACAGTTTGATGAGTGAAGTGTGTGATGTGTGAATGGTGGGGTGTGTGAAAAGAGTGATGATGGAAGCAACTGATGTGTAAAGCTGTGTGCTTACCCCCTGAGTGTGTGATGTGTGAAGCTGTGTGCAGAGCTTACCCCCTGAGTGTGTGATGTGTGAAGCTGTGTGCAGAGCTTACCCCCTGAGTGTGTGATGTGTGAAGCTGTGTGCAGAGCTTACCCCCTGAGTGTGTGATGTGTGAAGCTGTGTGCTTACCCCCTGAGTGTGTGATGTGTGAAGCTGTATGCAGAGCTTACCCCCTGAGTGTGTGATGTGTGAAGCTGTGTGCAGAGCTTACCCCCTGAGTGTGTGATGTGTGAAGCTGTGTGCAGAGCTTACCCCCTGAGTGTGTGATGTGTGAAGCTGTGTGCAGAGCTTACCCCCTGAGTGTGTGATGTGTGAAGCTGTGTGAATAGCTTACCCCCTGAGTGTGTGATGTGTGAAGCTGTGTGCAGAGCTTACCCCCTGAGTGTGTGATGTGTGAAGCTGTGTGCAGAGCTTACCCCCTGAGTGTGTGATGTGTGAAGCTGTGTGCAGAGCTTACCCCCTGAGTGTGTGATGTGTGAAGCTGTGTGCAGAGCTTACCCCCTGAGTGTGTGATGTGTGAAGCTGTGTGCTTACCCCTTGAGTGTGTGATGTGTGAAGCTGTGTGCAGAGCTTACCCCCTGAGTGTGTGATGTGTGAAGCTGTGTGTAGAGCTTACCCCCTGAGTGTGTGATGTGTGAAGCTGTGTGCAGAGCTTACCCCCTGAGTGTGTGATGTGTGAAGCTGTGTGCAGAGCTTACCCCCTGAGTGTGTGATGTGTGAAGCTGTGTGCAGAGCTTACCCCCTGAGTGTGTGATGTGTGAAGCTGTGTGCAGAGCTTACCCCCTGAGTGTGTGATGTGTGAAGCTGTGTGCAGAGCTTACCCCCTGAGTGTGTGATGTGTGAAGCTGTGTGCTTACCCCCTGAGTGTGTGATGTGTGAAGCTGTGTGCAGAGCTTACCCCCTGAGTGTGTGATGTGTGAAGCTGTGTGCAGAGCTTACCCCCTGAGTGTGTGATGTGTGAAGCTGTGTGCAGAGCTTACCCCCTGAGTGTGTGATGTGTGAAGCTGTGTGCAGAGCTTACCCCCTGAGTGTGTGATGTGTGAAGCTGTGTGCAGAGCTTACCCCCTGAGTGTGTGATGTGTGAAGCTGTGTGCAGAGCTTACCCCCTGAGTGTGTGAAGTGTGAAGCTGTGTGCAGAGCTTACCCCCTGAGTGTGTGATGTGTGAAGCTGTGTGCAGAGCTTACCCCCTGAGTGTGTGATGTGTGAAGCTGTGTGCTTACCCCCTGAGTGTGTGATGTGTGAAGCTGTGTGCAGAGCTTACCCCCTGAGTGTGTGATGTGTGAAGCTGTGTGCAGAGCTTACCCCCTGAGTGTGTGATGTGTGAAGCTGTGTGCAGAGCTTACCCCCTGAGTGTGTGATGTGTGAAGCTGTGTGCAGAGCTTACCCCCTGAGTGTGTGATGTGTGAAGCTGTGTGCAGAGCTTACCCCCTGAGTGTGTGATGTGTGAAGCTGTGTGCTTACCCCCTGAGTGTGTGATGTGTGAAGCTGTGTGCAGAGCTTACCCCCTGAGTGTGTGATGTGTGAAGCTGTGTGCAGAGCTTACCCCCTGAGTGTGTGATGTGTGAAGCTGTGTGCAGAGCTTACCCCCTGAGTGTGTGATGTGTGAAGCTGTGTGCTTACCCCCTGAGTGTGTGATGTGTGAAGCTGTGTGCAGAGCTTACCCCCTGAGTGTGTGATGTGTGAAGCTGTGTGCTTACCCCCTGAGTGTGTGATGTGTGAAGCTGTGTGCAGAGCTTACCCCCTGAGTGTGTGATGTGTGAAGCTGTGTGCAGAGCTTACCCCCTGAGTGTGTGATGTGTGAAGCTGTGTGCAGAGCTTACCCCCTGAGTGTGTGATGTGTGAAGCTGTGTGCTTACCCCCTGAGTGTGTGATGTGTGAAGCTGTGTGCTTACCCCCTGAGTGTGTGATGTGTGAAGCTGTGTGCTTACCCCCTGAGTGTGTGATGTGTGAAGCTGTGTGCAGAGCTTACCCCCTGAGTGTGTGATGTGTGAAGCTGTGTGCAGAGCTTACCCCCTGAGTGTGTGATGTGTGAAGCTGTGTGCAGAGCTTACCCCCTGAGTGTGTGATGTGTGAAGCTGTGTGCTTACCCCCTGAGTGTGTGATGTGTGAAGCTGTATGCAGAGCTTACCCCCTGAGTGTGTGATGTGTGAAGCTGTGTGCAGAGCTTACCCCCTGAGTGTGTGATGTGTGAAGCTGTGTGCAGAGCTTACCCCCTGAGTGTGTGATGTGTGAAGCTGTGTGCAGAGCTTACCCCCTGAGTGTGTGATGTGTGAAGCTGTGTGCAGAGCTTACCCCCTGAGTGTGATGTGTGAAGCTGTATGCAGAGCTTACCCCCTGAGTGTGTGATGTGTGAAGCTGTGTGCAGAGCTTACCCCCTGAGTGTGTGATGTGTGAAGCTGTGTGCAGAGCTTACCCCCTAAGTGTGTGATGTGTGAAGCTGTATGCAGAGCTTACCCCCTGAGTGTGTGATGTGTGAAGCTGTGTGCAGAGCTTACCCCCTGAGTGTGTGATGTGTAAAGCTGTGTGCAGAGCTTACCCCCTGAGTGTGTGATGTGTGAAGCTGTGTGCAGAGCTTACCCCCTGAGTGTGTGATGTGTGAAGCTGTGTGCAGAGCTTACCCCCTGAGTGTGTGATGTGTGAAGCTGTGTGCAGAGCTTACCCCCTGAGTGTGTGATGTGTGAAGCTGTGTGCTTACCCCCTGAGTGTGTGATGTGTGAAGCTGTGTGCTTACCCCCTGAGTGTGTGATGTGTGAAGCTGTGTGCAGAGCTTACCCCCTGAGTGTGTGATGTGTGAAGCTGTGTGCAGAGCTTACCCCCTGAGTGTGTGATGTGTGAAGCTGTGTGCAGAGCTTACCCCCTGAGTGTGTGATGTGTGAAGCTGTGTGCAGAGCTTACCCCCTGAGTGTGTGATGTGTGAAGCTGTGTGTAGAGCTTACCCCCTGAGTGTGTGATGTGTGAAGCTGTGTGCAGAGCTTACCCCCTGAGTGTGTGATGTGTGAAGCTGTGTGCTTACCCCCTGAGTGTGTGATGCGTGAAGCTGTGTGCAGAGCTTACCCCCTGAGTGTGTGATGTGTGAAGCTGTGTGCAGAGCTTACCCCCTGAGTGTGTGATGTGTGAAGCTGTGTGCTTACCCCCTGAGTGTGTGATGTGTGAAGCTGTGTGCAGAGCTTACCCCCTGAGTGTGTGATGTGTGAAGCTGTGTGCAGAGCTTACCCCCTGAGTGTGTGATGTGTGAAGCTGTGTGCTTACCCCCTGAGTGTGTGATCTGTGAAGCTGTGTGCAGAGCTTACCCCCTGAGTGTGTGATGTGTGAAGCTGTGTGCTTACCCCCTGAGTGTGTGATGTGTGAAGCTGTGTGCTTACCCCCTGAGTGTGTGATGTGTGAAGCTGTGTGCAGAGCTTACCCCCTGAGTGTGTGATGTGTAAAGCTGTGTGCAGAGCTTACCCCCTGAGTGTGTGATGTGTGAAGCTGTGTGCAGAGCTTACCCCCTGAGTGTGTGATGTGTGAAGCTGTGTGCAGAGCTTACCCCCTGAGTGTGTGATGTGTGAAGCTGTGTGCAGAGCTTACCCCCTGAGTGTGTGATGTGTGAAGCTGTGTGCTTACCCCCTGAGTGTGTGATGTGTGAAGCTGTGTGCTTACCGCCTGAGTGTGTGATGTGTGAAGCTGTGTGCTTACCCCCTGAGTGTGTGATGTGTGAAGCTGTGTGCAGAGCTTACCCCCTGAGTGTGTGATGTGTGAAGCTGTGTGCAGAGCTTACCCCCTGAGTGTGTGATGTGTGAAGCTGTGTGCAGAGCTTACCCCCTGAGTGTGTGATGTGTGAAGCTGTGTGCAGAGCTTACCCCCTGAGTGTGTGATGTGTGAAGCTGTGTGCAGAGCTTACCCCCTGAGTGTGTGATGTGTGAAGCTGTGTGCAGAGCTTACCCCCTGAGTGTGTGATGTGTGAAGCTGTGTGCTTACCCCCTGAGTGTGTGATGTGTGAAGCTGTGTGCAGAGCTTACCCCCTGAGTGTGTGATGTGTGAAGCTGTGTGCAGAGCTTACCCCCTGAGTGTGTGATGTGTGAAGCTGTGTGCTTACCCCCTGAGTGTGTGATCTGTGAAGCTGTGTGCAGAGCTTACCCCCTGAGTGTGTGATGTGTGAAGCTGTGTGCAGAGCTTACCCCCTGAGTGTGTGATGTGTGAAGCTGTGTGCTTACCCCCTGAGTGTGTGATGTGTGAAGCTGTGTGCAGAGCTTACCCCCTGAGTGTGTGATGTGTGAAGCTGTGTGCAGAGCTTACCCCCTGAGTGTGTGATGTGTGAAGCTGTGTGCAGAGCTTACCCCCTGAGTGTGTGATGTGTGAAGCTGTGTGCAGAGCTTACCCCCTGAGTGTGTGATGTGTGAAGCTGTGTGCAGAGCTTACCCCCTGAGTGTGTGATGTGTGAAGCTGTGTGCAGAGCTTACCCCCTGAGTGTGTGATGTGTGAAGCTGTGTGCAGAGCTTACCCCCTGAGTGTGTGATGTGTGAAGCTGTGTGCAGAGCTTACCCCCTGAGTGTGTGATGTGTGAAGCTGTGTGCAGAGCTTACCCCCTGAGTGTGTGATGTGTGAAGCTGTGTGCTTACCCCCTGAGTGTGTGATGTGTGAAGCTGTGTGCAGAGCTTACCCCCTGAGTGTGTGATGTGTGAAGCTGTGTGCAGAGCTTACCCCCTGAGTGTGTGATGTGTGAAGCTGTGTGCAGAGCTTACCCCCTGAGTGTGTGATGTGTGAAGCTGTATGCGGAGCTTACCCCCTGAGTGTGTGATGTGTGAAGCTGTGTGCTTACCCCCTGAGTGTGTGATGTGTGAAGCTGTGTGCAGAGCTTACCCCCTGAGTGTGTGATGTGTGAAGCTGTGTGCAGAGCTTACCCCCTGAGTGTGTGATGTGTGAAGCTGTGTGCAGAGCTTACCCCCTGAGTGTGTGATGTGTGAAGCTGTGTGCAGAGCTTACCCCCTGAGTGTGTGATGTGTGAAGCTGTGTGCTTACCCCCTGAGTGTGTGATGTGTGAAGCTGTGTGCAGAGCTTACCCCCTGAGTGTGTGATGTGTGAAGCTGTATGCGGAGCTTACCCCCTGAGTGTGTGATGTGTGAAGCTGTATGCGGAGCTTACCCCCTGAGTGTGTGATGTGTGAAGCTGTGTGCAGAGCTTACCCCCTGAGTGTGTGATGTGTGAAGCTGTATGCGGAGCTTACCCCCTGAGTGTGTGATGTGTGAAGCTGTGTGCTTACCCCCTGAGTGTGTGATGTGTGAAGCTGTATGCGGAGCTTACCCCCTGAGTGTGTGATGTGTGAAGCTGTATGCGGAGCTTACCCCCTGAGTGTGTGATGTGTGAAGCTGTGTGCAGAGCTTACCCCCTGAGTGTGTGATGTGTAAAGCTGTGTGCAGAGCTTACCCCCTGAGTGTGTGATGTGTGAAGCTGTGTGCAGAGCTTACCCCCTGAGTGTGTGATGTGTGAAGCTGTATGCGGAGCTTACCCCCTGAGTGTGTGATGTGTGAAGCTGTGTGCTTACCCCCTGAGTGTGTGATGTGTGAAGCTGTATGCGGAGCTTACCCCCTGAGTGTGTGATGTGTGAAGCTGTGTGCAGAGCTTACCCCCTGAGTGTGTGATGTGTGAAGCTGTGTGCAGAGCTTACCCCCTGAGTGTGTGATGTGTGAAGCTGTATGCGGAGCTTACCCCCTGAGTGTGTGATGTGTGAAGCTGTGTGCTTACCCCCTGAGTGTGTGATGTGTGAAGCTGTATGCGGAGCTTACCCCCTGAGTGTGTGATGTGTGAAGCTGTGTGCAGAGCTTACCCCCTGAGTGTGTGATGTGTGAAGCTGTGTGCAGAGCTTACCCCCTGAGTGTGTGATGTGTGAAGCTGTGTGCAGAGCTTACCCCCTGAGTGTGTGATGTGTGAAGCTGTGTGCAGAGCTTACCCCCTGAGTGTGTGATGTGTGAAGCTGTGTGCTTACCCCCTGAGTGTGTGATGTGTGAAGCTGTGTGTAGAGCTTACCCCCTGAGTGTGTGATGTGTGAAGCTGTGTGCAGAGCTTACCCCCTGAGTGTGTGATGTGTGAAGCTGTGTGCTTACCCCCTGAGTGTGTGATGTGTGAAGCTGTATGCGGAGCTTACCCCCTGAGTGTGTGATGTGTGAAGCTGTGTGCTTACCCCCTGAGTGTGTGATGTGTGAAGCTGTGTGCAGAGCTTACCCCCTGAGTGTGTGATGTGTGAAGCTGTGTGCTTACCCCCTGAGTGTGTGATGTGTGAAGCTGTGTGCAGAGCTTACCCCCTGAGTGTGTGATGTGTGAAGCTGTGTGCAGAGCTTACCCCCTGAGTGTGTGATGTGTGAAGCTGTGTGCAGAGCTTACCCCCTGAGTGTGTGATGTGTGAAGCTTACCCCCTGAGGCTTGATATTGACACGTTGGTGCTCACTGGTCATCCCTGGGATGATGATGGTCATCTTGCGCGGGCCTTTGAAGCCCAGAACATTCGTTTCCTGCGGCAAACAACTTCTTCTTACAACCAGTAAACTTGACAGGCAAACAGCAAACACTCTACAGGCATACAGCAAGCACACTTGACAGGCAAACAGCAAGCACATTTGACAGGCAAACAGCAAGCAAACTTGACAGGCAAACAGCAAACAAACTTGACAGGCATACAACAAGTACATTTGACAGGCAAACAGCAAGCAAACTTGACAGGCAAACAGCAAACAAACTTGACAGGCAAACAGCAAGTACATTTGACAGGCAAACAGCAAGCAAACTTGACAGGCAAACAGCAAACAAACTTGACAGGCATACAGCAAGTACACTTGACAGACATACAGCCAGTAAACTTGACAGTAAAACAGCCAGTCGACAGATACACAGAAAGCAAACTTGACAGATACACAGAAAGCAAACTTGACAGATACACAGAAAGCACACTTGACAGATATACAGCAAGCAAACTTGACAGACTTACATAAGCAACAGCAACCAACTCTTGTCTGGCACCTTGAGAACCTTTCTTTGGGTTGTCCCCATCATCAAACAAGGTGAACTGTGTCCCCAGCAGGTTAGACCTAGAAGTGAGAGAGTTGTGTCCCCTACAGTTAGGGTGAGAGAGTTGTGTCCCCTACAGTTAGGGTGAGAGAGTTGTGTCCCCTACAGTTAGGGTGAGAGAGTTGTGTCCCCTACAGTTAGGGTGAGAGAGTTGTGTCCCCTACAGTTAGGCTGAGAGAGTTGTGTCCCCTACAGTTAGGGTGAGAGAGTTGTGTCCCCTACAGTTAGGGTGAGAGAGTTGTGTCCCCTACAGTTAGGCTGAGAGAGTTGTGTCCCCTACAGTTAGGGTGAGAGAGTTGTGTCCCCAGCAGGTTAGACCTAGGGGTGAGAGAGTTGTGTCCCCTACAGTTAGGGTGAGAGAGTTGTGTCCCCTACAGTTAGGGTGAGATAGTTGTGTCCCCTACAGTTAGGGTGAGAGAGTTGTGTGTCCTACAGTTAGGGTGAGAGAGTTGTGTCCCCTACAGTTAGGGTGAGAGAGTTGTGTCCCCTACAGTTAGGGTGAGAGAGTTGTGTCCCCTACAGTTAGGGTGAGAGAGTTGTGTGTCCTACAGTTAGGGTGAGAGAGTTGTGTCCCCTACAGTTAGGGTGAGAGAGTTGTGTGTCCTACAGTTAGGGTGAGAGAGTTGTGTGTCCTACAGTTAGGCTGAGAGAGTTGTGTCCCCTACAGTTAGGGTGAGAGAGTTGTGTCCCCAGCAGGTTAGACCTAGAGGTGAGAGAGTTGTGTCCCCTACAGTTAGGGTGAGAGAGTTGTGTCCCCTACAGTTAGGGTGAGAGAGTTGTGTCCCCTACAGTTAGGGTGAGAGAGTTGTGTCCCCTACAGTTAGGGTGAGAGAGTTGTGTCCCCAGCAGGTTAGACCTAGGGGTGAGAGAGTTGTGTCCCCTACAGTTAGGGTGAGAGAGTTGTGTCCCCTACAGTTAAGGTGAGAGAGTTGTGTCCCCTACAGTTAGGGTGAGAGAGTTGTGTCCCCTACAGTTAGGGTGAGAGAGTTGTGTCCCCTACAGTTAGGGTGAGAGAGTTGTGTGTCCTACAGTTAGGGTGAGAGAGTTGTGTCCCCTACAGTTAGGCTGAGAGAGTTGTGTCCCCTACAGTTAGGGTGAGAGAGTTGTGTCCCCTACAGTTAGGGTGAGAGAGTTGTGTGTCCTACAGTTAGGGTGAGAGAGTTGTGTCCCCTACAGTTAGGCTGAGAGAGTTGTGTCCCCTACAGTTAGGGTGAGAGAGTTGTGTCCCCTACAGTTAGGGTGAGAGAGTTGTGTCCCCTACAGTTAGGGTGAGAGAGTTGTGTGTCCTACAGTTAGGCTGAGAGAGTTGTGTGTCCTACAGTTAGGCTGAGAGAGTTGTGTCCCCTACAGTTAGGGTGAGAGAGTTGTGTCCCCAGCAGGTTAGACCTAGGTGAGAGAGTTGTGTCCCCTACAGTTAGGGTGAGAGAGTTGTGTGTCCTACAGTTAGGGTGAGAGAGTTGTGTCCCCTACAGTTAGGGTGAGAGAGTTGTGTCCCCTACAGTTAGGGTGAGAGAGTTGTGTCCCCTACAGTTAGGGTGAGAGAGTTGTGTGTCCTACAGTTAGGGTGAGAGAGTTGTGTGTCCTACACTTAGGGTGAGAGAGTTGTGTGTCCTACACTTAGGGTGAGAGAGTTGTGTCCCCTACAGTTAGGGTGAGAGAGTTGTGTCCCCTACAGTTAGGGTGAGAGAGTTGTGTGTCCTACAGTTAGGGTGAGAGAGTTGTGTGTCCTACACTTAGGGTGAGAGAGTTGTGTCCCCTACAGTTAGGGTGAGAGAGTTGTGTCCCCAGCAGGTTAGACCTAGAGGTGAGAGAGTTGTGTCCCCTACAGTTAGGGTGAGAGAGTTGTGTGTCCTACAGTTAGGGTGAGAGAGTTGTGTGTCCTACAGTTAGGGTGAGAGAGTTGTGTGTCCTACAGTTAGGCTGAGAGAGTTGTGTCCCCTACAGTTAGGGTGAGAGAGTTGTGTCCCCAGCAGGTTAGACCTAGGTGAGAGAGTTGTGTCCCCTACAGTTAGGGTGAGAGAGTTGTGTGTCCTACAGTTAGGGTGAGAGAGTTGTGTCCCCTACAGTTAGGGTGAGAGAGTTGTGTCCCCTACAGATAGGGTGAGAGAGTTGTGTCCCCTACAGTTAGGGTGAGAGAGTTGTGTGTCCTACAGTTAGGGTGAGAGAGTTGTGTGTCCTACACTTAGGGTGAGAGAGTTGTGTGTCCTACAGTTAGGGTGAGAGAGTTGTGTGTCCTACAGTTAGGGTGAGAGAGTTGTGTGTCCTACAGTTAGGCTGAGAGAGTTGTGTCCCCTACAGTTAGGCTGAGAGAGTTGTGTCCCCTACAGTTAGGGTGAGAGAGTTGTGTCCCCAGCAGGTTAGACCTAGGGGTGAGAGAGTTGTGTGTCCTACAGTTAGGGTGAGAGAGTTGTGTCCCCTACAGTTAGGCTGAGAGAGTTGTGTCCCCTACAGTTAGGGTGAGAGAGTTGTGTCCCCTACAGTTAGGGTGAGAGAGTTGTGTGTCCTACAGTTAGGGTGAGAGAGTTGTGTCCCCTACAGTTAGGCTGAGAGAGTTGTGTCCCCTACAGTTAGGGTGAGAGAGTTGTGTCCCCTACAGTTAGGGTGAGAGAGTTGTGTCCCCTACAGTTAGGGTGAGAGAGTTGTGTGTCCTACAGTTAGGGTGAGAGAGTTGTGTCCCCTACAGTTAGGGTGAGAGAGTTGTGTCCCCTACAGTTAGGGTGAGAGAGTTGTGTCCCCTACAGTTAGGCTGAGAGAGTTGTGTCCCCTACAGTTAGGGTGAGAGAGTTGTGTCCCCTACAGTTAGACTGAGAGAGTTGTGTCCCCTACAGTTAGGGTGAGAGAGTTGTGTCCCCTACAGTTAGGGTGAGAGAGTTGTGTCCCCTACAGTTAGGGTGAGAGAGTTGTGTCCCCTACAGTTTGGCTGAGAGAGTTGTGTCCCCAGCAGGTTAGACCTAGGTGAGAGAGTTGTGTCCCCTACAGTTAGGGTGAGAGAGTTGTGTCCCCTACAGTTAGGGTGAGAGAGTTGTGTGTCCTACAGTTAGGGTGAGAGAGTTGTGTCCCCTACAGTTAGGGTGAGAGAGTTGTGTCCCCTACAGATAGGGTGAGAGAGTTGTGTCCCCTACAGTTAGGCTGAGAGAGTTGTGTCCCCTACAGTTAGGGTGAGAGAGTTGTGTCCCCTACAGTTAGGGTGAGAGAGTTGTGTGTCCTACAGTTAGGGTGAGAGAGTTGTGTGTCCTACAGTTAGGGTGAGAGAGTTGTGTCCCCTACAGTTAGGGTGAGAGAGTTGTGTCCCCTACAGTTAGGGTGAGAGAGTTGTGTCCCCTACAGTTAGGGTGAGAGAGTTGTGTCCCCTACAGTTAGGGTGAGAGAGTTGTGTGTCCTACAGTTAGGGTGAGAGAGTTGTGTGTCCTACAGTTAGGGTGAGAGAGTTGTGTCCCCTACAGTTAGGGTGAGAGAGTTGTGTCCCCAGCAGGTTAGACCTAGGGGTGAGAGAGTTGTGTCCCCTACAGTTAGGGTGAGAGAGTTGTGTGTCCTACAGTTAGGGTGAGAGAGTTGTGTCCCCTACAGTTAGGGTGAGAGAGTTGTGTGTCCTACAGTTAGGGTGAGAGAGTTGTGTCCCCTACAGTTAGGGTGAGAGAGTTGTGTCCCCTACAGTTAGGGTGAGAGAGTTGTGTCCCCTACAGATAGGGTGAGAGAGTTGTGTCCCCTACAGTTTGGCTGAGAGAGTTGTGTCCCCAGCAGGTTAGACCTAGGTGAGAGAGTTGTGTCCCCTACAGTTAGGCTGAGAGAGTTGTGTCCCGTACAGTTAGGGTGAGAGAGTTGTGTCCCCTACAGTTAGGGTGAGAGAGTTGTGTCCCCTACAGTTAGGGTGAGAGAGTTGTGTGTCCTACAGTTAGGGTGAGAGAGTTGTGTCCCCTACAGTTAGGGTGAGAGAGTTGTGTGTCCTACAGTTAGGGTGAGAGAGTTGTGTGTCCTACAGTTAGGGTGAGAGAGTTGTGTGTCCTACAGTTAGGGTGAGAGAGTTGTGTCCCCAGCAGGTTAGACCTAGGGTGAGAGAGTTGTGTCCCCTACAGTTAGGCTGAGAGAGTTGTGTCCCCTACAGTTAGACTGAGAGAGTTGTGTCCCCTACAGTTAGGGTGAGAGAGTTGTGTCCCCAGCAGGTTAGACCTAGAGGTGAGAGTTGTGTCCCCTACAGTTAGGGTGAGAGAGTTGTGTCCCCTACAGTTAGGGTGAGAGAGTTGTGTCCCCTACAGTTAGGGTGAGAGAGTTGTGTCCCCTACAGATAGGGTGAGAGAGTTGTGTCCCCTACAGTTTGGGTGAGAGAGTTGTGTCCCCTACAGTTAGGGTGAGAGAGTTGTGTCCCGTACAGTTAGGGTGAGAGAGTTGTGTCCCCTACAGTTAGGGTGAGAGAGTTGTGTGTCCTACAGTTAGGGTGAGAGAGTTGTGTGTCCTACAGTTAGGGTGAGAGAGTTGTGTCCCCTACAGTTAGGCTGAGAGAGTTGTGTCCCCTACAGTTAGGGTGAGAGAGTTGTGTCCCCTATAGTTAGGCTGAGAGAGTTGTGTCCCCTACAGATAGGGTGAGAGAGTTGTGTCCCCTACAGTTAGGGTGAGAGAGTTGTGTCCCCTACAGTTAGGCTGAGAGAGTTGTGTCCCCTACAGTTAGGGTGAGAGAGTTGTGTCCCCAGCAGGTTAGACCTAGGGTGAGAGAGTTGTGTCCCCTACAGTTAGGCTGAGAGAGTTGTGTCCCCTACAGTTAGGGTGAGAGAGTTGTGTCCCCAGCAGGTTAGACCTAGGGTGAGAGAGTTGTGTCCCCTACAGTTAGACTGAGAGAGTTGTGTCCCCTACAGTTAGGGTGAGAGAGTTGTGTCCCCAGCAGGTTAGACCTAGAGGTGAGAGAGTTGTGTCCCCTACAGTTAGGGTGAGAGAGTTGTGTCCCCTACAGTTAGACTGAGAGAGTTGTGTCCCCTACAGTTAGGGTGAGAGAGTTGTGTCCCCAGCAGGTTAGACCTAGAGGTGAGAGAGTTGTGTCCCCTACAGTTAGGGTGAGAGAGTTGTGTCCCCTACAGTTAGGGTAAGAGAGTTGTGTCCCCTACAGTTAGGGTGAGAGAGTTGTGTCCCCTACAGTTAGGGTGAGAGAGTTGTGTGTCCTACAGTTAGGGTGAGAGAGTTGTGTCCCCTACAGTTAGGGTGAGAGAGTTGTGTCCCCTACAGTTAGGGTGAGAGAGTTGTGTCCCCTACAGTTAGGGTGAGAGAGTTGTGTGTCCTACAGTTAGGGTGAGAGAGTTGTGTCCCCTACAGTTAGGGTGAGAGAGTTGTGTCCCCTACAGTTAGGGTGAGAGAGTTGTGTCCCCTACAGTTAGGCTGAGAGAGTTGTGTCCCCTACAGTTAGGCTGAGAGAGTTGTGTCCCCTACAGTTAGGCTGAGAGAGTTGTGTCCCCTACAGTTAGGGTGAGAGAGTTGTGTGTCCTACAGTTAGGGTGAGAGAGTTGTGTCCCCTACAGTTAGGGTGAGAGAGTTGTGTCCCCTACAGTTAGGGTGAGAGAGTTGTGTCCCCTACAGTTAGGCTGAGAGAGTTGTGTCCCCTACAGTTAGGGTGAGAGAGTTGTGTCCCCTACAGTTAGGGTGAGAGAGTTGTGTCCCCTACAGTTAGGGTGAGAGAGTTGTGTCCCCTACAGTTAGGGTGAGAGAGTTGTGTCCCCTACAGTTAGGGTGAGAGAGTTGTGTCCCCTACAGTTAGGGTGAGAGAGTTGTGTCCCCTACAGTTAGGGTGAGAGAGTTGTGTCCCCTACAGTTAGGGTGAGAGAGTTGTGTCCCCTACAGTTAGGCTGAGAGAGTTGTGTCCCCTACAGTTAGGGTGAGAGAGTTGTGTCCCCTACAGTTAGGCTGAGAGAGTTGTGTCCCCTACAGTTAGGGTGAGAGAGTTGTGTCCCCTACAGTTAGGGTGAGAGAGTTGTGTCCCCTACAGTTAGGGTGAGAGAATTGTGTCCCCTACAGTTAGGGTGAGAGAGTTGTGTCCCCTACAGTTAGGGTGAGAGAGTTGTGTCCCCTACAGTTAGGGTGAGAGAGTTGTGTCCCCTACATTAGGCTGAGAGAGTTGTGTCCCCTACAGTTAGGGTGAGAGAATTGTGTCCCCTACAGTTAGGGTGAGAGAGTTGTGTCCCCTACAGTTAGGGTGAGAGAGTTGTGTCCCCTACAGTTAGGGTGAGAGAGTTGTTTACCTGAGTTTGCCGCAATAAGCGTCCCCATTGCGTGCTAGGTCTGTGGGATCAGTTGAGACCAGATAGTTGGATGTTTTACTGCGCTTTCTTTTCCTGCCAGCTAGGATAAAAACCTGCAGAAGATGGGGAGGGTGTTTTTTTTTTCCAAACCTGGGTCTGATATAACATGTGTCTGATATAACATGTGTCTGATATAACATGTGTCTGATATAACATGTGTCTGATATAACATGTGTCTGATATAACATGTGTCTGATATAACATGTGTCTGATATAACATGGGTCTTATGTAACCTGGGTGTTATATAACATGTGTCTGATATAACATGTGCCTTATATAACATATGTCTGATATAACCTGGGTCTTATGTAACCTGGGTGTTATATAACATGTGTCTGATATAACATGTGCCTTATATAACATGTGTCTTATATAACATGTGCCTTATATAACATGTGTCTGATATAACATGTGTCTTATATAACATGTGTGACATGAGATTATGAAAGTGTGACCCATGTGACATGTGACTAACATGGCAGTGTGACATGTGACTAATATGACAATGCAGCCTGTGAATGCTAATCTAGAGTGAAACCCAATTGATGTGCCAAGTGAGTGCTATGACAGTGTGAGATCAATCTGGCAGCTGCCTGACCTTTCTGCCATTATCCTGCTCCAGGTGCAGGAAGTAGGTGGGGAAGATGTTCCTGTCTACCCCCTTCTTGTCACGGGTGATGCGACACTTCATGGTGACCCCCTGGGGTGCTGGCCTCAAGACAAACTCGTTGAGCTCCGAGGCATCTGGTGTGTAGGAGCGTGCGGTGGCACCCCCGCTCTCCTCCTCTTCTTGCTGCTGCTGCTTTCATGGAACAAAATGTGTACTCAACGCAGCAATCATTCCATCCATTATTGGAGACAGGACAAAATTAAACACAACTAGCAAATATTTTAAAACTAGCATTGCCGTTCTCTGAAAAAAGTCTGACGACATATTTTTTGGTAGTTTGAATAGTAGTGTGTTATTATAAATTTGAAGAAAATCATTTATTTTCTCCTTTTTAGTGCATTACATGACAGCACGTTATTAAAATGTTTTTCATGCATTTCTTTTTCCGTCCTTAACTTTTTTTTTAATACAATAGAGTTTCATGACTAAAAACTATTGTGCTCCAGATGAACATGATTAATGTGCTAATAAAAGTGCGCAATAGTAGTAGGATGCCATACTCATTTCAGAAAATTTTAAGTAAATTAATAAAAAAAACTAATTATGCAACCAATCAAGTCAAATTTAATGGCATATTGCATTGTCATCAGGTCTTGACCCACTTGCCAAATTTTAAAGAAATTGATCAGTTAAATGTGCCCAAAATTTTGATCTAGACAAACAGGATTAAGACAGACAGAGGAAACAAGTTAAATAAAAGCTTGCAAAAAACTTTTCTCACCTCACAGTTTCTCACCTCACAGTTTCTCACCTCACAGTTTCTCACCTCACAGTTTTTCACCTCACAGTTTCTCACCTCACAGTTTCTCACCTCACAGTTTCTCACCTCACAGTTTCTCACCTCACAGTTTTTCACCTCACAGTTTCTCACCTCACAGTTTCTCACCTCACAGTTTCTCACATCACAGTTTCTCACCTCACAGTTTCTCACCTCACAGTGTCTCACCTCACAGTGTCTCACCTCACAGTTTCTCACCTCACAGTTTCTCACCTCAATTTCTCACCTCAGTTTCTCACCTCACAGTTTCTCACCTCACAGTTTCTCACCTCACAGTGTCTCACCTCAGTTTCTCACCTCACAGTTTCTCACCTCACAGTGTCTCACCTCAGTTTCTCACCTCACAGTTTCTCACCTCACAGTTTCTCACCTCACAGTGTCTCACCTCAGTTTCTCACCTCACAGTTTCTCACCTCAAAGTTTTTCACCTCACAGGTTTCTTCTGTCTTTTTTGCTTTTTTTTTCTTCTTTGGAATCTTTTCTGAGTTCTGTAATTAACCAGGAAATATGTCAATCATTCACCCAATGCCATGGCTGGCCAACATTCACCTACCAACAACTGAGTGTTAACTAAACAAGCAACTGCTAGCACTACAGCAACAAGCAACTGCTAGCACTACACCAACAAACAACTGCTAGCACTACACCAACAAACAACTGCTAGCACTACACCAACTGCTAGCACTACACCAACTGCTAGCACTACACCAACTGCTAGCACTACAGCAACAAGCAACTGCTAGCACTACACCAACAAACAACTGCTAGCACTACACCAACAAACAACTGCTAGCACTACACCAACTGCTAGCACTACACCAACTGCTAGCACTACACCAACTGCTAGCACTACACCAACAAGCAACTGCTAGCACTACACCAACTGCTAGCACAACACCAACAAGCAACTGCTAGCACTACACCAACTGCTAGCACTACACCAACTGCTAGCACTACACCAACTGCTAGCACTACACCAACAAACAACTGCTAGCACTACACCAACTGCTAGCACTACACCAACAAGCAACTGCTAGCAATACACCAACAAGCAACTGCTAGCACTACACCAACAAACAACTGCTAGCACTACACCAACTGCTAGCACTCCACCAACTGCTAGCACTACACCAACAAGCAACTGCTAGCACTACACCAACTGCTAGCACTACACCAACTGCTAGCACTACACCAACAAACAACTGCTAGCACTACACCAACAACTGCTAGCACTACACCAACAAGCAACTGCTAGCACTACACCAACAAGCAACTTCTAGCACTACACCAACAAGCAACTGCTAGCACTACACCAACAAGCAACTTCTAGCACTACACCAACTGCTAGCACTACACCAACAAACAACTGCTAGCACTACACCAACAAACAACTGCTAGCACTACACCAACAACTGCTAGCAATACACCAACAAGCAACTGCTAGCACTACACCAACAAGCAACTTCTAGCACTACACCAACAAACAACTGCTAGCACTACACCAACTGCTAGCACTCCACCAACTGCTAGCACTACACCAACTGCTAGCACTACACCAACAAGCAACTGCTAGCACTACACCAACTGCTAGCACTACACCAACAAGCAACTGCTAGCACTACACCAACTGCTAGCACTACACCAACTGCTAGCACTACACCAACTGCTAGCACTACACCAACAAGCAACTGCTAGCACTACACCAACTGCTAGCACTACACCAACAAGCAACTGCTAGCACTACACCAACAAACAACTGCTAGCACTACACCAACTGCTAGCACAACACCAACAAGCAACTGCTAGCACTACACCAACTGCTAGCACTACACCAACTGCTAGCACTACACCAACTGCTAGCACTACACCAACAAACAACTGCTAGCACTACACCAACTGCTAGCACTACACCAACAAGCAACTGCTAGCAATACACCAACAAGCAACTGCTAGCACTACACCAACAAACAACTGCTAGCACTACACCAACTGCTAGCACTCCACCAACTGCTAGCACTACACCAACAAGCAACTGCTAGCACTACACCAACTGCTAGCACTACACCAACTGCTAGCACTACACCAACAAACAACTGCTAGCACTACACCAACAACTGCTAGCACTACACCAACAAGCAACTGCTAGCAATACACCAACAAGCAACTGCTAGCACTACACCAACAAGCAACTTCTAGCACTACACCAACTGCTAGCACTACACCAACTGCTAGCACTACACCAACTGCTAGCACTACACCAACAAGCAACTGCTAGCACTACACCAACAAGCAACTGCTAGCACTACACCAACTGCTAGCACTACACCAACAAGCAACTGCTAGCACTACACCAACTGCTAGCACTACACCAACTGCTAGCACTCCACCAACAAGCAACTGCTAGCACAACACCAACTGTTAGCACTACACCAACAAGCAACTGCTAGCACTACACCAACAAGCAACTGCTAGCACTACACCAACTGCTAGCACTACACCAACAAGCAACTGCTAGCACTACACCAACTGCTAGCACTACACCAACAAGCAACTGCTAGCACTACACCAACTGCTAGCACTACACCAACTGCTAGCACTACACCAACAAGCAACTGCTAGCACTACACCAACTGCTAGCACTACACCAACAAGCAACTGCTAGCACTACACCAACAAGCAACTGCTAGCACTACACCAACTGCTAGCACTACACCAACTGCTAGCACTACACCAACAAGCAACTGCTAGCACTACACCAACTGCTAGCACTACACCAACAAGCAACTGCTAGCACTACACCAACTGCTAGCACTACACCAACAAGCAACTGCTAGCACTACACCAACTGCTAGCACTACACCAACTGCTAGCACTCCACCAACAAGCAACTGCTAGCACTACACCAACTGCTAGCACTACACCAACAAGCAACTGCTAGCACTACACCAACAAGCAACTGCTAGCACTACACCAACTGCTAGCACTCCACCAACAAGCAACTGCTAGCACTACACCAACTGCTAGCACTACACCAACAAGCAACTGCTAGCACTACACCAACTGCTAGCACTACACCAACTGCTAGCACTACACCAACTGCTAGCACTACACCAACAAGCAACTGCTAGCACTACACCAACTGCTAGCACTACACCAACAAGCAACTGCTAGCACTACACCAACTGCTAGCACTACACCAACTGCTAGCACTACACCAACTGCTAGCACTACACCAACAAGCAACTGCTAGCACTACACCAACTGCTAGCACTACACCAACTGCTAGCACTCCACCAACAAGCAACTGCTAGCACTACACCAACTGCTAGCACTACACCAACTGCTAGCACTACACCAACAAGCAACTGCTAGCACTACACCAACTGCTAGCACTACACCAACTGCTAGCACTACACCAACAAGCAACTGCTAGCACTACACCAACTGCTAGCACTACACCAACTGCTAGCACTACACCAACTGCTAGCACTACACCAACTGCTAGCACTACACCAACAAGCAACTGCTAGCACTACACCAACAAGCAACTGCTAGCACTACACCAACAAGCAACTGCTAGCACTACACCAACTGCTAGCACTACACCAACTACTAGCACTACACCAAGAGTTTTACCTCTGAGCTGTTCTGTGTCTGGAATGTGGAGATAGGAGCGAGGTGGGGGCTGGAGCTGACCTCTCCCTGTGAGGGTGCCACGGGCATGGGGATGGATTCACTGTCAACATCATCTTCATGGATCAGGGCTGGGCTGCTGCTGTCTGATTGGACAGGACGAGGACGTCGTGGGTGGGGGACGGGATCTGTGTCTGCAAAGTTCAATCAATCTTCCATCTTGAGGGTGGGGTGGCCCAGCACAAAACATGGATGTGATGGCCCCATGATGGCCCCAGCACATAACATGGATGTGATGGCCCCAGCACAAAACATGGATGTGATGGCCCCAGCACAAAACATGGATGTGATGGCCCCATGATGGCCCCAGCACAAAACATGGATGTGATGGCCCCAGCACAAAACATGGATGTGATGGCCCCAGCACAAAACATGGATGTGATGGCCCCATGATGGCCCCAGCACATAACATGGATGTGATGGCCCCAGCACAAAACATGGATGTGATGGCCCCAGCACAAAACATGGATGTGATGGCCCCATGATGGCCCCAGCACAAAACATGGATGTGATGGCCCCAGCACAAAACATGGATGTGATGGCCCCAGCACAAAACATGGATGTGATGGCCCCAGCACAAAACATGGATGTGATGGCCCCAGCACAAAACATGGATGTGATGGCCCCAGCACAAAACATGGATGTGATGGCCCCAGCACAAAACATGGATGTGATGGCCCCAGCACAAAACATGGATGTGATGGCCCCAGCACAAAACATGGATGTGATGGCCCCAGCACAAAACATGGATGTGATGGCCCCAGCACAAAACATGGATGTGATGGCCCCATGATGGCCCCAGCACAAAACATGGATGTGATGGCCCCAGCACAAAACATGGATGTGATGGCCCCATGATGGCCCCAGCACAAAACATGGATGTGATGGCCCCATGATGGCCCCAGCACAAAACATGGATGTGATGGCCCCATGATGGCCCCAGCACAAAACATGGATGTGATGGCCCCATGATGGCCCCAGCACAAAGCACAGATTTAAACAATCAGAGTACCAAATCAAAGTGAGGGATATCTGGACTTACCAGCTGTTATTGTCTGGATGTCGTCACTGTCTGTGTCACTGACATCTCTCGATTCGTCTTCAGTCACATCTCTCAGGTTGTACTTGCCAGGGTGGACCGGCTCACCTGAGCCCACCTCTAGGCCCGCAGCAGGACCTGTGTACACTGGACCACATTCACATACACTGTTAACATCTGCTAGGTGACCACATTCACATACACTGTTAACATCTGCTAGGGGACCACATTCAGATACATTGTTAACATCTGATAGGGGACCACATTCACATACACTGTTAACATCTGCTAGGGGACCACATTCACATACACTGTTAACATCTGCTAGGGGACCACATTCAGATACATTGTTAACATCTGATAGGGGACCACATTCACATACACTGTTAACATCTGTGTACACTGGACCACATTCACATACACTGTTAACATCTGCTAGGGGACCACATTCACATACACTGTTAACATCTGCTAGGGGACCACATTCACATACACTGTTAACATCTGCTAGGGGACCATATTCACATACACTGTTAACATCTGCTAGGGGACCACATTCACATACACTGTTAACATCTGTGTACACTGGACCACATTCACATACACTGTTAACATCTGCTAGAGGACTACATTCACATACACTGTTAACATCTGCTAGAGGACCACATTCACAAACACTGTCAACATCTGCTAGGGGACCACATTCACATACACTGTTAACATCTGCTAGGGGACCACATTCACATACACTGTTAATATCTGCTAGGGGACCACATTCACATACACTGTTAACATCTGCTAGGGGACCACATTCACATACACTGTTAACATCTGCTAGGGGACCACATTCACATACACTGTTAACATCTGCTAGGGGACCACATTCACATACACTGTTAACATTCGCTAGGGGACCACATTCACATACACTGTTAACATCTGCTAGGGGACCACATTCACATACACTGTTAACATCTGCTAGAGGACCACATTCACATACACTGTTAACATCTGCTAGGGGACCACATTCACATACACTGTTAACATCTGCTAGGGGACCACATTCACATACACTGTTAACATCTGCTAGGGGACCACATTCACATACACTGTTAACATCTGCTAGGGGACCACATTCACATACACTGTTAACATCTGCTAGGGGACCACATTCACATACACTGTTAACATCTGCTAGGGGACCACATTCACATACACTGTTAACATCTGCTAGGGGACCACATTCACATACACTGTTAACATCTGCTAGGGGACCACATTCACATACACTGTTAACATCTGCTAGGGGACCACATTCACATACACTGTTAACATCTGCTAGGGGACCACATTCACATACACTGTTAACATCTGCTAGGGGACCACATTCACATACACTGTTAACATCTGCTAGGGGACCACATTCACATACACTGTTAACATCTGCTAGGGGACCACATTCACATACACTGTTAACATCTGCTAGGGGACCACATTCACATACACTGTTAACATCTGCTAGGGGACCACATTCACATACACTGTTAACATCTGCTAGGGGACCACATTCACATACACTGTTAACATCTGCAAGGGGACCACATTCACATACACTGTTAACATCTGATAGGGGACCACATTCACATACACTGTTAACATCTGCTAGAGGACCACATTCACATACACTGTTAACATCTGCTAGGGGACCACATTCACATACACTGTTAACATCTGCTAGGGGACCACATTCACATACACTGTTAACATCTGCTAGGGGACCACATTCACATACACTGTTAACATCTGATAGGGGACCACATTCACATACACTGTTAACATCTGCTAGGGGACCACATTCACATACACTGTTAACATCTGATAGGGGACCACATTCACATACACTGTTAACATCTGCTAGGGGACCACATTCACATACACTGTTAACATCTGCTAGGGGACCACATTCACATACACTGTTAACATCTGATAGGGGACCACATTCACATACACTGTTAACATCTGCTAGGGGACCACATTCACATACACTGTTAACATCTGCTAGGGGACCACATTCACATACACTGTTAACATCTGATAGGGGACCACATTCACATACACTGTTAACATCTGCTAGGGGACCACATTCACATACACTGTTAACATCTGATAGGGGACCACATTCACATACACTGTTAACATCTGCTAGGGGACCACATTCACATACACTGTTAACATCTGCTAGGGGACCACATTCACATACACTGTTAACATCTGATAGGGGACCACATTCACATACACTGTTAACATCTGCTAGGGGACCACATTCACATACACTGTTAACATCTGATAGGGGACCACATTCACATACACTGTTAACATCTGCTAGAGGACCACATTCACATACACTGTTAACATCTGATAGGGGACCACATTCACATACACTGTTAACATTCGCTAGGGGACCACATTCACATACACTGTTAACATCTGCTAGGGGACCACATTCAGATACATTGTTAACATCTGATAGGGGACCACATTCACATACACTGTTAACATCTGTGTACACTGGACCACATTCACATACACTGTTAACATCTGCTAGGGGACCACATTCACATACACTGTTAACATCTGCTAGGGGACCACATTCACATACACTGTTAACATCTGCAAGGGGACCACATTCACATACACTGTTAACATCTGCTAGGGGACCACATTCACATACACTGTTAACATCTGATAGGGGACCACATTCACATACACTGTTAACATCTGCTAGGGGACCACATTCACATACACTGTTAACATCTGATAGGGGACCACATTCACATACACTGTTAACATCTGCTAGGGGACCACATTCACATACACTGTTAACATCTGCTAGGGGACCACATTCACATACACTGTTAACATCTGCTAGGGGACCACATTCACATACACTGTTAACATCTGCTAGGGGACCACATTCACATACACTGTTAACATCTGCTAGGGGACCACATTCACATACACTGTTAACATCTGATAGGGGACCACATTCACATACACTGTTAACATCTGCTAGGGGACCACATTCACATACACTGTTAACATCTGCTAGGGGACCACATTCACATACACTGTTAACATCTGCTAGGGGACCATATTCACATACACTGTTAACATCTGCTAGGGGACCACATTCACATACACTGTTAACATCTGCAAGGGGACCACATTCACGTACACTGTTAACATCTGCTAGGGGACCACATTCACATACACTGTTAACATCTGCTAGGGGACCATATTCACATACACTGTTAACATCTGCTAGGGGACCACATTCACATACACTGTTAACATCTGCAAGGGGACCACATTCACATACACTGTTAACATCTGCTAGGGGACCACATTCACATACACTGTTAACATCTGCTAGGGGACCACATTCACATACACTGTTAACATCTGCTAGGGGACCACATTCAGATACATTGTTAACATCTGATAGGGGACCACATTCACATACACTCTTAACATCTGATAGGGGACCACATTCACATACACTCTTAACATCTGCTAGGGGACCACATTCAGATACATTGTTAACATCTGCTAGGGGACCATTTTCTTATTTTCAGTGCATTTACAAGCTGATATAACATTATCCCGTTTTTTTTCTACTGTTTTATATTAATAAAATTAAGATTTTAAACTTTATTATTAAAAACTACATTTATTTATCTTTGATTTATCACTTTACCTTTAGGCAGTGGTAGTAAAGGTACAATGGCTGACTCTACCTTTAGCCAGTGGTAGTAAAGGTGCAACGGCTGACTCTACCTTTAGCCAGTGGTAGTAAAGGTACAATGGCTGACTCTACCTTTAGCCAGTGGTAGTAAAGGTGCAATGGCTGACTCTACCTTTAGCCAGTGGTAGTAAAGGTACAATGGCTGACTCTACCTTTAGCCAGTGGTAGTAAAGGTGCAATGGCTGACTCTACCTTTAGCCAGTGGTTGTAAGAGGTGTAAAAGAACTGTGTGATTTATAAAGATAACTTTGAAAGTTAGGAACACGCAGCTACTGACCATAATTATAATTATCCGATGTCCTGGCATCACGGACCGCATCACCCTTGACCAATGGTCTGCTGTCATCTCGCCCTTTACGCCCAGAGTTTGGCCTGTTGCTATTGTCATTGGGTTGTATCATCAGCGGCATTTGCCGTTTCTTTTTAGCATTGAGTTCAATGAGGGCTCTTTGGTTCTCAAGTTTGTTGTGTTTGTATTCATCGGGTATACTACAAGAAATCATGACATATACAATAGGAAAATAAATATACTCTTCATATATTTTACAAGAAAATTGAAATACAACACAAACTGTTAGGTCTATGACATAGCTATAGGACAAACTGTTAGGTCTATGACATAGCTATAGGACAAACTGTTAGGTCTATGACATAGCTATAGGACAAACTGTTAGGTCTATGACATAGCTATAGGACAAGACAAACTGTTAGGTCTATGACATAGCTATAGGACAAACTGTTAGGTCTATGACATAGCTATAGGACAAACTGTTAGGTCTATGACATAGCTATAGGACAAGACAAACTGTTAGGTCTATGACATAGCTATAGGACAAACTGTTAGGTCTATGACATAGCTATAGGACAAACTGTTAGGTCTATGACATAGCTATAGGACATGACAAACTGTTAGGTCTATGACATAGCTATAGGACATGACAAACTGTTAGGTCTATGACATAGCTATAGGACAAACTGTTAGGTCTATGACATAGCTATAGGACAAACTGTTAGGTCTATGACATAGCTATAGGACATGACAAACTGTTAGGTCTATGACATAGCTATAGGACAAACTGTTAGGTCTATGACATAGCTATAGGACAAACTGTTAGGTCTATGACATGAAATGATTCCATCTGTAGAAGGTCATCAAATTTGAACATTTTAACATTTAGCAAGAACAGGTCATGAGAACAGGTCATGAGAACAGGTCATGAGAACAGGTCATGAGTACAGGTCATGAGAGCAGGTCATGAGAACAGGTCATGAGAACAGGTCATGAGAACAGGTCATGAGAACAGGTCATGAGAGCAGGTCATGAGAACAGGTCATGAGAACAGGTCATGAGAGCAGGTCATGAGAACAGGTCATGAGAGCAGGTCATGAGAACAGGTCATGAGAACAGGTCATGAGAACAGGTCATGAGAACAGGTCACGAGAGCAGGTCATGAGAACAGGTCATGAGAACAGGTCATGAGAGCAGGTCATGAGAACAGGTCATGAGAACAGGTCATGAGAACAGGTCACGAGAGCAGGTCATGAGAACAGGTCATAAGAGCAGGTGAGGGAATGATGACTGGAGTAAGTGTTAAGATAAAACCAAGTGACCCACCTGCCAGGTGGTCCACTCATGTTGGCATCTGATGAGCTACAAAAGACAGAAAAAATAGTTCACTCTTCTATCCTACTTAAGCAATGGTGCTGTGAAAAGAACATACTCAAGTTATAACTATTCTTTTAGTAAGGCCTGCTAGGATGCTGTCAAAAGAACATACTCCAGTTATAACTATTCTTTTAGTTAGGCCTGCTAGGATGCTGTCAAAAGAACATACTCAAGTTATTACTATTCTTTTAGTAAGGCCTGCTAGGATGCTGTCAAAAGAACATACTCAAGTTATAACTATTCTTTTAGTAAGGCCTGCTAGGATGCTGTCAAAAGAACATACTCCAGTTATAACTATTCTTTTAGTAAGGCCTGCTAGGATGCTGTCAAAAGAACATACTCCAGTTATAACTATTCTTTTAGTAAGGCCTGCTAATATGCTGTCAAAAGAACATACTCAAGTTATAACTATTCTTTTAGTAAGGCCTGCTAGGATGCTGTGAAAAGAACATTTCCATCCCTGCAAATGTCATGTTTCCTACAAAATAAGTGGCACCACTGCAAATGTCATGAAAATGAAAAACTATGGTGTTTACAACATACTAAAACTATATGGCACTCATTAATCTGATAATCTGACATAAGTTAAAAGTTAAATAGAAACCTCACCACACACAAATTTCTAAACATAGCAGTTGATATAAATTACAAACGATGGACGTACCCCAACCTCCGCGTATCCTGGGGGACACCTGCATACATACTTGTGAGGAAGAGAAGGCAGACTGCTCAATTCTCTAGGCACCTACAACTTACTTTGGAGACTTGAAACAGCTGCAGGTTAGCACATTCACAAGCAGCCTGTCATTTCAAATATGGAGGAAAATGTATTTGGAATCAAACAGCCTTACTTTGCTAGAAAAATGTCCACCATTTTGTTTAAAATTTTTAAAAGGCATTTTTTGTGTGGATATTTTTCTCTTTTAAACTAAATTTGTCCGTATAATATTTTTTCTCCCACGAACAAGAAGCGGAGGGGTCATGGGGAGTTCACATAACTTTTGAAATCAGTAGGCCTATAGAATATGTCATAGAAAGACCATAGCTATCTGAGATTGAATGTGATGTCATTTTTATGTTTGCCAACACAAAATGTATCAAACACATCCTTAGGGTCCTGGTGAGTTCACATAAGCAACTCTTGCTACTTGCTGGGGCATCTAGTCCAGTCACCTTTTGCTAGGATTTCAAAATTTGAAGTGCGAAATAAAATGGAAGGCTGAGGTAAAAGGTAGATGGGATGGCTTTAAAAAACAGAAGCCGCTTTAAAATACTGGTAGATAAATTAGGCAATAGTTACACTAACAGCATGCAAAGTTAACAGAAACTAGGCTTGGGGGGATTTTCTTTTCAAGAACTGACACATTTTGGATAACTTTTTCCATATTTTTGGGGGGAAAATATTGAAAATATCGAAAAATTAAGACAAAAAAATTTGTGAATTCTAAAAATGTGTAAATCTGTTAAAATTAGGAATCTTGATCTAGATTTAACCTTAAACTAGTACCGTCATACCTAATCATCCAAAAGAAATGTGCGTTTCCCATCAAATGTTTGAAAAAAATTAACAATAGATCTAGTAGCAGCAGGACAATTTGAATAGCAGGACGATTTGAATAAGAATGTGTGGAATACTGTGGAATGTCAGCTGTTTCTAAAGAGGTCATTTCCAATTTTAATTTTTTTTTTTTTTTTTAAACTTCATAAAAGGTATGCAAAAATTGAAAATAAGCGTAAAATAGGAGTAAATAAGTGAAGGAGTAAATGAGTGAAGGAAATAGCAGCTCAAATGGAAAGATAGGAGTAACTGAGTGAAGGAAATAGCAGTTCAAATGGAAAGATAGGAGTAACTGAGTGAAGGAAATAGCAGTTCAAATGGAAAGATAGGAGTAAATGAGTGAAGGAAATAGCAGCTCAAATGGAAAGATAGGAGTAAATGAGTGAAGGAAATAGCAGTTCAAATGGAAAGATTGGATTTCCATTTGAGAAATCCAAAAAGTCACATCCTGGATTATTTTATTAAAAAAAAAAAGGAAGCCATAACAAACATCAACCTTCTGTAAGTTCTGTTTTTTATATCAATTTTTTATCTTATAAACAATACACTTCGCAATGGTATAGGCTAGGCCAAGATTTAATAAGACAGTTTAAATAATTTTATGTAGACTCTAGAGAGTAGATCTAGTAGTCAATTTAATGAATTAGCAATAATCATTAGCCAATTAGTAGCCTGTTTCATAATGTTAGATGGTGCTATGATAATAATCAACAATTAAAGCTGCTGGTACCCTTTGTGTTTGAGGGGGGATAAATGACATCACTCCAAGTCTGGAAAAAATTTAGTGTTAGAATATCAAGAAATTGATGATCTTATGAGCTATGCCAGTAAAATATGTGCCCCTTTTGGTTCTAATTAAGCCTGAGAGTTTTTACTCTCTTGTATACAGAGTATGGAGGAAGTTTTGGTGTTGAATAATGAACTCATTCCATCTTGATGCAACTAAATACGTCCTCCAGGGATTCCGTCTGACACCTCCCCAACTTTTCAAACCAGATCATGAAATCTCCATGCCCAAGATTAGTACTCAGACTCACGTAATAGCAAGAAACCTCAAGATTATCTTGTTGTGCCAGTATTGTTATATTTATCTGAAATTTTGTCCATTTCTGAGTGCATTACTGTTTGTAAATGTTAAATTGATTAATGTTTAGATTAGATTTTCTTGCTAAATCTAAAATTTACTCAATTTTCAATTTTAACATGACCACTGAATAATAGACATCCTTATTTAATCCATTAGACACTAATTTTTGAAGTTTTTAATTTGTTTTAAACTAAATTACAAAACGTCACCCTTCCATAACAACCATGTTATATCACTCTTACAACGACTCTGTTCACTTTATAATTGGCTATGCAACAGAGTTCCTGACTAGTGATGAACCAGATAAGGGCACGTGGTTTTAAGAAAATAAGAATAAATTGGTTGTGATATGAGAGTTGGTCCTATAAAAAAAGGCTCTCAATATTTGATTTCTTTTTTCATAGACTGATAAAACTTATAATGCTTTACTTACTGGCTCATTTTTTTTTACCTAGGCCTACATGTTGATATTTTATTAATTTTAATGAAACCAACTTTTGAATTTAGCCTCTGTTCTCCAAACCAAATTTTAAAATGCTTTTCTGACATATTTAGCCCTGCCACCCATAGTTTGTTTTTATAATGTGAAAACCCCGCCATTTTGCTCGTGGTAAACATTTTAAACAATAACTCTATGAAGGTCACTGGATCTAAGAAAAATCATCGGAAGTCATACATCCGGTGTGGACCCCATTTTATAGTTAGCAACCGGCCTTGCCTCCTGGTTAGCAAGCTATACTAGTTTAGATAATTAATACATTTGTTAAATGCATGTTATAAAAAACAATGTAGCTTCCCTTTGTTCTGAAATGAGTTTGTAAACTGGTAGTGGGGACTGAAGAGGGATTGAGATCTAATAATAAAATAATATATTTTGAAAGATTTTACAGTTTTACACATACTTTATCATATACGGAATATATATAATAAGGCCCAAGGGTGCATAGTAATTTAGTAGGCCTAATCATTCAAAAATCTAAATTGTGATTTTGACAAATTCTGACATATTATAACCTTCTGGAGATAGATCTAGATCTAGATTAATGATCAATCTTAGTTTTTAAACCCTGTCCGGCTCTTCTTTTATCTACATTTTAATTTTTTATTTAATTTAGTTAAATTTTTAGTAAATTTACTAATTTAGTTAAATTTAGAAATCTAGGATCCACACTAGCCACACACACAGAATGACGGACGATCATTATAAAAGTTGATAGGCCTACATCTAAATTTGTGGAAAATGTTAAAACTTTATTATTAACAGGTATCTAGATCTATATGTTTACAGATTTTATTATTAAGTACACTGACCGTAAAAACGTAAGTTGTGCCGCAAGCAGAGGAATCCGATCGATTCCATAGGTGATATTAATACTTTGCGTTATTTCATGACGTAGTTCCGGGAGAATGAATGCCCTCCCTTTGTAAAATTGTTTACTGTTGTCATGATTCAAAACTATCTCCAATGCGTATTTAAATGGAATACGAAATATGATAATTTAATATTCCTGTAAGTTAAAATTGCGCAAGATAGTACATGAAAAAATATAAATATATTAGTTCACAGATATTATTTATTATTTTTATTATTAATTAATTTAAACGTTACATATACCTATATATATATAGGCCTATATATATATATATATATATATATATATATATAGGCCTATATATATATATATAGGCCTATATATATATATATATATATATATATATAGGCCTATATATATATATATAGGCCTATATATATATATATATATATATATATATATATATATATATATATATATATATATATATATATATATATATATATATATATGTGTGTGTGTGTGTGTGTGTGTGTGGGTGTTTGTGTACATTTGTTAATCTATTTATTTATTTTTACGTATTTATTTGTATTAATTATTTATTTTTACGTATTTATTTGTATTAATTGTATTCATATCAGGATGGTAGCTTAACTTAAAGGAAGCATAATTTTTTTTTCGATTTTTGAGTGCTGGGGAGTGGCATTGTCTTTTCTGGATCTTTAAATATATAAATATTAAATGTATAAATATTAAATATATAAATATTAAATATATAAACATTCCAATACAATTAGGGGGGGGGTACACAATTTAGAGATCGTTACCAAAACAACTGTTTCGTTGAAAAGTCGAGATTTTGATGTTTTCCCAAGCTTTTATCCAACTTACCTGTATCCCTCACTCGTGCTTTTGTCAATTGTATTTCGTAGTGGCTCGAAACTGGCGAGAAAAATTTCGAGCACTTCGACAAGACTGATTTCTGCATTGCGATTAAAATTTTAATTAATAGTGTAAAATAAGCAACACGTTTTTAAAAAGCTTTAAGTCTATGTGCAAACAAAAAGAGGAAGAAGAAAAGATGGGAAGGCACAGGGAGAGGAATGCAGGAAATGATTTTTAAAATTTAAAAAAAAAAACCTCGTGGCGCACGAACGGACTAGGACAGGGGTCTCCAAACTTTTCAGTCCGAGGGCCGCATTAACTATCAAATTTCAGTTCGGGGGCCAGTTAGTTCCAGGCATGTCTTTGATTTTTCTGGGCAAAGTTCCTCAGCCATACCCAACAAACGTTTTTTTCCGAGGACAAAAAGATCGCCGCGGGCCGGATGAGATGTCCTCGCGGGCCGCATCTGGCCCGCGGGCCGTAGTTTGGAGACCCCTGGACTAGGACAACGGGACAGACAAAAAAAAAACCCACAGAGTGCATAAAACTAAGAGTAGTCTTTTTTTGGAATGTGCATCAATGTCTTTCTTAAGGTCCCGACCTTAAGATAGGCGCAGTCGTACAAGCACTGATAGTTCATTATTTTAGTAATTCATCACATTTTCTTCTTTGTTTCAATTAATTTTGATTTCCCGAAAATGGCGGCACTGCTCACCCCCACGCCAAATCCCTTTGTGTGAAAGAAAGTTAAGGATGAACGAAGGGGAATAACTCCTCAATATTTTTAGTTATATCCCTTCGTGTTTTATGATCGGGACGGCGATCGGATGATGGGTGATAAAATAAAAGACACACACACACACAACATTGGCCAGAGGCGTAGCGAGGGGGGTACATATGTCCTCGGGCACCGATCTTAGGGGGCGCCAAAATGAGTTGGAAAAACTAATTGAAAGTTTGAGGGGGGGGGGGAGTGCAAATTGAAAGTTTGAGGGGGGTGCAAATTGAAAGTTTGAGGGGGGGGGGTGCAAATTGCAAGGTTGTTCCCGATGGGGCGCCATATTGAAAGTTTGTCCCGGGCACCCGGAAGGGTCGCTATGCCTCTGATATTGGCTATCTTTCTGAAGGTTGAAGGCTAATTCCTGCATAGCGTAGCTTCTCTGATAATCAATGAACTGGTGTTGAAACATTGTCAAAACAAATCAGTTAATAGTGTTTGTTACATATTTATTTCCTGCATATAGGCCTACATATTACATATATATCAAATGTTTAAAATGTATATTAATAAGCTTTTAAATACACTGAAAATAAACCGGGAATGATCTCCCCTAAACTTTCTTGAATATTCTTATATAACACTACGGGGGATGGCAACTCAGGATATAGACATGATTTTAAATCCATTTTTAATTACTTAAAACTTTTTAAAATAGAATAGAATCTCGTAGAGAAAAGAATTGCGCACTAAGGGAACGGCAAACAATATGTGTATAATAATAATAGCGCAGAACATTATTAGTAGGGGCCTACTTTATAAATTCATATGCGTTTTTTTTGAGAAATTGGAAATAGTTTAAATTACTACTTCCAGTCAACGGAAATTACTCAAAATTTGATAGAAGGCAGAAAATTTGATCTTTAACTTATATGTCATATTTTGTTTATCTTATGAAACAGTACTAAAGTTATAGGATTTTGAAAAACTAAAAGTTGAATAAGTCCCACTTCCGGTTATCAGAAATTGCTAAAAAGTCTATACATAAGTGCAAATTTGATATAATACTTATGTATGAAATTTCATCAACCTAGCTGTAATGGTATTAAGTTACCATGTTGACAGACACACACACATACATACACACACAGACATACAGACAAAATAGCTAAACTATGTTCCCACAAGTTCTAACTGACAAGGTTCCCACAAGTCCTAACTGACAAGGTTATAACACACTTGAGAGTTGAAAAAAAAATCCAAAACCTTTTGGTGTGAAGCACAGGATTTTACTCATGTTAATACGAATACAGGGATCAGCATGAAATACGACAAAATGTCTACAATACAGGGAACAGCTCGATAACGCATAAAACGCCAAAACGTTTATATATTTGTATTTATAATTTTTGCCTGATTAAAATAAGTCCTCTATACTCCGGATGTGATGAAGGACTGAGGAGTAAAACGGTGAAAACTGTCAAAATTTCATGTTATTTTTGTGCACGATTACAATACTTTCTCTATACTTCGTATATACGAGAAAGTAAAAATGGTGGTGTGTTTCTAAGGTTGCCATGCTATTGAATGCTATTTTTAACCCCAGCAGTAACTGTCAACATTTAGGCTGATGCCAACTTCTCCAGGAGACTTGCAAGTACCACCAGGCACCTGTAGAACAACATTCAAGCTTTCATTAGCAACTAACCAATAAAATATGAGCAACACTAACTTGTTTACAAACTAAATACTGCATCACAGTACAAGTTTTCTCAAAGATCTGGTACTGAATTAGATAGTGGAAGGAAAGAATCGGGTTCATGACTTCACCCAACATTCTGATCAAGAACAAAGAAGAAGAAGTTTAGAGTTTGGGCTATGAAGAATTATTAGGCATATTGTATTTGTATACGAACTTAGTCTTGTGTCAATTAATGTTAGCACTACTGCCAGTCAAAAAATAACTACCTTTCTGTCTCTTGTGATCATGCATCCTACTTCACAGCACAGTTTCTTTATCTCTGTTTTTCCTCAAATTTTTCAAATGTCTCAGAAAAAAGAATGGAACTACTAAAACCTTTACATATTTAGTAAATATTATTTACTTCCTTTCGTCCCTTTGTTATCACTTGAGTATTTTGTGACTAGTGTTGAAAATTGTGAATCAATGAAACTATTGGAGAACTTGACCTAGCCTATCTTGCCCCTTGTTTTATCTCCTGAGAGTCCATCCATAAGCTACATTGAGGCCATGGAGTCTTGTAGAATGAAACCAACATTCTAATGATTAGATTAGTATAGCATAAATTAAGTCTAGTTAAAAACTTGAAATAAAATAAAAAAAAGACAAATGTTGAGGGAGAAAACTATTGAGAAAAGTCTGGCACGTCTTGACCAAACTTGGCATTGTGCAGCAGTAGAGACTGTTCCCTGTACACTCTGAAGCATGCATTGCAGTAGCCTTTCTTGACATCACTGCCATAGTTCTGGCAATGGCTCATCCTACACTTGACTAGCTGGAGCCCTAAAAGGTTTATCTCACCATGTTTGTTTCTAACTGGCAAGTTGAGGGGTGTCTGGCTAACTGGCAAGTTGAGGGGTGTCTGGCTAACTGGCAAGTTGTGGTGTGTCTGGCTAACTGGCAAGTTGAGGGGTGTCTGGCTAACTGGCAAGTTGAGGGGTGTCTGGCTAACTGGCAAGTTGAGGGGTGTCTGGCTAACTGGCAAGTTGAGGGGTGTCTGGCTAACTGGCAAGTTGAGGGGTGTCTGGCTAACTGGCAAGTTGAGGGGTGTCTGGCTAACTGGCAAGTTGTGGTGTGTCTGGCTAACTGGCAAGTTGAGGGGTGTCTGGCTAACTGTCAAGTTGAGGGGTGTTTGGCTAGCTGGCAAGTTGTGGTGTGTCTGGCTAACTGGCAAGTTGAGGGGTGTCTGGCTAACTGGCAAGTTGTGGGGTGTCTGACCAGTGAAGGGCTTTGGGCTAGTTGGATGAGATGTGAGGCGAGGTGGAGCCTGCAGGGATTCAGCTGGTTCAGCTATTGCGCTGAAGTGTTTGAGTTTGAAACTGACTTCACTTGAAGTTGCTTCTACACCGGAGTGGTATAAACCTGAAGAGACAGGTAACTGAGAAGTGACGTTTGGTAGAGGATGGTCCATGCTGAGATGTTTTTGGTGTAAACCTGAAGAGACAGGTAACTGAGAAGTGACGTTTGGTAGAGGATGGTCCATGCTGAGATGTTTTTGAGCTGGGCCAGGATGTCCCCTGTAGCAGGAGCTGCACATGCCTGCCTCTGCTGGGTCCCCAAAGTGGGGGCAGCCTGCTGTAACGCATGCCTTGCCCCGCCCTCTCACCTGGCCAGGTGACTGGAGACCAGGAACTGGAGTCAAGTTATTGACTCCGGTCAGGGCTGGCTGCAATATTTGACCTGAGACTTCTGTTGGGTGGGCTACAAGAGTGGAACTTGCTTTTACAAAACTAATGTGACCAAGAGATGATACATAAGGGGGGCTCATTTCTTGACTTCCTGTTGCAGAACTCTCCTGTATTGAGAGTTGAGAAATACTAAATGGGGCTGTGGGTGTGAGAAACTGCTGGCTCTGTTTTCTCTTGTCTTGCTCCAATGTAAAACACTGATGGCAATAAGGAAAAGTTGTGCTGGAGCTTCTGTAGCCACACTTATTGATGCATCTGCTGGCCAGCATGGACATGGGCTCGGCCTCAAGGTACAAGCCAGATGCTGGCGGGGCAGTTGGGCTCAATGGCTGCAAGCTAACAGCACTCCTCAGAGAGGGAGGACCTATTAGCTGCTGACTCTCAACAGTAGAGCCAGTACAACTTTCCTGGCTGACTGCTTGCTCCAGTGACTTGAAATGTTCCATCAAAACATTGCTTGCTATTTTCTCAACAGGGTCAGCACCCAGCTGGGCACATGGTATGGAAATCCCATTGTTTGTCAACTCTTTTGTTTGAAAGTACATTTGAACCAACTGCCAAGCCTTGAGTTCCTCTTCCTCAGTGAGAAACAGAATTGGTAGTGAATGCAGATTGTTGGTAACCAGAGGAAAGACTCTCTCTTCAGCGCCAGTCTGGACGCGAGTTAATAGAGGACAAAAATGGCTGAGGTTGTAGCCCAGAATGATGGGTGTTGGGCAGCATTCTTCAGGTCTCCACTCCAGCGGCAAGTAAATGCCAGCCATGGTGTTCTCCTGCAGGCAGAGGCCAGACACAGACCTGGCCAGGCTGTCAGCAACAACTAGGATTGGCCGTCTCATCATGTTGGCCAGCACATAGACGTGGATGGGCTCCAGGAACTTGTGGGCAGTAGACAGGGGGGAGGGGCTCACGCTGCCAACAATGTCTGCCCACTCAGACTCAATCATCTGAAAGTCAAAATACATCTAGGTCTAGACAAGGAGACTGAAACATTTAGGTCTAGACAAGGAGACTGAAACATTTAGGTCTAGACAAGGAGACTGAAACATTTAGGTCTAGACAAGGAGACTGAAACATTTAGGTCTAGACAAGGAGACTGAAACATTTAGGTCTAGACAAGGAGACTGAAACATTTAGGTCTAGACAAGGAGACTGAAACATTTAGGTCTAGACAAGGAGACTGAAACATTTAGGTCTAGACAAGGAGACTGAAACATTTAGGTCTAGACAAGGAGACTGAAACATTTAGGTCTAGACAAGGAGACTGAAACATTTAGGTCTAGACAAGGAGACTGAAATAAAAATAATAGGGTGTAACCTTAAAACACAAAACCTATATGTTGGTATGACTAAAAATAAAACCCTGGGTGCTCACCTATGGATAATTAATTCCCTTTCATAGAGAGTTCATTAAAAGGTTTATGTTCCATAACATAATATAAGACGTATGTTTCATTTTCATCATTGAGCGCCCAGGCTTTTATTTCTAGTCTTATTTAGCTTCAATAAGGTTACACCAAACTCAATTGATCATTTCCTTTTTAGTACTTTTTTCATGCTTAGTGCTTAATGCTTCGTCCGTCATCGATCAAAACTGCAGAATGAAATTTCAACCATTTCTTACCGACCGGTTTCTCTAATTTCATTGAAACTTGGAATGTGGGTAAAGGCCTGATAACAACGCAATATGACATCAAATGTGAGTAATAAATTTTTAAAGAATTAATTAAAGTTTGCTTTATAAAGTACTATTTTCCATGCTATTATATGCAAATATTTCCTGTTCATTTGGTGTGCAATTGTTTTAATCATGCACAATTTTTAAAGTACTGAAAAAATTCATATAAATTGTTTTAAGAATAAACTTTTATGTAATTATGCACTAAAAAAGAGAAAATGAATGATTTTCTTTAAATATTTAATTATCCACTTAAATTAGTCACTAAATTATCCACTGAATACCTTTAGTAAAATTTTAGCTAAATCGGAGGTGGGTTAAATTAATATTCCAAGATTTGCAGAGCATAAGAAAACTGATTAGTATACATTTTTTAATTTTTAAAAATTCTAAAATTTTGATTTTAATTTTGTTCAGCTAAAATCTGTTTTGTAAAAAAACCGTTTTCATAACATTTTAATTTAAATCAGTAAAATTAAAATATGTTTTATAAAACTTGTTCCAAACATTTGAACATGCAAGGCAAGAATGTGCATCTAAAATTGGCGCCAGTACCTGAGCTGGGGCTTGGGCTATGGCTCTCATCTCTTGAACTCTGCGCCTGCACCACCTGCTCTTGAAGCGGTCATCAAAGTCATTGGTGATGGTGATCAGCAGGAGCTCTCTCAAGACATGCAAGGAATCATCCACACCCCACACAGCTACGGAGGCAGCATGTAAGAGGCAATTTCCATCACCTGTAAGGAATGGTTTTAAATTATCTATTTGATCAACATCTTCTGTTTTCTGAGCATTTTTAAAGAACTGTAATGTAATTCACTTTGCCGATAAAATATAACTCTAATTAATGGAAGAGAAATGATGAAGGAAATCAGACATACGTGGAACAGCAACAGCAAACAATTGTGTAGTACCAGGAGGCCAGTTGAGAAGCTGTCTTGCTGTCAAGTCAGCCATCATATCATTGTCCAGAAGAGTGGCAGCATAGAGCTCCTCAAGCTGTTTGGGCAGGGATTTAAGGGCAGGTAACTGACAGTCATAGTGGCTGAAATCTCGGCTGAAAGTGTAGGGCTTTCTCTTTGTTTCAGCACTGTAGTCAATCTTGCTTTTAATTAGCTGTTGCATACTCAGTTTCTTCCTTTGTATTTCAGCTGCTGATGGGTTTGTATACATTTTACTTTTAGCTGGCTATGTGCCTGGATAAGAAATTTATTTACATTAAAATTAAATTACTTTCTTATACCTATAATATAGATCTATATAATCTATATATATGTATACTAGCTGCATACCCGTGCTCCGCCACTGTAAATCTTTTTTAAATGTACCAACTTGGGAACAGAACAAAACTCAACACAAACACAACACAACCAAAAAAGAAAAAATATATATTTAATATTTTCTTTTCGTTATGCGAAAGAGTAAAAACAGTGACAACTATATAATTAAATTTAAGTCGTTATATAAACAAACCCTACACTATCACTTATAATAAGACAATGCGATGCACTGAAAAGCACTGCATGGTGCGATGTACTTTTATGGTTCCACAATCTATAGCGAGGACTCCCGCAAAAGTGCGCACGGATGGGGTTCCCCGCATTGGGGCTGATATTTTTTAGTGCTCTGCGCTGCTCACCAGTGTCTGTATCTTCAGAGTTTACTGCGCTGCACGCTTCACTATGGTGTGGATATGGATATTACCTCAGAGTTTACCCCCGTAGCTAGTAATGTACGAAAAAGTTACCTCATTGTCAAGGCTTTAATAGAAGTATATTGTGATATATTTGTGTCAAATATTATAGATAAATGAATAATAAACCTAAATCAATGGCTAAATATATCAATATAGGCCAGAAATTAACTTTAAACAGCAGTGTTTGCGAGCAAAATTTGCCATATAAACAGCAGCCATTTGTAAAATAGAGTGGCTTCCCCTGAATCTCGCGATATAAGTTTACAAAAAAAAAAATAAATAAACAAGATGGTTGCTATAGTAAATGAGCATGGTTGCATCTGTTGGAAACATCGTTAGTCTTCATTTATTACTGAAAAGTTTTAATTCAATTGTTTAAAAGCAGGTACATAAATGAAACAAGGAAAAAAATTTGTATTAGTATTTTTCAAAACATAAATCCTCCTCAAAATGTAAAATTATTAAAATTTAGGGAGTCACTTGTTTTTCACATTATTAGTCGCGGGCGATTTTACGTACCTAAAACGATAGATTACCTATTATATATAATAACAGCCTCTATTAAAACTATTTATTTAATTTTAACTCTATAAACTCTATTTTAAATAATTTTTAGTTTAGTATTTTGGTAATGGAAATTCCATACAGTACAGAGAACAGAACCTAGATCTAGTTAGTAGTACTACTACTAAGTCTAGTACCTACCTTTATTTATTTAATTTAGTTAGAATAAGATAGGCCTATCAGATATAATATTTCAATATATATTAAAATATAATATAATATTATAGGCCTATATATTTAAAATATATTAATTACTATATAATATTATTACATACTAATAGTATTAAGTATTACTATTAGTATTAATATTAACTTATATTATTATTATTAGTATTATTATTAACTTAGCCTTTTAATTAAGTATTTTTACACATGGCCTATACTATACTATACTATAGTGTAACTATACTATATAGCATAGGGCCTATGCTGCCATAGGCTATAGGCTATAGGCCTAGGCCTATTCCTTATTAATTATTAATTAATATTAATTATAGATCTTCTAGATCTTACAGTGAATGAGTTAACCTTAGTTTGCTCTCAGTCTTAGAATCGATGTCATAAGTCTTAGATCTAATGTAGACTATTGTAGACCTACATCAGTAGATCAGTAGATATAGATCTAGATCTAGATCTAATTGAAAATGGGAATACCTCATTTATGAATCGGGTATTTCCTGTTTTTTTTTTTTATCATCATAGACTTAAAAAATAATAATAATAATGGAATTTCGCGAGCTAGATTCCCGAAACTCTAAAATTATCAAGTATTCCCACAATGCTAAATATAAAAAAAAACGTGGGTCACTTTAACTATCAAAATGACAAAAAGGCCTTCCTTGATTGATTAAAATATAAAAAGCAGCGCACGCGATTTTATTAAGTAGCCTAATAATTTATTTTAAGGGATGCATCAATTCGGACCCACGGCCGCTATTGGGAGAAGCCAGTAAAATTTTAAAGATTTAGATCTAGTTAAACAATAAGTGTTTTAAGATGTAGAATATATCTTTTCTGTTGTTGTGATTTTATTCTTGTAATTCTAAATGATATATTGAGATATTGCTTTAAATACCCGATATTATTACTTACAAATGCAGAGGCGTAGCTAGGGGGGACATATGTTGGAAAAACTAATCGAAAGTTTGAGGGGGGGGGGTGCAAATCGAAAGTTTGTCCCCGGGCACCGGGAAGGGTCGCTACGCCTCTGTACAAATGTTATGGCGAGCGGGAGTAAGCAGTGTTTCATCTCAGTGTGTGTGTGGGGGGGGGGGGAGGAGACAGTGGCGTGCAGAGCAGTGTTTCTTCCAGACTTTTCTCTCCGGGGGGGGGGGGACTTGACATTTTCGGGGGGGGGGGCGGACACTGTTAAAAGTGTATATTTTATATATAAATTTCATTTCGTTCGGGGGGGGGGGGGGGGTAGAATTTTTTCTTTGCCCCAGGCCCCGGGCATCCAACGGGGTAAAATTATAGTGGGTTTTTTTTGTAAGAAAATTAAAAAATTGTTTAGGTTTGACTACCTAGGCAGAATGATCAATTTGCCAAGGGGTCGTCCATAAATGACGTCACACTCGTAGGGGGCAAGGGGGGGGGGGCGTAATTTTGTGAGCGTGTGATGAGGGGGACGTCACATTTTGGCATTAACGAAAAGTAATGTTGGAAAACTAATTTTAGCCGTTATTTCGCGTTTTAGAAAACTGTTTTAATAAATTGTAATAGGAATTGATTAAAATACTCTATGTTGAGAGAGTTCAGACAAGAATTTGGAAAATATCGATGTTTTAAGAAAAATTCAACTGCAATTTTGAGGGGGGGGGGGTTGTATGCTGAGATGTGACGTCATTTTAGGGGGGGGGGGGGTCTGGCTTTGTGTGACGAAGGGGAGGGGGGCGGTAAAAATCGTCAAAAAATCGTCACCTCACCACCTCAATTGTGAAGAGCGTCATTAATGTCACACCTAGGTATGGCTACAGGACATTAACCCCCCCCCCTCCCCGTCAATTACTCCCGGACATTTCCCCCTGTATTTACCCCCGGAGCAATTACCCCCCAGACATTACTCCCCGCCCAAAAAACAGCAGTAGGACATTACCCCCCCCCCCCCCCCCACGGTCAACTTAAGATCATTATATGTATGGGAGATTGAGAATGTTACTGCTTATGTGGGCTTTTTTTCACTTGATTTATTGGGAAGGAGTGGATTTTAAAAGCGAATGACGAAAATGTAAGTCTTAAATGTGGTGCCGCTCTTTATATAGTCTTTTTATGTCCAGTCGGTTTTAACTTTTGAAGTACATATAATTCTAATTTTGGAAGGCACCATGTGTGGGGAGTGGACTTGTGTGGCAGACGAATGAAATTTGTTACACCCTAAATGTGTTGCCGCTGCTCATAGGGCTTGCGTTTGATGTCCGTCGGTTTGTCTTTTGAGTTGACCGTCGTGCCACCCACGGTGTCGCGTCAAACAAAAGGCGGCTTCTCTTTTGTTGTCTACTTCACAGTCGGTCATTACCGCGGTGTCGGGTATATATTTTGGGTAGACTCGTTCGACGCATCAGTTTATAGATGCAAGTCATCTGAAATATTCGATCTGTCTATGATTCAAAATAACAGAAACTAGATTTTATGTTATTCGTATTTAAGCATGGATAAAGTTCTTGGTATTCGTGGGATTCAAAAAGTGATACACAATGGATATGTTTATGTTAAACAAAAAGATTTAGCAGGAGGTGTGGTTAGTTATGAATGTGAAAAGCGTCGAGGAAATGGAACAAAAATGTCTGAATGCAAAGATAAAATTAAAAACGACACTGTTGTTGGATTTCTGCATCAACACACACATGCATCAGATGTAACACAATGTGAAGTTCTTCAAGTTTGACGCAATATTTAAAAAAGGGCACTGGAAATAGAGGAAACACCCCAACAGATTCTTGGTAGAGATATGCAAAATCTCAGTGAAGCAGCTTCTGTGCAGATGGATCTTATTCAACATCTGCGGCGTCATATTCGAAAACAGCGACAAGCTAATCATGTTCAACATCCTCTTCCAACCGGTCGCTCTACCATTGAACTGCCGGATGAATACAAGAAACTTTCTAGTGGTGAGAATTTCATATTATTTGATAGTGGTGTTGGCGACAAAAACAGAATATTAATATTTGGCACTAATGAATCATCCTCTTTATTAGAACAATCTTTACATTGGTTTATGGATGGAACCTTTAGCATTGTGCCTGATATATCTTTCCAATTATATACAGTTCATGCCCTCATCAGCTGCGATGTCATTGCAGGCCTGTATTGTTTGCTGCCAAACTAAACGACTGAAACCTATCGCCGTCTTTTTATGAAATTAAAAGAACTAATTCCGGCCGCCCGGCCTATTTCAGCTATGCTGGATTATGAAAAATCCGCCATGAATGTTGTTTCAGAATGTTATGAAGGCATACAAATCCAAGGCTGTTTTTATCATTTGACACAGAGCCTATACCGAAAAGTACAGGCTCTTGGATTTCAAACAAAGTACGTGGATGAAGCAGATTTCGCCGTCATGGTAAGGATGATAGGTGCTTTGGCTTTTGTGCCACTAGCAGATGTTATAGATGTGTTTAAAGAACTTCGAGAACATACGGAAAATACCAATGAAATGCAGCAACTGCTGGATTATTTTGAGGATAAATATATTGGAAGAGTAAGACGTCGAGGCCGAGCTATTCCCCTTTATGAGCCTCACATCTGGAAGATACACCACAGGGTGGACAATGAGTTACCTCGTACCAACAACAGGGTCGAGGGTTGGCACCGTAAAATGCAAGCTGCAGTTGCTGCTGACCATCCTAATATCTGGCGCTTCATCAATATTCTTAAACGCGAGCAAGGTTTTCACAAAGTGGTCATCGGTCAGCGACTTGGCGGAAATATCGTAACATCAACTCTCGTATTTTTAACATCGTTAAGGACTATGCCAACAGAAATCACATGGACTATTTAAGAGGGATAGCTCACAATATTCACATTTAAATGTCTGTAAGTTTTCCTCCATTTTCTAATTCAGAAATGTACTATTTTATGTTGTCAGTTTTTTTTTAAATTTTATTCATTTAAGTTCATTTAGATTTTGTTGTATATATTTTTTAATGTTTGTAAGTTTTCCTTTTTTTTTATTTCAGAAAATAAAAATTCAAAAATGTATATTTTATGTTGCTTAATATTAACCTTTACATGTTTGTACATTTAGATTTTGTTATATATATATATATATATATATATATATATATATATATATATATATATATATATATATATATATATATACTAGCCGTCCCGGCCAGGCCCTGCTCTGGCTTCTGTGAAAAAACTTCCTGTTAAAGACCATTACCTGTGTGTTTAGTAATCATCATAAACCCGGCATTGCCCACCCTAACCACAACCAACCAAAACCAAAACAACAAAACGCAAACATAACGCTAACACAATTACAAATACAAACGAAAACAAAAACCTAACAACAAACCCAACCACAACCACCAATACAAACACAAAGAAAAAACAAACAAAAAAGCAAACGAAAACAAAAACCTAACAACAAACTCAACCACAACCACAAACACCAATACCAACCAATAACAACACAAAAAAAAAAAAGAAAAAGCAAACGAAAAATCTGTGAATATTGTTTTTGCAATAACCAGTAAACACTGTGTGAGCAATACAGTGATCTAACCCATACCTACTCATTATGTTAAAAAATTGTCTTTAAAGAAAACAAAAAGTCAGTAGCTAATTAAAAAGTGCATGATCTGAAATGTAAGACCGATATTTTGGCTATATGTAGACTATTATTCCGAAAGTTTTCCTTATATGTTGTTGTTGTTTTGGGGTTTAAAGTCCGCTTTCAAACTTACGTTTATATCGCAGACTATTTCCTTATATATTCAAAAGCTGGCTTTTATACCAACTCTGATTTTTTAAAACTTTCATTATGCTGTAATACTTTAGCATTTATGATGACAATATATTTAATTCTGATTGTAGACAAAATATTTTTGTAAAAACGAATAGTGTTAGGCTACTTTATTAAATTCTTAAGTAATTATTGATTTGTTTTGATATTTATAATAAAATGTGTAGACATATACATATTTATATTAAGATTTTGATTATTTCCCCTTTTCACTTGTCTTAATGTCCCAGAATTATTATGAATTTTTTTTACAAGGATTACGAAACAGATTATGCTGCGTTCATTGTTTTTGGTTGTAGTATATATATATATATATATATATATATATATATATATATATATATATATATATATATATATATATATATATATATATATATATATATATATATATATATATATATATATATATATATATATATATATATGTTGTTTAGAATGATACAATTTTTTTGTTTTGTCGGCCTACATTTGGTTTTTTTTAACTTCTTCAGAGTGTTACTTTAAATTTATTTTACATCATAGCGAAGCAATAACATACAGCTAATATATATGTATAGAAATAAATAAATAAATAAATAAATATATATATATATATATATATATATATATATATATATATATATATATATATATATATATATATATATATATATATATATATAAGATATTTCGAATTCGGCGCCCTTTTTTGCTATTTTCGCTCCCCCTACACCGAAAACATGTATACGCCTCTGGTTACCACCATATTTTGCAAATAAATCAAAGAAAACGAATGAAGTAGAATGACCACGTGCCTTTACTGGAATACATGTTAAATATCCACAAACCTTTAATTATATTTTAGTTTCGTCCGTTGCGGATTGCGTGAAAAAAAAGTGGCGTAGCATACAATTTGTCATACTAGTTCATATTTTTTTCTATTTTGTAATATACCTTTATCATTATGTAACTGGTTTTCAATTTTTAAAAAATAAACATGGGGGGTCATCCATAAATGACGTCACGCTTTTTTGACGATTTTTACCTGTAATAGATTGAGATAATTGTGAGGTCAAGGGAACTCACTCTTCTGTATTAGTATTGTATTTATATTGTTATCTTGAGTGATGTCCCTTACATGTTATGTATATAAGTCTCTCGTGACTTCCGTCTTTCTCTCTTTCCTCATGGTGTGAATAAACGACTGTTAACAACCAATGTGGCTTCTCGTCAGTGATTACAATCTATCACATTACCTCCCCCCTCCCCTCCGTCACACTTCGTCACAAAAAGCCCCCCCCCCCCCTAAAATGACGTCACACCTCAACCTACAACCCCCCTCAAAATTGCAGTTGAATTTTTTTTAAACATTGATATTTTTCCAAAATCTTGTCTAAACTATTACAATTTATTAAAACAGTTATCTAAAACGCGAAATAACGTCTAAAATTCGTTTTCTAACATTGCTTTTTTTATAATGCGAAAATGTGACGTCGCAACATCTGACTTTCTCCCCTCCCCCTCATCACACATCGTCACAAAATTACGGACCCCCCCTCCCCCCTACGAGTGTGACGTCATTTATTGATGACCCCATGTCTGTAATTGTAGTTTGTTGTTTTATAAAACTTGTCGGCCTTTTGTCTTGTCGGCCTTTTGTCTTGACGGCCTTTTGTCTTGACCGCCTTTTGTCCGGACCCCGTCACATGGCATGGAACACGGGTAAAATTCGCTCACCGAAGAACATGAAAAAAAAACGACATCAACAGTTGCGGTCCCACAGGGACCGCAACCCAATAAATTATAACTTAATTTTTTTATCCCCCTTGGCTGGTAACAATGATAATATGTGTTACACAACCCCCATCCTCCCCCCCCCCTCACAAATAAATGTACAATGGATATACATAGACATTTACATTAACAACTCACAATAGTCATAAATAATTAAATTTCAATAATTTCAGTACGGTAGTAGTGACATTACAGTCCTAACAACTCAAATATATTATTTCCTGTAAACCGGTAGAGGCTTCAGTGCTGGTACTGGTCACTACTTGATGCGCCAGGTTGAGTCGCTCGACTGGTCGTCGTTGACGGGTTGACCTCGGCAGCTCCACTGGTGGTTCTGGGGTCATCAATGAGTCATCCGCGTCCGATGCGTTGTCCCTCGCATTCACCTCGTCCAGATGTGGGGCTGGCCTGACAATCACCTGTTCCTGCACTTCCCGGGCGACCACCTCTGGCACGAAGGGCGTCGCCTCAGGTCGAAGTCTGGTTAGGACCACCTTGACTTCCTCACATTCTCCGTCTGTGTCATTTGTTGGTGTCATATCTTTCCACCGTTCACCCTCCGCCACAGTGAGCAGAACTCGACATGGTATAGTCGGGTCGCTGCCAAACACGGCGGCGTCCACCACGTCGTCGGCCTCTCCTCCGGCGGCTTCTCCGACCTCTGCTTGTGTCATGTCTGTCTCCCAAGCGACGATCCTGCTCGTGCTGAGACTGACATTCATGGTGTAGCTGTCTACCCTCCTCACGCGCACCCTCCGGCTGCAACCCTCCTCCACGGCGGAACACCCGACAGCCGTACCTCCAGCCGCTAGGCGAGGTAACCTGAGCTGTGGTTGCTCGACACTGTGATGATCTCGGTGGCGTAAACTTGGGCTGGGAGCTTGGCAGAACACGCATCAGCATCCGCTCCCCGACGCTGATGGACTGGCGTTTCCCTGCTGCTGACCCCGTTCCCTGCCAACTTTCCTCGGACAGTCGCGGACAAAGTGCTCTCTGGACCCACACCCGTAACAAGCTCCTCTGGAGGGCCGCTGTTTCCGGGCTAGGATGTCTGCCACCTTCTCCGCCAGACGGTCGAGTTGTTCCTCCGTGAGCATCAGCGGCGTCGTCTCCTGGCGACCAGCTACCGTTACTGCGTCGACCTTCTGCGCCAGACGGTCGAGTTGTTCCTCCGTGAGCATCAGCGGCGTCGTCTCCTGGCGACCAGCTACCGTTACTGCGTCGACCTTCTCCGCCAGACGGTCGAGTTGTTCCTCCGTGAGCATCAGCGGCGTCGTCTCCTGGCGACCAGCTACCGTTACTGCGTCCACCTTCTCCGCCAGACGGTCGAGTTGTTCCTCCGTGAGCATCAGCGGCGTCGTCTCCTGGCGACCAGCTACCGTTACTGCGTCCACCTTCTCCGCCAGACGGTCGAGTTGTTCCTCCGTGAGCATCAGCGGCGTCGTCTCCTGGCGACCAGCTACCGTTACTGCGTCCACCTTCTCCGCCAGACGGTCGAGTTGTTCCTCATTGAGCATTATCGGCGTCTCCTGGTGAATAGCTGCCGTTACTGCGTCAACCTGGATAGTCCTGTTAGCTGCTTTCGTGGTACACCTTCTTCTGGGCGTCGGCCGCAGTAAAGACACGCTGCTGGTTCAGCCTCGTCATCTCTGACCACAGTCATAAAATTCATTTAAAAAAACGTTTTGATAACAAGCTTTTAAGTACTAATGCACTAAAAAGTAGAAAATAAATTATAGACTATTATTTAAATAACTATAAAGAAAAGTGTGGGTCTCTTTCTAAACATTAGTAAAGGTATCCAATAGATACAGTGACCCACGCTTTTCTTTATAGTTATTTAAATAGTAGTCTATAATTTATTTTCTACTTTTTAGTGCATTAGTACTTAAAAGCTTGTTATTAAAACGTTTTTTATGAATTTTTTTAAAAATTATTTAATTAGTGGTTCATTATTATATTTTCCGATCATTTGTTTTCTTCTTTTTGGTGCATAAGATGTAAAAGCTTGTTAAAAAAAAAGTTTGTATTACTTCTTTATCTTACAGACAACGATACAAGATATTTCTGAACCCTTTCCATCTATAATTTGATTAATGTGACGCCATTTGTATTATTTTCACTTTAAATTCTAATTACATTTATACATTAGTCCTTGAATTTGATCCAAGTTCACATTGTCTCTCTGTATAGATATTGATTTATACACTCTTCCAAGTTATAACATTTTTTTTTCTTATAATTAATTTATACCATCCTATAAACGCTTTTATAAATCGTCGTAAACAAACAAACACAAGCGGTGTTTGTCAGTAATAATTAATGAAACCAGGAAGGGGCGACTGAGATCTATTTTTATCAAAGGGGGTTTTCATGAGTCAGAAGGATAACCACTTCCTTATATGGAACATATTACCCCCCCCCCTCCCATCCCCCCTCTCTATCTCTGTGTAGCCGGGTTGTAGGATGTAAGCAGTCTTATTGTCGATAGCAACATAGATTTGAACTGCACAAATTATAAATTATTAGACGAAATAATAGGCCAACTTAAGTATGACAAGCTCATATATAAAATGCGGTTCTTTAAAGTTAACACGGCTTTAATTTTTTTTTCATTATGAACTACCACTAAAATCACGTGACTTCGGCCATATTTGTTTAAGTTTTCAATCAGGTCTTTCTCAAATTAATGGTCTGTAAATCAATTTTCGACCTTGACCCTGTTCAATAAAGTGTTATCTAGAAGTGGATTATACAAATTGAGTGAGTACATATTTTTAACCATGGCTATCTTGTTATTCTCCTGCCATTTATTATATATGAGTATACCTTGCTTTTTTCTTAGCTCCGCAACTATCAAAAACACTAATTTATAAAATTAAAATCAGTGTAGACTCTATTTATCATTTCCGTGTTGTCGCTTTTAAGTGCTGTCGGGGGCTTTTTACTATCACTATTTTATCCTACTCATTCATACATAATTTTTAAAAATAAAATATAGATTTAGATCTAGATCTAATATTAATTTGAATAACGAGTATATCTAAATCTAAGTTACGTTTAGGCTTGTTCAATTTTTTGTTTGATTCATGTCCAGTGGTACTGTAGGTTACTATAAAAACTTAAACTTTTTAGTAAAGAGATTCCATACATAGTTTCAACAACAAAATCTAGATCTAACATCTTTATTAATAGGAGTTTCGATTTATTGCCATTAGCTAAGTAAGTACTAAGGTGCTCTTTGTTTTTTCTTATTCTTTCGTACTCTTTGTTGAAAAATCAACTAGATCTAGGTATCTAGATCTAGATATCTTTACTAGATCTAGACTCTACTCTTAGTTCTTAGTGATTACACTGAGAGTCTGAGACGGATCAGTACTGACTGACTCTACTCAACTCTACTGTTACACAATACACTGTCTACAGTCTACTCATGAGTACTATAGATCTAGACTAGATATAATAATAATAATATCATATTATAAAAATTAATATTATTATTATTATATCTAGTCTAGATCCTACACTAAGAGATACCTGACTCTGATCAATAGGCTTATTCTAAATGTTGACTTTTTTAGAAATCAGTTTTCAAAAATTTGAAAGCGGGTTGGAGGGGGAAAGCTGTAGGCTGATGTGTGACATTTAGGAGATGTCCAGCATTTGTGATGTGTGACAATGGAGATGGGGTTAAAACTGTTTTAAAAAGCATGACATCATTAAAGGATCACTCCTAAACATCTACAGTGTAAAGCATAAGTTTTTTCCTCTTTATCAACACTGAAAATGTCATGAAAATACACATTCTTTTGTTTAGTATAGTAGGTAACTGTATACTGTATGACATTTACTATTCATTTGCAAAAAGAATGATAAATGTACAAGAAGCTCCTAACTAGTCAATATGGCAGCATTTGTTTAATCAGTTTTTGCTTTTCCACAATTTCAGTGGAGGCTGTAGTGGAGTTTGAATATGTGGCAGAGCAGGAAGATGAACTTTCCTTAAAAGTAGGAGATATAATAACAAATGTGATTACAGCAGAAGGTGGCTGGTGGGAGGGGGAGCTCAATGGGAAGAAAGGCATGTTTCCTGAGAACTTTGTCAAGGTCAGTTTCTAACTCAGGCCACACATTACCACTAACTTGGCCCAAATAATAAATACTGCTTGAAAAACACACCAATCTAAATGTTTTCTTTAGTTAAAAGATCTTTATTTTATCATTTACATATTGTGATTTTTAATATTTAAGGCATATTCAAGTAATAAACATATTTTTAAAAAATTTCAAACCTAAGTTGGAAAATGTTTCTGGAATAGGCTTTAGAGGCAAAGGAGTGAAGTAGAACCTTTTAACGTTGACAGCCCATGTACCAAGTTTATTTAAATTATACATAGTTTTAAAAATGTCTAGGAAGTGATGCCTTTTTCACTATTATCAATGAGTCATCTACTATTTCCTTTGCCAACTGGACCAAATTAGGTTTGAATTCCATGTTTACACTTTTGCAGTTGGTTAAGCGAAGAGAACCAACAGTCACAAAGAAAGAAGAAAAACGAGAAGCAACACAACGAAAATCAGTGAGAGAATTAGCGAACAAATTTAAGGATGGTGTGCCTATAGGAGTAGCCCCAAAAAAGAAAGGTATTTTTACTCACTTAGATTTAACTTAGGAAAATATATTATCAATTTTTTTCACTCATCTATTTATTTATCCTTTGGGTAACCATAGGAAAATCAAAATTGTGAAAATATTTGTATGTTAATATTTTTGTGACTGATGAAAATATATCCTAAGAATGATCCAATGATGAGAACATGCCATTGACCCACTAAGACATTGACACATTTCAGAAAAAAAGAAAAAGTGCAAAGTGTTATTTGAGTACAAGAAAGAGAATGATGATGAACTGGATTTGCAAGTTGGGGAAATTATTGATTTTCATAAGCAGGTAATCAACAATTGCTTTCACTCTGAAAACCAGAATTACTTTCACATTTTACTAAAAAAAATTTTAAAAGTTATTTATTTATTGTAGTTTTTTAGAAGAAGGAAAAAAGAGTTACTTTTTTCAGGGAAAAAACACACTTCTGTTAGGAAAATAAATGATAAAAATAGGTTTTCACATGCATTTTTATTCCCAGAAAACAAAAGTGCATCTATTTTTCTACTAAAATTGGATTAGTATTAGAATAAATACCTTAACTTTGGTTAATTTTATAACATGTTAATGTCACTGTTTGAACCCCTCCACTGAACCTAGGGTTCAGCAGTGTTAGTAAGTACCATTGTATAAGTGGTTTTAAAAAAAAGAACGTTATATAAAATACAAAATCAACTGAGCCATAAAGCTACTTAAAGGAAACCACCAAAAAATTGCTAATCAAGCATTATCATGATCTAGATTTATGATAACAAACTTGGAGTTAATTTTTATTTATTTCATGATTCTTTTTTTTTAATTATAACTGCTCATCCTATTTTTTAATGATCTGTTGGCTTACATTTTGTTTGCCTCTGTTCATCATGTCAGTACTTAGTTAATAATAATCATTAAAAAAGTTTTTAAAAACCCACGTTTTCTGATTGAACTAAAAAGTAGAAAATAAATACTATACATCACTATAATGCATGCGATCACTCTACTATAAGCGATCAAAAACGTGGGGCGCCGAAGTAAAAGTTATATTACTATTGATTAGATAATACTATTGACTTTTATTAGGGAGCTTGTAGAGAGTCAACAGTATAAGAAACTGTAAGAAAAATCACGGCGACCCACGTTTTTGATCGCTTATAGTAGAGTGATCGCATGCATTATAGTGATGTATAGTATTTATTTTCTACTTTTTAGTTCAATCAGAAAACGTGGGTTTTTTAAAACTTTTTTAATGATTATTATTTTCTACTTTTTAGTGTTTGTCTGTTTGTTTGCATTAAAATCTTGCTATCGATTTTATCTTTTCACTTTTTTTTGGGTAAACGAAGACAACTCGTAAAAAGACAACTCGTAAAAAGACAACTCGTAAAAAACACGTTGTGTGAATACGTTACTGACTAGAACACATAGATTTGAACCCGTGTCGAGTGGGATAGCAATCGTGTGCCCAACCACTCGACCATATCGTCTCCCCCATACTGGCCACCAGTTGTTACGTTATGGTTGTTTGTACACAAACACAGCGTGACAACTACTCAGTAAGCAAAAAGAGGGGGAGTGCCGAACCTTGTTTTCATCAAATTACAGTTACTGGGTAATGTCCCTTTTCCCCCACGTTTTTTGGTACAATTATATAGCGGTCTAAAATGATCAATAAAATGTTTCCATGGATTAATTTAGTAATAAAAACAATAGAATATTCAATTGTCATCCAAAACAAAGCTTCCCTGAAAATTGTGCAGGTTAAAATAGTGACTCTGTTTGTGCAGGTTAAAATAGTTGACTCTAGCAACTGTTTGTGCAGGTTAAAATAGTTGACTCTGTTTGTGCAGGTTAAAATAGTTGACTCTGTTTGTGCAGGTTGAAGAAGGCTGGTGGGAAGGTTCCTTGAATGGAAAGCATGGAGTGTTTCCTTCAAACTTTGTGGAGATGCTGGATGAGCCTAGTTCTTCGGATGAAAGTGTTCCCCCTGAAGAAAAAGAGAAAACAGGTACATAAATTACAATCTTTATTTATTTAACTAATTGTGTGCACTATTGAAAAAAAAGTTGTACATGCATTCCAAGCCATACTTGGGGTCAGTATTACTTTTAATCATTCTTAATTTGGTAGCTAGCCTTTAAAATATATATGGAGTTATAACCATTTAATCATTTATAATAAACAATAATAAGCTTTGAATGCTCTGAAAAATCTAAAAAATAAATAAAACTTTCTTCCTTTAATAAAAGCATCCATTGTTAAAAGATATAAGATATTTCATAAGCAACAAACAATTTTATGAAAGAATCATGTTTTTTATGATTTAAAAAATTCAGCTTATCATTCTAAAAAAACATTTTATATATTTTTTTTCTCATTAGTTATAATTAGTTTTCAATAATTCAATAAGGTTGATACCACATACAACTAAAATACTTGCTTAAAAATGCTATTAGTATTAATAGCTTGAAATCTCTTAAAAACAATTATCTGCTCCTTCTTAGTCTGTGGTTGGACTCTTAGGCAAGAAACCATCGAGGAGAGGCCAACAATTTATTTTTTAATTTAGCCACGTTTTACTATGAAATTTTAATGACTAATCTAATGTCTGATTAAATTAAAAATGAGATATTCTTGCAATGTAATCAGAGACTAATTTATCTGTAAAGTTTGAACCAACTCTGCATAGAAAGTGGGTTCAAATTGAGTTACAGGCATTGTAAACTCAATACAAGCTTAAAAAAGGCAGACAAAGAGGAAATAATAATACAAGGAATGATGACAAATAGAATAAGCCCAATAAAAACAGAACCCCATATAAAGGTTTAGTAACGACAGTCTAGATTTTCCAAATCTGCTTAGCAGATATCAGTTGTTGTTATAAAACTATGGGATGACATAGATTGTGTCATGCCTAGAAAAAACAGTCAATTGTTGTTATAAAACTATGGGATGACATAGATTGTTTCATGCCTAGAAAAAAACAACTGGTGTAACACATATTTGTACTTGTTATGTCAGAGCCACAGAGTAAAGATGAAAACTTTCAGACAATCAAAGGGAAAAAAGTGGTTGGGGTAGGGCTTGGCAACATCTTTGGTGCAGGTCCAATCAAACTTCGGCCAACTGCGGAGAGTGGGAAAAAAGAGGTTTGTATAAGTTGTTTAAATAGTTTAGCACTTAAATTAAGATAGTGGGAAAAGAGGTTTCTATTAGTTGTTTGAATAGTCTAAGATTGAAATGAGGCAATGATCCATTGAGCTTGTTGTAGGCTAGTCAAGATGATTTGAATGACTCAACTCTAAAGTCTGATCCACAAATCTCTTTAGGACAACAACAAGGGAGTTAAGCCAACAGAGTCCGACTCAGCACCTGAAGTTGCTAAAAGAGAGAAACAAACAAGTGAGTCTAAGCTTTGTTCAAACTGAACATTTTAGTCAGAAACAAACAAGTGAGTCTAAACTTTGTTCAAACTGAACATTTTAGTCAGAAACAAACAAGTGAGTCTAAGCTTTTTTCAAACTGAACATTTTAGTCAGAAACAAACAAGTGAGTCTAAACTTTGTTCAAAATGAACATTTTAGTCAGAAACAAACAAGTTAGTCTAAGCTTTGTTCAAACTGAACATTTTAGTCAGAAACAAAAAAGTGAGTCTCTACTTTGTTCAAATTGAACATTTTAGTCACCTTTTTATTTCTAAACTTTTTACAAGCGGGACATTTTAGTCACCTTTTTATTTATTTCAGCTCCAAACATTTCATGACATATTTTCTCACAAATTACTTTGAATATGCCATGTGACATGTGACAGTTCTCCTCTGTTTTCAGCTGTTGAGCGAGCCATTGTGCGCTTCTCCTACGCAGCAGAACAACCAGATGAGTTGTCATTAACTGAAGGACAGATAGTCCGCATATTGGACAAAGAGCTAGAAGATGAAGGCTGGTGGAAAGGCGAGGTCAATGGGAAAATTGGTGTCTTCCCTGACAACTTTGTGGAGCTGATTCCTAATGAAGAGGTCAGTTGTAAGGGGAGGTCAGTTGTAAGAGGTCAGTTGTAAGGGGAGGTCAGTTGTAAGAGGTGGTCAGTTGTAAGAGGAGGTCAGTTGTAAGAGGAGGTCAGTTGTAAGGGGAAGTCAGTTGTGAGAGGAGGTCAGTTGTAAGAGGAGGTCAGTTGTAAGAGGAGGTCAGTTGTAAGAGGAGGTCAGTTGTAAGAGGAGGTCAGTTGTAAGAGGAGGTCAGTTGTAAGAGGAGGTATTGAAGAGGTCAGTTGTAAGAGGTGGTCAGTTGTAAGAGGAGGTATTGAAGAGGTCAGTTGTAAGAGGAGGTCAGTTGTAAGAGGAGGTCAGTTGTAAGAGGTGGTCAGTTGTAAGAGGAGGTCAGTTGTAAGAGGAGGTATTGAAGAGGTCAGTTGTAAGAAGAGGTCAGTTGTAAGAGGAGGTCAGTTGTAAGAGGAGGTCAGTTGTAAGAGGAGGTCAGTTGTAAGAGGTCAGTTGTAAGAGGAGGTCAGTTGTAAGAGGAGGTCAGTTGTAAGAGGAGGTCAGTTGTAAGAGGAGGTATTGAAGAGGTCAGTTGTAAGAGGAGGTCAGTTGTAAGAGGAGGTCAGTTGTAAGAGGAGGTCAGTTGTAAGAGGAGGTCAGTTGTAAGAGGAGGTCAGTTGTAAGAGGAGGTCAGTTGTAAGAGGAGGTCAGTTGTAAGAGGAGGTCAGTTGTAAGAGGTGGTCAGTTGTAAGAGGAGGTCAGTTGTAAGAGGAGGTATTGAAGAGGTCAGTTGTAAGAAGAGGTCAGTTGTAAGAGGAGGTCAGTTGTAAGAGGAGGTCAGTTGTAAGAGGAGGTCAGTTGTAAGAGGAGGTATTGAAGAGGTCAGTTGTAAGAGGAGGTCAGTTGTAAGAGGAGGTCAGTTGTAAGAGGAGGTCAGTTGTAAGAGGAGGTCAGTTGTAAGAGGAGGTCAGTTGTAAGGGGAGGTCAGTTGTAAGAGGAGGTCAGTTGTAAGAGGAGGTATTGAAGAGGTCAGTTGTGAGAGGAGGTCAGTTGTAAGAGGAGGTCAGTTGTAAGAGGAGGTATTGAAGAGGTCAGTTGTAAGAGGTGGTCAGTTGTAAGAGGAGGTCAGTTGTAAGAGGAGGTCAGTTGTAAGAGGAGGTCAGTTGTAAGAGGAGGTCAGTTGTAAGAGGAGGTATTGAAGAGGTCAGTTGTAAGAGGAGGTCAGTTGTAAGAGGAGGTCAGTTGTAAGAGGAGGTCAGTTGTAAGAGGAGGTCAGTTGTAAGAGGAGGTCAATGGGAAAATTGGTGTCTTCCCTGACAACTTTGTGGAGCTCATTCCTAATGAAGAGGTCAGTTGTAAGGGGAGGTCAGTTGTAAGAGGTCAGTTGTAAGGGGAGGTCAGTTGTAAGAGGTGGTCAGTTGTAAGAAGAGGTCAGTTGTAAGGGGAGGTCAGTTGTAAGGGGAAGTCAGTTGTGAGAGGAGGTCAGTTGTAAGAGGAGGTCAGTTGTAAGAGGAGGTCAGTTGTAAGAGGAGGTCAGTTGTAAGAGGAGGTCAGTTGTAAGAGGAGGTCAGTTGTAAGAGGAGGTCAGTTGTAAGAGGTCAGTTGTAAGAGGAGGTCAGTTGTAAGAGGTCAGTTGTAAGAGGAGGTCAGTTGTAAGAGGAGGTCAGTTGTAAGAGGAGGTCAGTTGTAAGAAGAGGTCAGTTGTAAGAGGAGGTCAGTTGTAAGAGGAGGTCAGTTGTAAGAGGTGGTCAGTTGTAAGAGGAGGTCAGTTGTAAGAGGAGGTATTGAAGAGGTCAGTTGTAAGAGGAGGTCAGTTGTAAGAGGAGGTATTGAAGAGGTCAGTTGTAAGAGGAGGTCAGTTGTAAGAGGAGGTCAGTTGTAAGAGGAGGTATTGAAGAGGTCAGTTGTAAGAGGAGGTCAGTTGTAAGAGGAGGTCAGTTGTAAGAGGAGGTCAGTTGTAAGAGGAGGTCAGTTGTAAGAGGAGGTCAGTTGTAAGAGGAGGTCAGTTGTAAGAGGAGGTCAGTTGTAAGAGGAGGTCAGTTGTAAGAGGAGGTCAGTTGTAAGAGGTCAGTTGTAAGAGGAGGTCAGTTGTAAGAGGAGGTCAGTTGTAAGAGGAGGTATTGAAGAGGTCAGTTGTGAGAGGTGGTCAGTTGTAAGAGGAGGTCAGTTGTAAGAGGAGGTCAGTTGTAAGAGGAGGTCAGTTGTAAGAGGAGGTATTGAAGAGGTCAGTTGTAAGAGGAGGTCAGTTGTAAGAGGAGGTCAGTTGTAAGAGGAGGTCAGTTGTAAGAGGAGGTCAGTTGTAAGAGGAGGTCAGTTGTAAGAGGAGGTCAGTTGTAAGAGGAGGTCAGTTGTAAGAGGAGGTCAGTTGTAAGAGGAGGTCAGTTGTAAGAGAAGGTCAGTTGTAAGAGGAGGTCAGTTGTAAGAGGAGGTCAGTTGTAAGAGGAGGTCAGTTGTAAGAGGAGGTCAGTTGTAAGAGGAGGTCAGTTGTAAGAGGAGGTCAGTTGTAAGAGGAGGTATTGAAGAGGTCAGTTGTAAGAGGAGGTCAGTTGTAAGAGGAGGTCAGTTGTAAGAGGAGGTCAGTTGTAAGAGGAGGTATTGAAGAGGTCAGTTGTAAGAGGAGGTCAGTTGTAAGAGGAGGTCAGTTGTAAGAGGAGGTCAGTTGTAAGAGGAGGTCAGTTGTTAGAGGAGGTCAGTTGTAAGAGGAGGTCAGTTGTTAGAGGAGGTCAGTTGTAAGAGGAGGTCAGTTGTAAGAGGAGGTATTGAAGAGGTCAGTTGTAAGAGGAGGTCAGTTGTAAGAGGAGGTCAGTTGTAAGAGGAGGTCAGTTGTAAGAGGAGGTCAGTTGTAAGAGGAGGTATTGAAGAGGTCAGTTGTAAGAGGAGGTCAGTTGTAAGAGGAGGTCAGTTGTAAGAGGAGGTCAGTTGTAAGAGGAGGTCAGTTGTTAGAGGAGGTCAGTTGTAAGAGGAGGTCAGTTGTAAGAGGAGGTCAGTTGTAAGAGGAGGTCAGTTGTAAGAGGAGGTCAGTTGTAAGAGGAGGTCAGTTGTTAGAGGAGGTCAGTTGTAAGAGGAGGTCAGTTGTTAGAGGAGGTCAGTTGTAAGAGGAGGTCAGTTGTAAGAGGAGGTATTGAAGAGGTCAGTTGTAAGAGGAGGTCAGTTGTAAGAGGAGGTCAGTTGTAAGAAGAGGTCAGTTGTAAGAGGAGGTCAGTTGTAAGAGGAGGTCAGTTGTAAGAGGAGGTCAGTTGTAAGAGGAGGTATTGAAGAGGTCAGTTGTAAGAGGAGGTCAGTTGTAAGAGGAGGTCAGTTGTAAGAGGAGGTCAGTTGTAAGAGGAGGTCAGTTGTAAGAGGAGGTCAGTTGTAAGAGGAGGTCAGTTGTAAGAGGAGGTCAGTTGTTAGAGGAGGTCAGTTGTAAGAGGAGGTCAGTTGTAAGAGGAGGTCAGTTGTAAGAGGAGGTATTGAAGAGGTCAGTTGTAAGAAGAGGTCAGTTGTAAGAGGAGGTCAGTTGTAAGAGGAGGTCAGTTGTAAGAGGAGGTCAGTTGTAAGAGGTCAGTTGTAAGAGGAGGTCAGTTGTAAGAGGAGGTCAGTTGTAAGAGGAGGTCAGTTGTAAGAGGAGGTATTGAAGAGGTCAGTTGTAAGAGGAGGTCAGTTGTAAGAGGAGGTCAGTTGTAAGAGGAGGTCAGTTGTAAGAGGAGGTCAGTTGTAAGAGGAGGTCAGTTGTAAGAGGAGGTCAGTTGTAAGAGGAGGTCAGTTGTAAGAGGAGGTCAGTTGTAAGAGGTGGTCAGTTGTAAGAGGAGGTCAGTTGTAAGAGGAGGTATTGAAGAGGTCAGTTGTAAGAAGAGGTCAGTTGTAAGAGGAGGTCAGTTGTAAGAGGAGGTCAGTTGTAAGAGGAGGTCAGTTGTAAGAGGAGGTATTGAAGAGGTCAGTTGTAAGAGGAGGTCAGTTGTAAGAGGAGGTCAGTTGTAAGAGGAGGTCAGTTGTAAGAGGAGGTCAGTTGTAAGAGGAGGTCAGTTGTAAGGGGAGGTCAGTTGTAAGAGGAGGTCAGTTGTAAGAGGAGGTATTGAAGAGGTCAGTTGTGAGAGGAGGTCAGTTGTAAGAGGAGGTCAGTTGTAAGAGGAGGTATTGAAGAGGTCAGTTGTAAGAGGTGGTCAGTTGTAAGAGGAGGTCAGTTGTAAGAGGAGGTCAGTTGTAAGAGGAGGTCAGTTGTAAGAGGAGGTCAGTTGTAAGAGGAGGTATTGAAGAGGTCAGTTGTAAGAGGAGGTCAGTTGTAAGAGGAGGTCAGTTGTAAGAGGAGGTCAGTTGTAAGAGGAGGTCAGTTGTAAGAGGAGGTCAATGGGAAAATTGGTGTCTTCCCTGACAACTTTGTGGAGCTCATTCCTAATGAAGAGGTCAGTTGTAAGGGGAGGTCAGTTGTAAGAGGTCAGTTGTAAGGGGAGGTCAGTTGTAAGAGGTGGTCAGTTGTAAGAAGAGGTCAGTTGTAAGGGGAGGTCAGTTGTAAGGGGAAGTCAGTTGTGAGAGGAGGTCAGTTGTAAGAGGAGGTCAGTTGTAAGAGGAGGTCAGTTGTAAGAGGAGGTCAGTTGTAAGAGGAGGTCAGTTGTAAGAGGAGGTCAGTTGTAAGAGGAGGTCAGTTGTAAGAGGTCAGTTGTAAGAGGAGGTCAGTTGTAAGAGGTCAGTTGTAAGAGGAGGTCAGTTGTAAGAGGAGGTCAGTTGTAAGAGGAGGTCAGTTGTAAGAAGAGGTCAGTTGTAAGAGGAGGTCAGTTGTAAGAGGAGGTCAGTTGTAAGAGGTGGTCAGTTGTAAGAGGAGGTCAGTTGTAAGAGGAGGTATTGAAGAGGTCAGTTGTAAGAGGAGGTCAGTTGTAAGAGGAGGTATTGAAGAGGTCAGTTGTAAGAGGAGGTCAGTTGTAAGAGGAGGTCAGTTGTAAGAGGAGGTATTGAAGAGGTCAGTTGTAAGAGGAGGTCAGTTGTAAGAGGAGGTCAGTTGTAAGAGGAGGTCAGTTGTAAGAGGAGGTCAGTTGTAAGAGGAGGTCAGTTGTAAGAGGAGGTCAGTTGTAAGAGGAGGTCAGTTGTAAGAGGAGGTCAGTTGTAAGAGGAGGTCAGTTGTAAGAGGTCAGTTGTAAGAGGAGGTCAGTTGTAAGAGGAGGTCAGTTGTAAGAGGAGGTATTGAAGAGGTCAGTTGTGAGAGGTGGTCAGTTGTAAGAGGAGGTCAGTTGTAAGAGGAGGTCAGTTGTAAGAGGAGGTCAGTTGTAAGAGGAGGTATTGAAGAGGTCAGTTGTAAGAGGAGGTCAGTTGTAAGAGGAGGTCAGTTGTAAGAGGAGGTCAGTTGTAAGAGGAGGTCAGTTGTAAGAGGAGGTCAGTTGTAAGAGGAGGTCAGTTGTAAGAGGAGGTCAGTTGTAAGAGGAGGTCAGTTGTAAGAGGAGGTCAGTTGTAAGAGAAGGTCAGTTGTAAGAGGAGGTCAGTTGTAAGAGGAGGTCAGTTGTAAGAGGAGGTCAGTTGTAAGAGGAGGTCAGTTGTAAGAGGAGGTCAGTTGTAAGAGGAGGTCAGTTGTAAGAGGAGGTATTGAAGAGGTCAGTTGTAAGAGGAGGTCAGTTGTAAGAGGAGGTCAGTTGTAAGAGGAGGTCAGTTGTAAGAGGAGGTATTGAAGAGGTCAGTTGTAAGAGGAGGTCAGTTGTAAGAGGAGGTCAGTTGTAAGAGGAGGTCAGTTGTAAGAGGAGGTCAGTTGTTAGAGGAGGTCAGTTGTAAGAGGAGGTCAGTTGTTAGAGGAGGTCAGTTGTAAGAGGAGGTCAGTTGTAAGAGGAGGTATTGAAGAGGTCAGTTGTAAGAGGAGGTCAGTTGTAAGAGGAGGTCAGTTGTAAGAGGAGGTCAGTTGTAAGAGGAGGTCAGTTGTAAGAGGAGGTATTGAAGAGGTCAGTTGTAAGAGGAGGTCAGTTGTAAGAGGAGGTCAGTTGTAAGAGGAGGTCAGTTGTAAGAGGAGGTCAGTTGTTAGAGGAGGTCAGTTGTAAGAGGAGGTCAGTTGTAAGAGGAGGTCAGTTGTAAGAGGAGGTCAGTTGTAAGAGGAGGTCAGTTGTAAGAGGAGGTCAGTTGTTAGAGGAGGTCAGTTGTAAGAGGAGGTCAGTTGTTAGAGGAGGTCAGTTGTAAGAGGAGGTCAGTTGTAAGAGGAGGTATTGAAGAGGTCAGTTGTAAGAGGAGGTCAGTTGTAAGAGGAGGTCAGTTGTAAGAAGAGGTCAGTTGTAAGAGGAGGTCAGTTGTAAGAGGAGGTCAGTTGTAAGAGGAGGTCAGTTGTAAGAGGAGGTATTGAAGAGGTCAGTTGTAAGAGGAGGTCAGTTGTAAGAGGAGGTCAGTTGTAAGAGGAGGTCAGTTGTAAGAGGAGGTCAGTTGTAAGAGGAGGTCAGTTGTAAGAGGAGGTCAGTTGTAAGAGGAGGTCAGTTGTTAGAGGAGGTCAGTTGTAAGAGGAGGTCAGTTGTAAGAGGAGGTCAGTTGTAAGAGGAGGTCAGTTGTTAGAGGAGGTCAGTTGTAAGAGGAGGTCAGTTGTTAGAGGAGGTCAGTTGTAAGAGGAGGTCAGTTGTAAGAGGAGGTATTGAAGAGGTCAGTTGTAAGAGGAGGTCAGTTGTAAGAGGAGGTCAGTTGTAAGAGGAGGTCAGTTGTAAGAGGAGGTCAGTTGTTAGAGGAGGTCAGTTGTAAGAGGAGGTCAGTTGTAAGAGGAGGTCAGTTGTTAGAGGAGGTCAGTTGTTAGAGGAGGTCAGTTGTAAGAGGAGGTCAGTTGTAAGAGGAGGTATTGAAGAGGTCAGTTGTAAGAGGAGGTCAGTTGTAAGAGGAGGTCAGTTGTAAGAGGAGGTCAGTTGTTAGAGGGGGTCAGTTGTAAGAGGAGGTCAGTTGTAAGAGGAGGTATTGAAGAGGTCAGTTGTAAGAGGAGGTCAGTTGTAAGAGGAGGTCAGTTGTAAGAGGAGGTCAGTTGTAAGAGGAGGTCAGTTGTAAGAGGAGGTCAGTTGTAAGAGGAGGTCAGTTGTAAGAGGAGGTCAGTTGTAAGAGGAGGTATTGAAGAGGTCAGTTGTAAGAGGAGGTCAGTTGTAAGAGGAGGTCAGTTGTAAGAGGAGGTCAGTTGTAAGAGGAGGTCAGTTGTAAGAGGAGGTCAGTTGTAAGAGGAGGTATTGAAGAGGTCAGTTGTAAGAGGAGGTCAGTTGTAAGAGGAGGTCAGTTGTAAGAGGAGGTCAGTTGTAAGAGGTCAGTTGTAAGAGGAGGTCAGTTGTAAGAGGAGGTCAGTTGTAAGAGGAGGTCAGTTGTAAGAGGAGGTCAGTTGTAAGAGGAGGTCAGTTGTAAGAGGAGGTATTGAAGAGGTCAGTTGTAAGAGGAGGTCAGTTGTAAGAGGAGGTATTGAAGAGGTCAGTTGTAAGAGGAGGTCAGTTGTAAGAGGAGGTATTGAAGAGGTCAGTTGTAAGAGGAGGTCAGTTGTAAGAGGAGGTATTGAAGAGGTCAGTTGTAAGAGGAGGTCAGTTGTAAGAGGAGGTCAGTTGTAAGAGGAGGTCAGTTGTAAGAGGAGGTCAGTTGTAAGAGGAGGTCAGTTGTAAGAGGAGGTCAGTTGTAAGAGGAGGTATTGAAGAGGTCAGTTGTAAGAGGAGGTCAGTTGTAAGAGGAGGTCAGTTGTAAGAGGAGGTCAGTTGTAAGAGGAGGTATTGAAGAGGTCAGTTGTAAGAGGAGGTCAGTTGTAAGAGGAGGTCAGTTGTAAGAGGAGGTCAGTTGTAAGAGGAGGTCAGTTGTAAGAGGAGGTCAGTTGTAAGGGGAGGTCAGTTGTAAGGGGAGGTCAGTTGTAAGAGGAGGTCAGTTGTAAGAGGAGGTATTGAAGAGGTCAGTTGTAAGAGGAGGTATTGAAGAGGTCAGTTGTAAGAGGAGGTCAGTTGTAAGAGGAGGTCAGTTGTAAGAGGAGGTCAGTTGTAAGAGGAGGTATTGAAGAGGTCAGTTGTAAGAGGAGGTCAGTTGTAAGAGGAGGTCAGTTGTAAGAGGAGGTATTGAAGAGGTCAGTTGTAAGAGGAGGTCAGTTGTAAGAGGAGGTCAGTTGTAAGAGGAGGTATTGAAGAGGTCAGTTGTAAGAGGAGGTCAGTTGTAAGAGGAGGTCAGTTGTAAGAGGAGGTCAGTTGTAAGAGGAGGTCAGTTGTAAGAGGAGGTATTGAAGAGGTCAGTTGTAAGAGGAGGTCAGTTGTAAGAGGAGGTCAGTTGTAAGAGGAGGTCAGTTGTAAGAGGAGGTCAGTTGTAAGAGGAGGTATTGAAGTATATTGAAGAGCTCCTATTGTAGCTGACCTAACTGTGCTTGTATCTTCCAGCCCAACAAGCCAAAGAAGCCTCCTCTACCTGCTGCCTCTGCCAAACATTCCCAACCATCCAAACTCCCAGACAAGCCATCACTGGAGATTGAGGAGAAAAATAAGACTGGTAGGATTATTCACTTTGTTTGCTTTTTTTAGGCTGCAGCTTTTTTTCTTGTAGTTTGAGAGTTTTCTCATGCCAATCTAGCTTGTAGTTTGAGAGTTTTCTCATGCCAATCTAGCTTGTAGTTTGAGAGTTTTCTCATGCCAATCTAGCTTGTAGTTTGAGAGTTTTCTCATGCCAATCTAGCTTGTAGTTTGAGAGTTTTCTCATGCCAATCTAGCTTGTAGTTTGAGAGTTTTCTCATGCCAATCTAGCTTGTAGTTTGAGAGTTTTCTCATGCCAATCTAGCTTGTAGTTTGAGAGTTTTCTCATGCCAATCTAGCTTGTAGTTTGAGAGTTTTCTCATGCCAATCTAGCTTGTAGTTTGAGAGTTTTCTCATGCCAATCTAGCTTGTAGTTTGAGAGTTTTCTCATGCCAATCTAGCTTGTAGTTTGAGAGTTTTCTCATGCCAATCTAGCTTGTAGTTTGAGAGTTTTCTCATGCCAATCTAGCTTGCATGTGTTAGACATCCAATTCAAGACAACTCAATGCTTCATCTTACCTTATTCTCAAGTATTTGTTTTGAAGTATTGAAATCAATCTCTACCAACTGCCGTACAATTTTAACATTTTCCAGCAAAAGCCATAGAGAAACAAATTTGTCACCAAACTTTTTAGTTGGTTCAATTTATGTTGAAAGAAATTTGTTCCCAAACCATAAGTGTCAAGTAGTGGCCATGTTTTCTGTCAAGTAGTAGCCATGTTTTCTGTCATGTAATGACCATGTTTTCTGTCATGTAATGGCCTTGTTTTCTGTCATGTAATAGCCATGTTTTCTGTCATGTAATAGCCATGTTTTCTGTCATGTAATAGCCATGTTTTCTGTCATGTAATAGCCATGTTTTCTGTTATGTAATAGCCATGTTTTCTGTCATGTAGTGGCTATGGTTTCTGTTATGTAATAGCCATGTTTTCTGTTATGTAATAGCCATGTTTTCTGTCATGTAGTGGCTATGGTTTCTGTTATGTAATAGCTATTTTTTTTGTCATGTAATAGCCATGTTTTCTGTTATGTAATGGCCATGTTTTCTGTTATGTAATAGCCATGTTTTCTGTCATGTAATAGCCATGTTTTCTGTTATGTAATAGCCATGTTTTCTGTTATGTAATGGCCATGTTTTCTGTTATGTAATAGCTATGTTTTCTGTCATGTAATAGCCATGTTTTCTGTTATGTAATAGCCATGTTTTCTGTCATGTAATAGCCATGTTTTCTGTTATGTAATAGCCATGTTTTCTGTCATGTAATGGCCATGTTTTCTGTCATGTAGTGGCTATGGTTTCTGTTCAATTTGAGTTAGGTGTTAGATACAAGCGACATGTGCAGGGATGTGACTTTCCCGAATTTTAGCGGAAATCCGATTTTTCCGTTTCAGCTGCTATTTTCCGCCGATCTTCGATTTTTGCCGAAGTTTTAAAAATTAGGAAAAAAAAACGAAAACGGCCGACTTGCGCATTCCATATATTTGTATTTTAAACGAGAATTACAGTACTTAGGTCAAATATGCACATTTCTTTTTAATTAGACGATTGCGCTAGGTCTGACGGTGCTAGATTAAGATGAAATATAGATCTAGGTTAAGATTCAGAATTTCTGCGAATTTCAGTATTTTTCAGAACGCAATTTTTTGGTCCAAATTTTCCGCTGATATCAGTTGAATATTTATCAAACACACGGGAAAAGTAATCTAAAATAATGCCTTTCTTCAAATGAAACTCGCATCTCCCAAGCCTGGTAATCTAGCTATCGATATAGCCTAATTTATCTTTCTGTATTTTAACCTTCCCAAAATCTGGTAACTCTCTCATTTTATTTAGCTATCTAAAATTAATATTAAAAAATCCTTGCAAAAGGTGACTATGAGGACTAGACTACACCCCCCCCCCCCCCCTTGTAGCAACCGTGGCTCTTGTGACCTCACCTTGACCCCCAAGAACGTGTTTGGTACTGCTTGTGGGGAAAAAAAATTAGAATGACGTCATAGTAATTTCAAATAGCTGTTCCTACAATACCTATGCTATAGGCCTACAGATAAAAAAAAAACTGAACTCAACGCGACTCCGAAGAAAAAATACGATATGGACTGTTTTTAATAAGGGGTCTTCCATAAATAACGTCACTCTCTGGGCGGGGGGGGGGGGGGGATCCGTAATTTTGTGACGTGTAATGAGGGGGATGGGGGGGGTCAGATAGTGTGACGTCATATTTTTTTCATTTAAAAAAAGTAATGTTAGAAACTGAATTTTAGCCGCTATTACGCGTTTTAGAAAACTTAAAAAATTGTAATACAAATTAATTAAAATACCCTACGTTGGTCAAGCTCAGTTAATATTTTAGAAAAAAAATCGATGTTTAAAAAAAAATTCAATTTTGAGGAGGGGGGAGCGGTTGTTGGCTGAGGTGTGACGTCATTTTAGGGGGGGGGGGGGGGTCTGTCTTTTGTGATGGAGAGGAGAGGGGAGGTAAAAATCGTAAAAAAAAACGTAACGTCATTTATGGATGACCTCAAACAATTTACAGCCATTCCAAAAACCAAAATAACGATGTGGTCTGGCTATCAAAATGGTTAACTTTGGTTCACATATCAGACCCTTTTTAATTTCAGCTAATCTGGTCCATTTCATTTTCCATCACATGAACCCAAAACTTTCAAATTACAATTAATCTGAATCTAGGCATTTTACAGTTGAAGACTAACATTTTTACCATGCCAATCTTTAAAAGAAAATAAGGCATAATTTAAAATTGAAAACAAAAGTGTAACTAGACTATATTAGTACACTTTAAATTAGCTAAATGTTGAACATAATTGCCACTTTTGTTACATTGTAATTGTAATTTTTTTTTTAGTTAATAAATTAAACATTAAATTGCAATTAGACAAGACTTTCAATGTCATTTTAGAGTAACATTGTAATTGTAATTTTTTTTAAAAAGTTGTTTATAAATTAAACATAAAATTGCAATTAGACAAGACTTTCAATGTCATTTTAGAGTAACATAATAACTTGTTTTATTTATAATATTAGCTATATTAAACGATTAATTAGAACAGTAATAGCGTGAGACTGCTTTAACTGCCATTAAAAAAATAGACAAAACGTTGAGTTCTTGTCCGAAGAAAATTTCCTAATTTTTTTTCCTGGTCTGGTCACATCCCTGCATGTGCCATCCATCTGTGCTACAGCTAATCTACTCTATAGCTCTCACATTCTCTTCTCTTTGCTACCCATAATGTATCAAGTAGTCCCTTAGTACTGCATAGTTGTGTTCATACTAAAACCTATAAGTTCTTATGAGTTTACCCCCTTTTTTCACTCAGGCAACCCGAGTAGCTTTAGCACACGAAAAAGTAAAACCTACCCAACTTTACCCCCCCACTCTAAGGAGTTGCTCTCCCAGGTCAAGCGAGCTCAGATAGCTAAAGAACTCTCCACCATGATTGATGCAGTTGAACATATGGGAGAAGAAGACACGATGGTCCTTTTTCGCCCAGATGCTCGGGGCAGGCTACACTATTATTATGGTTGGAGGAATTTGTTCCCAAACTTTTCACTTGCCTCCATTATGTTGGAGGAATTTGTTCCCAAACTTTTTACTTGCTTCCATTTATGTTGGAGGAATTTGTTCCCAAACTTTTTACTTGCTTCCATTTATGTTGGAAGGAATTTCACTTTTCAGTTGGTTAAAATTATGTTGAAATAATTTTCACTTTTCAGTTGGTTTAAATTACCTTGAAAGACATTTAACTTTTTAGTTGGTTTGAATTATGTTGTAAAAGAGCTCTGTTCCCAAACATTTTAGTAGCTTCAAGATAAATTACAAGGAATTAGTTCCCAAACTTTTGGATGATACATTTGGTGCTAGCTAAACTATGAGCAGATTTAGTCTTATCACAAAGCTGATGCATCGGTTTCTTGCTACTCTGTTCTTTCATTGGTTTCTTTCATTGATTTCTTGCTACTCTGTTCTTTCATCGGTTTCTTGCTATTCTGTTCTTTCTGCCATTGAAGGTCTGAATTGAATGTGTCTGTTTGTCCCCACCAGAATCGTCCAGTACAAGTGTGAGCAAGAAACCAGTGGCACCTCCACCCATTGGAAAAAAACCTTTGAATCAAAAGTTGCCAGAACAGAGGAGTGAACCCAGCGTGCCAACAAAGCCAGTCTCCATTAAAGACAAGAGCACCAACAGAGATGTGTCAGATGAGCGAGCTTCAGAAGGTAGTTCTACGTTTAGGCACTTAGTTACTGACCACTGACTGGGAGAGACTGACCACTGACAAGGAGAGACTTACCACTGACTAGGAAAGGCTGACCACTGACTAGGAAAGGCTGACCACTGACTAGTAGAGACTGACCACTGACTAGGAAAGGCTGACCACTGACTAGGAAAGGCTGACCACTGACTAGGAAAGGCTGACCACTGACTAGGAAAGGCTGACCACTGACTAGGAGAGACTGACCACTGACTAGTAGAAACTGACCTTTGACTTGACCACTGACATTAAAATGTTTGCATGAGCCATTAAAATGTTTGTATGAGCCATACAAATGTTTGTATGAGCCATTAAAATGTTTGTATTAGCCATACAAATGTGGGAAGAGCCATTAAAATGCTTATAAAAAAGCTCCATTTCCTGTCCTCAGATTCTTCAAGCTTTGATGGCATAGAACCAGCGGGCCAGAAATTGACCCATTTGACTGCCAACAGAGCTAAAGGGCCCAAGAAGCGTCCCCCCTCTACGGTCCTCACACTTAATGTATGCATGCTTGCATGGCTTCTAACATTAGTTAGCTGGTTCTGCTGCAGACATTTCAACCACTAGACTCAGATATCTAAAGACACAACTCATGTTTTCTCTCATAGACTAAATACAACAAACATATCATTCAATCAGCTCAATACCTTAGCAATCATTTATTTGCTCAGATATCTTCAACTAAAAACATATCATTCAATCAGCTCAATACCTTAGCAATCATTTATTTGCTCAGATATCTTCAACTAAAAACATATCATTCAATCAGCTCAATACCTTAGCAATCATTTATTTGCCGGCCATGTGAAACTTGTATGCTTCACTAATACTAAATGTTGTAAATATGACCGATCCCAGTTGCTGTTAATCCCAGTAAATATCAGCACACAAACTTATAATAGCAAGCTGCCGTTAATGTTTTCCCACCAACTTTGGCGACTGTAAGACATATCAGCACACAAACTTAGAATAGCAAGCTGCCGTTAATGTTTTCCCACCAACTTTAGGGACTGTAAGACATATCAGCCCACAAACTTAGAATAGCAAGCTGCCGTTAATGTTTTCCCACCAACTTTGGATGTAAGACATATCAGCACATAAACTTAGAATAGCAAGCTGCCGTTAATGTTTTCCCACCAACTTTGGCGACTGTAAGACATATCAGCACACAAACTTAGAATAGCAAGCTGCCGTTAATGTTTTCCCACCAACTTTGGCGACTGTAAGACATATCAGCACACAAACTTAGAATAGCAAGCTGCCATTAATGTTTTCCCACCAACTTTGGCTGTAAGACATATCAGCCCACAAACTTAGAATAGCAAGCTGCCGTTAATGTTTTCCCACCAACTTTGGCGACTGTAAGACATATCAGCACATAAACTTAGAATAGCAAGCTGCCATTAATGTTTTCCCACCAACTTTAGGGACTGTAAGACATATCAGCACACAAACTTAGAATAGCAAGCTGCCGTTAATGTTTTCCCACCAACTTTAGGGACTGTAAGACATATCAGCACATAAACTTAGAATAGCAAGCTGCCGTTAATGTTTTCCCACCAACTTTAGGGACTGTAAGACATATCAGCACACAAACTTAGACTAGCAAGCTGCCGTTAATGTTTTCCCACCAACTTTAGGGACTGAAAGACATATCAGCCTACAAACTTAGAATAGCAAGCTGCCGTTAATGTTTTCCCACCAACTTTAGGGACTGTAAGACATATCAGCACACAAACTTAGACTAGCAAGCTGCCGTTAATGTTTTCCCACCAACTTTAGGGACTGTAAGACATATCAGCCCACAAACTTAGAATAGCAAGCTGCCGTTAATGTTTTCCCACCAACTTTAGGGACTGTAAGACATATCAGCACACAAACTTAGACTAGCAAGCTGCCGTTAATGTTTTCCCACCAACTTTAGGGACTGAAAGACATATCAGCCTACAAACTTAGAATAGCAAGCTGCCGTTAATGTTTTCCCACCAACTTTGGCGACTGTAAGACATATCAGCCCACAAACTTAGAATAGCGAGCTGCCGTTAATGTTTTCCCACCAACTTTAGGGACTGTAAGACATATCAGCACACAAACTTAGACTAGCAAGCTGCCGTTAATGTTTTCCCACCAACTTTAGGGACTGTAAGACATATCAGCCCACAAACTTAGAATAGCAAGCTGCCGTTAATGTTTTCCCACCAACTTTGGCGACTGTAAGACATATCAGCCCACAAACTTAGAATAGCAAGCTGCCGTTAATGTTTTCCCACCAACTTTAGGGACTGTAAGACATATCAGCCCACAAACTTAGAATAGCAAGCTGCCGTTAATGTTTTCCCACCAACTTTGGCGACTGTAAGACATATCAGCCCACAAACTTAGAATAGCAAGCTGCCGTTAATGTTTTCCCACCAACTTTAGGGACTGAAAGACATATCAGCCTACAAACTTAGAATAGCAAGCTGCCGTTAATGTTTTCCCACCAACTTTGGCGACTGTAAGACATATCAGCACATAAACTTAGAATAGCAAGCTGCCGTTAATGTTTTCCCACCAACTTTAGGGACTGTAAGACATATCAGCACACAAACTTAGAATAGCAAGCTGCCGTTAATGTTTTCCCACCAACTTTGGCGACTGTAAGACATATCAGCCCACAAACTTAGAATAGCAAGCTGCCGTTAATGTTTTCCCACCAACTTTAGGGACTGTAAGACATATCAGCCCACAAACTTAGAATAGCAAGCTGCCGTTAATGTTTTCCCACCAACTTTAGGGACTGTAAGACATATCAGCACACAAACTTAGAATAGCAAGCTGCCGTTAATGTTTTCCCAACAAACTTTGGCGACTGTAAGACATATCAGCACACAAACTTAGAATAGCAAGCTGCCGTTAATGTTTTCCCACCAACTTTAGGGACTGTAAGACATATCAGCCCACAAACTTAGAATAGCAAGCTGCCGTTAATCTTTTCCCACCAACTTTAGGGACTGTAAGACATATCAGCCCACAAACTTAGAATAGCAAGCTGCCGTTAATGTTTTCCCACCAACTTTGACTGTAAGACATATCAGCACACAAACTTAGACTAGCAAGCTGCCGTTAATGTTTTCCCACCAACTTTAGGGACTGTAAGACATATCAGCCCACAAACTTAGAATAGCAAGCTGCCGTTAATGTTTTCCCACCAACTTTGGTGACTGTAAGACATATCAGCCCACAAACTTAGAATAGCAAGCTGCCGTTAATGTTTTCCCACCAACTTTGTAAGACTTTGCTTGGACAGGACATTGAGTAGTGTTTTTTGTTTAGTGCAGCATTTTTTGTTGACCACATGAAGTAGCTGGGCTAGCTTGGTATTGTAGTTGGGCTAGTCTGGTATTGTAGCTGGGCTAGTCTGGTATTGTAGCTGGGCTAGTCTGGTATTGTAGCTGGGCTAGTCTGGTATTGTAGCTGGGCTAGTCTGGTATTGTAGCTGGGCTAGTCTTTTATTGTAGCTGGGCTAGTCTGGTATTGTAGCTGGGCTAGTCTGGTATTGTAGCTGGGCTAGGTAGGGGCAAGTCTGGTATTGTAGCTGGGCTAGTCTGGTATTGTAGCTGGGCTAGTCTTGTATTGTAGCTGGGCTAGTCTGGTATTGTAGCTGGGCTAGTCTGGTATTGTAGCTGGGCTAGGTAGGGGCAAGTCTGGTATTGTAGCTGGGCTAGTGTGGTATTGTAGCTGGGCTAGTCTGGTATTATCTTATTTGTTGAGCTTCCTCTTGTTTCAGCTATTTGTCCTTGAACTAGCTATACAGCCAGTTAACATAGCTGGGTTATGGGCTCACTGCATTGCCTGTCTATTGATGTAACAATCTTAGCCTACTCCATGTTTCAAATTTGGTTCTTGTGTAGGACAGTTTTCCACGTTTTACTTGTTCATTTGTCATGCTAGTAACATGTGGTTGTTGTGTAAGATGTAGCTAGATGTGGTTGTGTGTGATGTTGCTAGATGTGGTTGTTGTGTAAGATGTTGCTAGATGTGGTTGTGTGTGGTGTTGCTAGATGTGGTTGTGTGTGATGTTGCTAGATGTGGTTGTTGTGTAAGATGTTGCTAGATGTGGTTGTGTGTGATGTTGCTAGATGTGGTTGTGTGTGATGTTGCTAGATGTGGTTGTTGTGTAAGATGTTGCTAGATGTGGTTGTGTGTGGTGTTGCTAGATGTGGTTGTGTGTGATGTTGCTAGATGTGGTTGTGTGTGATGTTGCTAGATGTGGTTGTTGTGTAAGATGTTGCTAGATGTGGTTGTGTGTGGTGTTGCTAGATGTGGTTGTTGTGTAAGATGTTGCTAGATGTGGTTGTGTGTGATGTTGCTAGATGTGGTTGTTGTGTAAGATGTTGCTAGATGTGGTTGTGTGTGGTGTTGCTAGATGTGGTTGTGTGTGATGTTGCTAGATGTGGTTGTTGTGTAAGATATTGCTAGATGTGGTTGTGTGTGATGTTGCTAGATGTGGTTGTTGTGTAAGATGTTGCTAGATGTGGTTGTGTGTGGTGTTGCTAGATGTGGTTGTGTGTGATGTTGCTAGATGTGGTTGTGTGTGATGTTGGTAGATGTAGGTGTGTGATGTTGCTAGATGTGGTTGTGTGTGATGTTGCTAGATGTGATTGTGTGTGATGTCGCTAGATGTGGTTGTGTGTGATGTCGCTAGATGTGGTTGTGTGTGATGTCGCTAGATGTGGTTGTGTGTGATGTTGCTAGATGTGGTTGTTGTGTAAGATGTTGCTAGATGTGATTGTGTGTGATGTTGCTAGATGTGGTTGTGTGTGATGTCGCTAGATGTGGTTGTGTGTGGTGTTGCTAGATGTGGCCCCCAAAGCATGAAATAGTTGTCAACCTGTGTGTGGGAATCTGTTTGCTCTTTGTTTTGGTCCAGCTTCTGGCATCTGGTGCTGGCATACAAATGGATGCTCCAAACTGACATGGAAAATAATTACAAATTGTATTTCACTTTATGCCCAACTCCCTCCCCACATTTTTTTAAAGAAAAAAAAAGCAAGCAGCTAAATAAAGTTGTAAAGAAAGTATTTTCTTGCTCTGACCCACAGGATGGAGAGAAAGATTCTGACACAATGGATGAAATGAAAGTCAGCTACACAGACAGAGCTCAGCTGTCAGACAAACACCAGACATCTATAGAGAAGCTGGACAAGCCTCTGCCTGTTTTACCCCCTAAAGATACCAAACACGTAAGTTTACATAACTAAGATGACATCATTTCATTATACCAAACACACAAGGTTACATAACTAAGATGACATCATTTCATTATACCAAACACGTAAGTTTACATAACTAAGATTACATCATTTCATTATACCACCAGTGACTTTTGACCATGTCTTGTTCAGGGAAAAAATATGATACCTGCAATTGTAATGGCAGTCCACTCAAAATCTTACTGAGTAGCTCCTTAATCTAGGTGTAAATATTGATGAGCTCCACAATCTAGGTGTAAATATTGAGTAGCTCCACAATCTAGGTGTAAATATTGATGAGCTCCTTAATCTAGGTGTAAATATTGAGTAGCTCCACAATCTAGGTGTAACTATTGAGTAGCTCCACAATCTAGGTGTAAATATTGAGTAGCTCCACAATCTAGGTGTAACTATTGAGTAGCTCCACAATCTAGGTGTAAATATTGAGTAGCTCCACAATCTAGGTGTAAATATTGATGAGCTCCACAATCTAGGTGTAAATATTGATGAGCTCCACAATCTAGGTGTAAATATTGAGTAGCTCCACAATCTAGGTGTAAATATTGAGTAGCTCCACAATCTAGGTGTAAATATTGATGAGCTCCACAATCTAGGTGTAAATATTGAGTAGCTCCACAATCTAGGTGTAAATATTGAGTAGCTCCACAATCTAGGTGTAAATATTGAGTAGCTCCACAATCTAGGTGTAACTATTGAGTAGCTCCACAATCTAGGTGTAAATATTGATGAGCTCCACAATCTAGGTGTAAATATTGATGAGCTCCACAATCTAGGTGTAAATATTGAGTAGCTCCACAATCTAGGTGTAAATATTGATGAGCTCCACAATCTAGGTGTAAATATTGAGTAGCTCCTCAATCTAGGTGTAAATATTGATGAGCTCCACAATCTAGGTGTAAATATTGAGTAGCTCCACAATCTAGGTGTAAATATTGAGTAGCTCCACAATCTAGGTGTAAATATTGATGAGCTCCACAATCTAGGTGTAAATATTGAGTAGCTCCTCAATCTAGGTGTAAATATTGATGAGCTCCACAATCTAGGTGTAAATATTGATGAGCTCCACAATCTAGGTGTAAATATTGAGTAGCTCCACAATCTAGGTGTAAATATTGAGTAGTTCCACAATCTAGGTGTAAATATTGATGAGCTCCACAATCTAGGTGTAAATATTGAGTAGCTCCACAATCTAGGTGTAAATATTGAGTAGCTCCACAATCTAGGTGTAAATATTGATGAGCTCCACAATCTAGGTGTAAATATTGAGTAGCTCCTCAATCTAGGTGTAAATATTGAGTAGCTCCACAATCTAGGTGTAAATATTGAGTAGCTCCACAATCTAGGTGTAAATATTGATGAGCTCCACAATCTAGGTGTAAATATTGAGTAGCTCCTCAATCTAGGTGTAAATATTGATGAGCTCCACAATCTAGGTGTAAATATTGAGTAGCTCCACAATCTAGGTGTAAATATTGAGTAGCTCCACAATCTAGGTGTAAATATTGATGAGCTCCACAATCTAGGTGTAAATATTGAGTAGCTCCTCAATCTAGGTGTAAATATTGAGTAGCTCCACAATCTAGGTGTAAATATTGAGTAGCTCCACAATCTAGGTGTAAATATTGAGTAGCTCCACAATCTAGGTGTAAATATTGATGAGCTCCACAATCTAGGTGTAAATATTGAGTAGCTCCTCAATCTAGGTGTAAATATTGAGTAGCTCCACAATCTAGGTGTAAATATTGAGTAGCTCCACAATCTAGGTGTAAATATTGATGAGCTCCACAATCTAGGTGTAAATATTGATGAGCTCCACAATCTAGGTGTAAATATTGAGTAGCTCCACAATCTAGGTGTAAATATTGAGTAGCTCCACAATCTAGGTGTAAATATTGAGTAGCTCCACAATCTAGGTGTAAATATTGAGTAGCTCCACAATCTAGGTGTAAATATTGATGAGCTCCACAATCTAGGTGTAAATATTGAGTAGCTCCTCAATCTAGGTGTAAATATTGAGTAGCTCCACAATCTAGGTGTAAATATTGAGTAGTTCCACAATCTAGGTGTAAATATTGATGAGCTCCACAATCTAGGTGTAAATATTGATGAGCTCCACAATCTAGGTGTAAATATTGAGTAGCTCCACAATCTAGGTGTAAATATTGATGAGCTCCACAATCTAGGTGTAAATATTGAGTAGCTCCACAATCTAGGTGTAAATATTGAGTAGCTCCACAATCTAGGTGTAAATATTGATGAGCTCCACAATCTAGGTGTAAATATTGATGAGCTCCACAATCTAGGTGTAAATATTGAGTAGCTCCACAATCTAGGTGTAAATATTGAGTAGCTCCACAATCTAGGTGTAAATATTGAGTAGCTCCACAATCTAGGTGTAAATATTGATGAGCTCCACAATCTAGGTGTAAATATTGAGTAGCTCCACAATCTAGGTGTAAATATTGAGTAGCTCCACAATCTAGGTGTAAATATTGATGCGCTCCACAATCTAGGTGTAAATATTGATGCGCTCCACAATCTAGGTGTAAATATTGAGTAGCTCCACAATCTAGGTGTAAATATTGAGTAGCTCCACAATCTAGGTGTAAATATTGATGAGCTCAATCTTCTGGTGATCAGAAGTTTGCAGGGGTGCCACTCTTTCAGGATATCTTGGATTTCTAGATTGGAGAATTTTTTTCACTTTCCGGATTCGCAAAGTTTTAGTTTTAAAAATAGACTACCGTTATCTAGTTAGATAACTGTGGATTTCAGGGGTCATCCATAAATGACATCACGTCTGTCAGCACTTATCATCCCAAAATAACCAGACCCCACATTCAAAAAGACATTTTTTATATTTTAAACTCTACTAAACTCTACTTCACCTGCCCAGTGTCCTGCCAAGTCTCAGACATGTTTGAATTTTGAAAAAAAAACAATTCTGCCGAGCATGGCTCTGACCACACTATCCCTTCATATGCTGAGAACATAGAAACAGGTGAACTTTACTTCACCTGCCCTGTGCCCCGCGAGGTCCTGATAGTCAACCTTATCATTCACATGTAGGCCTTAAGAAAAAAAAATAATTGAAAACATTGTTGTAAAAAGAAAATCTTTTTACTATTACTAAACTCATTGTTCTAAACTTTTATAATTAATGTGGTTAATCTACCTATGAATATATCAATAAATTAATTAACGGCTTTAAATTATTTTGTCATTAACAGTGTGTTTAAGAAGGAACAATAATGCAGATTCTCCCCAATAACAAATCAGAAAAATAAACAAACAAAAAAATGAGTTATCAAACGTTACTATTCAGTCAAAGTTAAGCCATTGTTCTAAAACTTTAAAATTAATGTGGTTAATCTACCTATGAATAAATCAATAAATTAATTAACGTCTTTAAATAAATTTGTGATTAACAGTCTGTCTGAAAACAAAAATTGTTCTCTATCTACATACTATTTTACAGCTCTCCACATAGAGTAGAACCATTTACAATAGTCAATCAGACAAACAAAAAAACAAAAATTCAAACATGTAAACAAACTTGAGTTTTAGTAGCATATAGATTTCCGGGTTTGCAGTTTAAAAAACATAAAGACCGTTTTAAACTTTAGAATTGTTTTAATTAGCGAGACTATTTAACAATTTTACCGCTTATGGCCCTTAACTCATTTTGCGCATGCATAGATGGTACAACGTCCACTGCTAGGCTATGCTAGTAATCAACATGGGATGACGTCATTTGTATGCTGCTACTTTTGGTTTCTATGTTAGTAATCAACATGGGTGTGACATCATTTGTATGCTGCTACTTTTGGTTTCTATGTTAGTAATCAACATGGGTGTGACATCATTTGTATGCTGCTACTTTTGGTTTCTATGTTAGTAATCAACATGGGTGTGACATCATTTGTAAACTAAACTAATAAATTACTTGATTATTATACTTGAAATGAAATTGATAATGAACAAACAAGTTGAGTGTTGGAAACAACGGTTTTCTCCTGTTAATCAGTTATTTTAATAATATCAAGTTTTGGGGGTAGTGGGATAGGTAACCTTAGAAAAGTCATTTTCTGTCAATTTGGCTTCAGAAAATTCCATTTAAACATTAGCTCAATTGCCTAAAAGAAATGTCATTTTACTGTACTTATAATGAGGGTACATATGCTGCATCATTTTATAAATGAGTGACTAACACATCTGTATAATATCTTGAATTTTTCAACAAAAGTCTGGAATTTGTTTATATTGCTATAAATGAGTGACTAACACATCTGTATAATATCTTGAATTTTTCAACAAAAGTATGGAATTTGTTTATATTGCTATAAATGAGTGACTAACACATCTGTATAATATCTTGAATTTTTCAACAAAAGTCTGGAATTTGTTTATATTGCTATAAATGAGTGACTAACACATCTGTATAATATCTTGAATTTTTCAACAAAAGTCTGGAATTTGTTTATATTGCTATAAATGAGTGACTAACACATCTGTATAATATCTTGAATTTTTCAACAAAAGTCTGGAATTTGTTTATATTGCTAAAAATGAGTGACTAACACATCTGTATAATATCTTGAATTTTTCAACAAAAGTCTGGAATTTGTTTATATTGCTATAAATGAGTGACTAACACATCTGTATAATATCTTGAATTTTTCAACAAAAGTCTGGAATTTGTTTATATTGCTATAAATGAGTGACTAACACATCTGTATAATATCTTGAATTTTTCAACAAAAGTCTGGAATTTCAGTTTTGAAATGTTGTATGCGCATTTTATTAAATATACAATACTTAAAATACTAATTTTTGTTTGAATATATAATAATGTAAACATAATATGAACCAAATGTCTAAAAAATAAATGAAATAATTGTCTAATTTAAAATTCTGTGCGACAAGTTTTAGGGTTTTTAAAATTTTGGTTTAAGGGTTGGTAGAATTCTGGGATAGGTTTTCAGGATCCGCTTAAAAAATGAGTGGCACCCCTGTGTTTGTGGCAGCACTGTAAGATTCATTATTGGCACCTTGATGGATACACTTTCTACATCTGGATTCAGCTGTCATTCATTTCATCCTAAATGTTTGTGGTTGTTCCAAAAGTAAAGAGTTTGTTTTATTCTAGCCCCCACCAGATTTGTGTTGATGAAAAAATCATTTCAGGGCAGGAGGGAACTGATTGTTTCCAGGTCCCATGTTCCCAGTTGCTCTAGTGGGGCAAGCCTTATTTTAGTTGCTATTTGCTTGAAGTTTTTTTAACAGGATAGGGTTTTTCAAAATTGGTTACCAGTTCAAAACGGTCATTTATATTAATTTGTGTTTTGTAATTTAAAAAATAATCTTTTTTTTTCTTATTTATGAAATGCAGCAAATCCACCCCCCATCAGAACCTGAGGCTCCATCATTACCCGCACAAGGCCACACATCCTCCGTAACGAGGGAGCGAGATGTCCATATAAGTGCGCCACCACCCAGACCACCAGAACCAAGTTCTAACAAAGGTTGGCACTTTGATGAACTCATCCCATTTTCCTATCACTTGAATTTTAGCACCAAATTTGTATGCAACATTTGGACTGGTTTCATATTTCTAATTTTCAATGTTTTACAACCTCTCCCCCCCCCCCCCGGAGAAAAAAGTCTGGAAGAAACACTGATACAGACAAGTGTGGGGGGGAGGGAGGCACAGACTAGTGGGGGGGGGGGAGGCACAAACTAGTGTGGGGGGGAGGCACAGACTAGTGTCACTCTACTTGCTCTGTCAATAGACCAGTATTTTTTCACTCTACTTGCTCTGTCAATAGACCAGTATTTTTTCACTCTACTTGCTCTGTCAATAGACCAGTATTTTTTCACTCTACTTGCTCTGTCAATAGACCAGTATTTTTTCACTCTACTTGCTCTGTCAATAGACCAGTATTTTTCACTCTACTTGCTCTGTCAATAGACCAGTATTTTTCACTCTACTTGCTCTGTCAATAGACCAGTATTTTTTCACTCTACTTGCTCTGTCAATAGACCAGTATTTTTTCACTCTACTTGCTCTGTCAATAGACCAGTATTTTTTCACTCTACTTGCTCTGTCAATAGACCAGTATTTTTTCACTCTACTTGCTCTGTCAATAGACCAGTATTTTTCACTCTACTTGCTCTGTCAATAGACCAGTATTTTTTCACTCTACTTGCTCGGTCAATAGACAGCATTTAAAAGAAGGGCTGAGAAAGATTTGTGTTTACTTGATGCAGGCATCTTCTATGTATTTGATCATTTCATTGTGACAGAACTATCTCTGGTTTTGTTAGAAATAGTTATTAAGGTGTCTGCACTTTTCACTCCAGTCAAATTGGAGTTGAGTAAATAATATAGATATCATCATGATACTAGGAGTTGAGTAAATAATATAGATATCATCATGATACTAGGAGTTGAGTAAATAATATAGATATCATCATGATACTAGGAGTTGAGTAAATAATATAGATATCATCATGATACTAGGAGTTGAGTAAATAATATAGATATCATCATGATACTAGGAGTTGAGTAAATAATATAGATATCATCATGATACTAGGAGTTGAGTAAATAATATAGATATCATCGTGATACTAGGAGTTGAGTAAATAATATAGATATCATCATGATACTAGGAGTTGAGTAAATAATATAGATATCATCATGATACTAGGAGTTGAATAAATAATATAGATATCATCATGATACTAGGAGTTGAGTAAATAATATAGATATCATCATGATACTAGGAGTTGAGTAAATAATATAGATATCATCTTGATACTAGGAGTTGAGTAAATAATATAGATATCATCATGATACTAGGAGTTGAGTAAATAATATAGATATCATCATGATACTAGGAGTTGAGTAAATAATATAGATATCATCATGATACTACACTAGACACTTGGAATCATACAATAGGCTGAAAATGTGCCATATTCAAAACCGTTACCAAAATAAATAAAAACCATTAAAAAAAGAACATTTACCTAAACCTCACACAAAGCCTATATCATAGCTGATCTGACCCTAAACCTAACCTTAATCTTTAACTTAAACCTTGATTGTTGCCTTAGCCTCATTTAATCCAACCAACCCTATTTATTTATTTAGCTTAGTTTAAAGATCTATTTATAGCACACCACATCCCACTGATGCCAATGTACAACATGAGATTTCTTAAAACCTCTGCTCCAACTCTGTTTTGTCCCCAGTAACTCTTTGTTTTGTCCCCAGTAACTCGTTTGTTTCCAGTAAGTCCAGTAACTCTTTGTTTTGTCCCCAGTAACTCTTTGTTTTGTCCCCAGTAACTCTTTTGTTTTGTTTCCAGTAACTCTTTTGTTTTGTCCCCAGTAACTCTTTGTTTTGTCCCCAGTAACTCTTTTGTTTTGTCCCCAGTAACTCTTTGTTTTGTCCCCAGTAACTCGTTTGTTTCCAGTAAGTCCAGTAACTCTTTGTTTTGTCCCCAGTAACTCTTTGTTTTGTCCCCAGTAACTCTTTTGTTTTGTCCCCAGTAACTCTTTGTTTTGTCCCCAGTAACTCTTTTGTTTTGTCCCCAGTAACTCTTTGTTTTGTCCCCAGTAACTCGTTTGTTTCCAGTAAGTCCAGTAACTCTTTGATTTGTCCCCAGTAACTCTTTGTTTTGTCCCCAGTAACTCTTTGTTTTGTCCCCAGTAACTCTTTGTTTTGTCCCCAGTAACTCTTTTGTTTTGTCCCCAGTAACTCTTTTGTTTTGTCCCCAGTAACTCTTTGTTTTGTCCCCAGTAACTCTTTGTTTTGTCCCCAGTAACTCTTTGTTTTGTCCCCAGTAACTCTTTGTTTTGTCCCCAGTAACTCTTTTGTTTTGTCCCCAGTAACTCTTTGTTTTGTCCCCAGTAACTCTTTGTTTTGTCCCCAGTAACTCTTTTGTTTTGTCCCCAGTAACTCTTTGTTTTGTCCCCAGTAACTCGTTTGTTTCCAGTAAGTCCAGTAACTCTTTGTTTTGTCCCCAGTAACTCGTTTGTTTCCAGTAAGTCCAGTAACTCTTTGTTTTGTCCCCAGTAACTCTTTGTTTTGTCCCCAGTAACTCTTTTGTTTTGTCCCCAGTAACTCTTTGTTTTGTCCCCAGTAACTCTTTGTTTTGTCCCCAGTAACTCTTTTGTTTTGTCCCCAGTAACTCTTTTGTTTTGTCCCCAGTAACTCTTTGTTTTGTCCCCAGTAACTCTTTTGTTTTGTCCCCAGTAACTCTTTTGTTTTGTCCCCAGTAACTCGTTTGTTTCCAGTAAGTCCAGTAACTCTTTGTTTTGTCCCCAGTAACTCTTTTGTTTTGTCCCCAGTAACTCTTTGTTTTGTCCCCAGTAACTCTTTTGTTTTGTCCCCAGTAACTCTTTTGTTTTGTCCCCAGTAACTCTTTTGTTTTGTCCCCAGTAACTCTTTGTTTTGTCCCCAGTAACTCTTTGTTTTGTCCCCAGTAACTCTTTGTTTTGTCCCCAGTAACTCGTTTGTTTCCAGTAAGTCCAGTAACTCTTTGTTTTGTCCCCAGTAACTCTTTTGTTTTGTCCCCAGTAACTCTTTGTTTTGTCCCCAGTAACTCTTTTGTTTTGTCCCCAGTAACTCTTTTGTTTTGTCCCCAGTAACTCTTTTGTTTTGTCCCCAGTAACTCTTTGTTTTGTCCCCAGTAACTCTTTTGTTTTGTCCCCAGTAACTCTTTGTTTTGTCCCCAGTAACTCTTTTGTTTTGTCCCCAGTAACTCTTTGTTTTGTCCCCAGTAACTCTTTTGTTTTGTCCCCAGTAACTCTTTTGTTTTGTCCCCAGTAACTCTTTGTTTCCAGTAAGTCCAGTAACTCTTTGTTTTGTCCCCAGTAGCACCAGCCTCCAGCAGTACGGCCCCTAGTTTACAGGTGAGCAGACTTCTAGAGCAACTCCAGCGGGAGCTGAGTGAACTCAAGGCCAATAGTGTCAGCAAAGCAGCATTTCAGGAGTTAAGGGCAGAACATGAGAAACTCAAAGGAGAATTTGAAAGTCTGAGGAACATCCATTCTAAAAAGTTCAGAGAGTTGGAGAACGAGGTAGATGAGGAGAAGAAGCTGAGGTTAACCACACAAGTAGAGATAGAGAGAGTGAAAAAATTTATGTCAGAGACCAATGTTTGAGTCACCAGAAGCACTTGATTCAAGCCCACCCCCACAGAGACCAGTCATTTTCTTTTCTCAACAAATTCTCAGCTCAATGATTCACTCTTCTCCCTGACCTAGTCACACATTCTTCTCCAAGCTGCTTGTTTCTTATTGTAGAATATCATCTGGGACTCATCAATGCTGATCAAGTTTTTTTTGTCAAACATACTATTTAGTCCTCTATTTATTGGCATGCATTCAGACTGTATATTGAGCAGAAAAGGACAGAATTCTTTGATTTCATCTTTAATGAAGTGTCCAGTCCAGCTGGTCTGTACTAGAGTTCTCCCTGGTCCAGCACTAGTCAGAGCTGACTTGCTGGCTAGACACCTGGTTGCTACTAGTTTCATCTCTTGTGGTCACTCAGGTGACTTGCTGGCTAGACACCTGGTTGCTACTAGTTTCATCTCTTGTGGTCACTCAGGTGACTTGCTGGCTAGACACCTGGTTGCTACTAGTTTCATCTCTTGTGGTCACTCAGGTGACTTGCTGGCTAGACACCTGGTTGCTACTAGTTTCATCTCTTGTGGTCACTCAGGTGACTTGCTGGCTAGACACCTGGTTGCTACTAGTTTCATCTCTTGTGGTCACTCAGGTGACTTGCTGGCTAGACACCTGGTTGCTACTAGTTTCATCTCTTGTGGTCACTCAGGTGACTTGCTGGCTAGACACCTGGTTGCTACTAGTTTCATCTCTTGTGGTCACTCAGGTGACTTGCTGGCTAGACACCTGGTTGCTACTAGTTTCATCTCTTGTGGTCACTCAGGTGACTTGCTGGCTAGACACCTGGTTGCTACTAGTTTCATCTCTTGTGGTCACTCAGGTGACTTGCTGGCTAGACACCTGGTTGCTACTAGTTTCATCTCTTGTGGTCACTCAGGTGACTTGCTGGCTAGACACCTGGTTGCTACTAGTTTCATCTCTTGTGGTCACTCAGGTGACTTGCTGGCTAGACACCTGGTTGCTACTAGTTTCATCTCTTGTGGTCACTCAGGTGACTTGCTGGCTAGACACCTGGTTGCTACTAGTTTCATCTCTTGTGGTCACTCAGGTGACTTGCTGGCTAGACACCTGGTTGCTACTAGTTTCATCTCTTGTGGTCACTCAGGTGACTTGCTGGCTAGACACCTGGTTGCTACTAGTTTCATCTCTTGTGGTCACTCAGGTGACTTGCTGGCTAGACACCTGGTTGCTACTAGTTTCATCTCTTGTGGTCACTCAGGTGACTTGCTGGCTAGACACCTGGTTGCTACTAGTTTCATCTCTTGTGGTCACTCAGGTGACTTGCTGGCTAGACACCTGGTTGCTACTAGTTTCATCTCTTGTGGTCACTCAGGTGACTTGCTGGCTAGACACCTGGTTGCTACTAGTTTCATCTCTTGTGGTCACTCAGGTGACTTGCTGGCTAGACACCTGGTTGCTACTAGTTTCATCTCTTGTGGTCACTCAGGTGACTTGCTGGCTAGACACCTGGTTGCTACTAGTTTCCCCTCATCTCTTGTGGTCACTCAGGTGACTTGCTGGCTAGACACCTGGTTGCTACTAGTTTCATCTCTTGTGGTCACTCAGGTGACTTGCTGGCTAGACACCTGGTTGCTACTAGTTTCATCTCTTGTGGTCACTCAGGTGACTTGCTGGCTAGACACCTGGTTGCTACTAGTTTCATCTCTTGTGGTCACTCAGGTGACTTGCTGGCTAGACACCTGGTTGCTACTAGTTTCATCTCTTGTGGTCACTCAGGTGACTTGCTGGCTAGACACCTGGTTGCTACTAGTTTCATCTCTTGTGGTCACTCAGGTGACTTGCTGGCTAGACACCTGGTTGCTACTAGTTTCATCTCTTGTGGTCACTCAGGTGACTTGCTGGCTAGACACCTGGTTGCTACTAGTTTCATCTCTTGTGGTCACTCAGGTGACTTGCTGGCTAGACACCTGGTTGCTACTAGTTTCATCTCTTGTGGTCACTCAGGTGACTTGCTGGCTAGACACCTGGTTGCTACTAGTTTCATCTCTTGTGGTCACTCAGGTGACTTGCTGGCTAGACACCTGGTTGCTACTAGTTTCCCCTCATCTCTTGTGGTCACTCAGGTGACTTGCTGGCTAGACACCTGGTTGCTACTAGTTTCATCTCTTGTGGTCACTCAGGTGACTTGCTGGCTAGACACCTGGTTGCTACTAGTTTCCCCTCATCTCTTGTGGTCACTCAGGTGACTTGCTGGCTAGACACCTGGTTGCTACTAGTTTCATCTCTTGTGGTCACTCAGGTGACTTGCTGGCTAGACACCTGGTTGCTACTAGTTTCATCTCTTGTGGTCACTCAGGTGACTTGCTGGCTAGACACCTGGTTGCTACTAGTTTCATCTCTTGTGGTCACTCAGGTGACTTGCTGGCTAGACACCTGGTTGCTACTAGTTTCATCTCTTGTGGTCACTCAGGTTGTGATGGATTAGTTATCTCCCCGCCATCTTGAGCCCTCCTGTGCCAGGAGCTGTAAGACTGAACCAATGTGAGTGCAGGCATCCAAGTCTAAACCTTGTAGCTAGCACAGCTGTAAGACTGAACCAATGTGAGTGCAGGCATCCAAGTCTAAACCTTGTAGCTAGCACAGCTGTAAGACTGAACCAATGTGAGTGCAGGCATCCAAGTCTAAACCTTGTAGCTAGCACAGCTGTAAGACTGAACCAATGTGAGTGCAGGCATCCAAGTCTAAACCTTGTAGCTAGCACAGCTGTAAGACTGAACCAATGTGAGTGCAGGCATCCAAGTCTAAACCTTGTAGCTAGCACAGCTGTAAGACTGAACCAATGTGAGTGCAGGCATCCAAGTCTAAACCTTGTAGCTAGCACAGCTGTAAGACTGAACCAATGTGAGTGCAGGCATCCCAGTCTAAACCTTGTAGCTAGCACAGCTGTAAGACTGAACCAATGTGAGTGCAGGCATCCAAGTCTAAACATTGTAGCTAGCACAGCTGTAAGACTGAACCAATGTGAGTGCAGGCATCCAAGTCTAAACATTGTAGCTAGCACAGCTCAGGCAGGTAGAAAGCTCTGTTTGCTTGCCAACACATTATTCAGAGGGGACCATTAGGGGAGAGGTGCCATGATCAAAAGTATTTATTAAGTCCTAATGCCTTTTTTCTCATCAGTTTGACTCTGTACACATGGATTGCTACATGAAGAGAATTTAGAATGATTGTGGTATCTTCCAGCCATATGTACCAATTTTTTAGTGAATTGATTGAAAGCGAGTCATGAGCTTATTGTAAATAGCATGGCATGTGACCTCTATTCATCTCAGGTCACAGTTTATATTCCTTTGTATTTGTATGTCAAGATGATTTGAACTTAAGCTCTCTGTATGTTGTGTGTCATGTAGCTTCTAAGCTCACCTCCTATGTCCTGCAGCATCTAACTGAACCTTGGTGGAACAGCCAACTGAGACAAAAACTTTCTGACATCCAGCCCACTTCCCCTCCTCTCTGCATTATCTAGCTAGAGCCCCATGGTTGCTTGAGTTTCCATGCTTGGAGTTAGACAGTTTTGACATTTTCAATGTATACCCTAAACAAGTTTCAGTTTTTCATTTTTTTTTTAAATACTTGTATGTTATAATCTTCTATGTAAATATGTGTTAATAAACACACAATTTTCCAGCTTTTTTCTTCAACATTCTAGGCTGGGAAACCTGGCTCTAGACAATCTAGGCTAGGATACCTGGCTCTAGACAATCTAGGCTAGGAAACCTGGCTCTAGACAATCTAGGCTAGGAAACCTGGCTCTAGACAATCTAGGCTAGGAAACCTGGCTCTAGACAATCTAGGCTAGGAAACCTGGCTCTAGACAATCTAGGCTAGGAAACCTGGCTCTAGACAATCTAGGCTAGGAAACCTGGCTCTAGACAATCTAGGCTAGGAAACCTGGCTCTAGACAATCTAGGCTAGGAAACCTGGCTCTAGACAATCTAGGCTAGGAAACCTGGCTCTAGACAATCTAGGCTGGGAAACCTGGCTCTAGACAATCTAGGCTGGGAAACCTGGCTCTAGACAATCTAGGCTGGGAAACCTGGCTCTAGACAATCTAGGCTGGGAAACCTGGCTCTAGACAATCTAGGCTGGGAAACCTGGCTCTAGACAATCTAGGCTAGGAAACCTGGCTCTAGACAATCTAGGCTAGGAAACCTGGCTCTAGACAATCTAGGCTAGGAAACCTGGCTCTAGACAATCTAGGCTAGGAAACCTGGCTCTAGACAATCTAGGCTAGGAAAGCTGGCATCTAGTGTAGAGCTCTGCATATAGTATAGCTCTTTGAGACTTTTCTAGTGAGAGATTGGCTCTGTGAAAATTCGATGGCAATGATAGCCTGTGTGTGGGGATGTACAAGTGTGTCCAATGGCCATTAGATTCCTACACACTGTTGATAGCTTGTATTGGGGAATGTAGAACTTAGTCGAAGTGTGTCGGAGGACCACTAGATTCCTACACACTGTTGGGTCATGTGCTGGGACCAGATACAAAGCTGTGTAGCGCCGGCATCATTCCACTTTTTACTCTTTACAAGTGTATTGTACATAATGTAAGACTATAGCTAGATTTTTAACACTGAATGGTTGATGCTTTTTGTTACCAATGCATTCCAAATACAGAATTATTTGAACAAAGCTTTCATTTGTTGATTCATAGAATAATTTTCTAGGTGTAGGATGTTTTTATTTCCAGTTATAGGATCATTACATTTATACAGATAGCTTTGAGTCCATTTTCTAGTAACATATGTACCTAAGTACCATATACAAGTCTATATTTCCACATGAATAAAATGTTTATTCCAATGAAATGATTAGACTTGTTGAGTGAGTAGATTCTTGTCTGAATGGTAGCAGTTGAGTGAGTAGATTCTTGTCTGAATGGTAGCAGTTGAGTGAGTAGATTCTTGTCTGAATGGTAGCAGTTGAGTGAGTAGATTCTTGTGTGAATGGTAGCAGTTGAGTGAGTAGATTCTTGTCTGAATGGTAGCAGTTGAGTGAGTAGATTCTTGTCTGAATGGTAGCAGTTGAGTGAGTAGATTCTTGTCTGAATGGTAGCAGTTGAGTGAGTAGATTCTTGTGTGAATGGTAGCAGTTGAGTGAGTAGATTCTTGTCTGAATGGTAGCAGTTGAGTGAGTAGATTCTTGTCTGAATGGTAGCAGTTGAGTGAGTAGATTCTTGTCTGAATGGTAGCAGTTGAGTGAGTAGATTCTTGTGTGAATGGTAGCAGTTGAGTGAGTAGATTCTTGTCTGAATGGTAGCAGTTGAGTGAGTAGATTCTTGTCTGAATGGTAGCAGTTGAGTGAGTAGATTCTTGTCTGAATGGTAGCAGGTCAATGATCTGAAGGAAGGAACTTGAAGCTACCTGTATTCACATTACCAAGTGCCACATGAACAAAAGCCATATTCTCACACTAGAGTAATTGTAGCAGTAATTTGTTAAAGTTTGCTGTTTAATGTTGCTTGATTTGCCAATGTTGGTTACAAATTATGAGGTGAAAATGAAGGAAATAATGTATGATAAGCTATCAAAGATCATTTGTGACCCCATCAAATGACAAGAGTCATCTTTTTGTGTATCACACTACTTTATCATGGACAAGCAGGTCTAAAGAGCAACCAATCTTGTTTACTTACTGACAAATGATTGGCTACTTGAGCTCAAACAAAAACTACTTCAACTTAAAGACACAAAGAAAACAATCCTTCTGTTTTGAGCTTGGTAGACATATTAAGTAAATGCTTGCATACAATCGTAACAGTTATTTAAAAAGCACATATGGCCTATTACATTTAAGTAGGCCCACAACACTTATAAGAAATCTTCAGATTATGTTATGATTTGTAACCATGGTTTACCAAATTGAGGGTTGGAAACCTTCTAGGAATTCATGATGGGTTTTCTGAGGAGTTGCCAACTTCAAAAGAAAACAAATATACAAACCTTTATAATAATAAGCTTTTAAATGCACTAAAATAAGAAAACAAACTTGCTTTCTTTTATAAAAGTATGAGATCTCTTTCATATTTTAGCCAACTATGTTTTTATTTAAACAAGTAAGTTTTTTTCTGTGCATTTAAAAGCTTATAATGGGCTTGTAATTATGAAGGTTTTTATATAATTTGTTAATTTTTTTACTTTAGTCATTTGTTCAAAATGACGTTTACAGTTTACACCTTTTAAGCTGTAGGACTAAATATATTTGGTTCAAAACCCAATCAGTAACTTGCAAATGTAAGATAATTTACTGTTCCTTCTTAGTCCATAGTCGACCCTTGAGCAAGATAGTATCCACTAGCCGTGACAAATAGTTTAGGGTCTTTGATTAGCTGATTGCTAGAAATCATATTATCTCCCCTTTTATTGCTGAATTTAGTAATTTTAACATTAAATTTTAATGAACTTAACTGCTAGACTAGATTAAAAATAGATTTTCTTGCATTGTCACAGGAGACAAATGTATCTTGAAAGTTCAAATCAAATCGCTGTATTAGAGTTCAAATTTAGTTACAAGATTTGGCACAAACAATACACATCCAGCATTGTGAACTAATTAAAACGAAAAGCTTATAGGGCCTAATATTTTAATAATATTAATAAAACAAATATTTAAATATCTTTATACTTTATAATAAACTTTTATATTATTACATGCACTGAAAATAAGAAAATAAAATTTCTTTAATTATTATAGCTTTTATTAGCTCAAGAGATATTTTACATATTTTAGTGACCAAAGCTTTGATTGGTATGAAATCAATGTTGTTTACTACATGCTTTTATTTAACTTATTTCCTCTGTCAACAATATCATTCAATATGTATTATTTATGTATCATTGTATGTATTTATGATGTTAATTGTTTGTTATCATAGATTGGAAAGGGTGAGCAAAATTTCGAGCACTTCTCACTGACTGATTCATTACAAACTTGGCGCATGGGTTTAGACCAGAAGACAGTACAATCTTACAACCAATAATACTCATTTGTGAAGTGGATTGAGATCTTATAATTCTAGATAGATAATACAACAGACGAGGAAGCCATTTTTATGTACGCCTTGTTTATTCTGTATCGGAAACGGAAACAACATGCAAGGGACATCACTCCACATTATAAGACTTATAAGAAGAATGAGTCCCCCCCCCCCCCCCAACATAAAGCTTAATATATTACAATTTGGTTGCCTAATTAACTTTTTATGAATGACGTCACACCTCAGCCTACTGCCCCCCCCCCCCTCAAAATTACAGTTGAATTTTTTTTTAAAACATCGATATTATTGAAAATCGTGTCTGAATTCTGTCAAAATATAGTATTTTAATCAATTCCTATTACAATTTATTAAAACAGTTTTCTAAAACGCGAAATAACGTGTAAAATTCGTTTTCTAACATTGCTTCTATATAATGCAAAAGTGTGACGTCGCACTATCTAACCCCCCTTCCCTCCCCCTCATCACACACCGTCACCGTCGCATGTTCATTACTTAGCGACTTGAAACATTTACCAATCGATTCCTGCCATAATTTAGAACAATATTGCCGAAGAAAGTTTTCAAAAATATCCTTTCGTTCGGCCAGAGGCGTAGCGACCCCTCCCGGCGCGAACTTTCAGTTTGGCGCCCCCAATATATATATATATATATATATATATATATATATATATATATATATATATATATATATATGCGTGTGTGTTTGTGTGTGCGACAGTCTGGAAAAAAAATTAACAATTACGCTGATTGTCGTTCCCTAAAACTTCACTTGACGCCAATTAATTTCCCCTTAAGATGCCGAAACGAATAAAAAGTAGAAAATCAAAAGAGCTTAGAACAGTGGGCTCCATCGAACCCGAGAGGTTCGGTAATTCAGTCTCAGGGCTTCCTCGGAGGTCAAGACACACACCCGACTCATAGGATTCACGATCTGATTTTCTCATTGTGGACAATACAACTATTAAGGAGGGTTCGGTGATTGCGCATATGAAACTGGTTGGGTTCGGTACTCCAAAAAGTTAAGAACCACTGCTTTAGAGTTATTTTGTAGAAGTTGCAAGCCTTATTTGACTACTTTTGGTCGTGTCTTTAGAACAATTTCGGTAATAGTAGGCCAATATTGCAATTTTGAATTATCAGTTAAGTTGAACAAAGTAATAATCAGTACAATATACTAATTTTCTTGTCTCTTAACATTTTGGCAAAGAGTATCGCTTCCCATCCACCCGCTAACCCTTTTTTATGTTACACAATCGTAAAATACGCTTTAGTTCAATGGGTTTCTTTTCTGGGCGATATCGGTTTATTCCTTAATCCGGTGTGAATTTTTCCGATTTTAGTCTTCGAAAAAGCGCCCCCCCCTCCCCATATAGGAAAGCTGGAAAGCGGTTTTTCCGGTCACTGTTTCTTAAAGATATACGTTTTACAGTTACACAACCAAGGTAGAAAACAGTTAAATCAGTATGCAAAGGCTCTTAGGCGTTACATTTCTTTATTTTGACTGTTTATAATTTAAAACTGCAGCTTAAAATGAGCTTTTAATTTTTTTTTCTACCCCTTTTGGCGCCCCCCTAGGGTCGGCGCCCGGGGCGGCCGCCCTCCCCGCCCTCCCCTAGCTACGCCACTGCGTTCGGCCACAAAAACTAATTAAGAATTTTTAAACTGAGCGTCCTGTAGGCCTAGGATGATTTAGCGCAAAGCGCTGAGGTTCGAAAGGATTTTACCATAGCGAATGAGCGGAGGTTCGAAAGGATTTTTTCTATTTTGTTTTGAATTATTGAAACTACTTGTGTTGGATTATTTATTTGCTGAATATATGATTCATCTAGATTTAAAATTGTTATGGATAACATAAGGAAATTGCGCTTAAATTGTCACTAGACTTTTTATTAACTTGTTTTTACAAGCTTTTATTTAACTCACTTCCTCTGTCGTCAGTGTTCAGTCTGTCTGTCTGTCTAAATCGAAAGGCCCGTGTGAAATTGCAGGCACTTCTAACTGACAGATACGGTTCGTAGTTGGTACGTGGGTCAAGACATGAAGACAATGCATCGTGACATCCAATTTGACTTAATTGGTCGCCTAATAATTTTTTTTAATGAATTAATTAAAATTTGGACCGAATTAGAAGGCAGTTCTTTTCACACACGTCATCACGGCCGTCTTGGGCGTGGAGCGAGGGGGGGGGGGCGGGCTCTACGACAAAAGCACGTCATCACGCGCAATGGTTTTTAGTCGCGTCAGCAGTCTAGTTCTTTACCAATAGACTACGCCATCTCATAATACTTTATCCACACGCGTCATCACGGCCCTCTTGGGCGTGGAGCGAGGAGGGCTCTACAGTAAAACGGCAGAGAAAGGCAATAAAACGGCAAAAGCGCGTCATCACGTTCAACAGGCGCGCAATGGTTTTTAGTCATGTAACTATTATAAATAAAACATGTTAAGTACTGAAAAAAAATTCATAACAAAAAGTTTTAATAACAAACTTTTATGTAATAATGCACTAAAAAGTAGAAAATAAATTATACACTACTATCTAAATAACTATAAAGAAAAGCGTGGGTCTCTTCCTATCCTAAATTTTAGTAAAGGTAGGCCTAAAGTGACCCACGCTTTTCTTCATAGTAATTTAAATAGTATTGTCTAATATTTAGGAAGAGACCCACGCTTTTCTTTATAGTTATTTAAATAGTAGTGTATAATTTATTTTCTACTTTTTAGTGGATTATTACATAAAAGCTTGTTATTAAAACGTTTTTTTTTAAAAATTAACATTTTTTTTTTGCCTTGTCGGCTGCAGGAACTGGAAGGTTCAAACAGGCAGGGGATATAATTCTAGTAAGCAAAATGTGTTTGATAGAGGGCGCTAGGGAATTTTAATGTTGGCTTTCATTCTTTGCACATCTCATCACAAATTCATTAAGTAAATGGATTTTATTTCACAATCACAAACATTTTTTTTTTGCAGTTAGATCTAGTCTATTAGTCTAGATCTAGCGTGCATTATTATTCTAGTTTTCTCTGTTTTAACTTTAAACGTTGAATTTAGAAAATTAAAAATTTAAGATCGAGAATCTAGAAATCTAGTAGTAGTAGAGGTCTAGAAACTAGAATCTAGATTTCTAGACTCTAGAGTGAGTAGAAATATAATCTAGATCTCTAGACCTAGACGCTAGTTCTAGATCTAGACTAGAAATCTAGTCTAGATCTTGATTTAGATCAAGATCTAGAATCTAGTCAATAACACTGCTAATCTACTTCTGAGGTAACAACCACCACTGTTCTTTGATAACACTATAATAACAGTTAACAGAGAAGCAGAGGATTCATTATATGTAATTTAATACTAATTTTAATTTATGACCCACTTGGTCCAATAGGGAGAGGATGAGACAGGATTTAAAATAATGGTGAACGGAAAAAAAGTCAGTTTTTTGCTAAGAAAAATTCACAATGGAAAAATTTTATTGGATAAAAAGACAGAAATAATGTCACAGAAAAAAGTTACAAAAATCTTTTCAGAAATAGAGTAAAGTTCCATGCACGGTTAAAACACGGGTGCGCCCATCCTGTTTATCGCTTCGTACAATATTTGTTTTGATGTTTTATACGAAACTACCGATATCTGCTGTAAACCTGTCAATTTCTAAATATATCCAGGTCAAATTCTTTTGTTTTCTCCTTCTGGAAGACGAGTTTTTAAATTTTTTAGTTTCGGGGTATGACGTCGTAGGCGATTCTAGTTCCCCCTATGAAAAGCACTAGGTCCCGGATGAGACGAATAAAACCAACCAATCAATTATAGCTAGGTTAACTATAAATAGCTTCTACAATATGTGCAGGACACTGTACATATGATAGATAAGGCTAATATAGCAAACTGATAGGTGAATAGGGGTGGCCGCAGCATGGGTAACGATTTGGGTGGTTTCACCTTGCTGCGTAACCAATGTCTTGAGCTAGACTAGCCTAGATCTAGATGCTCTATATCTCAAGCTAAGTCTAGAATCTATATAATTTCTAATTTTTTCTGTTGTTTTAAATTATTTTGAGCATCTACTTCTTCTAAATCTAGTTTGTGTCTCTACATACAAGCATATCTAAGCAAATGTTACGTTACGTCTTGTTAAAGATTGTTAGTCCCTTTGTTATGATTATTGTAGTTGCGTCCCTTGAGTCATCACTGGGTCATCCGTAATGTGTAGTTAATAAATTTAATTAGGCCTAAAGTGTTTTTTATTTGGTTTTGCAACCTATTAATTAATAATACAATCAACAACACATTTAAAAGTGTAAAATATTTATTTAATTGGATTAAAACATATAAAATACGGATAATTTCTGACGCTATATCGTAATGTTTGTTGAGTTTCATTAACATCCTTTACTGTAGTAAACTAGTCTAAAGTCTAAACCATAGTTTATTTTACTATTGAATGTTTGAAATGAAAATAAAGTCAAGTGCATGAAATTAATGTTTTAACTTGAGCCTAATTTAAATTTTAATTGACTGAAAATTAGCAACAATTAGTAGATCTAGGCCTAAATTTATATATTACAATTGTTATATATTTATATATATAGGCCTATATATGCACTACTACACCTTTCATGTGATCACCATGAAACTTTGGGAAGTTGTTGAGAATAATCCTTGGGGAGGTTCCTGCGAAAAATAAATTTCAAATTCTCAGGGATGATGCCCCAGCGATTTAATTTTTCTCTATATTTTTTATATAAAAAAATAAAAGTCGGATGCGGTTTGACACCATTCATATGAGTGCCATGAAACTTTGGAGAGTTGACAAGGATACTTCAGAGAAGATTTCTGTGAGAAAAAAAAAATAGTTTATTAAGGGCGGCGCCCTGACAATTGCATGATCAGAAGCGCCCCAATCTCCCCTGTGAGTACCATGGCCCTACAATTGTTTTAAAAAAGGCTATACACTAAAGACATGATGGGGAACAATTATCATTGACTATATCAGGCGCGTGCTCTGATGCCACTATAGGGTGCGATATGGCACCCTGTGCTTTCCCGTGATCGCAATGACACCTATGTTCCTTCTAAACAGTGTGATAGACAATGAATAAGATGGGGCATTATAGTCACTCACTAAAAAATGACAGGCTGTGATTTGGCACCCTGCGCTATCCTGCGAGCACCATCTTAAAACATGTCGTTAGACTTTATTCTATCCCCGCAGCAACGCGCTGGGACAGGCACGCTAGTTAGTGATATTTAGGCTAATTAATTAATTAGAAAATTAATTAAGTAATGAGACTACATATTTCCTGTATGATTCTGTAGCAGGAGGGCCTATAGGCCTAATTTTTGATTAATCGTTAAAACAAATTTGAAAACTCAAACATCTTCTGGGCAGATTTTATATGAGAGCCCAAATACTACATACTAACCTAAGACAATCTAGACTCAAAACTTAGCCTAAGCTAAGGAAACTATAGGTAAACTACTTTAATAAAATCAAGAGAATGGTTAAATCTCTTGATCTAGATCAGTAGATAGTGATAGGGCCTATATGATTCATTTTGTATTCCAACCCATAGAATTTTAAAACAGAATCAAAAGAACTTGACATAGAATTATTAATGAATAAAAATACTATGTACCAAGCAACATGGTTTTGCATAAAACATTGAAATCAAATAAATCCACTTTATAAAAACAAATAATAGGTGGCAGGGCAATATAAGACATAAAAACATTAAAAAATTTGCTTTGGAAAATGAAGGCTAATTCAAAAGTTGGTTTCACTAAACCACAATAGATCTATTAAATATTAACTGTAAGTACAAAAATGAATGAATAAGTGAAGCATTATTAGGATTATCAGCTTGAAAAATATAATTATTTGCTGTCAAAAATAACGACCAAATTTTTGTTTAAAAAAAATCACGTGGCCTCTACAGGTGGTATTGACACTGTGACAAATGTATGTCATGGCGCCATAAAGGTCCATGATATAGAAATACCACAATATTGATCTGTGTTATCTCATCCTGGTGCAATTTATTAACACGTTTTTATTAACTCAGCTTCGTGTTTGTTTGTTGTTAAAATTGACATAGAAAATTAGCCCACTTCTGATTCCTCTAGAGATCTGAAATTTGGCATGCAGGCTACTTTCGCCTAACAATTTCAGATGCAATCATAAAAACTAGCATTTAGAGACCGTAATTAGCTTAATTTAATTACGCCCCAAGGACCATAAAATTGAGGACATGATTTCTAAAGATACCGACAAGACTGGAGGCCTATTGACACAGTTACTTCGGCCCCAATCGATGTGAGCGCGCTGGCCGTGATCGTATAGTGGTTAGTACTTCGCGTTGTGGCCGCGACAACCCAGGTTCGAATCCTGGTCGCTCAAGATTTTTAGTCCGTGTATTTATAAACACTTAGTCAAGTCATACTTAATCAAGTCATTAGATAAAGTAGAAAATAAACTATATAAAAAACTTTTTTAAAAACCACGTTTTTCATGTGTAGCAACGGACTAAAAAGGAGAAAATAAAATACTTAAAAAAAACTTTTTAAAAAACCACGTTTTTTCTTGTGGACTAAAAAGTAGAAAATAAATTTTTCTTTTGTGCTTCCTCGAGCTGTGCAGATTCTTGTGATGACTGACAAAAAACGTGGGTCGGGCAGATGGGTCGGGAAATTTGATGGTGAACGTACCCACGTTTTTTTGTCAGTCATCACAAGAATCTGCACAGCTCTAGGAAGCACAAAAGAAAAATTTATTTTCTACTTTTTAGTCCACAAGAAAAACATGGTTTTTTAAAAAGTTTTTTTTAAGTATTTTATTATTATGTTGTGCTGTTGTATTCAACTTAGATTATTAAAAATAGTGCAGAAAATTGTATGCTTAATTTCACATTTTTAGTGCATTTTAAAAATGGTTTTTGTTACGATTTTTATATCTGTAATATTTTTTTAAATCTTTGAAGCTAATTTTTACTTTTTTCTTTCATTATAGGCCTGTTGAAATCTAACTATTTGAAAATTGTTTTCATCTGTCCCAACTCTACTATGCTAAGGCCACTTGTACTTATTAACAAATGCCTTTGCTAGCAAGACTTTAATGAGAATTAACATAGAAACTGCCAATGTTTATAATGGCCCATAAATAATAACATATTTCCCTATGTTAGAGGAAGCAGCAACTTAAGCACAAACATGTGAACAAGGCACTTTCTTTTCATTGACAACTGTCTGCAAGCTCATCTCAGAGGTTGTTATGTTTTCACTACGTATTGTGACTACTAGCCACTATCAGGCAGTACCTATACCTGACTTGGATCCAACATATTCAGAGTTTCGGGGCACTGCTGTGAAGCGAGTACCTGTGCTTCGAGTTTTTGGATCAACACCAGCAGGTGAGGGATCCAAATGTGCAGAATGGCACTAGTTGATGTACTACCACATACTTTTTTATTTCTTATTTGTCAGTTGCTAAAAAGGTTATGCATGTAAAATTTGATTCTTGAAGTAGAACTATTTCAATCAATCTGAATATTAAAAACTTGTTAAAGAATGGTCTCAATTTTTTATTGAAATACAAGAGGTCATATTTTTTCATAACTTTTATGAATTAAAATACCACTACCTCTGTTGTGACAGTTAACTATGATTAACATGTTTATGATTAACCAAAATGTTTTAAAAAATATTTTTTCCTCAAGCAAATAATAACTAGCTTGAATAAAACTGTATAAACCAAATGCTTTACAGGTCAGAAAGCTTGTATGCACATTCATGGTGTGTTTCCATATTTGTACATACCATACGATGGGACTCAGCCTTTGGACTCCTACCTGAGGCTTTTTGCTGCTAGTGTGGATAAGGCCTTGAATATTGCTAACAGATCCCCCAACTCTAGTTTGCAGCATGTTTACAAGATCTCACTTGTTACGGGAATGTAAGTTCCAAATGTTCTCCTGCTTTGTTTTATTTGGATATCTTTATTATCATGTTAAATACAGTACACAGTTTTAATTTTGTCTTATATTTCTTGACTAGTGAACCAAAAAGATGAACCTTTTTGTAAGAGATTACATCAAGTTATAAAACATGAAGAAATCTTCAACATGTGATTGTTTTTTTTTCTCCATCTTTATACCACAAATATGTGATAGTGATTCTTCACATATGTTAAAACACCAATGTTTTTCACAAATCCAGACTAAATGTAACAAGGACAGGATCAGACTTACTGTGCAGTAAATAAAATACTATTAAGACAATGTTTCAACGCGCAATATTTATTGGTACGATTTGAAGTTTTTGAAGCAGTGCCTCCACAAACAGTACTTCTTGATTAGACACTTGAAACTGTATTTTGCTTTACTGTTGTCACTTAGATCTACCACAGTTCAATTTTCTCTTTTTCTAACATCAAACTAAATAAGGTTTTCTGTATCTACACAAGTCTATGTCCCCACTAGTCTACTCAAACTAAATAAGGTTTTCTGTATCTACACAAGTCTATGTCCCCGCTAGTCTACTCAAACTAAATAAGGTTTTCTGTATCTACACAAGTCTATGTCCCCACTAGTCTACTCAAACTAAATAAGGTTTTCTGTATCTACACAAGTCTATGTCCCCACTAGTCTACTCAAACTAAATAAGGTTTTCTGTATCTACACAAGTCTATGTCCCCACTGCTCTACCATACAGCCTCGACTACTTGCTAGAGTTTATCCACTAACCATTCCTGATTACAAAAGGTGCCATCGTTCTGTTCTTGCTAATTACTTATAAGACCCAGTGAAAGGTCCATCCATTCATACCGTCCCCGTAATTATCTAATTCTAAACATCCCGAGCACCTTGTCTCAGTCCTCTATTTATGAATGTTCACTGTGTGTGTAATCTGAATACATTTTATAGGAAGTCATTGTGGTTGTAATCTATTTGTATACATTTTGAGTAATTAAAAATCACTTGAGTACCATGTAAGTTAAGTGGAGGAAATTTCACCTATTCTTATTAGATTGAGCAGATTTCTATCATCTACTTCTATAACTTCTGGTAACCAGAAACAGATACCTTACTCTATAATTTCTGTTGGAACATGATAACCTTAGTACTCTTTCAGTTAGTTCCACAACATTTCATATTTAAGTAAGTTTATCATCTTCTACTTTAATTACTTTTTATTTGAGTCACCTTCAATATCAGGAAATGGTACTTAACTCTGTTGCCTATTTCTATGGGCCTTGAAGGGCATGACTGCGTGGGCCTTGAAGGGCATGACTGCGTGGGCCTTGAAGGGCATGACTGCGTGGGCCTTGAAGGGCATGACTGCGTGGGCCTTGAAGGGCATGACTGCGTGGGCCTTGAAGGGCATGACTGCGTGGGCCTTGAAGGGCATGACTGCGTGGGCCTTGAAGGGCATGACTGCGTGGGCCTTGAAGGGCATGACTGCGTGGGCCTTGAAGGGCATGACTGCATGGGCCTTGAAGGGCATGACTGCATGGGCCTTGAAGGGCATGACTGCGTGGGCCTTGAAGGGCATGACTGCATGGGCCATCTTGTATGTACGTTATATCCACCAAAATACTTGTGGTTAGCAAGAGTACCCTAATCTACTAAATGTTCTAAAACTATTCTTGACCACCATTTGTGTTTTGAATGGCCTCTATTGTAGGTTAAATGGTTTGGCAATACATGCCCAAAATAAACCTAGATGCCATGCTTGTCTGGTTTGGTATAGCTGAAATAATAGCCTTAAGGTAACAGTATATTGATCATCATGAGATGCAACTTCTGGCAACAAATAGCTTTCTTAGAACAAATAAAGCGGGAGTGATCTCCACTATGTTTTCTCAAATATTCTTAGATAACACTAATGGGGATAATATAGAAATTTATAAAAAATCATTTTTGAAATACTAAAGTTTTTTGAATAGTATAGAATCTCGTAAAAAAAAATGTGCACAGCAAATAATCTGTGTAAAATAGTGTGGAACATTAGTACGTTATAAAGAAAGACAGGAATCAAGTTAAACATATATATTGATACTTGTTTTTGAGAAATCAGAAATAGGGTCAAGTGCTACTTCCGCTCTAGTACTAGATCTAGTAACGTGCATTTTTTTCAATGATGTGACTTCTGAGTTTTGGCGGGGGAAGAAGATACCTGCTGATAAATTGTAAAATCAGTCTTTTACAACTACTAGGCTAAAAGCATAAATAATGATGTGTCTTGGTTGTTATCAAGATGGTTGTTTTTGGCTAAAATGTTTTTTCAAGTGTTAATTCCAAAATAGCGTTTAAATTAAATAGTAGACCCATTCTAATTTAATCTGGTCTAGGTCTATAACATTTTCCATCACTTGAACGAATACTTTCAGGCTTAGTGTTAAAAAATGATTGATACCATGTCCATCTTTAAGACATTATCATTAGATTGATAACAAAGTGGGCAACTAGATCATTACATTCACAAATTACATTAGTTAAATGTTGAAATTTTTAGCGCAATTTCCATACTGGACAATTGCGATTATTAACTCGTCATTTCTGATGATGGATGTGTGGATGTGTGTCCGCAGCTTTAAGTCGTATCTCCTCCTCAACGAAGCAATATCGAGGACTAGTTCCAAAAGCAAATATGTTAAGCAAGTTCCGAGGATGATTGTGGGCCAAAAAATTCCCGGAATTCCTTCCTGGATTTCCCGGAAAAGCCAAAAAACTTCGAAAAAATGCAGTTTTTGGCCCATACCTTGGCAACCAGACCACTTAGTGGCTTGAAACATTTACCAATCGATTCCTGCCACAATTTAGAACAATATTGCCGAAGAAAGTTTTCAAAAATATCCTTTCGTTCGGTCACAAAAAAATATTTACTACTTTTTTAAACTGAGCTTCGTGTAGGCCTAGGATGATATTTACTACTTTTTTAAACTGAGCATCGTGTAGGCCTACTCGTTAAAATAAAACTTTTGTTATTTCCGTTGATATAGGTTAATATAGTTGTCTTTTTTTTTTAGCGCAAAAAAATATCCTTTCGTTCGGTCACAAAAAATTAAAAATTGTTATGGATAACATAAGGAAATTGCGCTTAAATTGTCACTAGACTTTTTATTAACTTGTTTTTCTTTTTTTTGTTATATTGTAAAATCTATTTAAAAAACTGTATAGAATCTATTATCTATAAAGGAAGCATTAAATTGTAATTAAAAAGCACTTTCATTGTTATTTTTTTAGAGTAACAGAAGCTTCTTTTATTTAAGATATTAGCAATATTAAATAAACTTCTGTGCTTAATCAACTTAATTTTTAAAATGTCCGGGAATTTATTTAAAACTCCTGGAAATCTCCTGGAATTTGTTTCTAGTTTTGTAGCTTGAACCCTGATTTTCCTACCCATAACATGCTATTGAGGGGGGGGGGGCACTGATTGTTATCAGCTAATATTATTTGCCCACACAATATGCAGAAATTTTAAAACTGGGTTTATTACATTCATGACAAATGATAATGGTTGAAACAAAATCTGTTTTGGATGAACCTAGTCAGAAGTTAATTAAGAATGCTTTTTTTATTGATTGTAGAAAGTATCTTGTATAATAAATTATTAGTTGTGTTCTCGTATGAATTAATTCTAGTATATAAATAAAAAAAAACCTAATAAATACAACTTGAAGAAAGTGTCATAGAAAATGTGGATATTCAATATTTAGTTGATCCTAATTTTAGAATGTCTCCCTTTTCAAAGCAATGACCCAGAAGCTATAATTGGGACAATACAGTCTGAAAGTAAAATTTACTTAGTGTGGGAAAACTATGTTTGTCTTAGTGGGAATTATTTTTGCTTTGAACTATATTATGAGTTGTACCTCTGTTGGGTGGAAGAGCATTGGTGTTTCTAGGCTTTTGTAGGGGTTTGGATAGGAGTGGGGGAGACTGGTTGAAGAGAGGCCATGAAGTATTATTGATTATTGGACTCAGTGCTGATGTTGCTGGCTCTCACTGTGTAGGTGAGCCTTCTGGCTTGCTTTTTTTTATCAACTCACTGGCTGGAATTGTTAGCTTGACCAATGGTCACCAACCTCAGCGTTTCATTGTATTTCCTGAAGTTCTAGCTGTAGATGTGTTGAGTCATGTCACAGATGCTAAGCTGAAATCAGTTTGTGTTAATCATTCTTTGGAGTTATTGGTTTGAGCTTGTTATTCTTGATTTGTACTCAAATAATTTGATAAAAAGACAAAATGGGATTAAGTCTAAATAGCTTTATTTATTATTGTTAAGTCTTAAGATATTGTTTTTTACTAAACACCATGCTCATCATTTTACTTGAATATACATTATTCTTTTACTTAAATAAATGTAAATTTTTGTTGCTAAAACCATAAACCTAACAGACTAACAGCATAGATTGGTAGTGTGTGTTAGCAAAATAATTTTTTTTTTACACAATTAGTTATGGCTGGGTGTTTCAAGAAATTAATTTAAGTTGAAAAGGTATTTCAAAATATAGATCTAAGTACAAATGATTATTAAACGCCAAAAGAAAATGTGCATAATAGTGCGCAATATTATTATTACTTTTTAAATTTACGAGCATTTTTTGAGAAATCGGAAATAGCATAAATTACTACTTCCGGTCAACAGAAATTACTCAAAATTTGATTGAAGTTAGAGAATTAGATCTTTTACTCACTTGTGAAATTTCATTTATCTATCTGAAATAGTACTCAAGTTATAGGCTTTTTAAAAATTCAAAGTAGAAAAGGTACCACTTCCGGTTATCCGAAATCGCTCAAAAATTGATACGGATCTAAGATTTTGATAAAAATCTTAGATATGAAATTTCATCAACCTAGCTGTAACGGTACTCATGTAATCGTGTTTACACACAGACACACAGACATATGGACAAGATTGCAAAATTATTTTTTTCCGTATCAGTGAGGTGTAAAACGTCGAGATTTGTAAAAATCTAGATTTTTTTTTTTGCATGATTACAATACTTTCTCTATACTTCGTATATACGAGCAAGTAAAAATGTACTTCAAAAATAAAATTAGATCTATGTTTTGTTAATGAAACATTAGTTTCTGCTCTACAATCTGACATTTACATGTAAGCCTTTATACTACTAATATCTTCTAATGTCGCTTAATGTTAAGCTTTGTGTTTCAGACCCCTCTATGGTTATCACCCTCAAGAAGAGCAGTTTCTCAAGATTTACCTCTATAACCCAAACAATGTCAGAAAGTAAGTTGATTATCTCTCAAAATTTAGTGCTGGTTCTGCTCAATGCTGGTACATAACTTGTACTTGTGTTGTGTCCAGTGCTGGTACGTACATGTGTCAACAATTTGTGTGTCCAGTGCTGGTACGTGTGTCAACAATTTGTGTGTCCAGTGCTGGTACATACTTGTGTCAACAATTTGTGTGTCCAGTGCTGGTACGTGTGTCAACAATTTGTGTGTCCAGTTCTGGTACGTGTGTCAACAATTTGTGTGTCCAGTGCTGGTCTGTAACTTGTGTCAACAATTTGTGTGTCCAGTGCTGGTACGTGTGTCAACAATTTGTGTGTCCAGTGCTGGTACGTGTGTCAACAATTTGTATGTCCAGTTCTTGTACGTGTGTCAACAATTTGTGTGTCCAGTGCTGGTACGTACATGTGTCAACAATTTGTGTGTCCAGTTCTGGTACGTGTGTCAACAATTTGTGTGTCCAGTGCTGGTACGTACATGTGTCAACAATTTGTGTGTCCAGTGCTGGTACGTGTGTCAACAATTTGTATGTCCAGTGCTGGTACGTAACTTGTGTCAACAATTTGTGTGTCCAGTGCTGGTACGTGTGTCAACAATTTGTGTGTCCAGTGCTGGTACATGTGTCAACAATTTGTGTGTCCAGTGCTGGTACGTACATGTGTCAACAATTTGTGTGTCCAGTGCTGGTACGTGTGTCAACAATTTGTGTGTCCAGTGCTGGTACGTAACTTGTGTCAACAATTTGTGTGTCCAGTGCTGGTACATAACTTGTGTCAACAATTTGTATGTCCAGTGCTGGTACGTAACTTGTGTCAACAATTTGTATGTCCAGTGCTGGTACATAACTTGTGTCAACAATTTGTGTGTCCAGTGCTGGTACGTAACTTACTTTTGAGTTGATGTGTCAAAATTTGTACAGGGTAGCAGACCTACTGCTGGGAGGGGCAGTGATGAACAAATCATTTCAGCCCCATGAAGCTCACATACCCTATCCATTACAGGTAATGTACACTTATTTCTACCTTGTATCAGTACAGTAATCTCTTTTTCTACCTTCTGCTAGTAGTTCTCTCTTTTTCTACCTTCTGCTAGTAGTTCTCTCTTTTTCTACCTTCAGCTAGTAGTTCTCTCTTTTTCTACCTTCTGCTAGTAATCTCTTTTTCTACCTTCTGCTAGTAGTTCTCTCTTTTTCTACCTTCTGCTAGTAATCTCTTTTTCTACCTTCTGCTAGTAGTTCTCTCTTTTTCTACCTTCTGCTAGTAGTTCTCTCTTTTTCTACCTTCTGCTAGTAATCTCTTTTTCTACCTTCTGCTAGTAGTTCTCTCTTTTTCTACCTTCTGCTAGTAATCTCTTTTTCTACCTTCTGCTAGTAGTTCTCTCTTTTTCTACCTTCAGCTAGTAGTTCTCTTTTTCTACCTTCTGCTAGTAATCTCTTTTTCTACCTTCTGCTAGTAGTTCTCTCTTTTTCTATCTTCTGCTAGTAGTTCTCTCTTTTTCTACCTTCTGCTAGTAGTTCTCTCTTTTTCTACCATCTGCTAGTAGTTCTCTCTTTTTCTACCTTCTACTAGTAGTTCTCTCTTTTTCTACCTTCTGCTAGTAATCTCTTTATGTACCTTCTGTTGGTAAAGTTGCAGTACAGTTATCTCTTTCTTCTGTCAGTGAAGTTATATGTTTCTTCTGTCAGTAAAATTATATATTTCTTCTGTCAGTAAAATTATATATTCCTTCTGTCAGTACACTTGAAGTATTTATTAAAGTTATCTATTTATCTACCTTCTGTGTCATTGCATTTATCCTTTGAAAACTTTTTTTTTCAGTTGTTCATTGACTACAACCTGTATGGTATGAACTTCGTCAATGTGAAAAATTTAAAGTTCAGGAAAAAAACAGATTGTAATTCAGGTTGGTGTCACAAGCGCTATGTGTTACGTACTGTCTCATATTCTCTTACCTCACTATGTTACAGTTAGGTTTTTTCCACTAATTGAAACTGGCAATTGAATAAACTAGTCTTTCTTGAGTTAAATTTAATGATAGAATCCATTTCTCTTCCCACTTAGCTGCAGATATCTCTAAAGAATTGAAAGTGAATGCAAGTTGCACAGAAACACCCACCAGGCATGAGAATATATCTCTTTCATCCTCTTCTAGTAGCCTGTCATTTTCACAATGGATTTGGCATGAGGAAAATATGAGCAGGTATTTGACTATGATGACAATGTTAGATCTTTACACATTAGTCAGGGAAGTGACTTTTCCGAATTTTAGCGGAAATCCGATTTTTCCGTTTCAGTTGCGATTTTCATCCGCTGATTTAATTTTCGCCAAATTTTTCCGCCGAGTTTCAATTTTTTCGGTTTTTTACGAAGTTTTAAAAATTAGGAAAAAAAAACGGAAATGTCTTCTACGGAAAGGGCCGACATGCTCATTCCACTTATTCGTATTTAAATTTAAATCGACAACTACTGTACTTAGGTCAAACGGACACTCGAATATGCGCATTTCTTTTCGATTGGTCGATTGCGCTAGGTCTGACGGTGCTAGATCAAGATTAAATGTAGATTCGGAATTTCGGCGGACTTTCGAATTTTTCAAAAGCACACACTTTTTAGTCCAAATTTTCCGCTATTTTCAGTTAACTATTTATCAAAAACACGGGAAAAGGTAATCTAAAATAATGCAGTTATCAAATGAAACTTGGGGTCGGCGTGGTCGAGTCGGTAAAGCTCATGGTTGCTAAACCGAAAAGTCTCGAGTTCGAACCCTCGGGCAGATGAGGCTCGTTAGCTGGGGACAGCCACTCCTTCTAGGAGAGACAACTCCAAAATTAAACAACTGCTGCCTTGTGGTTTGTTCTTGGTTGGACAAAGGCTATGGAAGCAAATCCAAAAAGAAAAGCAGGCTGAAATCGGAGTCAATGGCCTCAATGGCGCATAACCAGTTGACACGTAACGCTTAATTGTGTTGGAGGCGTGGTCGAGTCGGCAAAAAGCTCATGGTTGATAAATTCGAACAAAGTCTCGAGTTTAAACCCACTGGCAGATAAATCTCGATCCCCCTTCAACACTAATAATTAAGAACGAAGAAGAAGAAGAAATGAAACTTACATCTCTTAAGCCTGGTAATCTAGCTATCGATATAGCCTAATTTACCTATCTGTATTTTAACCAGCCTAAATCTAGAGTTTCTCTCTGATTCTATTTTATTTCGCAATCTCAAATTAATATTGAAATCCTTGCAAAAGGTGACTACGGGGACTAGACTAACCTTGACCCCAAGTACGTTTTCGGTACTGCTTGTGGAAAAAAAAATGACGTCACAGTCAATTTCAAATAGCTGTTCCTGCAATACGTATGCTGCGTCGGCCAACAGATTAAAAAAAATACTAAACTCAACGTGACTACGACCGTGTCTTGTTTGTGGAAGAACAAATACGTTCAGACTCGGGGGGGGGGGGGGGGGGGTCTGGCTTTTGTAGGAGAGGGGAGTGTAAATATCGTCAAAAAAAAACGTGGATGACCCCTAACAATTTACAGCTATTCCAAAAAAAACAACATAAATATCGATGTGGCTTGGTTATCACAATGATTAACATTGGTTCACACGTCAGACCCTCTCTAATTTTAGCTAACCTGATCCCTTTCATTTTTCCACCACATGAACCTAAAACTTTCAAATTGTAACTAATCTTAATCTAGGGTCTTTACAATTGAAGACAAATATTTTTACCTATCCAATCTTTAAAAGAATATAAGGCATTAGGCCCCCTATTTAAAAATTGAAAACACGAGTACATCTAGAATCTACACTAGATTAGTACAGTTTAAATTAGCTTAATGATAAAATAAAACTCAATTGCTACTTTTGTTACATTGTAATTTTTAAAAAGTTGTTTATAAGGTAAACATTAAATTGCAATTAGACAAGACTTTCAATGTTATTTTAGAGTAACATAAAATTCTTGTATTTAAAATATTAACTTCATTAAACAATTAATTAGTACAGTAACAGTATGAAGCTGCTTAACTGCGGTATGAAGGTGCTTAACCGCGATAAAAAATAGATAAAACATATTGAGTTATTATCCGAAGAAAATTTCCTAATTTTTTTTCCTGGTCTGTTCACATCCCTGATTAGTCAAGATATGTTCTCATGATGGCCTGCCTTTGTTACTTTCCCAGTGAGTTTTGGCTTCCATCATGTGTGGTCAGACAGAGTAGCTGTGAATTGGAAGTTGATGTCGTTGCTGCTGATATAACTAATACAGCTGAACTCTCAAGTCAGTTGACACCTTTGTTGTAATCCAATTCTTTTATTGTCTGTTCTATGGCATACAATAATTATTTGTTTTTGTGTAAATGAAACATCTATTTTTATGTTAACTGAAGCATCTTTTTCTCGTAGAAAATGTTGGCACAAATCCTGGTCTGGCTGCATTATGGGAGGATGAAAGACAGAGAAGGAGAGACAATGGTGAATGTTCTCAGGTGGAGCCTGATACCTCACAAGGTATTGTCAGTTTTTATACCAGTACCTCATTACCATCACTGGCATTTTATTGGATTCCAACAGCAATATTGCTGTCGTTCTACTGAATTCCTACATTACCATCGTTACCATCTGTTCTCTTTCCAGAATCCTAAAAAATAGTGGCACTACTCTTTACACTATAGCTTTTATTAAGGGTCGGCTTTTTAAAAAAAATCACAAAGGATAAAACTTAGATCAATAACAAACATACTTTTTTTTAAAACATAAGTAAAGTGGACAACAGATTTTATCATCCATATATGACTTATGTGGGGGAAGGAGGGGGGGGGGGGGGGTCCTTAAGAAATTGACTGGTGGAAGCTTGTGAGGGAAGGAGGGTTGGCTGAGTGTTCAATTCCACACATAATATAGAGCATCTGTATATCAGTAGTAAAAATGTATACATTATTAGTCAATAAAAGAACACATTAAATGCCCAAACTGTTTCAGTGCTAGAAATAACCCAGTTATTCAGTGGTATTTTTTCTTTGTTTTTTTCTTCTGGTTTATAACAATACATTTTTTAAATAATTTTGACACAAGAATTGCTTTGTTGGTTTTCTGCCCTAATCTGTATATTAATTGATTTCTTGATATTCTCAAATTAGATTGGTTTTTAAAAATCATAACCTATTAACAGGGTTTCCGACTCCTGAAATTACAGGATCTCCTGGAATTTCAGGTTTACTTTGGTGTAGGAACTATAATTATTATAATTAAAAATGGATAACATTGTTGGAAACTAGATTATTTTTTTAACTACTTTATTTTTTTGTAATTATTGGCCACCAATAAAAAATACCTTAATGGCCTTCCGCTTATATCAGTAATTAAATAATTAATAAAATATTTAACTTTATTGTATTACTGAATTGGTACATCTAGTACAATATAAAAAATCTGCAGTCAAGGTGGCATTTGAATACTTCAGGGTTAATCAGTGATTTTTACCCCACAGAGAGATCAAGTTTGGTTCCATCAAACTCAGAGAAAGAACTTTTGAAAAGGTTTCTGGATATAGCAGCCATACAGTCTACAACTAGGTATGTATAACATTTGATGATCTTATAAAATCCTTTTGTAATCAGTGACATCACTAGGTCAGATGTCCCTTAGAGAATTGTATGTATATATATATATATATATGTATATATATATATAATGTATTTATAAACATATATATATGTATATATATACATGTTTATATGTGTATATATATATAGTATATATATATATATTATAATTATATATATATATATTATATTTATGTATATTTATATAAAGGCAGTTGGTAGTGTGTCAGTTATTCTGTTAGTCATCGCTATAGATTTTGGAACCATAAAAGTAAACAACGAACCATGCAGTGCTTTTACATTGCTTCACATTTTCTTATTATAAGTAATAAAGTAGGGTTTGTTTATATAACGACTTAAATGTATTTGATAGTTGCCATGGTTTTTACACTTTTGCATAATGTGAACAAAATATTAAAGACATGCACATTGCTAAAACATATTAAATGGATGAATGTTAAATATAATTTTTGTTTCGATTCCTAAAAAAAAGTGGATACATTTTAAAACAGTTGGGTTGAAAAAACTAATTACAATTTTTAATAGTTATGCAAGGGGAGGTAATTTAAAAATTCCACTCGCGCTAATAAAAAAATTTGAATGCAAATTCTGTGGACGTCCAAGAGGGAATTATTGTTGGAATAATATAATTAGCATGGTTTGATAAAGTGCAATATGGTAGGTAAAACACTGATATTTTAAATACTGCCTTTATTTATACACTGAAGGTACTGTTTTATAATTATTATTTTCAATCAATAACAGTCTAGAAGCCACTCTTAAATGTCCCCTATGTTTACTTGTCATTTGGTTTGCTGACAAGCTGCGGTTATTATAGTTGTTCACAAAATTGAATCAGTCTGCCGTTGCCTGGGCAGGGTTTGATTTTGCTAGATGGGCTATCCTCTGAGCACTATGGGTTTTGTTTGCTTTGCGTTGTGTTTGTGTTTTCTTTTGTGTTTCTGTGTTGTGTCTGTTTTCTTTTGTTTGTTGTGTTTGTGTTGTTTGTTTTTGCATTGTGTTTGTGTTTTCGTTTGTGTTTAGTATTGTTCTGTTCCATAGTTGGTGCATTTATTTAAAAAAGATTCCCCGTGGCGGATATATACATATATATAATATATATATATATATATATATATATATAAATATATTTATATATTTATAAATACCCTGGCCAGTGTTCATTGTAGGCTAAAATGTGATGCAGGGCAGCCTACCTCAGACTACCTGCATGGTTTTGCCTGCAATTTTTACGATTTTAACACCTAGTTTACGATTTTTTACAATTATGCAGACCTATTAATTATAAAACCTTGCAGTACACCCCTTTACCAATTTACTTGGATTTACCACTTTTCCGTAGCCTGATAGGCCTCTGCCTACTCAATTTTTATTTACGATGCTGAAAGGGAGATAAGTAGAAACTTTATTGTGCATGCATGAAATAGGCTATGCTATATTTTGTTTTCTGCATTGATAGGTCGCATAGTATATGAACTTTGGTGTGTTAATCTTGAACACTGAATCCAATTAATCACCCCTTTGAAAAAGTACTGACCTGTACATGACTAGACTGTCTACCATTCTTGACACTAACTGACCTTTACATGACTAGACTGTCTACCATTCTTGACACTAACTGACCTTTACATGACTAGACTGTCTACCATTCTTGACACTAACTGACCTTTACATGACTAGACTGTCTACCATTCTTGACACTGACCTGTACATGACTAGACTGTCTACCATTCTTGACACTAACTGACCTTTACATGACTAGACTGTCTACCATTCTTGACACTGACCTGTACATGACAAGACTGTCTACCATTCTTGACATGAACTGACCTGTACATGACTAGACTGTCTACCATTCTTGACACAAACTGACCTGTACATGACTAGACTGTCTACCATTCTTGACACTGACCTGTACATGACTAGACTGTCTACCATTCTTGACATGAACTGACCTGTACATGACTAGACTGTCTACCATTCTTGACACAAACTGACCTTTACATGACTAGACTGCCTACCATTCTTGACATGAACTGACCTGTACATGACTAGACTGTCTACCATTCTTGACACTAACTGACCTGTACATGACTATACTGCCAACATATCTGTTGTATTTATCTGACTCTACCATTTTTCAGATCCTCCCAGTTAGACAGCTTATCACACAGTTGTCAGTCTTTTGCTCATGTCCCAGCATCTCAGCTGATGGATACCTCCACAGATGGTCAGTATTTACAAGCTGTGTGTACACTTCCACTAGTAGATGCTATTCTATGTGTTTGCTAAATAGAATCATAACAGGAGGGCCAAAGGCTTTTAAAAAAATTTCTATTACCATTTCTCTGTGAATGTTTTTGGTTTATATTCTTTTTTTGTTGTTATAAAAATATAACCAGATATTTTCTGCTGACATGAATAAGCTTATTGTAATAATAAGCTTGTAGCAAAAATTGAAACTCAAAAGGGTACATCACAGCACAGTTTAAGATGTTTCCATTTTTTTCTCCAGAGTCTTTGTCTGGTTCTCAGAGTTGGGAGCAGCTGAGTGGTGTTAGTATTAATGAAGCAATGGTCAATGTGGAGTCAATAGAGAGGGTTGTTTCTAGCAGTCAGAGTTTTTCAAGCAATACATCAAACAAGTCTTACTCAGGTAACTTGTCTACACAGGTGGGGCTAGTTCAAATTGTGAGGTCTGTGGTGGGACTAGTTCAAATTGTGAGGTCTGTGGTGGGGCTAGTTCAAATTGTGAGGTCTGTGGTGGGGCTAGTTCAAATTGTGAGATTGGAGAGAACTTTATGAACGTTGGCATGACAACACCAGCAGATGCCACTTAAGAAATGATCATATATAGCCCTCACTTAGAAATGATCATATATATAGCCCTCACTTAGAAATGATCATATATATAGCCCTCACTTAAGAAATAATCAGGTATATAGCCCTCACTAAGAAACGATCATATATAGCCCTCACTTAGAAATGATCATATATATAGCCCTCACTTAAGAAATGATCAGCTATATAGCCTTCACTTAAGGGGGCGCATCGATGAACTAAGCTTGAAAAATCATGGTCGACCTCGGAAAATTCATTTTTTTTTAAAAATTTTTTTCTATTACTTTAACCACTTATAAACATAATATACTTATCAAATTTACAATAAAATATAGTTTTTACACTTGTTTTTGCATTTGAAGTGGGTGTGTGTGTGTAAAAAAATGTATTTCACCCCGATATACGCCCATCACAACGATGTGTAGCGAGATCTACACACCGTAGTAAGCCTAGCTTACCATATATCAAAATGCGCGGAATTTCGAGGTCAGTCTAGCTAGCCTAAGAACATTGACCTAGTTCTAAATATAGTATTTCAAAACACGCAATGAAAGTGTGCTTCAAAATGGGAAGAGTCATGTATCTATTGGACAATAGATGTCACATGACGCTTCTGTCTAAAAATCCCGTGCGCCAAGCTCAATTTTTCTAACTTTTGTCAGGAAGTGTCGGCCGTGTCCTAGGAGATGCTATTTTTAGCCGAGCTGTAGATATATTTGCAACAACTTTCACTTTCTACTTTTTGAATTATTTTTCGTTTCTGGAATTTATTTGAAGGTAAATTATGAATTTTTCAATTATTTCTATTCCTTTATCAAAGTATAAACTATAGTTTTATCTTAGATGCCAGATTTTACGTAGATTTTGATGTAGATCTAGTAACTTTATTACGTAAACTAGATCTTAGTCTTAGGCTCTTAGCCTAGCTATCAGTATCAAAGGCTGAATGTAATCAATGTTTGCAGATAATGTGCATACCTTTTAGTACGTTGTGATTATTTTTTTAAAACAGCTTATACATTATTATGACTTGTTTTACAGATCTACAATGCCTGCACAAAAGTTGTATGCAAAAAAGGGACAGGCTTCCAGAAAGCAGAAGGCTACATTGAAGTACATTGGCTAAGGCTTGTGCTACCAAGCAGCAAAAATCAGCTCTTGCAGGATCTACTGCAGATCCAGAGGCTGCTGGTTCAAGCACAACTACTGCTGCCACTACATCAACTGCTGCCACTGCATCAATTGCTGCCACTTCACCCACTGCTGCCACTTCACCCACTGCTGCCACTGCATCAATTGCTGCCACTTCACCCACTGCTGCCACTGCATCAACTGCTGCCACTTCACCCACTGCTGCCACTACATCAACTGCTGCCACTTCACCCATTGCTGCCACTGCATCATCTGCTGCCACTGCATCAACTGCTGCCACTGCATCATCTGCTGCCACTGCATCCACTGCTGCCACTTCACCCACTGCTGCCACTTCACCCACTGCTGCCACTTCACCCACTGCTGCCACTGCATCAACTGCTGCCACTTCACCCACTGCTGCCACTACATCAACTGCTGCCACTTCACCCACTGCTGCCACTGCATCATCTGCTGCCACTGCATCAACTGCTGCCACTGCATCATCTGCTGCCACTTCACCCACTGCTGCCACTGCATCAACTGCTGCCACTGCATCATCTGCTGCCACTGCATCCACTGCTGCCACTACACCCACTGCTGCCACTACTCCTACTACTGGATATACAACCATCCCCTCAGTGGTCAGTGCCTCCAAGAGAAAACTTAGCATGTTTTCTCAATGTGAAGCACCTCAAGCTACTACAGTTGGAGGGCTGGTCATTGTAGACCTGGCTGAAGTAAACGCCCTCTTTTCGGCAGCTCAGTGCAGTACATGTCAAGGGCCCTTACAACTTATTTTGACTGGACGCAAGGGTCTAGTACATCAACTGCAAGTTAGCTGCAGTGTGCAACTCCATAGCAGCAGGATCAAGCTCCAATATGAGTAGCAGCGACAGGTGTTATGATATCAACAAGAAATTTGTCGCTGCTTTCCTCAACATAGGATTAGGCTATGCTGCTGTGGATAAGTTTTGCAATGCCATGGCCATTGAAGGAATGACAGAGTCATCATACTGCAATATCCTGAACAAAATATCAATTTCTTCAAAAAATTTCTCCAACGCCAGTCTTGACACAGCTATTGACCTGGTGCGCAAATCTTATGGCGTTGAGATCAGTCAGTGAGTTTAATGGTGGCAGTAAACATCTGGCTGCTTTTATGGATGCCATTGGCTGTTCCTATGCCACTTCTTCTCAAGTCAAAGCAGCAAGGCATGACAAGAGGAGGATTGACAGTGCTGAATGAAAGGCGTCAGTTGAAGTCAAAAGGAGAAGGTCCAGAATGATCTCGCCAGCTCAAAAGCCCAACAGGAGTTTGAGAAGCTGGAGGGAGGGCCTTCATACAGTTCTGGAGCCTTCTAAATTGTTATTTGTTTTAAGCTAAGTTAGTTTTATTAGTGTAAAAACTTTTTTTTTTTTTTTTAATTTAAATTTTATATTTCCATCAATATATGTAGTCTTTTTCAAACCCTTTTTACTAAATCAGTTTTTACTTAATTTACTACTAATGATGAAATTATCATCATAAACATGTTGATAAAGCTTTTAAAATAGCTCTTTACATTGTATTTTCAATGAAAAAAGCTTTTTTTTCCATTTTTGTTACGTTTTTAGCGTTTTCTCAATAACGTATTTTTTTACATTTTTGAACACTCAAAAACATTTTCCTCAAAAACTACTTGTTCAATTTACATGAAATTTCTGCTGAAGCTACATAACACACTGTTGAAAAAACAAGCAGAAGAATAATGGAGCTATCTTCAATACTTTTTTTTATACATAATTTTTTGCAAACCTTATAGGTTAAAATTAATTAGTCATTAGTAGAAAATTCATAATTAAAAAAGTTTCTGCAAATATGTACATTTTCTTCTATGGATTTTCTCACATGCATGTGGACTATCTAAATCCAAAAGTTGGACTTGAAATTATAGATAGTTACTGAGGAAAAGTTTTTTAAAATTTGTATGTAAAAAATGTACATTTTTCCCGCCAAATTTAATCGGCTAACGATTACCATGAAATTTTTTTTACACCAAAGTGTATTAAACATATATACTAATGCCATAAATGAGTTATTTTCTGTAAAATTGTTAAATTGTGCAAAAAATGGTATTTCAATAAAGTTCATGACTGTCCCCCCTTAAGAAATGATCTGGTATATAGCCCTCAGGTATATAGTATAATATAGCCCTCACTTAAGAAATGAACAGCTATATAGCCTTCACTTAAAAAATGATCAGCCATATAGTCCTCATTTTAGAAATGTACTAAAATGTAAGAGGACTTATTGTCTTGCTGACAGAGTCCCCAGACAAGAGCGTGACAGACATCCTGTCAGCACTGTTGAGAGAAGCAGCTTGTGCCCAGCTGGAAGATGAAGATAGTATACTAAACCAGAGTCTAGCTGTAGAAGAGGAGGATGAAACATTGAGCATGTCCCAGGTTCTGGAGCACCAAGAGGAAGAAACATTGAAGTAAGAACAAAGTCAAATATCAAGAGATCTTGTCGCTTTGTTTATGTGTGGTCACTAACCAATATGTTTGTTTATGTGTGGTCACTAACCAATATGTTTGTTTATGTGTGGTCACTAACCAATATGTGTGTTTGTGTGTGGTCACTAACCAATATGTGTGTTTGTGTGTGGTCACTAACCAATATGTGTGTTTATGTGTGGTAAATAACCAATATGTTTGTTTGTTTATGTGTGGTCACTAACCAATATGTTTGTTTGTTTATGTGTGGTCACTAACCAATATGTTTGTTTATGTGTGGTCACTAACCAATATGTTTGTTTATGTGTGGTCACTAACCAATATGTTTGTTTATGTGTGGTCACTAACCAATATGTTTGTTTATGTGTGGTCACTAACCAATATGTTTGTTTGTTTATGTGTGGTCACTAACCAATATGTTTGTTTATGTGTGGTCAATAACAAATATGTTTGTTTATGTGTGGTCACTAACCAATATGTTTGTTTATGTGTGGTCACTAACCAATATGTTTGTTTATGTGTGGTCACTAACCAATATGTTTGTTTATGTGTGGTCATTAATGGAGTGCACTTTGACCTGCCTAGGTTGGGTGAGCCAAGCCCTGCTGTAGACAGTGATGATGAGATGAGCTTGGATGATGATCCCTTGCCACAGTTTGATGGAGCCTCTGACAAACTCCCTGGTAACTCAGCTTTTCTTAGAGCAAAAACTTGAATTGTATTGAGCAAGTTGTTACTAGACATTTTTTCTCTAGGCACTGACAAGTTGTATTGAGCAAGTTGTTACTAGACATTATTTACTCTAGGCACTGACAAGTTGTATTGAGCAAGTTATTACTAGACATTTTTTCTCTAGGAACTGACAAGTTGTATTGAGCAAGTTGTTTCTCTAGGCACTGACAAGTTGTATTGAGCAAGTTGTTACTAGACATTTTTTACTCTAGGCACTGACAAGTTGTATTGAGCAAGTTGTTATTAGACAGTTTTTACTCTAGGCACTGACAAGTTGTATTGAGCAAGTTGTTACTCTAGGCACTGACAAGTTGTATTGAGCAAGTTGTTACTAGACATTTTTTCTCTAGGCACTGACAAGTTGTATTGAGCAAGTTGTTACTCTAGGCACTGACAAGTTGTATTGAGCAAGTTGTTACTAGACATTTTTTCTCTAGGCACTGACAAGTTGTATTGAGCAAGTTGTTACTAGACATATTTTCTCTAGGCACCGACAAGTTGTATTGAGCAAGTTGTTTCTCTAGGCACTGACAAGTTGTATTGAGCAAGTTGTTTCTCTAGGCTCTGACAAGTTGTATTGAGCAAGTTGTTACTAGACATTTTTTACTCTAGGCACTGACAAGTTGTATTGAGCAAGTTGTTTCTCTAGGCACTGACAAGTTGTATTGAGCAAGTTGTTACTAGACATTATTTACTCTAGGCACTGACAAGTTGTATTGAGCAAGTTATTACTAGACATTTTTTCTCTAGGAACTGACAAGTTGTATTGAGCAAGTTGTTACTCTAGGCACTGACAAGTTGTATTGAGCAAGTTGTTTCTCTAGGCACTGACAAGTTGTATTGAGCAAGTTGTTACTAGACATTATTTACTCTAGGCACTGACAAGTTGTATTGAGCAAGTTATTACTAGACATTTTTTCTCTAGGAACTGACAAGTTGTATTGAGCAAGTTGTTACTCTAGGCACTGACAAGTTGTATTGAGCAAGTTGTTTCTCTAGGCACTGACAAGTTGTATTGAGCAAGTTGTTACTAGACATTTTTTACTCTAGGCACTGACAAGTTGTATTGAGCAAGTTGTTACTAGACATTTTTTACTCTAGGCACTGACAAGTTGTATTGAGCAAGTTGTTATTAGACATTTTTTACTCTAGGCACTGACAAGTTGTATTGAGCAAGTTGTTACTAGACATTTTTTACTCTAGGCACTGACAAGTTGTATTGAGCAAGTTGTTACTAGACATTTTTTACTCTAGGCACTGACAAGTTGTATTGAGCAAGTTGTTACTAGACATTTTTTACTCTAGGCACTGACAAGTTGTATTGAGCAAGTTGTTACTAGACATTTTTTACTCTAGGCACTGACAAGTTGTATTGAGCAAGTTGTTACTAGACATATTTTACTCTAGGCACTGACAAGTTGTATTGAGCAAGTTGTTTCTCTAGGCACTGACAAGTTGTATTGAGCAAGTTGTTACTAGACATTTTTTACTCTAGGCACTGACAAGTTGTATTGAGCAAGTTGTTACTAGACATTTTTTACTCTAGGCACTGACAAGTTGTATTGAGCAAGTTGTTACTCTAGGCACTGACAAGTTGTATTGAGCAAGTTGTTACTAGACATTTTTTACTCTAGGCACTGACAAGTTGTATTGAGCAAGTTGTTACTAGACATTTTTTACTCTAGGCACTGACAAGTTGTATTGAGCAAGTTGTTACTAGACATTTTTTACTCTAGGCACTGACAAGTTGTATTGAGCAAGTTGTTACTCTAGGCACTGACAAGTTGTATTGAGCAAGTTGTTTCACTAGGCACTGACAAGTTGTATTGAGCAAGTTGTTACTCTAGGCACTGACAAGTTGTATTGAGCAAGTTGTTACTAGACATTTTTTACTCTAGGCACTGACAAGTTGTATTGAGCAAGTTGTTACTCTAGGCACTGACAAGTTGTATTGAGCAAGTTGTTACTAGACATTTTTTACTCTAGGCACTGACAAGTTGTATTGAGCAAGTTTTTACTCTAGGCACTGACAAGTTGTATTGAGCAAGTTGTTACTAGACATTTTTTACTCTAGGCACTGACAAGTTGTATTGAGCAAGTTGTTACTAGACATTTTTTACTCTAGGCACTGACAAGTTGTATTGAGCAAGTTGTTACTCTAGGCACTGACAAGTTGTATTGAGCAAGTTGTTACTAGACATTTTTTACTCTAGGCACTGACAAGTTGTATTGAGCAAGTTGTTACTAGACATTTTTTACTCTAGGCACTGACAAGTTGTATTGAGCAAGTTGTTACTAGACATTTTTTACTCTAGGCACTGACAAGTTGTATTGAGCAAGTTGTTACTCTAGGCACTGACAAGTTGTATTGAGCAAGTTGTTTCACTAGGCACTGACAAGTTGTATTGAGCAAGTTGTTACTCTAGGCACTGACAAGTTGTATTGAGCAAGTTGTTACTAGACATTTTTTACTCTAGGCACTGACAAGTTGTATTGAGCAAGTTGTTACTAGACATTTTTTACTCTAGGCACTGACAAGTTGTATTGAGCAAGTTGTTACTCTAGGCACTGACAAGTTGTATTGAGCAAGTTGTTACTAGACATTTTTTACTCTAGGCACTGACAAGTTGTATTGAGCAAGTTGTTACTAGACATTTTTTACTCTAGGCACTGACAAGTTGTATTGAGCAAGTTTTTACTCTAGGCACTGACAAGTTGTATTGAGCAAGTTGTTACTAGACATTTTTTACTCTAGGCACTGACAAGTTGTATTGAGCAAGTTGTTACTAGACATTTTTTACTCTAGGCACTGACAAGTTGTATTGAGCAAGTTACTAGACATTTTTTTCTCTAGGCTCTGAGAAGAAAAGTTCAAGTCCTGGAGCAACAAGTCCAAGCCTGTTGGCAGAGCATGAAGAGCCAGGAGAGGTGTCTGTGTTAGCTGGCAGCACAATGTCAGCTGGTCCAGCCAATGTTCCTGCCAGCCCACTGGCCAGAAGTTACCCTGCTGAAGCTTGGCATGGCTGGTCAACTCCCTCTATGGCCAGCTGGTCCCAAGCTCCCAGCTGGCACAATGCCTCTCCCTACAGTCAGTCCAACACTTTTAACTTCCAGTCCCCACCCTACCCACAGCAACCATTTCAGAGCCCTTATCAACAGTTCCCTTACCAGAGTCCTACACCACATCCATACCTGTCCCCTTCCTCAAGTCAGAGTTATCATTCTCCACAATCATATCAGTCCCCTACTACAAGTCAACCCTATCAGTCCCCTACCACAAGTCAACCCTATCAGTCCCCTACCACAAGTCAACCCTATCAGTCCCCTACCACAAGTCAACCCTATCAGTCCCCTACCACAAGTCAACCCTATCAGTCCCCAACCACAAGTCAACCCTATCAGTCCCCAACCACAAGTCAACCCTATCAGTCCCCTACCACAAGTCAACCCTATCATTCCCCTACTACAAGTCAACCCTATCAGTCCCCTAGCACAAGTCAAGCGTATCAGTCCCCTTCCACAAGTCAACCCTATCAGTCCCCAACCACAAGTCAACCCTATCAGTCCCCAACCACAAGTCAACCCTATCAGTCCCCTAGCACAAGTCAAGCGTATCAGTCCCCTCCAGCTGCAGCCAGCCACTACCCCCCCCTGAAGCAAGCAATGAGTGGCCAGGCTTTCCCAGCCTCATCTCAAGTGTACCAGTCAGCCAGCGGCCATGTGTACCCCCCTCCCTACCAGGCACACAACTCTACCCAGCCTTGCCTGACCAGCTACCCCTCAGCCAGCCAAGGTTTCACATCCCATTCCCCCCCCTCTCAGTATCCTGACTATTATTGTGGCAAGGCTGCTGGGGCAGCACTCAACCAGCTCCCACCTGGCTATCAGAGGCAACACTCACTGGAGCAGTCAACAGCTCAGGAACTAAGGTCGGCTTCACATGAGCGAAAGTCAGCTAGCCATTGTCACCTAGCTCAGGAGCAAAGGGCAGGGGGCCATGGTCAAACAGCCCAGGAGCAAAGGGCAGGGGGCCATGGTCAAACAGCCCAGGAACAAAGGGCAGGGGGCCATGGTCAAACAGCCCAGGAACAAAGGGCAGGGGGCCATGGTCAAACAGCAGAGGAACAAAGGTCAACTAGCCAAGGTCACACAGCGCAAGAGCAAAAATTGTCTAGCCAAGGTCACCCTTTAGGATCCCCAGTAGAGTTGAGTGTGGATGCAAGAGCTAAAGCTAGTCTGGAGAACCCAGAAGTAAAAACTGTTGGCTTCAAGTCAGCCACCAGCCAAATAGCTGCAGTCAGCAGACCATCTGCCAGTTCAGGTGATCTCAAGTTCCCCAGTTCACTCAATCAATCTACTGCTGCCTCGACCAAAATCTCCACATTGGAGTTCAAGCCTGGTGTGACTTGTGAGCAGAGCACTAAGCTGGAGACTGGTGCACAGGACGCCTGCACTTGTACTCTTTCATCAACTCCCATGATTCAACAGTTGCTCATGGAAGAATCTCCAATGAGAATTCCAATAAAAAAAGAAGACAGAGAAGCAGTCATGAAGAAGCCAATGCTAAGTCCTTCCCCCAAAGTCAAGAAAAAAAGTAAAGCCAGCCAAGCCAGACCCCGCAGCACTAGTCTCTCGTCTCCCCAGCCTCCCCCTGTAGGCCAAGCTTTCACCAAGTCAATGCTCAGCTCTCAGATGATGCCACGGCCCAGCAGGTCTCATTCTATTTCACTGCCATTCTCTCCTGACAGCAGACCGGCAGCATTCTCTCCTGACAGCAGACCGGCAGCATTCTCTCCTGACAGCAGAAAGCAAGGTTTTGTACCCAGCTGGCCCCAGCAGCCGATGCAGCAGGAGTGGAACCAGCAGCATGGCTACCCAGCCCATTGGCAGCAGCTGCAGCACTGGGAGCACCAGGGCCAGGGCTCCAATGGCAGTTGTGGCCTGATGGGGAGGCTGCAGCACAGGTCATTCAGTGCAGATGCTGCCATGTCTCCCTACTACCAAAGCCAGCTGACCAGTGGGGGGGCAGACAGCTCTCCCCAGAGCACTGGTGGCCAGACAGGGGATAAATCCTCCCTGTCCAGCCTGCTCCAGCTGGTCTCTGATGTTGGCACACAGGAGAGTGGCTGGGACCCCTCTAGCACTGGCCTTTACAGCTATCAATCCCCTCAGTCTTCTTGCACATCAGAGCTCAGGCAGGCCAGTCCAGCTGTCAAAGATTTGATGGCTCTAGAGTTGAGTGCTGGCTTAGATCAAGTCAAGTCTGAAGACCTAGATGAAGCAAGTGCTGGCAGTCAGCTTAAGCCAGCAGAGAGGAACAATTACCCATGTGTGGGCAAACAAAGCCGCCTCAAGAAGCTTGGTTTACCTTATAGGAACTCCCTTGAGCATGGTGCCAACCCTTCCTACACCTACACTTTTCATGTGCCCACACCAGTCTTCAAGAAGCTCAAGTTCTATAGGGGACCAGAGTATCGTAAGCATAATTTTAAAGTGGTTAGGATGCATCCAATGGATGCACGGCGCTACAGTTTGTTAAAAATTGGCAGAGAAATGGTGAAGGTGAGGCAACTGTCTGAGGCTGACTTGTCTAGGTTTGGGGTCCAGCTGTCCAGTTACTCAGCAGATGGCTCCACTAACAGGGTCAACCTGGACATTCCCACTGGCAGCTCTGACAAGAGGGACAGCAGCAGCCAAGACAGCAGTCTCAGCAAGTTTGACACAGACTTTCCACCTAACAAAGTTGCTCCACCTAGCTCTTTCCATGCTACTGCTAGACAGGTGGCTTCATCAAGGTCAAGGTCTGCGTCCAGGAACTCTGAGAGGTCAAGATGCCAGGCCAGCCATCAGCTCTCAGGTTTTAGCCCTCAGAGTTTGCCTGAGCTGGGAGAGAGAAGCTATGTGTACCCCATGCAGCCAGGCCCCAGCAGGCACTTCCTGACTGCAGGCTTCCAGCAATACACTGACAAGAGAGGGGACCAGCCCACCCAGCTGGACCATACAAATCATGTACAGGAGGGCATGTACACTTACATGCTACAACATCAGCAACCCCAATTACAGGCGGGATTTACAAGTTCCAACACACAGGCGGGATTTACAAGTTCCAACTCACAGGCGGGATTTACAAGTTCCAACACACAGGCGGGATTTACAAGTTCCAACACACAGGCGGGATTTACAAGTTCCAACTCACAGGCGGGATTTACCAGTTCCAACACACAGGCGGGATTTACCAGTTCCAACCCACAGGCGGGATTTACAAGTTCCAACACACATGCGGGTTTTACCAGTTCCAACACACAAGCAGAGTTGACGAGCTACCACCCGCATCAAAAAAACGAGTTGCGTTCCCTGGGCCAGCATGGGCTAGCAAGCAGAATTGATGGTGGACGTGTCTATGGCCACAGTGGTGAGCACACCACTGGCACCTCCACTGTCAATACCCAGGTGAACGCACGCAAGTGGGACAGCCATGCTGCATATTTGGTCAGCAAGACGCAAGACAGCACCAGTGCTCAGTCTGATGCCAGAAACTTGTCAGAAAACAGTCCAGACTGTCAGCCAGAGCCGACCAAGAAACAGAAAAGGATGAAGAGAAGTCCACAGTTAGCTGTAGACAAGCCCAGGAAACTAAGGAACAAATCCATCCAGGCCAAGGATTTAAAAAACATTGTCTCCTTCCCTGTAGCAACTCAGCGGGGCAGGAGGAATGGAGAAATGAGTTTGAGAAAACATGAGGCCAGTCCTGGCTGCCAACTAGAGGAGCACTCCAAGCCCAGGCGGCGGGGGCAAACAAGGGGCATGGGTGGACAGAAGGAGAGGAAAAAAACACCTTTAAAAGAAGGAGTGCATTACATTGTGATTGGAAAGTTCAAAGGTCATCAAGCAATGGTTATAAGGATGCAAAGAGTAGATGTTAAACCTACTGAAGTAGTCAGTGCCCAGGCCTATCAGACTCTGTCCTCTAAAGATATTGTTAGGACAGCTACACTAAGTGACAGGACACAACTCAAGTCTGACAAGACTGCTCCATCCAAACTAAGTCAAAGATACACACAAAGCCAGTTTCAGTTGTACAGGAAGTTTCGCTCCTACCAGCTCTCTCAGCTGGAGTTTCAACCTGACAGCCTGCCATGTTGTCCTGACAGCCAGCCGTGCTGTCCTGACAGCCAGCCATGCTGTCCTGACAGCCAGCCATGCTGTCCTGACAGCCTGCCAAAAAACGTGGTTGCTGGCCCCAAGACTGGGGCCAGTAAATCCAATGTGACCTGCATAAAGAAAGACAAGTTTTTCTCCAAGTTCAAGCAACATTTCCTCAGTCATTGCAAGTCCAGAGAATCTCCTAGTGACCCTTGCTCTGACAACTTCTTTACTGGCATTGAGCAGCGTAGTTTTTCCTGTTTCCTGAGCAGGTTGGCTGCCAACCTGAAGCAGCTGCAGACAGGGGAGTATTCCTCCAGCTCTGATGATGAGGACGACTTCCTGGAGGAGATGATCTTAAGAGGGAAACTGGCAGGACCCCAGCCACAAACATGGACTCTACTGAGAGGAGCTTTTTGTAAAGCTCTGCTCACTGAAGAATCATTTGGCTCTAGACAAAACAAAAGTCTGCTGAGTGAAGAATCATTTGATTCTAGACAAAACAAAAGTCTGCTGAGTGAAGAATCATTTGGCTCTAGACAAAACAAAAGTCTGCTGAGTGAAGAATCATTTGGCTCTAGACAAAACACAAGTCTGCTGAGTGAAGAATCATTTGGCTCTAGACAAAACAAAAGTCTGCTGAGTGAAGAATCATTTGATTCTAGACAAAACAAAAGTCTGCTGAGTGAAGAATCATTTGGCTCTAGACAAAACAAAAGTCTGCTGAGTGAAGAATCATTTGGCTCTAGACAAAACACAAGTCTGCTGAGTGAAGAATCATTTGGCTCTAGACAAAACAAAAGTCTGCTGAGTGAAGAATCATTTGATTCTAGACAAAACAAAAGTCTGCTGAGTGAAGAATCATTTGGCTCTAGACAAAACAAAAGTCTGCTCACTGAAGAATCATTTGATTCTAGACAAAACAAAAGTCTGCTCACTGAAGAATCATTTGATTCTAGACAAAACAAAAGTCTGCTCACTGAAGAATCATTTGATTCTAGACAAAACAAAAGTCTGCTCACTGAAGAATCATTTGGTTCTAGACAAAACAAAAGGGCCCATTTGGAATCCAGATGTGAAAAAGATGACTTTCTGAAGCGCCAGATGGCGTTTTTTGAAGATATCTCTTCAGACTCAGATAGTGGTGACACTATTATTATTGATGTGAAGGAGCACTTCTCTTCTGTGCCTCATGTTGTTAGGGATCATCTGCTAGGTCATGAGGCAATAACTGATACAACAGGTCATGAGGCAATAACTGATACAACAGGTCATGAGGCAATAACTGATACAACAGGTCATGAGGCAATAACTGATACAACAGGTCATGATGCATTGACTGATACAAAAAATTATGCATCAATGACTGATACAAAAAATTATGCATCAATGACTGATACAAAAAATCATGAGGCAATGACTGAAAGAAAAGGTCATGAGTCAATACATGACACAAAAGGTCATGAGACATTGACTGATACAAAAGGTCATGAGGCAATAACTGATACAAAAGGTCATGAGGCAATGACTGATAGAAATGGTCATGAGGCAATGACTGATAGAAAAGGTCATGAGGCAATGACTGATACAAAAGGTCATGAGACAATGACTGATACAAAAGGTCATGAGGCAATGACTGATTCAAAAGGTTATGAGACAATGACTGATTCAAAAGGTCATGATGCAATAAATGACACAAAAGGTCATGAGGCAATGACAGATACAAAAGGTCATGAGGCAATGACTGATTCATATGGTCATGAGGCAATGACTGATTCAAAAGGTCATGAGGCAATGACAGATACAAAAGGTCATGAGGCAATGACAGATACAAAAGGTCATGAGGCAATGACTGATTCATATGGTCATGAGGCAATGACTGATTCAAAAGGTCATGAGGCAATGACAGATACAAAAGGTCATGAGGCAATGACTGATTCATATGGTCATGAGATGATGACTGATTCAAAAGGTCATGATGCAATAAATGACACAAAAGGTCATGAGGCAATGACAGATACAAAAGGTCATGAGGCAATGACTGATTCATATGGTCATGAGATGATGAAGAGTCCATTATTTCTAGATGATGAGATGAGCACTACAAGAGTAGAAGTAAGTCACATGAGACCGGCTCAACTAGTTAGCAGAGAGAAGTCATCCAGGGAGAGTCGACTAACTAGCAGGGAGATGTCAGCTTTGGAGACTTCAATTGGTGATGTTCTAGAATTGACTAGTGAGCCCGGTTCACTGAGTTGGGAGCAGAAAGCTGAAGGTTGTCTCCTGGGAAGCTGTTCTATTGCAACAAGGGCTGAAACCTTGCCAAATGTAAACACAGCTGATCCTGGGAGAAAGATTCCTCTCAAAAAGGGGAAAACAAACAGGGTGAAGAGAAGTTCATTGCAGGATGAAGGCAACAGCAGCTCTAATGATGAAACTTGCATGGACACTCAGAAATGCTTGAGAAGAAAAAAGCATGTCAAGTATGCCTTTTATCCAGAAGCATTGGACACATCAGGTTCAGATTCTTGTGAAGTGAGTGATGAAGATTACACTTACCCAGGCCAGATCTCCAGACAGAGCAAAACTAAAAAGGCTTTGGGAACTTGTAGCTTGGATAAACAGGCCAAAAAAAGCCATGGCTTTATTCCAGATGAAAAGCCTGGCAAAACTGGAGCCAAAGCACGTGGTAGAAAGAAAAAATGTGGCAAGCTTTTGAATAGTTTAAGCTTGTTACACATGGCAACACTAGCCAACCTGACTGACATCCCAGCCCAGTCAGACAGACACGGCACAGCTGGGGGGAGCAATGAAAACACAGCCCCAGTCCAAGCTGCTGCCTCTCCTGCACTCTCCAACAAGAAAAGATGCAAGGGCAACACTGGCCAAAGGTTGAACTCTAGCAGCAGAAATGTCTTGAACTTGGTCCACCGGCAAGCCAGCCTGAAACCTGGCTGTAATGGTGCTTCACATCTGGGCACCAGACCTCTGCCCTTCAGTAGACTTGTCTCTTCCTCACCAGTTCCATCCAACTTTACATTCAGCAATTCTGAGCTCACAGCTTCAGAGCCGCAGTCTGCTCAGGAAGAGATAACCACGGCTAGCACTCTTCAACTTTTGGAGAGTAGAAAAGCTCAAGTCAATTGTGCCTCCTTTTCTATGAAAGATATCTTGCGCTTGGCAACTCCTGATGAGTCCATGGACTCAGATAGCAAAGATGGCTTCCCACAGGTTAAACCCCCTGAACCAAAACGTGCACAAGTCAAAAGTACCACATTGTCAATGAATGACATCCTTCAAATGACAAGTCAAGCTGAAGAACAGGATGGGTCTGCAGTCCTTTCAGATGCCAACAGCAAGGGTCCTGAGTTTGGTGTCCTTGCATGTGCCGACACATTAACCCCCCTTGATGTCAATAAGCAGATGGGTGAGCTCAGTGCTGAGAAATGTCAGAGAGCAACTGAAGAAAACACAAGGCCAACCATGCTACACAAGACATGTGCCTTATTTCCTTCTTCCAGCTGCTCACCCCCTCAGGCAGTGCTAGTGCTCAGGCAAGCAGGCCAGACCACGGCTTGCAACTCCCCAGCCGGTCAGCTCGTCCTGCCCACCATCTCTGTCACATGCCATGCTGGACAGCCCAGCCATTTGCCACACAAACAGAAAAATCCAAAAACTTTAAATCTCCCCCCAGAAAATGGAAGAGCAGAGCAAGTGAAGCCTGTACACTCCTTACAAATACCTTCCTATGGAATGGTAAGCAGCACTAGCTATGGATCCAGCCCACACTTCCTCTACCATAGGCCATCTGATGACAGCAGCCACCCCCTCAATCTGTCCAGCCAACCTCCACACAACAGCTACTCCCCTGTTACCCCCACCTCCCCCATCTCTCCCCACTTGCACCTTATGGATAAAAGCTCTGCTCCACCAGCCATAAGCACAAGTTGTGAGCCAGCCATAGCTGCAGCCAAACCTCTCTGGTACCCATGGCTGACAGCAGATCCTCACTCCAAGGTGCACTCTGCTGGTCTCAAGAACAACGGGAGAAAAGTAGAACAGCTGAGAAAAGATGGTGCTATGACAGCACATAGCATGGAACAGCTGAGAAAAGATGGTGCTATGGCAGCACATAGCATGGAACAGCTGAGAAAAGATGGTGCTATGACAGCACATAGCATGGAACAGCTGAGAAAAGATGGTGCTATGACAGCACATAGCATGGAACAGCTGAGAAAAGATGGTGCTATGGCAGCACATAGCATGGAACAGCTGAGAAAAGATGGTGCTATGACAGCACATAGCATGGAACAGCTGAGAAAAGATGGTGCTATGGCAGCACATAGCATGGAACAGCTGAGAAAAGATGGTGCTATGACAGCACATAGCATGGAACAGCTGAGAAAAGATGGTGCTATGACAGCACATAGCATGGAACAGCTGAGAAAAGATGGTGCTATGTCAGCACATAGCATGGAACAGCTGAGAAAAGATGGTGCTATGACAGCACATAGCATGGAACAGCTGAGAAAAGATGGTGCTATGGCAGCACATAGCATGGAACAGCTGAGAAAAGATGGTGCTATGACAGCACATAGCATGGAACAGCTGAGAAAAGATGGTGCTATGAAGATCACTTGCCAAAACATATTTGTGGACAAGTTAAAAGAGTATGCCAACAAAGTTCAGCCAACCGAATCTAAGGAGCCACCAGCCAAGGTTTTGGGAGAGCCATCAAGACAGCAGAGCACTATGGACTCATCAAGACAGCAGAGCACTATGGACTCATCAAGACAGCAGAGCACTATGGACTCATCAAGACAGCAGAGCACTATGGACTCATCAAGACAGCAGAGCACTATGGACTCATCAAGACAGCAGAGCACTATGGACTCATCAAGACAGCAGAGCACTATGGACTCATCAAGACAGCAGAGCACTATGGACTCATCAAGACAGCAGAGCACTATGGACTCATCAAGACAGCAGAGCACTATGGACTCATCAAGACAGCAGAGCACTATGGACTCATCAAGACAGCAGAGCACTATGGACTCATCAAGACAGCAGAGCACTATGGACTCATCAAGACAGCAGAGCACTATGGACTCATCAAGACAGCAGAGCACTATGGTCGTAATGAGCGAGCTTACCTCAGGCTCCCCAATAGACCTGAGCTGTCATCCAAAGAATCAAATCTGCCCCATTATCAATGCTAGATCTAGTGGAAAGTATCTGGAAGAACTTCTTCTTCATGGGCATGGTTGGAAAAGTAGGATTGTGGATGATTATTTGAGGAAAGGAGTTGACTCAGACCTGAACTATGAAACAGGAGAGAGTACAACTGATGGAAAGAAAAGATCGAGTGTTATGAGTGACTCAGGTCCCTCTGTCAGTGGTCCCAGCCTCAGAGCCAGCTTGCCAGATGCACCATCTGAGGGAAGTTTACCTCAAGGTACCAGGGTAGGCAGCAAAACTTTGAAAGCAACCAGCCTGAGTGATGCTGATGTTGTCATCCACCCCACTCAACCTGCCCCTGACAAAGCTTGTGTAGAGTCAAGTTTACACAGGCTAGGCCTACCATCTGTGCAAGCAACATCAGTTTTTTGCAGCGACCTTCACACTCCTGATCAAAAATTGTAAGTAAAGATAATTATCCTAACTAAATTAGACCAGTGGTTCCCAAACTTTTTCGAGTGGTTACTCCCTTTTATAAAAAGTAAGTGACCCGCAACCCCCTTAGAAATAAAAAGTCAAAATTAATAAGGAAATTAATAAGCACTAAATAAGATTTTCTTGTAGACTTTCAATATGAATTATTCTTGATAACTGTTTTAATATGATAAGTGAAATTACATGTTATTAACTAGCCTCAACATTCGCAGTTGAGTCGCCAACCTTCTGCATTTTTTTTTTCAATGCTAGGGTTTAGTCTACCATTTGGCAACCCCCCAGAAAGCCCGTCGCCACCCCCTGGGGGTCTCGACCCCCAGTTTGGGAACCCATGAATTAGACCAAAGCTATATCCCATGCAAGTTACTGGATGGGTGGGATGGATCAGTGAACTGGGTGCTCATCTCAACTGTGGAGTAGACAAATGCAGTAGCTTCATGTCCTAACCATTTGGAAGATATTAAAATGCTGCTACAGAATGAAGAAATTTTTTGATAACATAGCTTACTTTCTTTATGAACATTAGTGGCTCAGTAGGTGTCTCAAAAACTCTAACTGGCTCAGTAGGTGTCTTCCTTTAGCCAGGCAGGTCTCAACAAACTCTGACTAACTGGCTCAGTAGATGTCTTCCTTTAGCCAGGCAGGCCTCAACAAACTCTAACTGGCTCAGTAGGTGTCTTCCTTTAGCCAGGCAGGTCTCAACAAACTCTGACTAACTGGCTCAGTAGATGTCTTCCTTTAGCCAGGCAGGTCTCAACAAACTCTAACTAACTGGCTCAGTAGGTGTCTTCCTTTAGCCAGGCAGGTCTCAACAAACTCTGACTAACTGGCTCAGTAGGTGTCTTCCTTTAGCCAGGCAGGTCTCAACAAACTCTGACTAACTGGCTCAGTAGGTGTCTTCCTTTAGCCAGGCAGGTCTCAACAAACTCTGACTAACTGGCTCAGTAGGTGTCTTCCTTTAGCCAGGCAGGTCTCAACAAACTCTGACTAACTGGCTCAGTAGGTGTCTTCCTTTAGCCAGGCAGGTCTCAACAAACTCTGACTAACTGGCTCAGTAGGTGTCTTCCTTTAGCCAGGCAGGTCTCAACAAACTCTGACTAACTGGCTCAGTAGGTGTCTTCCTTTAGCCAGGCAGGTCTCAACAAACTCTGACTAACTGGCTCAGTAGGTGTCTTCCTTTAGCCAGGCAGGTCTCAACAAACTGACTAACTGGCTCAGTAGGTGTCTTCCTTTAGCCAGGCAGGTCTCAACAAACTCTGACTAACTGGCTCAGTAGGTGTCTTCCTTTAGCCAGGCAGGTCTCAACAAACTCTAACTGGCTCAGTAGGTGTCTTCCTTTAGCCAGGCAGGTCTCAACAAACTCTAACTAACTGGCTCAGTAGGTGTCTTCCTTTAGCCAGGCAGGTCTCAACAAACTCTGACTAACTGGCTCAGTAGGTGTCTTCCTTTAGCCAGGCAGGTCTCAACAAACTCTGACTAACTGGCTCAGTAGGTGTCTTCCTTTAGCCAGGCAGGTCTCAACAAACTCTGACTAACTGGCTCAGTAGGTGTCTTCCTTTAGCCAGGCAGGCCTCAACAAACTCTAACTGGCTCAGTAGGTGTCTTCCTTTAGCCAGGCAGGTCTCAACAAACTCTGACTAACTGGCTCAGTAGGTGTCTTCCTTTAGCCAGGCAGGTCTCAACAAACTCTAACTAACTGGCTCAGTAGGTGTCTTCCTTTAGCCAGGCAGGTCTCAACAAACTCTAACTGGCTCAGTAGGTGTCTTCCTTTAGCCAGGCAGGTCTCAACAAACTGACTAACTGGCTCAGTAGGTGTCTTCCTTTAGCCAGGCAGGTCTCAACAAACTCTGACTAACTGGCTCAGTAGGTGTCTTCCTTTAGCCAGGCAGGTCTCAACAAACTCTGACTAACTGGCTCAGTAGGTGTCTTCCTTTAGCCAGGCAGGTCTCAACAAACTGACTAACTGGCTCAGTAGGTGTCTTCCTTTAGCCAGGCAGGTCTCAACAAACTCTGACTAACTGGCTCAGTAGGTGTCTTCCTTTAGCCAGGCAGGTCTCAACAAACTCTGACTAACTGGCTCAGTAGGTGTCTTCCTTTAGCCAGGCAGGCCTCAACAAACTCTGATTAACTGGCTCAGTAGGTGTCTTCCTTTAGCCAGGCAGGTCTCAACAAACTCTGACTAACTGGCTCAGTAGGTGTCTTCCTTTAGCCAGGCAGGTCTCAACAAACTCTGACTAACTGGCTCAGTAGGTGTCTTCCTTTAGCCAGGCAGGTCTCAACAAACTCTGACTAACTGGCTCAGTAGATGTCTTCCTTTAGCCAGGCAGGTCTCAACAAACTCTGACTAACTGGCTCAGTAGGTGTCTTCCTTTAGCCAGGCAGGTCTCAACAAACTCTGACTAACTGGCTCAGTAGGTGTCTTCCTTTAGCCAGGCAGGTCTCAACAAACTGACTAACTGGCTCAGTAGGTGTCTTCCTTTAGCCAGGCAGGTCTCAACAAACTCTGACTAACTGGCTCAGTAGGTGTCTTCCTTTAGCCAGGCAGGTCTCAACAAACTCTAACTGGCTCAGTAGGTGTCTTCCTTTAGCCAGGCAGGTCTCAACAAACTCTAACTAACTGGCTCAGTAGGTGTCTTCCTTTAGCCAGGCAGGTCTCAACAAACTCTGACTAACTGGCTCAGTAGGTGTCTTCCTTTAGCCAGGCAGGTCTCAACAAACTCTGACTAACTGGCTCAGTAGGTGTCTTCCTTTAGCCAGGCAGGTCTCAACAAACTCTGACTAACTGGCTCAGTAGGTGTCTTCCTTTAGCCAGGCAGGCCTCAACAAACTCTAACTGGCTCAGTAGGTGTCTTCCTTTAGCCAGGCAGGTCTCAACAAACTCTGACTAACTGGCTCAGTAGGTGTCTTCCTTTAGCCAGGCAGGTCTCAACAAACTCTAACTAACTGGCTCAGTAGGTGTCTTCCTTTAGCCAGGCAGGTCTCAACAAACTCTAACTGGCTCAGTAGGTGTCTTCCTTTAGCCAGGCAGGTCTCAACAAACTGACTAACTGGCTCAGTAGGTGTCTTCCTTTAGCCAGGCAGGTCTCAACAAACTCTGACTAACTGGCTCAGTAGGTGTCTTCCTTTAGCCAGGCAGGTCTCAACAAACTCTGACTAACTGGCTCAGTAGGTGTCTTCCTTTAGCCAGGCAGGTCTCAACAAACTGACTAACTGGCTCAGTAGGTGTCTTCCTTTAGCCAGGCAGGTCTCAACAAACTCTGACTAACTGGCTCATTAGGTGTCTTCCTTTAGCCAGGCAGGTCTCAACAAACTCTGACTAACTGGCTCAGTAGGTGTCTTCCTTTAGCCAGGCAGGCCTCAACAAACTCTGATTAACTGGCTCAGTAGGTGTCTTCCTTTAGCCAGGCAGGTCTCAACAAACTCTGACTAACTGGCTCAGTAGGTGTCTTCCTTTAGCCAGGCAGGTCTCAACAAACTCTGACTAACTGGCTCAGTAGGTGTCTTCCTTTAGCCAGGCAGGCCTCAACAAACTCTGACTAACTGGCTCAGTAGGTGTCTTCCTTTAGCCAGGCAGGTCTCAACAAACTCTGACTAACTGGCTCAGTAGATGTCTTCCTTTAGCCAGGCAGGTCTCAACAAACTCTGACTAACTGGCTCAGTAGGTGTCTTCCTTTAGCCAGGCAGGTCTCAACAAACTCTGACTAACTGGCTCAGTAGGTGTCTTCCTTTAGCCAGGCAGGTCTCAACAAACTGACTAACTGGCTCAGTAGGTGTCTTCCTTTAGCCAGGCAGGTCTCAACAAACTCTGACTAACTGGCTCAGTAGGTGTCTTCCTTTAGCCAGGCAGGTCTCAACAAACTCTGACTAACTGGCTCAGTAGGTGTCTTCCTTTAGCCAGGCAGGTCTCAACAAACTGACTAACTGGCTCAGTAGGTGTCTTCCTTTAGCCAGGCAGGTCTCAACAAACTGACTAACTGGCTCAGTAGGTGTCTTCCTTTAGCCAGGCAGGTCTCAACAAACTCTGACTAACTGGCTCAGTAGGTGTCTTCCTTTAGCCAGGCAGGTCTCAACAAACTCTGACTAACTGGCTCAGTAGGTGTCTTCCTTTAGCCAGGCAGGCCTCAACAAACTCTGATTAACTGGCTCAGTAGGTGTCTTCCTTTAGCCAGGCAGGTCTCAACAAACTCTGACTAACTGGCTCAGTAGGTGTCTTCCTTTAGCCAGGCAGGTCTCAACAAACTCTGACTAACTGGCTCAGTAGGTGTCTTCCTTTAGCAAGGCAGGCCTCAACAAACTCTGACTAACTGGCTCAGTAGGTGTCTTCCTTTAGCCAGGCAGGCCTCAACAAACTCTGACTAACTGGCTCAGTAGATGTCTTCCTTTAGCCAGGCAGGTCTCAACAAACTCTGACTAACTGGCTCAGTAGATGTCTTCCTTTAGCCAGGCAGGTCTCAACAAACTCTGACTAACTGGCTCAGTAGGTGTCTTCCTTTAGCCAGGCAGGTCTCAACAAACTCTGACTAACTGGCTCAGTAGGTGTCTTCCTTTAGCCAGGCAGGTCTCAACAAACTGACTAACTGGCTCAGTAGGTGTCTTCCTTTAGCCAGGCAGGTCTCAACAAACTCTGACTAACTGGCTCAGTAGGTGTCTTCCTTTAGCCAGGCAGGTCTCAACAAACTCTGACTAACTGGCTCAGTAGGTGTCTTCCTTTAGCCAGGCAGGTCTCAACAAACTGACTAACTGGCTCAGTAGGTGTCTTCCTTTAGCCAGGCAGGTCTCAACAAACTCTGACTAACTGGCTCAGTAGGTGTCTTCCTTTAGCCAGGCAGGTCTCAACAAACTCTGACTAACTGGCTCAGTAGGTGTCTTCCTTTAGCCAGGCAGGCCTCAACAAACTCTGATTAACTGGCTCAGTAGGTGTCTTCCTTTAGCCAGGCAGGTCTCAACAAACTCTGACTAACTGGCTCAGTAGGTGTCTTCCTTTAGCCAGGCAGGTCTCAACAAACTCTGACTAACTGGCTCAGTAGGTGTCTTCCTTTAGCCAGGCAGGCCTCAACAAACTCTGACTAACTGGCTCAGTAGGTGTCTTCCTTTAGCCAGGCAGGTCTCAACAAACTCTGACTAACTGGCTCAGTAGATGTCTTCCTTTAGCCAGGCAGGTCTCAACAAACTCTGACTAACTGGCTCAGTAGGTGTCTTCCTTTAGCCAGGCAGGTCTCAACAAACTCTGACTAACTGGCTCAGTAGGTGTCTTCCTTTAGCCAGGCAGGTCTCAACAAACTCTAACTGGCTCAGTAGGTGTCTTCCTTTAGCCAGGCAGGTCTCAACAAACTCTAACTAACTGGCTCAGTAGGTGTCTTCCTTTAGCCAGGCAGGTCTCAACAAACTCTGACTAACTGGCTCAGTAGGTGTCTTCCTTTAGCCAGGCAGGTCTCAACAAACTCTGACTAACTGGCTCAGTAGGTGTCTTCCTTTAGCCAGGCAGGTCTCAACAAACTCTGACTAACTGGCTCAGTAGGTGTCTTCCTTTAGCCAGGCAGGCCTCAACAAACTCTGACTAACTGGCTCAGTAGGTGTCTTCCTTTAGCCAGGCAGGTCTCAACAAACTCTGACTAACTGGCTCAGTAGGTGTCTTCCTTTAGCCAGGCAGGCCTCAACAAACTCTGACTAACTGGCTCAGTAGGTGTCTTCCTTTAGCCAGGCAGGTCTCAACAAACTCTGACTAACTGGTTCAATTGTCTTGCTTGCATTGCCACAATGGCCTCAGAGGACAATGGCATCAGGACCCCAGCAATCCTAATCTTGCAATCACTGAACCTAGCAAGAATGTGTTTTGCTGCTTTTTGGCACAAACCTTTGCAACATTCAGTAGCTAGTTTCATTGATTGTATTCAAACCTTTGCAACATTCAGTAGCTAGTTTCATTGATTGTATTCATTGCTCCTTTTTAGTACAGACATAAACAAGAGCAACTCACATTTATTTACTTAATATTATTATTATTAGTTCTATAATTTGTTAGAATCATCTCAAACTAAAAATAATAATACCGATTCATTAAACTGGTACTTACAAGTACCATCAGTAGATAATTGAATTATACCAGCTTGGAAATGCTATTAGTTAAAAAAATCAAGGAGGAAAACATCTTTTTACTTTCTCGTATATACGAAGTATAGAGAAAGTATTGTAATCGTGCCAAAAAAAAAAATCAAGATTTTTACAAATCTCGATGTTTTACACCCACTGATACGGAAAAACATAATTTTGCAATCTTGTCCGTGTGTGTGTCTGTGTGTAAACATGATAACTTGAGTACCGTTACAGCTAGGTTGATGAAATTCATATATAAGTATTTTATCAAAATCGTAGATCTGTATGAACTTTTTGAGCGATTTCTGATAACCGGAAGTTGAACTATTTCTACTTTGAATTTTTCAAAAGCCTATATACTATTTAGGATAGATAAATGAAATTTCACATGTAAGTAAACGATCTAATTCTCTACCTTCTGTCAAATTTTGATTAATGTCAGTTGACCGGAAGTACTAATTTATGCTATTTCCAATTTCTCAAAAAACGCATGTAAATTTATAAAGTACTCATAATATTCCGCACTATTATGCACATTTATCAGGCGTTCACTTGGTGTGCAATTCTTTTTTTTTTACGAGATTCCATTCTACTATAAAAAGTAATTAAAAATGGATTACAAATATTGTCTATGTCCTGAGTTGCCATCCCTCGTAGTTTTATATTAGAATTTTCGAGAAAGTTTAGGTTAGATCACTCCCAGTTTATTTTCAAAATTTTCATTTCATCAAAATAAATTATTTCTGTAGTTCTGTGAGTTGAAAATATACAAATTGAATTAAAACCAAACCTTTACCATAGATTTACACATGAAAAATTATTTATCTTTAAACAACACATTCTAGATTCTATAGTTATAAAACCCACAAAAATGGGTGAAAATTAGAGTGGGAGGGGTTTGGACATGTGAAGGGGGCTATGTGGCAATTGTATTGAAGCCTTGAAAAGGGATGACACATTATTGACTCCAGTGACATTTGTATCCAACTTGTTGTTGTAGGTGTGTGTGTCCAGACTTCTAATAGACATGTATGGCTGACCTTTTGAGTAGACCTTCTCCATAGCCAGTTTGATGTTTATTTTATCATTATAGGGAACTTGGGGGCAAAGTTTTAAAAGTGGATTCTAGAAGGGTGAGGGTGTTTTCTTTTTCCAATCTTTTTCTTGCTTGTTTGTCACCACTTGTCTGGCTCACTTGTTGGGTCTTATGACACAAGTCTGAAAGACAGTTGCCCAAATCTCTTTGATCCAATAAGACCAAAAGTCTGAAAGACAGTTGCCCAAATCTCTTTGATCCAATAAGACCAAAAGTCTGAAAGACAGTTGCCCCAATCTCTTTGATCCTAAAATGATTGGCTTAAATGTACATTTTCATCTATTTGACAACTATCCAAATGGATAATCCCCAGAATATGACAATTTCCTGCAAGTCAGATTGCAAGAAAATGTGTTCAAATACCTGTGTACATTTAATATTAAACCTTGGTTTCTGCCTGTGATAACTACTAAAGAAAAAATTATAAAAGTGTAAAGATAAATAAAGAAAGCTTTTATGTAAACTGCCTGTAATGTGATACAGCATTTTTGGTCAGATTTGATGTCAAACTAGGCACTGTTGAATGTTTTGAGCATAAAAAGATGTTCAAGTAGTGGATAGGACACTGACACTAGCCACTTGATATCAATGCTAGAGTTGCTCCAAGAGAGTCAACTCTAAAAGCTGGAATCCAAAGGTTTGTTGAAATGCTTTCATAACTTGTGTGTTTCAGCTCTGTCAAATGTCGGAGTTCACCATCTCTGGCCGGCATGTACTAGGACTAAAGAAGTGGCGTGTCAAGACTGAGAGGAGAATGTTGAGTGAGCAGCAGCCTGACCTACAGGTTGCTGCTCCTGTCTGGCCCCCACCACGGCAGGACACTGTGCTCAAGTGGCTGGCTGCTGGCAACAAGCAGCAAACAATGGAACACTCTGCTCTTCATCCAGGGGACAGTTCAGCTGATGATTCCTTGGTTTCTTCACTCAGCTCACTAGCTGATGGTGCCTCGCCATGTGGGCCATCACCACTGATTGCTTCAGACTTGGATATCTGCTCACCCCACATGTCAGACAAATCATTTTCTCTTTTGCTCACCAAAACCCCAATTACTTTAGGCAAAAGAAAATCAAAGTTGACTGGAGTGAATCAAACCAAAACATATTGTAACAGTCAAGAAGATGTATCAGCACTGTCAAAGAAAATAAGAAAAACTGAGAACAAAGATAGGTACCCATCTCTAAGCAGCACACCTGTCAACTTCCATGTTGACTTAGGAGATGGTGCAGACAAAAGGCATGTCCTGACACAGACACAGGTATGTCACCACATACTTATATGTCCCCACCAACCCCACTGTTTACATGACCCCCACCAACCCCACTGTTTACATGACCCCCACAAACGCCACTGTTTACATGACCCCCCACCAACCCCACTGTTTACATGACCCCCCACCAACCCCACTGTTTACATGACCCCCACCAACCCCACTGTTTACATGACCCCACCAACCCCACTGTTTACATGACCCCCACCAACCCCACTGTTTACATGAACCCACCAACCCCACTGTTTACATGACCCCCACCAACCCCACTGTTTACATGACCCCCACCAACCCCACTGTTTACATGACCCCACCATTCCCACTGTTTACATGACCCCCACAAACGCCACTGTTTACATGACCCCCCACCAACCCCACTGTTTACATGACCCCCCACCAACCCCACTGTTTACATGACCCCCACTAACCCCACTGTTTACATGACCCCCACTAACCCCACTGTTTACATGACCCCCACCAACCCCACTGTTTACATGACCCCCACCAACCCCACTGTTTACATGACCCCCACTAACCCCACTGTTTACATGACCCCCACCAACCCCACTGTTTACATGACCCCAACCAACCCCACTGTTTACATGACCCCCACCAACCCCACTGTTTACATGACCCCAACCAACCCCACTGTTTTCATGACCCCCACCAACCCCACTGTTTACATGACCCCACCATTCCCACTGTTTACATGACCCCACCATTCCCACTGTTTACATGACCCCCACAAACGCCACTGTTTACATGACCCCCACTAACCCCACTGTTTACATGACCCCCACCAACCCCACTGTTTACATGACCCCAACCAACCCCACTGTTTACATGACCCCCACCAACCCCACTGTTTACATGACCCCCCACCAACCCCACTGTTTACATGACCCCCACTAACCCCACTGTTTACATGACCCCCACAAACCCCACTGTTTACATGACCTCACCATTCCCACTGTTTACATGACCCCACCAACCCCACTGTTTACATGACCCTACCAACCCCACTGTTTACATGACCCCCACCAACCCCACTGTTTACATGACCCCACCAACCCCACTGTTTACATGACCCCACCAACCCCACTGTTTACATAACCCCCACCAACCCCACTGTTTACATGACCTGTAAAATGTTTCTCTCCAGCGAAGAGACTCAAGCACTTTGACTACAGATGTATCACAGATTGAAGGGCCAACACCTAAAAATACATTTGGGTTCAAAATTGCTCAGACTCATGTGCAAGATTCTAAAGCTATTCATAAGGTAGATAGAACTTGTGTAGGTAGACTGGGCAGTAGTCATCTAAAGCTATTCATAAGGTAGATAGAACTTGTGTAGGTAGACTGGGCAGTAGTCATCTAAAGCTATTCATAAGGTAGATAGAACTTGTGTAGGTAGACTGGGCAGTAGTCATCTAAAGCTATTCATAAGGTAGATAGAACTTGTGTAGGTAGACTGGGCAGTAGTCAGATTGTTTTAGACATAACTCAACATAGTACAAGCAGAGGCAAATGTAGAGGATTTGATAATATGAACATTTCCAGTCAAACAACACAATAGAAACTTGTTTCAATATTTCTCACCTATCACTACTACAACTAAACATCATCAGGATTCAAAAGGTCTTCTATACATTTTTAAAATATTTTCCCCATTTTGATAGATTTAATATCTGCACCACATGTTAAGCTAAAACAATTCTATACGTTGATTTATTTGTTTTAAAGAGAAAAAATATTGTGGATTTTTTTCCGGGGGAAAAATACTCTTCTGCTGTAGTTATGTTGTAGAAACTATTATTTTCGGAAGTGTGGGTAGTTTTGTGGTAGAAACTATCAGAGGTGTGGGTAGTTTTGTGGTAGAAACTATCAGAGGTGTGGGTAGTTTTGTGGTAGAAACGATCAGAGGTGTGGGTAGTTTTGTGGTAGAAACTATCAGAGGTGTGGGTAGTTTTGTGGTAGAAACTATCAGAGGTGTGGGTAGTTTTGTGATAGAAACTATCAGAGGTGTGGGTAGTTTTGTGGTAGATCAGAGGTGTGGGTAGTTTTGTGATAGAAACTATCAGAGGTGTGGGTAGTTTTGTGATAGAAACGATCAGAGGTGTGGGTAGTTTTGTGGTAGAAACTATCAGAGGTGTGGGTAGTTTTGTGGTAGATCAGAGGTGTGGGTAGTTTTGTGGTAGAAACGATCAGAGGTGTGGGTAGTTTTGTGATAGAAACGATCAGAGGTGTGGGTAGTTTTGTGGTAGAAACTATCAGAGGTGTGGGTAGTTTTGTGGTAGATCAGAGGTGTGGGTAGTTTTGTGGTAGAAACGATCAGAGGTGTGGGTAGTTTTGTGGTAGAAACTATCAGAGGTGTGGGTAGTTTTGTGGTAGAAACTATCAGAGGTGTGGGTAGTTTTGTGGTAGATCAGAGGTGTGGGTAGTTTTGTGGTAGAAACTATCAGAGGTGTGGGTAGTTTTGTGGTAGAAACTATGAGAGGTGTGGGTAGTTTTGTGGTAGAAACTATGAGAGGTGTGGGTAGTTTTGTGGTAGAAACTATCAGAGGTGTGGGTAGTTTTGTGGTAGAAACTGTTATTTAAAGCCTAAGTCTGGGTCCCACAATGAAAGCAGAAATGGGGCAGGAGATATTTTACATGTCTAATTTGTAATTACTTTAGCCTGCGTGTGCAAAGTCAGTTGGAAAAAAACTAGAAAACTCCATCAACATGACCAGCATTATTTAAAGTACAATGTTGGAATCATTTTGTTCTGTTCTATATTTAGTAATGTATAGGTAATATTTATCAGGGTTGATCTCATGTGATATAAGTGGTTGAGTTTAAAAACTTTTGGGCTTAAGGAAAGCTTTTTGAGTAATTTTGAGTTCTTTGTGAGTTCTTGTGTAGGTTTAGCGAGGATGATATGCACTTGTGTTCTCTGCCAAAATCTCATATTGCTAGTGTAGTTAGCATCCTATTGTAGAGGTACATTTGTATGATGACATGTTGTCAGTGAGCAGCACTAGACTCATCTGTTTGTCTACAGTTCCAGTATGTGAGCACCCTATGCCTAGAGCTTCACATTGAAACAAGAGGTGACCTGCGTCCAGACCCTGCTGTTGATCCTGTGCTGGCACTCTTTTATTCAGTCCTGGATGATGTGCCTGCAAGCCAGAAGAAGAGCAAGCTAACAGGTGTTGTGCTTGTGGATCTAGCCAAGGTTTCCCCAAGTCAGAAAAGTCCCCTATCTGAGGGGCTGTTGGACAAGTGTGCTGTGGATGGCCTTGATGTCAGTTACGTCCAAGATGAGTTGGACTTGATTCAGACATTTTCTCAACTTGTGCTAAGGTAGCTCTTTTATCTACTGGTCAGTTTGTTTTCTTTTGACCAGCGTGTTGTCTGTTGATTCATTTGTTGCCTGTTGATTAATTTGTTGTCTCTTGATTCATTTGTTGCCTGTTGATTAATTTGTTGTCTGTTGATTCATTTGTTGTCTGTTGATTAATTTGTTGCCTGTTGATTAATTTGTTGTCTGTTGATTAATTTGTTGCCTGTTGATTAATTTGTTGTCTGTTAATTTGTTGTCTCTTGATTAATTTGTTGTCTGTTGATTAATTTGTTGTCTGTTAATTTGTTGTCTCTTGATTAATTTGTTGTCTCTTGATTAATTTGTTGTCTCGTGATTAATTTGTTGCCTGTTGATTAATTTTTTGTCTGTTGATTAATTTGTTGTCTGTTGATTAATTTGTTGTCTGTTGATTAATTTGTTGTCTGTTGATTAATTTGTTGTCTGTTGATTCATTTGTTGTCTGTTGATTAATTTGTTGCCTGTTGATTAATTTGTTGTCTGTTAATTTGTTGTCTCTTGATTAATTTGTTGTCTGCTGATTAATTTGTTGTCTCTTGATTAATTTGTTGTCTGTTGATTAATTTGTTGTCTCTTGATTAATTTGTTGTCTGTTGATTAATTTGTTGTCTGTTGATTAATTTGTTGTCTGTTGATCAGTGTGTTGTCTGTGTAAAAATGTTTTTGTCAGCCAGTTAGTCATCTGCCTCTCTGTATCAGTCTCTCTGTTATTTCTGCCTGTTGATGTAGTTAGACATCTGCCTCTCTGTATCAGTCTCTCTGTTATTTCTGCCTGTTGATGTAGTCATCTGCCTCTCTGTATCAGTCTCTCTGTTATTTCTGCCTGTTGATGTAGTTAGACATCTGCCTCTCTGTATCAGTCTCTCTGTTATTTCTGCCTGTTGATGTAGTCATCTGCCTCTCTGTATCAGTCTCTCTGTTATTTCTGCCTGTTGATGTAGTTAGACATCTGCCTCTCTGTATCAGTCTCTCTGTTATTTCTGCCTGTTGATGTAGTTAGTCATCTGCCTCTCTGTATCAGTCTCTCTGTTATTTCTGCCTGTTGATGTAGTTAGTCATCTGCCTCTCTGTATCAGTCTCTCTGTTATTTCTGCCTGTTGATGTAGTTAGTCATCTGCCTCTCTGTATCAGTCTCTCTGTTATTTCTGCCTGTTGATGTAGTTAGACATCTGCCTCTCTGTATCAGTCTCTATTATTTCTGCCTGTTGTGAGCAGGTGGGACCCTGACATCCTAGTTGGTTATGAAATACAGATGCTCTCTTGGGGATACCTGCTCCACAGAGCTGCTCACCTCAACATTGATCTGTGCTCTCAGATAGCCAGGATTCCAGGTTTGTCTGATTCTGGTATCTTAACCCTTTACTGCCCAGTCTTACATTCTGTAAAGCTCAGCTAAATTATGCTTTTTTCAACCATGACACTTCTTTTTTCATTATTTTTACAGCTCACATTTTTAAACAACCCACAAACATTTTAAAATAAGAAACAGGAAAATGGACATACTAATAGTTTAATGCAAGGAATCTTTGAACTCTCTCAATCCCAGCCTACTTTTTAAAAATTATCTATTATGTCAGCTCTAGATATTATTTTACAATCTCAATCACTGAGATATTTTGTCCCACACACAAATTTCATATATTTTACAATCTCAATCACTTAGATATTTTGTCCCACACACAACCTGTCTACCTGTCTAGTCTAACCTGTCTACCTGTCTAGTCTAACCTGTCTACCTGTCTAGCCTAACCTGTCTACCTGTCTAGTCTAACCTGTCTACCTGTCTAGTCTACCTGTCTAGTCTAACCTGTCTACCTGTCTAGTCTAACCTGTCTACCTGTCTAGTCTAACCTGTCTACCTGTCTAGTCTAACCTGTCTACCTGTCTAGTCTACCTGTCTAGTCTAACCTGTCTACCTGTCTAGTCTTACCTGTCTACCTGTCTAGTCTAACCTGTCTACTTGTCTAGTCTAACCTGTCTACCTGTCTAGTCTAACCTGTCTACCTGTCTAGTCTAACCTGTCTACCTGTCTAGTCTAACCTGTCTACCTGTCTAGTCTAACCTGTCTACCTGTCTAGTCTAACCTGTCTACCTGTCTAGTCTAACCTGTCTACCTGTCTAGTCTAACCTGTCTACCTGTCTAGTCTAACCTGTCTACCTGTCTAGTCTAACCTGTCTACCTGTCTAGCCTAACCTGTCTACCTGTCTAGTCTAACCTGTCTACCTGTCTAGTCTACCTGTCTAGTCTAACCTGTCTACCTGTCTAGTCTAACCTGTCTACCTGTCTAGTCTAACCTGTCTACCTGTCTAGTCTAACCTGTCTACCTGTGTAGTCTAACCTGTCTACCTGTCTAGTCTAACCTGTCTACTTGTCTAGTCTAACCTGTCTACCTGTCTAGTCTAACCTGTCTACCTGTGTAGTCTAACCTGTCTACCTGTCTAGTCTAACCTGTCTACCTGTCTAGTCTAACCTGTCTACTTGTCTAGTCTAACCTGTCTACCTGTCTAGTCTAACCTGTCTACCTGTCTAGTCTAACCTGTCTACCTGGTATCATTACCAAACTAGCAATATTGGCAGTGTTATTTTAACGCCAAGGGTAGACACAGCTAGAGAAAATAGACAAATAGACAGCAGTTAGAACCTAACGAGAAGCTTCCAATCCATGCAGCACTAAACTAGCCTGCGCCCCCCCCCCCCCCCCCCCCCCGCATGCATCCATCCCAAGTGTAACCACTTCACTTGAGAAAATCATCTGTTTAAAAATACAAAGCTTTCTTGGCCAACCACTATCATAGCTTGTGCACCCAGGAACACAAAGGACCATTAGTTACACCACATAAAGGACACACAAATACAGGAAGATGATACAGACCAATTGGAGCTTCCTTAAATGGGCATATGGGGTTAACTTGCATGTAGAAGTGTTGGAAGCAGGCATCTGTACTGGAATAGCCAGCGGTCAGTTGTTTCCTTTTGGGGCCAGAGTTTACTGTGGTCTCTTACAATTGACTAGCAGAACTTTGCTTATTAGAGATGATTAGAACTGCATAATTGTTGCACATTTTGGTGCATCTCTGGTGCAGTATGCTACCTAGTGTCATAGCCTCTTTCTTATCCCTTGGCTGAACTCGAACCTTTTGATGTCAACATTTCTCATGTTTCCAATTATTTTTTGCCATAGATGAAAAGGATAAAAACACATTTGATGCAGAAACCAATGAATGGGGCGCAGCTTATACATCAGAAATTCAAGTTGCTGGGAGGATAGTATTGAACATGTGGAGAGTTATCAAACATGAGGTAAACATGAGCTCCTCTCATTGAACTCATCCCTCCATCATGTGATATTTTTTTTTAGTTAACTCTTTTTGTGTTGGGCTAGACACACTGGGGTGGTGAGCTAGACACACTGGGGTGTGAGGCTAGACACACTGGGGTGGTGGGCCTAGACACACTGGGCTGTGGGGCCAGACACACTGGGGTGTGGGGCTAGACACACTGGGCTGTGGGGCTAGACACACTGGGGTGGTGGGCCTAGACACACTGGGGTGTGGGGCCAGACACACTGGGGTGGTGGGCCTAGACACACTGGGGTGGTGGGCCTAGACACACTGGGGTGGTGGGCTTAGACACACTGGGCTGTGGGGCCAGACACACTGGGGTGTGGGGCCAGACACACTGGGGTGGTGGGGCTAGACACACTGGGGTGTGGGGCCAGACACACGGGTGGTGAGCCAGACACACTGGGGTGGTGGGCCTAGACACACTGGGGTGGTGGGCCTAGACACACTGGGGTGGTGGGCCTAGACACACTGGGGTGGTGGGCCTAGACACTGGGGTGGTGGGCCTAGACACACTGGGGTGGTGGGCCTAGACACACTGGGGTGGTGGGCCTAGACACACTGGGGTGGTGGGGCTAGACACACTGGGGTGGTGGGCCTAGACACACTGGGGTGGTGGGGCTAGACACACTGGGGTGGTGGGCCTAGACACACTGGGGTGGTGGGCTAGACACACTGGGGTGGTGGGCCTAGACACACTGGGGTGGTGGGCCTAGACACACTGGGGTGGTGGGCCTAGACACACTGGGGTGGTGGGCCTAGACACACTGGGGTGGTGTGCTAGACACACTGGGGTTGTGGGCCTAGACACACTGGGGTGGTGGGCCTAGACACACTGGGGTGGTGGGCCTAGACACACTGGGTGGTGGGCCTAGACACAGGGGTGGTGGGGCTAGACACACTGGGGTGTGGGCCTAGACACACTGGGGTGGTGGGGCTAGACACACTGGGGTGGTGGGCCTAGACACACTGGGGTGGTGGGCCTAGACACACTGGGGTGGTGTGCTAGACACACTGGGGTGGTGGGCCTAGACACACTGGGGTGGTGGGCCTAGACACACTGGGGTGGTGGGCCTAGACACACTGAGGTGGTGGGCCTAGACACACTGAGGTGTGGGGCCTAGACACACTGGGGTGGTGGGCCTAGACACACTGAGGTGTGGGGCCTAGACACACTGGGGTGGTGGGGCTAGACACACTGGGGTGGTGGGCCTAGACACACTGAGGTGTGGGGCCTAGACACACTGGGGTGTGGGGCTAGACACACTGGGGTGTGGGGCCTAGACACACTGGGGTGTGGGGCCAGGCATGGGTGTGGGGCCATGACACACTGGGGTGGTGTGCTAGACACACTGGGGTGGTGTGCTAGACACACTGGGGTGTGGGGATAGACACACTGGGGTGTGGGCCTAGACACTGGGGTGGTGGGCCTAGACACACTGGGTGGTGGGCCTAGACACACTGGGGTGGTGTGCTAGACACACTGGGGTGGTGGGCCTAGACACACTGGGGTGGTGGGGCTAGACACACTGGGGTGGTGGGCCTAGACACACTGGGGTGGTGGGGCTAGACACACTGGGGTGGTGGGGCTAGACACACTGGGGTGGTGGGGCTAGACACACTGGGGTGGTGGGGCTAGACACACTGGGGTGGTGGGCCTAGACACACTGGGGTGGTGGGGCTAGACACACTGGGGTGGTGGGCCTAGACACACTGGGGTGGTGGGCCTAGACACACTGGGGTGGTGGGGCTAGACACACTGGGGTGGTGGGGCTAGACACACTGGGGTGGTGGGGCTAGACACACTGGGGTGGTGAGGCTAGACACACTGGGGTGGTGGGCCTAGACACTGGGGTGTGGGGCTAGACACACTGGGGTGGTGGGCCTAGACACACTGGGGTGGTGGGGCTAGACACACTGGGGTGGTGGGGCTAGACACACTGGGGTGGTGGGCCTAGACACACTGGGGTGGTGTGCTAGACACACTGGGGTGGTGGGGCTAGACACACTGGGGTGGTGGGCCTAGACACACTGGGGTGGTGGGGCTAGACACACTGGGGTGGTGGGCCTAGACACACTGGGGTGGTGGGGCTAGACACTGGGGTGGTGGGGCTAGACACACCGGGGTGTGGGGCTAGACACACTGAGGTGGTGGGGCCTAGACACACTGGGGTGTGGGGCCATGACACACTGGGGTGGTGTGCTAGACACACTGGGGTGTGGGGATAGACACACAGGGGTGTGGACCCAAGCACACTCTGAGGTGTGAGTGTACTAACCAGTGGTTTCTATTTGTATTTAACAGGTTGCTTTGAATGTGTACACATTTGAGAATGTTGTCTACCATGTTCTACATCGTAGAATTCCTCTCTATTCATTCCGCTCTCTGACCCGGTGGTACACCAGCAAGACATACCTTCAAAGGTAAGACCTGCTAAATAAAACAGGATTTCAATAAAGCTTACCTAGAGCACCAAAGTGTGCCTGTTCACCTCCAACACGCAGTCAGTGCTGCTATATGGAGCGGAGGCTGGGGGAGTGATCAGCATTGAGAGTCCAGACTTGATAAAGAACAGCTTAAGAATACTCAGGAGCCACAGGGCGAAACCATCAGCAACACAAACCTTTGTAAAAGAACTAGACTGAAGATATCAGGAAGAAGGGGTTGGTTAGAGCACACCACCTACTAGTATCAGCTGGCAGGCAATGATGTGGAACACCTAGGAAAGCACAACAGAGGTCCACTAAGAAACCAGTGCCAATGCGACTTTGAGGCTGCCACACATGTTGTCAGATTGAGAATATGGTAGGAGATATTTATGCAGTCAGATTGAGAATATGGTAGGAGATATTTATGCAGTCAGATTGAGAATATGGTAGGAGATATTTATGCAGTCAGATTGAGAATATGGTAGGAGATATTTATGCAGTCAGATTGAGAATATGGTAGGAGATATTTATGCAGTCAGATTGAGAATATGGTAGGAGATATTTATGCAGTCAGATTGAGAATATGGTAGGAGATATTTATGCAGTCAGATTGAGAATATGGTAGGAGATATTTATGCAGTCAGATTGAGAATATGGTAGGAGATATTTATGCAGTCAGATTGAGAATATTTTAGGAGATATTTATGCAGTCAGATTGAGAATATGGTAGGAGATATTTATGCAGTCAGATTGAGAATATGGTAGGAGATATTTATGCAGTCAGATTGAGAATATGGTAGGAGATATTTATGCAGTCAGATTGAGAATATGGTAGGAGATATTTATGCAGTCAGATTGAGAATATGGTAGGAGATATTTATGCAGTCAGATTGAGAATATGGTAGGAGATATTTATGCAGTCAGATTGAGAATATGGTAGGAGATATTTATGCAGTCAGATTGAGAATATGGTAGGAGATATTTATGCAGTCAGATTGAGAATATGGTAGGAGATATTTATGCAGTCAGATTGAGAATATGGTAGGAGATATTTATGCAGTCAGATTGAGAATATGGTAGGAGATATTTATGCAGTCAGATTGAGAATATGGTAGGAGATATTTATGCAGTCAGATTGAGAATATGGTAGGAGATATTTATGCAGTCAGATTGAGAATATGGTAGGAGATATTTATGCAGTCAGATTGAGAATATGGTAGGAGATATTTAGTTGGCAGCCCATACTCAGCTGGAGTGATGGGCAGTAATATTGATACACTATTGTCTTCTAAATATTCTAATGCATGACAGTAAAAAAAGAAATTGGTGGCTGAAACTATGACCATTTGTAAACATTTGAATTAGACCAAGACTTTATATTGAAATGGTTAGGGAAACAAATGGACTCAGTGGTGGACACAATAGTGGATTACATGCATACATGTTTAAAAAAAATCCACTGATTGCCTTTATCTAACATTCTTTAAGGGCCGATTCTAGTCGGAATAAGATACGCATGCGATACGCATGCGCAATGGAGAGAAACTACGACTTGCCTTAGCGGCGATGTTTTCGATGGTACTGCGCATGCGTGTGTTTACAACCGCAGAACCCTAATACCAACCCTAATCCTATCCTTAACCCTATCCCTAATCCTATCACTAACCCTAGCCCTAATCCTAACCCTAATCCTAATCCTATCCCTAACCCTAGCCCTAATCCTATCCCTAACCCTAACCCTATCCCTAATCCTACCCCTAACCCTCATTCTAGCCCTAACCCTAGCCATAGGTCACTGCGCATGCGCAGAACTATCTTTTGCCGAAAAATCTTATTCCGAGTAGACACTTCGTTCTTTAAGTGTTCATTTTTTTACCAAAAGAAACTCCATATTGATAATTTTCAAACTAAATTATCATTTTACAGATTATCACTTTGATTGACATTATTTGCAAAGAACATAGTTAAACTAAATGTATTAGCCTTTACAAAAATTCAGATTTTGTTTAAAAAAAATATACAAATTATGCCCCTTTGTACCTATTACTTCCCCAGATGTATGACCTACAAAAAAATTACTTTTATTTTTAGTTTGTCTGATGTTGAAAAAAAATTATATAATTAGCATAGATTGATAAAGGGCAATGTGGTAGATAAAAATAGGTATTTTAAATACTACCTTAATTTATTTTATACCCTGAATGTAGTTTATTAATTATTATTTTTGATCAATAACAGTTTAGAAGCCATTGTTCCTAAAAGTCCTCTATGTGTAAGTTTGTTGCCATTTGTGTTATGGTTTGTGTTTGCATTACATTTTTGTGTTTCGGTTGTGGTTGGTTGTGATTAGGGTTAAGTTTAGAGTTAAGTTTAGGGCTGTGTTATTTTCTCAAGCGTCCATATTTGCATATATAGACATTTAATTGGAAAAGTAAAAATATTTCCTAAACCCTGGCAATGCTGGGTATATACTGCTTAATAAACACACAAGTCACTGTCCTTTACAGATAGGTTTTTCACAGAGACCGGTGTAGAGCTGGGACCTCTAGCAAGTATATATACACACCCACCACACCCACCCAACTGCTGGTGGTTAAGAATGTAGTCAGATATTGTTTTCTTGTCCCAGATGGTGGGTATTTGAACACTATGTGAGACATGATGATTGTTTTCTTGTCCCAGATGGTGGGTATTTGAACACTATGTGAGACATGATGATTGTTTTCTTGTCCCAGATGGCGGGTATTTGAACACTATGTGAGACATGATGATTGTTTTCTTGTCCCAGATGGTGGGTATTTGAACACTATGTGAGACATGATGATTGTTTTCTTGTCCCAGATGGTGGGTATTTGAACACTATGTGAGACATGATGATTGTTTTCTTGTCCCAGATGGCGGGTATTTGAACACTATGTGAGACATGATGATTGTTTTCTTGTCCCAGATGGTGGGTATTTGAACACTATGTGAGACATGATGATTGTTTTCTTGTCCCAGATGGTGGGTATTTGAACACTATGTGAGACATGATGATTGTTTTCTTGTCCCAGATGGCGGGTATTTGAACACTATGTGAGACATGATGATTGTTTTCTTGTCCCAGATGGCGGGTATTTGAACATTATGTGAGACATGATGATTGTTTTCTTGTCCCAGATGGTGGGTATTTGAACACTATGTGAGACATGATGATTGTTTTCTTGTCCCAGATGGTGGGTATTTGAACACTATGTGAGACATGATGATTGTTTTCTTGTCCCAGATGGCGGGTATTTGAACACTATGTGAGACATGATGATTGTTTTCTTGTCCCAGATGGCGGGTATTTGAACACTATGTGAGACATGATGATTGTTTTCTTGTCCCAGATGGCGGGTATTTGAACATTATGTGAGACATGATGATTGTTTTCTTGTCCCAGATGGTGGGTATTTGAACACTATGTGAGACATGATGATTGTTTTCTTGTCCCAGATGGTGGGTATTTGAACACTATGTGAGACATGATGATTGTTTTCTTGTCCCAGATGGTGGGTATTTGAACACTATGTGAGACATGATGATTGTTTTCTTGTCCCAGATGGCGGGTATTTGAACATTATGTGAGACATGATGATTGTTTTCTTGTCCCAGATGGTGGGTATTTGAACACTATGTGAGACATGATGATTGTTTTCTTGTCCCAGATGGTGGGTATTTGAACACTATGTGAGACATGATGATTGTTTTCTTGTCCCAGATGGCGGGTATTTGAACACTATGTGAGACGAGTAAAAGGACTTCTAGAAGTCATTGACCAGCTGGATCTCATTGGGAAAACCAGCGAGTTCGCCCGAGTCTTTGGAATAGAATTCTATGATGTTTTAGCCAGAGGATCTCAGGTAAATATCTCTTTCATTGCTAACATTATATCTAGACTTGATTGACTGTATACTGTGTTTACACACACATTACACTGTCATTTATGATGATGTAGACTTAAAATATCTGTAATTTATGATGATGTAGACTTAAAATATCTGTATTTTATGATAATATAGACTTTAAATATCTGTATTTTATGATAATGTAGACTAAAAATACCTGTAATTTATGATAATGTAGACTTAAAATGTCTGGAAAAACAGTAGTCTAGTGTGGTTATTGTAAGTCTTAAATTTGAATCAACATAAATGAATGTTTGTTTAGCTGTGTTTTTATGCATGACTTGACCATTCATGAGATGGCCATGTTGTTTTGTTGACTCCAGTAGAAGTGTGTGTGGCCAGCATTGGAAAACCTTCCTATTTGTGTGTGTACCAGAGTAAAACAAAATCTGTCCTCCAGCATTGGAATAAATCAGTTGAATCAACATCACCACTGCCTGTCACCCTTGATGGGGTCTGGGCTCCTCTGTCCTGCTGGGGTATGGACCTCCAACCAAAGATCTCCAGAGTCCTCTGTCCTGCTGGGGTATGGGCCACCAACCAAAGATCTCCAGAGTCCTCTGTCCTGTTTGGGTATGGGCCTCCAACCAAAGATCTCCAGAGTCCTCTGTCCTGCTGGGGTATGGGCCTCCAACCAAAGATCTCCAGAGTCCTCTGTCCTGTTTGGGTATGGGCCTCCAACCAAAGATCTCCAGAGTCCTCTGTCCTGCTGGGGTATGGGCCTCCAACCAAAGATCTCCAGAGTCCTCTGTCCTGCTGGGGTATGGGCCTCCAACCAAAGATCTCCAGAGTCCTCTGTCCTGCTGGGGTATGGGCCGCCAACCAAAGATCTCCAGAGTCCTCTGTCCTGTTTGGGTATGGGCCGCCAAAAAAAGATCTCCAGTCCTCTGTCCTGCTGGGGTATGGACCTTCAACCAAAGTTCTCCAGAGTCCTCTGCCCTGTGCCATTTTTCTAACCTGACTCCCCATGTTTGTAGTTTAAGCTTCAGGTCCTGTTGGTCAACATCTTACACTTTTCTCAATGCCTGCTGATACTGGTCAACATCTTACACTTTTCTCAATGCCTGCTGATACTGGTCAACATCTTACACTTTTCTCAATGCCTGCCTGCTGATACTGGTCAACATCTTACACTTTTCTCAATGCGTGCCTAGTGATACTGGTCAACATCTTACACTTTTCTCAATGCCTGCCTGCTGATACTGGTCAACATCTTACACTTTTCTCAATGCGTGCCTAGTGATACTGGTTGACATCTTACACTTTTCTCAATGCCTGCCTGCTGATACTGGTCAACATCTTACACTTTTCTCAATGCCTGCCTGCTGATACTGGTCAACATCTTACACTTTTCTCAATGCCTGCCTGCTGATACTGGTCGACATCTTACACTTTTCTCAATGCGTGCCTAGTGATACTGGTCAACATCTTACACTTTTCTCAATGCCTGCTGATACTGGTCAACATCTTACACTTTTCTCAATGCCTGCCTGCTGATACTGGTCGACATCTTACACTTTTCTCAATGCCTGCCTGCTGATACTGGTCAACATCTTACACTTTTCTCAATGCCTGCCTGCTGATACTGGTCAACATCTTACACTTTTCTCAATGCCTGCCTGCTGATACTGGTCAACATCTTACACTTTTCTCAATGCGTGCCTAGTGATACTGGTCAACATCTTACACTTTTCTCAATGCCTGCCTGCTGATACTGGTCAACATCTTACACTTTTCTCAATGCCTGCCTGCTGATACTGGTCAACATCTTACACTTTTCTCAATGCCTGCCTGCTGATACTGGTCAACATCTTACACTTTTCTCAATGCCTGCCTGCTGATACTGGTCAACATCTTACACTTTTCTCAATGCGTGCCTAGTGATACTGGTCAACATCTTACACTTTTCTCAATGCCTGCCTGCTGATACTGGTCAACATCTTACACTTTTCTCAATGCCTGCCTGCTGATACTGGTCAACATCTTACACTTTTCTCAATGCCTGACTGCTGATACTGGTCAACATCTTACACTTTTCTCAATGCCTGCCTGCTGATACTGGTCAACATCTTACACTTTTCTCAATGCCTGCCTGCTGATACTGGTCAACATCTTACACTTTTCTCAATGCCTGACTGCTGATACTGGTCAACATCTTACACTTTTCTCAATGCGTGCCTAGTGATACTGGTCAACATCTTACACTTTTCTCAATGCCTGCCTGCTGATACTGGTCAACATCTTACACTTTTCTCAATGCCTGCCTGCTGATACTGGTCAACATCTTACACTTTTCTCAATGCCTGCCTGCTGATACTGGTCAACATCTTACACTTTTCTCAATGCCTGCCTGCTGATACTGGTCAACATCTTACACTTTTCTCAATGCGTGCCTAGTGATACTGGTTGACATCTTACACTTTTCTCAATGCCTGCCTGCTGATACTGGTCAACATCTTACACTTTTCTCAATGCCTGACTGCTGATACTGGTCAACATCTTACACTTTTCTCAATGCCTGCCTGCTGATACTGGTCAACATCTTACACTTTTCTCAATGCCTGACTGCTGATACTGGTCAACATCTTACACTTTTCTCAATGCCTGCCTGCTGATACTGGTCAACATCTTACACTTTTCTCAATGCCTGCCTGCTGATACTGGTCAACATCTTACACTTTTCTCAATGCCTGACTGCTGATACTGGTCAACATCTTACACTTTTCTCAATGCGTGCCTAGTGATACTGGTCGACATCTTACACTTTTCTCAATGCCTGCCTGCTGATACTGGTCGACTGGCCTGCCTGCTGATATTGGAATGTTGTCCTATTGGTTCCTGTAGGTCTGCATTGTTAGATAATAAAGACACTTAGAAATAATTTTCCAATTCAAATGTGCAAGTTCCAATTTCAACTGATAAGATGTTTATTGATATGTTTGTAATATTCTAATGAATATCAAGTTTCAATACAAAAAAATGACAGGATGTAAAGTGAATGTTCTCTGTGGCAAGTGGCATTGCATTTCCTTCTTCCATTTCAGCAACATTTACCCAAAAGCTATGTACACATGTTCATAGATAGTCCACACAATCATACAGCTTTGTATAATATTTCCATTAGAAGATGATATATTTCAACTCTGTACCTTTAACACCCCCCCTAGATTTGAGTCGAGTCGATGATGTTGATGTCAACTCTGTACCTTTACCCCCCCCCCCCCCCCCTCCCCAGATTCGAGTGGAGTCGATGATGTTGCGTCTGGCCAAACCTTTGAACTACGTGGCAGTGTCCCCCAGTGTCAGCCAGCGAGCAGGCCAGAGAGCTGCTGAGTGTATCCCACTGACCCTGGAACCAGAGTCCCAGTACTACACCAGTCCTGTAGTGGTTCTAGACTTCCAGTCACTCTACCCCTCAATCATGATCGCCTACAACTATTGCTTCTCCACATGTCTAGGACGCTTGGAATGCTTAGAGAACTCACAGTAAGTCAAGAAACATACTGTCTTCATCTCTGACTTTCTCAACAGTTTTGTTCATTAACAACCATGCCAAAATAGAAGCTGCCTATATATACAAGTCTTATATTTCTTTCAGTGAGGGTCCTTTTGAATTTGGGTGTTCGTCTTTAAATATTGATCCAAAGATACTTTCAGTGAGTAAAAAATTGTTAAACAAATGTTTGTCTCTTTAATGTAGTTTTTGATGCTTATATGAGCAGACATGTCTGTCAGTCAAAAGTAGGAACAGTCATGCCTAAAAAGAGGAATTTAAATCCAAAAAGAGGAACATACTCGCGAACGCTACTTTACTAAGTCAAAAATAAAAATAATTAATTAAAAATTAGTCTAATGACATTAGTAGGCTTCTAGTTATAAGTAGTCTCTAGGCTACATTTAAATACTGCTTAATGTCATCTTACATATAAAAATGTATAAACAAAATTTTATTTAAGGAAAAAAAAAATAAAGGCATATTCGAATGCAGAAAAACAGTTTTAATTATGCAACCGGAAAAGTGTTTATAGTTGTGAAAAAGAACACTTAAAACAATGACGTCACATGCCAGTTGTTTACACTAAGGCAAGTACACAAAACTCATGGCGTCATCTTCAGATTTTAGAATATTATAAAGAAATGAACTATTTCATTCAAATTTGATTTAGATCTACGTGCGCTATGAAATGTATACAATACAATTTTCTCGGCCTAAACTTATAAAATTTACTTTATCTATTAGGATTCTAGATCTAGAGATTTTAGATCTAGACTTGATCTATGGAAAAACTAGACGTAAACACTAAGATCTAGATTTAGACTTTCTACTCTAGAATCTATTCCATTAATAAATTTCTATATTAAACTATTTCAGGCCTTAATTATTGTATAGAAATCTTTGTTTAGCTATGGAATTGGCTAACTTGGGATAAAATGTACTTGAAAGAATAGGGCTATTTACACAAGTTAAGTTTCTGAACTAGGTCTTTTATTTTTCATGATTTATAAGGTGCCTAAATAGCTGAGATGATAGCGTACTCGATACTATGCGAGTGGTACAGGTTCGAGACACATCAAGCCAATCTTAATTTTTTTTCAATTTTTTTTTTATATGTTGATAAGAAAGTGACCTATTGGGACTTGGCGGGATAAAGGGCAGGTGAAGTAGAGTTCACCTATGTCTGTCTTTTTAGCATATGAAGGGATAGTGTGGTCAGACCCATGCTCAGCCGAAATAGGTGTTTTAAAAAGACAAAAACAACATCACTACCATTGAACAGCCGGGTTTTTAAAGAAAGTCTGTTAATTTTAATTCTCTTAATCAGCAAGTGCATTTAATATGGTATGGTTACCAATGAAGAAATGTAACTATTTCATTTAAATCTATAGATCTATACATAAAAGCCTAATAAAAATATATCACTTTAAAAACAAAAAGAATACCATTGAATAGCCGAGTTTTTAACAGAATCATTTAAGTCACCTTATCAGTGTGTGCCTGTGCTTTGTTAAATGTGTCGGAATTTTAGCTAATCAATTATTTCTTTGCTTTGTCACTAATATCCTTCAGCGTGTAGGCACATTGCGTTTTGACCAATAACTATTTTATAAATTATTTTTCTCAACAAGTACAGCATTTAAAAATATATAGGCCTATAATTCATGTGAAACGGTACCGATGGCTAGTGTAATATAAAATATAAGTTAAGAGCTAAGACTTAGATCTACCTAGTAAAAGTCCTAGTTACTTCTTACCAAGTTCTTCATAATAGTAGTTAGTTGGTACAACTTACAAAATAGATCAGTATTCACTATTCAGTATCTAGTAGTAGTAGATCTACTATCTAGATCAAGAAATTAGATTGTTAGTCATGATTGTATTGTATTTTTCTCCCTACGTGTTATTTAAGGCATAATTTAAATCTACAATTCAATTGCAAATACTAATAAAAACATTCAGAACCTAGCTTGTCCACATTATCTATTAGTAGATCTAGTATTAGATGATACTTGTAAATATTGTAAGTAATCTAGGAAATGTGAGCCAAAGGGAGATAATCGCTTTTTCCTGCCTTATTTTACTTTCTCGCATATACGAAGTATAAAGTCTTGTAATCGTGTAAAAAAAAAAAATCAAGATTTTTGCAAATCTCGATGTTTTACACCTCACTGATAAGGAAAAACATAATTTTGCAATCTTGTCCGTATGCTGTGTGTGTGTCTGTCTGTGTGTAAACACGATAACTTGAGTACGGTTACAGCTAGGTTGATAAAATTTCATATATAAGTATTTCATCAAAATCGTAGATCCGTATCAACTTTTGAGTGATTTCCGATAACCGGAAGTTGAACTATTTCTACTTTGAATTTTTCAAAAGCCTATAACTTGAGTACTATTTAGGATAGATAAATGAAATTTCACATGTAAGTAAATGATCTAAATCTCTACCTTCTGTCAAATTTTGAGTAATTTCCGTTGACCGTAAGTACTAATTTACGCTATTTCTGATTTCTCAAAAAAAACCATTATGCACATTTTGTTTTGGCGTTCGCTTGGTGCGCAATTCTTTTTTCTATGAGATTCTATTCTATTTTTAAAAGTTTAAGTAATTAAAAATCATGTCTATATTCCAAGTTATATAAGAATATTCGAGAAAGTTTAGGGGAGATCACTCCCTGATTATTTCAATTTTGATTTATTACATTTCTTTATTATTCAACAAAAACGGAACAATGCCGCTTTTGGCAGAACAGTAGGCATGTCTGTATGAGTATGAGTAAATGTTAATGTGGTTTTTGATGTTTATATGAGTAAATGTTAATGTGTTTGTTAGTTGATGTTGATAAAGAGTGTCAGTCTCTATATTGTGTTAGTTGATCAGCTTCTCTGTAAGTGTCAGTGCATGCACTCACACACTCAGGCATGTACCCACTCACACACACACACTCAGGCATGTACCCACTCACACACACACTCACTAACTCATGAAACACACTCACACCCACACTCAGGCATACACACTCATGTATACACACTCACATACTCAGGCATGCATGCACACACTCACTAACTTAGAGTAATTTACTTTTTACAGAAAGAAAAAGACAATGTTACAGTGTCTCCCAATGGTGTAGTCTTTATCAAATCTTCGGTACGCAAAGGAGTTTTACCCATGTAGGTTTTGCTCCTGTATGTTTTACTTCTGTATGTTTTGCCCCCGTATGTTTTGCCCCGTATGTTCTACCCCTGTTTGTTTCCCCCCCCCATATGTTTTGCCCCCGTATATTTTGATTTGCCCCCGTATGTTTTACCCCTGTATATTTTGATTTGCCCCCGTATGTTTTACCCCCGTATGTTTTACCCCTGTATGTTCTACCCCTGTATGTTTTACCCCTGTATGGTCTACCCCTGTATGTTTTCCCCATATGTTCTACCCCTGTGTTTTACCCCCATATGTTCTACCCCCGTATGTTTTGCCCCATATGTTTTACCCCCGTATGTTTTGCCCTGTATGTTTTACCCTCATATATTTTACCTCTGTATGTTTTAACCCCATATGTTCTACCCCCGTATGTTTTGCTCCAGTATGTTTTACCCCCATATATTTTACCTCTGTATGTTTTAACCCCATATGTTTTGCCCTGTATGTTTTACCCTCATATATTTTACCTGTGTATGTTTTAACCCCATATGTTCTACCCCCGTATGTTCTACCCCCGTATGTTTTACCCCCGTATGTTTTTCTCCTGTATGTTCTACCCCCGTATGTTTTGCCCCAGTATGTTTTACCCCCTTATATTTTACCTCTGTATGTTTTGCCCCCGTATGTTTTGCCCTGTATGTTTTACCCCCATATATTTGACCTCTGTATGTTTGACTCTTATTGTTGGCCTGTCAGCTGGCATCATATAGGTCATCTGATAGTTCTTTTTACTTAAGATTTTTATATTTTAGTCTGTATTTAGTTGCACATTTCAATCAGACATAATGAAATTCTTTTCTATTTTAGGATGGTTGAAGAAATTCTTAAGACTAGGTTAATGGTGAAGAAATCAATGAAAGCATCCAAGGATGATAAGGTGAGTCCACTGGTTAGGTGATGAGGTCAGTCCACTGGTTAGGTGATGAGGTCTGTCCACTGGTTAGGTGATGAGGTCAGTCCACTGGTTAGGTGAAGAGGTCAGTCCACTGGTTAGGTGATGAGGTCAGTCCACTGGTTAGGTCCAGCCATGGCAAGCTTTTGTTGGCTTCACTTGCACAGAATTTTTTGCTTTCTCGTGGGCAGCTTCAAGTCAAAAGAGAAGTTAACCCATTCCACACAAATGGACTGGTCTATGATGTTGTCATGACTACACTGGAAAAAGTAAAGGGAGCTCCACAAATGTACTGGCCTATGATGTTGTCATGACTACACTGGGGAAAAGTAAAGGGAGCTCCACAAATGTACTGGCCTATGATGTTGTCATGACTATGAGAAAGACCATTTTAGTCTGGCAACACGAGACTTTTTCTGACTTTTTTCATCGCCAAAGCTAGAAGAGATCTACTTGCTCGAGACACCTACTGTTGTGCCAGGCTGTAAAGGCTGGCCTTTGATGAAGTTGAAGAAAGGGGAGTGCAGGATGCAACATAAGGGGCAAAGATCTGTAATCATTGATAAATAATGCCTGCATGATTTTAAACTTTCTTCTTAATTCTCCCCAATTTTCACAGATATTGACTCGCATGTTGGATGCTCGTCAACTCAGCTTAAAGCTAATTGCTAATGTGACTTACGGCTACACTGGAGCCAGTTTCTCTGGCCGCATGCCCTGCATTGAAGTGGGAGACAGTATTGTAAGGAAAGCAAGAGAAAGTCTGGAGCGGGCCATTGATCTGGTGTCTACAACTAGCAGATGGGGGGCCCAGGTCGTCTATGGTGATACTGACAGGTACTGTAGGGGGGGGGGTGATCTGGTGACTACAACTAGCAGATGGGGGGCCCAGGTCGTCTATGGTGATACTGACAGGTACTGTAGGGGGTGTGGTCTGGTGATAACCACCATTGTCAGTGATCTCTACGTTGTTAAAAAAGTAGTTTGCTGTCTATTCAGTCACTTTCTTGGTCATTGTTTGCAGTCTGTTTAGTCACTTTCTTGGCCATTGTTTGCAGTCTATTTAGTCACTTTCTTGGTCATTGTTTGCAGTCTATTTAGTCACTTTCTTAGCCATTGTTTGCAGTCTGTTTAGTCACTTTCTTGGCCATTGTTTGCAGTCTGTTTAGTCACTTTCTTGGTCATTGTTTGCAGTCTATTTAGTCACTTTCTTGGTCATTGTTTGCAGTCTATTTAGTCACTTTCTTGGTCATTGTTAGCTGTCTATTTAGTCACTTTCTTGGTCATTGTTTGCTGTCTATTTAGTCACTTTCTTGGTCATTGTTTGCAGTCTCTTCATTCACTTTCTTTGTCATAGTTTGCAGTCTCTTCATTTACTTTCTTGGTCATTGTTTGCAGTCTATTTAGTCACTTTCTTTGTCATTGTTTGCAGTCTATTTAGTCACTTTCTTGGTCATTGTTTGCTGTCTATTTAGTCACTTTCTTGGTCATTGTTTGCACTCTATTTAGTCACTTTCTTGGTCATTGTTTGCAGTCTCTTCCTTCACTTTCCTGGCCGCAGCAAAGATGAAGCTTTTAGCATTGGCCAGGAGATAGCAGATGCAGTGACAGCAATGTTTCCCAGCCCCATCAAGTTGAAGTTTGAGAAGGTAAATATGGGCTGCATGGGTGGGAGCCACAAGCTTGATATGGAGCAAACATTCCGCATGTATTGGTCTGAACATTTGTCTCTTTCAGGTTTACCTCCCATGTGTTCTTCAAACAAAAAAACATTATGTAGGCTTTATGTATGAAACACCAGATCAGAAGGAACCTGTATTTGATGCTAAAGGCATTGAGACAGTCCGCAGGGATTCTTGTGCTGCTGTTTCTAAGGTATTTCTGGGTGCGGTTAGCTAGAACGTGCTGGGGCTAGAGCTCAAATAATTTTACTCACAAACACAGGGTAGAAATTTGTAGGCCTCACTCAATTCTCAATATTACTGTTTTTTTTTTTTTTTTGAATGTTTTTTTGCTCTTCTAGTAAAGGTCTTTTTACTATCAATCTAATTCAACGCCAGTTCAATCTAAATGACCTCAAGTTTAATTCTGAATGAATGTATTATTTCCCATAGATTCTAGAGAGATCCATCAAAATTCTTTTCACAAGCAATGATTTGTGGCGTGTGCAGCGCTATGTCAGCCAGCAACTGCAGAAGCTTGTCAGGGGGAAGGTTAGCATGCAGGATCTCATCTTTGCTAAAGAATTCAGAGGATTGATGGGCTACAGGCCTGGTGCTTGTGTACCTGCACTGGAGATAGCTAGGTACCTCACATTGCTTTCTCTTCTTTAGTTGCTGGATGGTAGTTAGCTGATGGTGTGGATGGTAGTTAGCTGATGGTGTGGATGGTAGTTAGCTGATGGTGTGGATGGTAGTTAGCTGATGGTGTGGATGGTAGTTAGCTGATGGTGTGGATGGTAGTTAGCTGGTGGTGTGGATGGTAGTTAGCTGATGGTGTGGATGGTAGTTAGCTGATGGTGTGGATGGTAGTTAGCTGATGGTGTGGTTAACTATTGTTAATTTCCCTGAGCAGAAAACGTTTAAAAGTGGACCCCAGGTCTGAGCCGCGGGTGGGGGAGAGAGTTCCCTACGTGATTGTCCACGGTAGTCCAGGCCTGCCTCTGATCCAGCTGGTCAGGGAGCCGCATCAAGTGCTACATGAGCCGGCCCTGAGACTCAACACTACCTACTACATCAGTAAACAGATCCTCCCTCCACTGCAGCGCCTCTTTGGTCTCATTGGTCTCAATGTCTTCAAATGGTAAACATTAGTAGCTGTTGGTTAGGGCTGGTCTCAGTGTCTTCAAATGGTAAACATTAGTAGCTGTTGGTTAGGGCTGGTCTCAATGTCTTCAAATGGTAAGCATTAGTAGCTGTTGGTTAGGGCTGGTCTCAATGTCTTCAAATGGTAAACATTAGTAGCTGTTGGTTAGGGCTGGTCTCAGTGTCTTCAAATGGTAAACATTAGTAGCTGTTGGTTAGGGCTGGTCTCAATGTCTTCAAATGGTAAACATTAGTAGCTGTTGGTTAGGGCTGGTCTCAGTGTCTTCAAATGGTAAACATTAGTAGCTGTTGGTTAGGGCTGGTCTCAGTGTCTTCAAATGGTAAACATTAGTAGCTGTTGGTTAGGGCTGGTCTCAATGTCTTCAAATGGTAAACATTAGTAGCTGTTGGTTAGGGCTGGTCTCAATGTCTTCAAATGGTAAACATTAGTAGCTGTTGGTTATGGCTGGTCTCAATGTCTTCAAATGGTAAACATTAGTAGCTGTTGGTTAGGGCTGGTCTCAATGTCTTCAAATGGTAAACATTAGTAGCTGTTGGTTAGGGCTGGTCTCAATGTCTTCAAATGGTAAACATTAGTAGCTGTTGGTTAGGGCTGGTCTCAATGTCTTCAAATGGTAAACATTAGTAGCTGTTGGTTAGGGCTGGTCTCAATGTCTTCAAATGGTAAACATTAGTAGCTGTTGGTTAGGGCTGGTCTCAATGTCTTCAAATGGTAAACATTAGTAGCTGTTGGTTATGGCTGGTCTCAATGTCTTCAAATGGTAAACATTAGTAGCTGTTGGTTAGGGCTGGTCTCAGTGTCTTCAAATGGTAAACATTAGTAGCTGTTGGTTAGGGCTGGTCTCAATGTCTTCAAATGGTAAACATTAGTAGCTGTTGGTTAGGGCTGGTCTCAGTGTCTTCAAATGGTAAACATTAGTAGCTGTTGGTTAGGGCTGGTCTCAATGTCTTCAAATGGTAAACATTAGTAGCTGTTGGTTAGGGCTGGTCTCAATGTCTTCAAATGGTAAACATTAGTAGCTGTTGGTTAGGGCTGGTCTCAGTGTCTTCAAATGGTAAACATTAGTAGCTGTTGGTTAGGGCTGGTCTCAATGTCTTCAAATGGTAAACATTAGTAGCTGTTGGTTAGGGCTGGTCTCAGTGTCTTCAAATGGTAAACATTAGTAGCTGTTGGTTATGGCTGGTCTCAATGTCTTCAAATGGTAAACATTAGTAGCTGTTGGTTAGGGCTGGTCTCAATGTCTTCAAATGGTAAACATTAGTAGCTGTTGGTTAGGGCTGGTCTCAGTGTCTTCAAATGGTAAACATTAGTAGCTGTTGGTTAGGGCTGGTCTCAGTGTCTTCAAATGGTAAACATTAGTAGCTGTTGTTTAGGGCTGGTCTCAGTGTCTTCAAATGGTAAACATTAGTAGCTGTTGGTTAGGGCTGGTCTCAGTGTCTTCAAATGGTAAACATTAGTAGCTGTTGGTTAGGGCTGGTCTCAATGTCTTCAAATGGTAAACATTAGTAGCTGTTGGTTAGGGCTGGTCTCAGTGTCTTCAAATGGTAAACATTAGTAGCTGTTGGTTAGGGCTGGTCTCAGTGTCTTCAAATGGTAAACATTAGTAGCTGTTGGTTAGGGCTGGTCTCAATGTCTTCAAATGGTAAACATTAGTAGCTGTTGGTTAGGGCTGGTCTCAATGTCTTCAAATGGTAAACATTAGCAGCTGTTGGTTAGGGCTGGTCTCAGTGTCTTCAAATGGTAAACATTAGTAGCTGTTGGTTAGGGCTGGTCTCAATGTCTTCAAATGGTAAACATTAGTAGCTGTTGGTTAGGGCTGGTCTCAGTGTCTTCAAATGGTAAACATTAGTAGCTGTTGGTTAGGGCTGGTCTCAATGTCTTCAAATGGTAAACATTAGTAGCTGTTGGTTAGGGCTGGTCTCAGTGTCTTCAAATGGTAAACATTAGTAGCTGTTGGTTAGGGCTGGTCTCAATGTCTTCAAATGGTAAACATTAGTAGCTGTTGGTTAGGGCTGGTCTCAGTGTCTTCAAATGGTAAACATTAGTAGCTGTTGGTTAGGGCTGGTCTCAGTGTCTTCAAATGGTAAACATTAGTAGCTGTTGGTTAGGGCTGGTCTCAATGTCTTCAAATGGTAAACATTAGTAGCTGTTGGTTAGGGCTGGTCTCAGTGTCTTCAAATGGTAAACATTAGCAGCTGTTGGTTAGGGCTGGTCTCAGTGTCTTCAAATGGTAAACATTAGTAGCTGTTGGTTAGGGCTGGTCTCAGTGTCTTCAAATGGTAAACATTAGTAGCTGTTGGTTAGGGCTGGTCTCAGTGTCTTCAAATGGTAAACATTAGTAGCTGTTGGTTAGGGCTGGTCTCAATGTCTTCAAATGGTAAACATTAGTAGCTGTTGGTTAGGGCTGGTCTCAGTGTCTTCAAATGGTAAACATTAGTAGCTGTTGGTTAGGGCTGGTCTCAATGTCTTCAAATGGTAAACATTAGTAGCTGTTGGTTAGGGCTGGTCTCAGTGTCTTCAAATGGTAAACATTAGTAGCTGTTGGTTAGGGCTGGTCTCAGTGTCTTCAAATGGTAAACATTAGTAGCTGTTGGTTATGGCTGGTCTCAATGTCTTCAAATGGTAAACATTAGTAGCTGTTGGTTAGGGCTGGTCTCAGTGTCTTCAAATGGTAAACATTAGTAGCTGTTGGTTAGGGCTGGTCTCAATGTCTTCAAATGGTAAACATTAGTAGCTGTTGGTTAGGGCTGGTCTCAGTGTCTTCAAATGGTAAACATTAGTAGCTGTTGGTTAGGGCTGGTATCCAGGGGAAACAGTGGTAACCTGTTAACCTTTATAGTGGCTTTGATTCTTACCCTGGTGTCCATAGAATGTTCTTGAGTCCATCCAATTCTCAAGGGTACTTAAGTTATGGAACATACAGTTGGCCTGACTGGGCATAGAGCCGGCGCTGCCTAGTGCGCTTTTACCATAGTTTAAAAACCGTCTTTTCATCTAGATATGACTTTGATAAAATAAAGATTTTAAAAACTTTGAAGAAATATGCTTATTGTAAACATGGTCACCCATATGATAGGCCTCTCAAGCTTTCTTGTGGGCGGGAGAAAAATCCTGACATACCCAGGTGAGGTGTTACTGAGTTCACATTGGTTTAGATAGTGGTAGTGTAGGCCTATAGCCTACGTCATACTACACATAGCAGAAACAGTTCAGATTTGAGATTTTTCCATTGTCACCTTACATTCAGAATTATGAGGCGTTTTGTTTTTACTTCAATTATTATTACAAGTAGTACATGTAACGAAATGTTGCTGATTGTCTACATTACTCTGATAAGTTTTACAACAATATAAAACTGGTCTTATTTACATTGCATTTGAAAACTGTGTAGAAATACTGAAAGTTATGGACAATATCCAGTTATAACAGAAAATCTATGCTCTTGTTACGGACATATGTTTTGGGGTAGGCAGACCTTTTGAAGTGACAGATTTATCCCTTCATATACAAAAGGTTTATGACTGGTGAGCTCTACTTTACCTGCCTTACTGATTTACACTTACAGGTTTAAAAGGGCAACTGCTTTTTTTTAATACCAATATATGCAATGTAAGACTGAACTAACTTGGATCTGTTTGGCTCAGGTACCAGTAGATCTATATGCCATGTAAGACTAAAACGATCTATATGCCATGTAAGACTAAAACGATCTATATGCCATGTAAGACTGAACTAACTTGGATCTGTTTGGCTCAGGTACCAGTAGATCTATATGCCATGTAAGACTAAAACGATCTATAAGCCATGTAAGACTGAACTAACTTGGATCTGTTTGGCTCAGGTACCAGTAGATCTATATGCCATGTAAGACTAAAACGATCTATAAGCCATGTAAGACTAAAACGATCTATATGCCATGTAAGACTAAAACGATCTATATGCCATGTAAGACTAAACTAACTTGTATCTGTTTGGCTCAGGTACCAGTAGATCTATATGCCATGTAAGACTAAAACGATCTATATGCCATGTAAGACTAAAATGATCTATAAGCCATGTAAGACTAAACTAACTTGGATCTGTTTGGCTCAGGTACCAGGATATGCCTAAAGTCATGAGATGTGAACCCATGCTGAGAGCTGGCATTGCTAAACAGGTAAGTGTAAGCTTTCAAGAGTTGGTCTAGAGTTGGGCTTTTGGTTTTATCTCTTGCTCACAGGGCACTGTCTGCCCTTCTAATGTCTCCACCTCATGTCCACAGGGCACTGCCTGTTCTAATGCCTCCACCTCATGTCCACAGGGCACCATCTCCCAGTTTTTCAGCACAGAGAGCTGCCCAGTCTGTGAGAAGCAGACCAAGACATTTGTCTGCCAAAGCTGCGCTGCCAACCCACAGATGGTCTGCTCTGTCATTAGCAGGCAGATCTACAACTGGGAGAAAACTAACTACAGACTAACTCAGGTACACAACTAGTTGGGAACTCATCACACACCAACTCAGGTACACAACTAGTTGGGAACTAATCACACACTAACTCAGGTACACAACTAGTTGGGAACTAATCACACACCAACTCAGGTACACAACTAGTTGGGAACTAATCACACACTAACTCAGGTACACAACTAGTTGGGAACTAATCACACACTAACTCAGGTACACAACTAGTTGGGAACTAATCACACACTAACTCAGGTACACAACTAGTTGGGAACTAATCACACACCAACTCAGGTACACAACTAGTTGGGAACTAATCACACACTAACTCAGGTACACAACTAGTTGGGAACTAATCACACACTAACTCAGGTACACAACTAGTTGGGAACTAATCACACACTAACTCAGGTACACAACTAGTTGGAAACTAATCACACACTAACTCAGGTACACAACTAGTTGGGAACTAATCACACACTAACTCAGGTACACAACTAGTTGGGAACTAATCACACACTAACTCAGGTACACAACTGGTTTGGAACTAATCACACACTAACTCAGGTACACAACTAGTTGGGAACTAATCACACACTAAGTCAGGTAGCTCTTTTCCACATGCTGTCCAGTACTATGGAGAAAGGTTTAATTAGAAGTTCATGTAGAGCAGGGGTCTCCAAACTACAGCCCGCGGGCCCTCCTCCGGCCCGCGGAGATCTTTTTGCCCATGGAAAAATCGTTTGTTGGTGATGGCTGAGGAACATTGCCCAGAAAAATCAAAGACATGCCTGGAAGAAACTTGACCCCGAACTGAAATTTGATAGTTAATGCGGCCCTCGGACTGAAAAGTTTGGAGACCCCTGATGTAGAGTGACAATATTCATGTAGGCCTATTATAAATCTGTTTAAAAACTATTTCAGTTCTGATTAGTAATCTGCAATTAACATTCTTGTTCATCTAAAATAATGTAGTACTGCTTTTGTCCAATTAACATTCTTGTTTTCTTAGGATAATTGAGTACTGTTTTTGTCCAATTAACATTCTTGTTTAGTGAGGATAATGTACTGTCTTTCTTTTCTCAATCCCCAACAAGTCTAGATTTGAGTGTGTAGCTGTTTTCTGCATGTTCTCATCAAGCTATGTTGTTGTTGTCTCTACAGGTGTGTTTGATGTGTCAGGGTACACAAGATGGCAGACAGCTGACCTGCATTTCCCTTGACTGTCCTGTCATGTTTCGCCGTGTCAGAGCCCAACTAGACCTGTCAAGGGCAGACAACCTCCAGCTGATGTTGAACCAATTGTTTTAATGGGCACCATTCTTGGGCTCAGTGCTGGAGTAGAACTATTGAGTTGATAGACTGATGCCTTCAAGCTTTATGCTCAACTTGTTCCCCATAGAGAAGTAAATCTCAGACTGAACTTGAGAAAGTTCATTGAACTTTGTGATCACCAGCTGACTTGATCACAAACTGATCATTTTTTCACAGCCTTAGCTGAAGTTTTATTTTCATCTGTGTTAAGGGCATGGACTGGTGATGAATACCAAAATGCTTATTTATAAACCTAATGCTATCATATCTAGCATATAGTAATGACTCAAAAAGTTAAATACCTAAGAAAACGTTTTAATAACAAGCTTTTATGTACTAATGCACTAAAAAATAGAAAATAAATTATACACTAGTATTTAAAAATCTATAAAGAAAAGCGTGTGTTACTTTAGTATCTATTGGATAGCTTTACTAATATTTAGGAAGAGACCCACGCTTTTCTTAATAGTTTTTTAAATAGTAGTGTATCATTTATTTTCTAGTTCATTATTACATAAAAGCTTGTTATTAAAACGTTTTTTAATTTATGGATTTTTTTTTCAGTACTTTAAATATTTAAAATTTTCAATAGAGTTGCATGACTAAAAACCATGCGCACCTAATGAACGTGATGACGCATGTCTAACAGTGCGGAATAGTTTAATGCGACAGCCTACTAATTTGGACACAATTTTAATTAATTCATAAAAAATAAATCAGGCAACCAATTAAGTCAAATTTAATGTCATGTTGCATTGTCTTCATGTCTTGACCCACATGCCAACGTTGAAACAAATCTGCCAGTTTATTTTAAATTTCACTCTGGCGTTGAAACAAATCTGTCAGTTTATTTTAAATTTCACTCTGGCGTTTGGATCTAGACAGACAAGACTGACAACAGAGGAATCAAGTTAAATAAAAGCTTGTATAAGAATCCTTGTAATAAAGTATACACTTCTATTTAACTAACTATGAAGAAAAGCGTGTGTCACCTTTACTAATATTTAGGAAGAGACCCGGGCTTTTCTTTATAGTTATTTAAATAGTAGTGTATGATTAATTTTCTACTTTTTAGTGAATTATTACATAAAAGCTTTTCATTTACAAAAGAGTTGCATGTCTAAAAACTATTGCGCACCTAATGAACATGAGAAAGCGCGTATAATAGTGCAGAATAGTTGGATGAGACTGCCTACTAATTTGGACAAAATTTTAATCAATTCATAAAATATTAATTAGGCATCCAATTAACTAAGTCAAATTATATGTCAGAATGCATTGTCTTCATGTCTTGACCCACATGCCAACTTTGAACCGAATCTGTCAGTTAAAAGAGCATAAAATTTCGCTCTGGCATTTCGATCTAGACAGACAGAGACAGTAATTTTAATTAAAGCTTGTAAAATGGGTGAAAATTTCCTGCCGTTGCCATGGTGATGGTGGCCATCTTGGAAATGTTTTTAACATTGAAATAACTTTCTTAATTATTAAAGTTGATTAAAATTTTATCTAATTATTCTGTATAGATATACCAACAAAACTGATACAAACAAATTTGTTTGGTTTTTCTTTTACAGTTAAAATTGTGTATTATTTGCACAAATTTTGAATTTTTAAAAAGTGCTTTTAAGAAAAAAAATTGTAAAAAGAAAAGTATTTGAAAATTGAATCCATCATGATTGTTACCAACATGCATCTCTATAGTCCTGCAAGTTTTTAGTGAATTCCCATCCGCCATCTTTGAGTTACTTTTTTATTTTTAGACTTTACTCTTTTTTGTATTAACTATATGCTAAATATTAGGTTTAGAAATAAACATTTTGGTTTTCATCACCCGCCTATGCCCTTAAGCTGCCTCAATTAGAATCTCCCATCAGTTGATGACTGGTTCAGATAGCTTGGGTTGTTGTCATAGTATCATCCCATCTATTTACAAGTTAATGGTGCATATTGAATGCAGGCCACTCTTGAAAGCATAATACTCGTCCATGATATGTCCTCATTGGCTGCTGATGGTAGTTTAGATCTCTAGAACCCTGTCCTCAACTCTTTGATTGATCATCTTGTGTTTTTTATCAAGTTGGTTTGTAACTTATTTCATTTGGGCACACATCTCTATGTTGTCAATGGAAGATAATTTGGTGTACATGTAAAACAAATGACTTTGTATACAAGTATAAAATGATTGGATGACAGAGTGATCTTGAGAGATGTAACCTTGTGAGAGCCTAAATATTGTACAGATTAAACCATGTAGACTTAATTTTCTGTTCTTCTTCCTGTGGTCAGAGGATGGGAATAGCTGCTGGTTAGTGGACGTTTGTCAATGGAACTCTGCTAGTACCTAGAATAGCTGCTAGTCAGTTGAACTCTGCTAGTCTAGCACCTAGAATAGCTGCTAGTCAGTTGAACTCTGCTAGTACCTAGAATGTGTGTTGGATTACAATGTTGAGTCAGTCAGGAATTTGAAATGAATATATATAGGTAGGCTTGTTGTAGGCTGTTTGCTCAGGGATTTAGCATTATTTATCAGACAAAGCAGGGGTCTCCAAACTACGGCCCGCACACCCAATGCGGCCCCCGATGTCCTCTCATCCGGCCTGTGGAGATCTTTTGTCCACGGAAAAAACGATTGTTGGTGATGGCTGAGGAATTTTGCCCAGAAAAATCAGTCATGTTTGGAATTAACTGGCCCCCGAACTGAAATTTGATAGTTAATGCGGCCCTCGGACTGAAAAGTCTGGAGACCCCTGAGATATAGAGCATGGCCAAGAATCAATTAGCATTTTTTTTTTTGCTTTGGTATCACCCTGCACAATCAGCTCCCCCCTGTGATGTCCAGATGTTGCAGTCACCTTATCAATTATTTTTCTTTTTATTGGAAAAATGTGTACATGCATGAAAACTTTGACTATACAAACATATATTCCATCATCTTATGAGAATGGGTCTCAAGCTTAAAGTCAGTCAGACACAAAATAGTTAAAAAAAAAAAAAATACATTTGAGAACTTTACATCTTTCTCCCCATTTCAATCTGAATCAGAGATGAAACATAATCTTAGTATTCTAAGCCCCCCAATCTAGCTTTTCTCAACATCAAACATAATCTTAGTATTCTAAGCCCCCCAATCTAGCTTTTCTCAACATCAAACATAATCTTAGTATTCTAAGCCCCCCAATCTAGCTTTTCTCAAGATCATTGAAAAGATGTAAAAAAAATCCTTGAACTCAATCATCTACAGCCAAACTACCTTACAAAAATTATCAACTACTATTAACCACCACATTTCAACAACCTACCACCACTAACATTGACAATCCGCAACCACTATTATCACCATTTCTCAGCGACTATTTCTAACATTTTATCATCGTCATGGGCATCATCAAAATCATCATCGTCCTCTTCTCCAGAGAGTAAAGAAGCTTTAGCGCCTCCAGTGGGTGGTGTTGAGTATTTAATTGTAGCTTGGACAGGAGATAATCGCAGCTGTAGGATCCTGCGCTTGAAATACCGGTGGTGGCGGCAGGCGGCCACAGTGAAGATACCCCCAACACTTGCTATCACAATCAGGACCAAGATATCTGGAGAAGAACATTTCAATCTTCAAAATCCACTGAGAAGCAGAGAATTACATCAACATTTAACCATTCAGCCAAGTAAACTAGTATTTCATTGGGGGCGGGTGGGTCTTTTGTTGGACCAAAGTATTTCTTTACAAAAACCTGTAAAAAACAGAATTCTATAGCCTTAAGAAATTAGAGGAATACTAAACAAATAAACCGGGAGTGATCTCCCCTAAACTTTCTCGGATATTCTAATATAAAACTACGAGGGATGGCAACTCAGGACATAGACAATATTTGTAATCTATTTTTAATTACTTAAACTTTTTATAATAGAATGGAATCTTGTAAAAAAAAGAATTGCACACTAAGTGAACGCCTAATAAAATGTGCATAATAATAGTGCGGGATATTATAAGTACTTTATAAATTTACATGCGTTTTTTGACCAATCTGAAATAGCGTAAATTAGTACTTCCGGTCAACGGAAATTACTCAAAGTTTGACAGAAGGTAGAGAATTAGATCTTTTACTTACATGTGAAATTTCATTTATCTATCTGAAATAGTACTCAAGTTATAGGCTTTTGAAAAATTCAAAGTAGAAAAAGTACCACTCCCGGTTATCGGAAATCGCTCAAAAGTTGATACGGATCTACAATTTTGATAAAATACTTGTATATGAAATTTCATCAACCTAGCTGTAACGGTACTCAAGTAATCGTGTTTACACACAGACACACACACACACAGACATATGGACAAGATTGCAAAATTATGTTTTTCCGTATCAGTGAGGTGTAAAACGTCGAGATTTGTAAAAATCTCAATTATTTTTTTTGCACTATTACAATACTTTCTGCTTTCTCTGTACTTCGTATATACGAGAAAGCAAAAATGCATAAAAGACTAAATATTTTAATGTATAAAAAACTAAGCAATTGGCAAATAAATATATAATTTTGACACCGTTTCAGTATAAAACAAATGCGCCTCTGTTCAATGTTGCAAGATGATGCGCAGCCTACAGTGTCATAAGTGCTACATAAAAACCACCGCAACATGTGGGCTAACCAAGGTGTTCAAAACATTCATCAAAAGAACCTTACATTTATTAAAGAATAAAGAATTTTTTTTACAGCAATTTCTCATGTTTAAAAAATTAAAGCTAAATTTTAAAATTATAAACCAATTTATTTTTATGCTTAGAACTGTTTTGACTATCATATTGGATAATAATATAGTTTTTTATTTAACATTTACATTTTTCGGGCAAATGGATTTCGGGCAAGTGACTGGTGTACCTGGATGTTTGGCTGACTGGATGTTTGGTTGACTGGATGTTTGGTTGACTGGATGTTTGGTTGACTGGTGTACCCTGGATGTTTGGTTGACTGGATGTTTGGTTGACTGGTGTACCTGGATGTTTGGTTGACTGGTGTACTTGGATGTTTGGTTGACTGGATGTTTGGTTGACTGGATGTTTGGTTGACTGGTGTACCTGGATGTTTGGTTGACTGGATGTTTGGTTGACTGGTGTACCTGGATGTTTGGTTGACTGGATGTTTGGTTGACTGGATGTTTGGTTGACTGGTGTACCTGGATGTTTGGTTGACTGGATGTTTGGTTGACTGGATGTTTGGTTGACTGGATGTTTGGTTGACTGGTGTACCTGGATGTTTGGTTGACTGGTGTACCTGGATGTTTGGTTGACTGGATGTTTGGTTGACTGGATGTTTGGCTGACTGGATGTTTGGTTGGCTGGTGTACCTGGATGTTTGGTTGACTGGATGTTTGGCTGACTGGATGTTTGGTTGACTGGTGTACCTGGATGTTTGGTTGACTGGATGTTTGGTTGACTGGTGTACCTGGATGTTTGGTTGACTGGTGTACTTGGATGGTCCAGGCTACTTACATGTCCCAAAAGTCCACATGGTGGTTTCATGACCTTCACTCAACAGCTGGCCAACAATTTTCATGCTGCCATTGTTGGGTGCTGGCTGCAGCTTCAAGAGATGGCACATCAGTGGGTAGATATCAACACTACTAAATGACTCCACAGAAAATCCTTGCTTAAATGATGGACCCATTGCCAGAAAAATTGGGTGCATTTCTTGATTTTTGTTGTCGTAACCATGGTTACCAGCTTAAAAATAATATATGATCAGATGTATCAGCTTACCTAGATGAAAACTGCTGACATTGACAACAGAGATGTATCAGCTTACCTAGATGAAAACTGCTGACATTGACAACAGAGATGTATCAGCTTACCTAGATGAAAACTGCTGACATTGACAACAGAGATGTATCAGCTTACCTAGATGAAAACTGCTGACATTGACAACAGAGATGTATCAGCTTACCTAGATGAAAACTGCTGACATTAACAACAGAGATGTATCAGCTTACCTAGATGAAAACTGCTGACATTGGTTGTGAAGGAATACCCTAGCTCTGGCACCACAAGGATGGGTGGTGCTCTCAAATTATTTTTATAATGATACTCTTCTGGAATCTCATGTCTTTTATAAACCTTAAATACGTTCTGGATTTCTGAAGCAGCTTTTAATTTCTTATAGATCTCCTCTAGGTGTCCTGATAGGATTAAAGAGAAGTTGAAACAGCTTTAATATTCATAAACTCTACATCTACTTGTGACTGGATAGACCGAGCGCCACAACCAATTTGGTACCAGCCGCTCAGTATCAAATGCCAATAATATCCATACATTATCAGTTACAGATCTGCTATCAGTTAAGGTTTTTATTTACAAACTGATGCATACAACTACCTATCTAATTACATAAATAAATATTGTTCCAGTTAGCTGAACATTGTACTCAAAATATTTTATCTCAGGGGTCACTCATTCATAATTTTCAGCTTTATTTCAATCGACTATTTCAATAACCTGTGCATCTATTCATTGATATATGGATTTATTATTTGCAGTAAATATTAAAATTGGAATAGGAAGTGTAGAGAGAAAAATAAGTGGTAGCCTATGTTTTAAAATAAGTGGTAGCCTATGTTTTAAAAATAAGTGGTAGCCTATGTTTTAAAAATAAGTGGTAGCCTATGTTTTAAAAATAAGTGGTAGCCTATGTTTTAAAATAAGTGGTAGCCTATGTTTTAAAAATAAGTGGTAGCCTATGTTAAAAAAATAAGTGGTAGCCTATGCTTTAAAATAAGTGGAGACAATGTTTTAAAAATAAGTGGTAGCCTATGCTTTAAAATAAGTGGAGGCAATGTTTTAAAAATAAGTGGTAGCCTATGCTTTAAAAATAAGTGGTAGCCTATGTTTTAAAAGTCAACCGTTGTTGATGAAGTGAAATTATTGTTTAGCTTGACTATATTTCAACCATTGTTGATACAGTTAAATTATTGTTTAGCTTGACTATATTTTAACAAAAAGCTAATCAAGAGTGAGCACATACCTTCAGCAGGAAATATTGATGTTGTTGACAAAGATGTGGTGCCAGAATTTAAAATTGTGTAATCTGATGATTCAAGTATTTCATTTAATTTGATTGTTTTTGTTGCAGAAACATCAGTAAACCCATGGTCGCTAGTAATGATGATGTTCACGTCATCGAGCAAATCATTTTCTTCAAATTTGCTTAACAAATAACCAATTGCAGAATCTAAATATTTGATCTGATTAATCACCTCACTTGAATTGGGTCCAAATTTGTGAGCAGTCAAGTCTGGTTCATGAAAATACAAAAGACCTAAATTTATGGGATGTGCAGCTTTAAACCAGCTAACCATTGTGTCCACTCTAGATTGGAAAAGTATCTCCTCATTGTATGACATGTGCAATGTTGGTCGCACCCACTTGACTGGGTTGTCACCACCCCACCACATAATACTCCCACTTCTGCCATTTTGTTTTTGTAATTGATTGGCCACCCATATTGGTTCAGCACCAGCGTCATAGTACTTGGGATCATTCTCATGATGCTGGTTTTCAAATTTAGGAATGAATGGTGTTGTTATGTTGGGATCTTTTATAAAATTGTCCATAACACCATGATTTTCAACAAACAAACCAGTGACCATAGACCAATGGTTGGGTAAGGTGTTGGTGACAAACACATTAGTTAGTCCATCTTTAGCATAGACACCTTGTTTTATTATTTTATGAAAGTTGGGAGTATCTGTTCTTAAATGAAAATCCCACCTGAAACCATCCAATGAAACCAAAAGAAGCGAAAATTCCTTTTCATTGTGACAAATCATTTGAATAACTGCACAGAACCAAACAATCAGATGTGTTATCATGACAAGGCTGACTGACTTCCAGTTCAATGAACTCAATCTTATATTACTTGAGTGCATTTTTATTTTCAATTATTAATTAATAAAAAACAATTAGGCCTTTTAGAGTTTATTATTATAAATAAATTTTTGAAACAATTCACTTTCACATATCTCTAAGAAAATATTATTATATAGTCCTAATCTAGCCCTAATTCAAACTAATTTGTACTGTCGTTTATTTTTTTTTTCCAGGACATACATCAGGCATCATCATCATTCTGACATTCATTTCATTAAATTTTTTGTTGGCTTAATTTAATTTAATACTTATTTTTACTTAGGATAGACCTATTAATATTTCAAGTGATTTCTAATTGAATGCTTCTAGTTGGCTTTGTTGCTTGATATTGTGACAAATTTTCCCAGTCGACACAAATATAATTTTCTTTATATTTATATTAATACCACTGCACCGAGTTCTTTATTTCTGCTTCCTTAACTCCTAACTTTGTTGTTATGCTGCAACTACGTTAGCTTACTCTACTCTACAGACCCGAAAGAACTCTTTGTAGGCGAAGGTAGATAACAAATACTTTAAAAAAGCGTCGTTCGCTAGGCTGTATTATGTACTAGCCGTCCCGGCCAGGCCCTGCTCTGACCTCTGTGAAAAACCTTTCTGTTAAAGACAATAACTGTGTGTTTAGTAATCATCATATACCCGGCATTGCTCACCCTAACCACAACCAACCAAAACCAAAACAACATAACGCTAACACAATTACAAATACAAACGAAAACAAAAACCTAACAACAAACCCAACCACAACCTAAAATTGCCATCTGCCACGATTAAAATATTGGCCTATATATATATATATATATATATATATATATATATATATATATATATATATATATATATATATGATATATAACAACGTTCCCTCTAAAAAGGTAGTGAGCAACGTGTATTTTTTTTAAGTTGCGAAGTATTTTATGAATGACCCCGAAACGTAGTTATCCTATGTCAACGGATGGTCTAGTTCTATTTAAAAATTGATTTTAAAAACTACAACGTGTATGTAACCCTGGAGTTACCAACCATCCCCACTAGTGCTATATAAGAATAATGGAGAGTAATGGAGAATTCTAGGGGAGATCACTCCCGCTTTATTTAAAATATGTATTAGTATAAAAGATAATACATTTCCGACAACAATTTAGATGTAGAAATGAATGTATTAAAATAGAAAAAATTATTATTTAGATATTAATAAAAAATTAACTACGTAATTATTTATCACATGGATTATAACAATTTTAATAAAACATGTTACTTTTTGCTGTGTACTGTGAAGGCTAAAATTGTAAATAAAGCTTAAATAAAATACACTTTTACAGTTATGCCAATGGAGCAGCTAATGTTTTTTTTTTCTTTTGTAATACAACTTGCGAAATATAGTTTTTATATTGCTTAAAGGGTTGCAACTCAAACGAAACTTAAAATAAAAATAATTTCGCAGTTGTTCCCCATGGACCGTTAAATTTATTACAGATGATATTACACCATTGTATTTCAACTACAGGGGTAAAACTCTGGTAAAACTATCGACGAAAAAGCAATAACGTAGTAACTTCCCATAGACCACAATAATTGTCTCAACGGGACTATTTTAGTACTCGCTAAATAATCTTTATATTGTTTATACAGTTTCTTCAAGGCAGAGAAGCCCCCCCCCCCCATCCCCCCCCCCCGAAAAATCAAAAGTTTGAGGGGGGGGGGGGGCAAATCAAAAGTTTGTCCTCGGGGGCCGGGGAGGGACGCTACGCCTCTGATGTATACATTTATATTGCGGGAAAAAATTTGACCCCCCCCCTCCCATGAGACGATCCTGGCTACGCCACTGCCCTGGACCATATATTTCATCTTAATATTTTTGCTTTCTTGAATACAGAGTATAGAGCAAGTATTGTAAATGTAATTGTGGTGAATAATTAACAGGTATTTTGACAGTTTTTGCCAATTTATTTTATCATAATGGAATAAAAATGATGCATTGTACTCGCGTAAAAATCTAAAATGATATTTTGACAACTTTTGACATTTTATGACCTACTGGGGAAAACTTATGATCTTTAATAACTATAACTCTCAAATTCTGAGTAATCTCCGATATCCGGAAGTGGTACTGTACTCTATTTCCGATTTCTTAAAAAACAGATAACATAAGTTGTACCATTTCGGTTAGGTGAACGAAATTTGATTCATAGATATATGATCTTATTATCTTGATTCTTTCAAATTTAAAATGATTTTCAGTGACAGGAAGTAGTACTTTACGGTATTTCTGAATTCTCAAAAAAAAAAAAATATTAGGCCTACTTGTACTGGACTGATTTGTTTCAAACTTCTCACATAGGTCAAAACTCGGTGACAATGCATTGTGTGGTATAAATAATAAGGTAAAATCACGATATAGCGTCGGAAATTATTGGGTAATTTTCGTTGAGTTTCGGTAACATTCGTTACTGTAAACCATAATTTATTTGACCGTTGAAAGAAAAATAAAGTCAAGTGCATTAAATTAATGTTTTAACTTAATTTAATGTTTAACTGACAAAAAATTAGCAACAATTAGTAAATCTAAATATTAATAAAGTCGAGGGTAGTAATTAATGTTTTTTTTTTAAGAAACAGAAAAAACCTGCAGAAGATTTGCGACAACCAGCTCTAGTTCTGTTGTTAGTAATAAGACGATTAGATTTTCTAAAGTTAAAAGTAGTAAGAATAACTAGAATAATGTTTAGTAGCAGCAATAATTAGCACATACACTTAAAATAATTAGAAATACAAAATAATTAGTAAAACAGTATTTAAATTGCAACTAAAATCAATCCTTGCACATTGTTCAACATTATGTATTAAAAATAATATGGCGGCAAATAAATGATGGTTTACAGTATTCCCGGTGGTTTCCGGAATGGCTCGACAGACTACGCCATGGTTTTACTGTTTTTTACTGCTGTACAGTTCCGGAATAATAACCGACGCTATATCGTGATTTTACCAATAATAAATAATATGACTCTAGTTATAAGTTTTAATTAAACTTTTTAAAAAAATTCATAAAACGGTAAAAAAGCACTAAAAATGAAAAAATAAAGGATTTTCTTTAAATATATAGTAATGAATACTATTTAAATAACTAAAAATAAAAGCCTGGGTATTTATATTATATACTTCTTGTACCGGCCATGCCTTGCACTAGCATTTGAGATAAACTTGTACCGGCCAAGCCTTGCACTAGCATTTGAGATAAACTTGTTTAAATGTGTTCTTTAAGCATTGTATACCCAGCACCTCCCCCCCCCCCCCCCCCCGAGGTTTAGGAATATTAAAAAATGTTCAATTATAAATATATATTTGTGAATATGGACCTTTGTGAAAATATAAACACAAACATAAATGCAAACACAAACTTAATCAGAAACATTGACACGAAAATAAATGCAAACATAAGTATAAACATACACGCAAAAATTAACTCAAGCCTAAAACATAAATATAAATGCAATCAGTAAAGCAAAAAAAAAAATAACTCAAAACATAATGCAAACAAAAACTTAAACATAAACACAATTTAATCGGAAACATAACCACAAGCTTAATAAACGCAAACATAGACACAAACAGTAATGCAAAAAAAAATGATTTAAACGCAAACATAAACATGAACAAAATAAAAAAAACTTGAGCACAAACTTAAACGCAAACAATAACAGAAACGGAAAGGTAAACGTGAACATAGAGGACATGTAGGAACAGCTTTTAAACTATTATTGATTAAAAATAATAATTCGTAAACAGCACATTGAGTGTATGATATCAATGAAAGGTAATATTTAAATTACCGGTGCTTTACCTACACAAATTGCACTTTATAAATCCAAGCTTTATTTTTTTTCCATTTTTTTTTCCTGCTTAAAAAAACTTTTTTTTTCTTTTATAGGGCCAATATAATTATATATATATAATTATATATATATATATATATATATATATATATATATATATATATATATATATATATATATGTGTGTGTGTGTGTGTGTGTATAAATTTGTATTTTTTATAAATATATATTGTAAGCTATGTACTTTGTATAATTTTTCAGACAAATTTATAATTGTATGTATAGGGTAATACATTTATTTTTAGTTTGTTCTTTGCACATGCATCAATTAAATTAATTAGCTGTAAAATGACAACTTATTTTGAAAGTAAATTAGTAATCAATGTTGAGTTTTTTGAGACGTCAAATTGACACTTTAAAATATAACAAAATGGCGATCAGGTCAAGTTTTTAACTATATGAATTGTTTCCACAAATCTACAGAGACACAAAATCCATTAGGGCTTTGTTAGTTTGAATAACTTGACTAGAATTCAAGAACCGACTCACTCTTTTATTTTTAGTTATTTAAATTCTAGGTCATTACTTAATTACTATATGTTTTAAAAAAAATCATTTAATTTCTTTTTTGTTATTACATAAAGTAAAATAATCCTTTTTAGACCTAGCGATCTATTGTACAGATGAAGTAGAGTTCATATGTTTCTTGACGTCAGCATATAAAGGGAAGGTGTTATCAGACCATTAGTTCATGAAGGTCTGTATCTTATCTGTGCTTGCATTGGAGACTCTCCATAGCTCGTATGTCCTCCTCTGTGCCTAAATCTAAGCCTATATATATTATTAAAATGCCTAAATATAATTCTAGGCCTATAACTATATGCAATATTTTTAACTTTAGCAACCAATTTTTTCTTCTATAAGCTCAACTGTTAGTAATTTAGAGTGTACTATATTAATATAGGACATAGATCTAGGACAGTAATTGCAATAGCAATAGTGATAGATATTTGTTGCTGAGGAACTGTTTGTTAAGACAGGCAGGTCTGAAAACTACTACAACACTTCAATTAAGATAGAAAAAAAAAGACTTTAAACAAATTATTATAATAAATATATAAATTTTGTTTTAAAAAATCAGAATTTTTGACAAAATAATTTATTGATACATAACCGACATTATGGGAATACATTATTGTAATTGTTCCGTTAATTTTAGCAAAAAAATGAAACATTTTAAGTCTTTGCAATGTCATTTTTCTGTTCCATCTATGCCACTGTTTACCAAAGTACATTATCTTTAATGAAGGATACAAAATGTAGTTCTTGCCTTAACAAGTACCAGCTAACACAGGGCAACCATCCAATGTCTAACAAATTGTAATGTAGTCTACAGGCACATTTTATCACAGTACATACAGTCTATCACAGTACATACAGTCTATCACAGTACACACAGTCTATCACAGTACACACAGTCTATCACAGTTTCAACCAAAAATATCTGAGGGCAGACAGACGGACTATTTATCCTACACAAGGGTTAGGCAACTATAGAATAGTTAGGCCGCTTTTGATCAGTTGGGCCCAATGGAATAGTTCGATGGCTTTTGTTTAGGGGCAGCAATAGTAGGACCACTATGGGGTAGTTGGGCCACTATAGAATAGTTGGGCCACTATAGAATAGTTGGGCCACTATAGAATAGTTGGGCCACTTTAGAATGTTGGGCCACTAGAGAATAGTTGAGCCACTATAGAATAGTTGGGCCACTAGAGAATAGTTGGGCCACTATAGAATAGTTGGGCCAATATAGAATAATTTGGAGGCTAATAAAACTAAGATGGCTGCTGGTTTTAAAACTGCACACAGAGAAAAAGAAATTTGGTAGGATCAGTTAGAAATCTCCAAGTACCAGCAGATCTAGAAGCATGAGACACAGAGGAGAGCTGCCCCTTTGGTTAGGCCTGCTTGATACAGCCAGCTTTACATGATCCAAGTTGGGGTGGGCTCCACCCCTCTGAGAGCAAAAAATGTTTCAAGTTTGGTATCAAAGTCTTTGGGTCTCTCGTTGGGGTCGCGGTACCTGGCTGTCATGTTGTTCCCCAGGTAGTTGATCAGCTGACATGTCTCCTCAAACTGCTGCAGCTTCTGCTTGTACTTCTTGCGGATGTAGGGGGAAGACTTGGGGTTGAAAGCTGGCCAACAAAAAGTAATGGAAAGTCAATGGATGATTTGGCCAGGAACTGCAAAACAACTCTATCAGTCCACAATTTTTGGCAACTCAAGAGCATCCAGATATCATTATGGGAATGGGTTCAAATATTTTTCTTGGGATATATGTTCTATGCATATATAAAATTTTTATAAATTAATCTAAAAATTAAAAATAAATGAAAATAAATAAATATAAATAAATAAATAAATAAATAAAAAATATATAGCCTATATATAAACATAATTTGTATATATGTATAAATTTTATATATATATATATATATATATATATATATATATATATATATATATATATATATATATATATATGTATATATATATATATATATATACATATACATATATATATATATATACATATATATATACATATATATATATATTTATATATATATACATATATATATATATATATATATATATATATATATATATATATATATATATATATATATATATATATATATATATATATATATATATATATATATACTATGTGAGTGTTACCCACCTAACATCCTCTGCCTATTCCACTGATCCTAATGTCCCTTACCTATGTTACTAAGTGCAGGTGGATGAGATCATTTATCTCTATAGAAAACTGTGGCTAAACCAAACTGAACTGAGTACCAACCTTTTAAATGATAGGCAATGTAAATGAGTGCAGAGCGTGTAGAGGAGATGAAAGGATATTTGGGCTTGACATTGCCTGCAGCAGTCAAGGCTTTGACTAAAGCTATGGCACACGTTTGTTCCATGAAACCCAACATTGGCAAACTGGCAAATGGCAGCTCTTCTGGTTTTGGAGGAAGTTTGTGTGGCAGCTTCATATTGGAATATTTCTCTGGCAACCTGAAGTTAACAATTAGTAAAAAAAAAAGGAAATCAGGAAAGTCAAAAGTTATCTATATATATAATTTTCTTCTTGGAGACCATAGAAAACACCAAGCTGTAAGTGCCTAGCAGCCCCCTCTCTTCCTCTCTAGGCATATGCCTACCACCCCCACTCCCACATGGTCTGGTGAGCTGTGGTTCACGCTAAATGTTTACAATCGTAGAGTCGAGTTTATTGACGGCTATTAGGGGCAGATAATTTAGTTTGAAATGATTTTAAACTTAGGGGAGGTAACTAAGAGGAGGCTGCTCTCACGGGGGGTGGGGGGTGGGGGGTGGGGGGGTGTAGGGTAGGGGTTGGGGGGGGGGGTGTAGGGTAGGGGTTGGGGGGTGTAGGGTAGGGGTTGGGGGGGTGTAGGGTAGGGGTTGGGGGAAAGGAGCGTGGGGGGGGGGGGGGGTTATCGTCCTTAACGACCTACTGATAGTGTTTTAAAGCAAATATTTTCAGTGGCAGCATTGGTACTGTCGGATTCACAAATTATGAATTACTGAAAAGTAGAAAATAAAACAACTAAATAGTGGCGTATGATACGCAGCTGGTCGGCTCGTTTATTTTAATTTAAGATCTTGGTCACTAAGTTGAGCTCAATATCATCAGCAACTGGCCAATGGTATCATAAGGTGATTTTTGGAATCAACTGGCCAATGGTATCATAAGGTGATTTTTTGAATCAAGTGGCCAACATACTTCATAAACTTGAGTAATTTCTCCTGGCTTTGCATGAGGAAAACTTTATGCATGTATTCTGCCATGAATTCTTCACATCCTGGAATCAGCGCATCATATCTGCAACACCAATACAATCAAATAGAAAATAATAATTATTTTTTTTAATCATACTTTAAAAATATCTGAAATAAAAAGATATTTAATTATGTTTTTAAAAATCATCCTAAGAAAATTTAATTTTTTAAACCAACATTTTTGTTAGAATAAAAGGTGACAGAGAATGTTTTTAAGTTGGAAAATTGGGTTCTCTCTTCTTCCAAAAGTATTTACATGTCTAATTTTCATACTTAATACTTAAAAAAAAACCATCAAATACATACAATTATTTTGTTAAATATTAAAAATAAAAAAATAAAATGGTTAGTTCCTACTTAACCAGATCAAAGTGACCTGAACTAATGATATGTTTTAATGTTTGTGAAGAAAATAGTTGTGTAATCATTCAAAAGATATATTAAGAAAAAAGCTACTAAATGAAAAACCATTCCTCTACTTTAGAAAAAAAAAATGAAAAAGATATGCTAGCCCTGAGTCAAGGGGAGCTAACCTCATGTTCCCGTCCAGGTAGGTGACAGGACAGTAGCCCAGGATCTCCACCGGTCTATCCTGCAGCTCAGCTTTTGTTATCCTGCGAGGTAGCATGGCTGGCGCTGGCAGGCTGCGAGGCGCAAGTGGCGGGACAAATTTTTCTGGACTGGACAAAAACTGCTCCAACTCTTCTTTACCTGCCATCTTATAGTAGTGGCCTGTCAAATAGATGAGCGACACATCACCATAAGTCACATCACACAACATCACAAGTCACATCAGACATCACCATAAGTCACATCACACATCACAAGTCACATCAGACATCACCATAAGTCACATCAGACATCACCATAAGTCACATCAGAATTCACCATAAGTCACATCACACAACATCACAAATCACATCAGACATCACCATAAGTCACATCAGACATCACCATAAGTCACATCAGACATCACCATAAGTCACATCAGACATCACCATAAGTCACATCACACAACATCACAAGTCACATCAGACATCACCATAAGTCACATCACACATCACAAGTCACATCAGACATCACCATAAGTCACATCAGACATCACCATAAGTCACATCAGAATTCACCATAAGTCACATCACACAACATCACAAGTCACATCAGACATCATCATAAACGACATATAGCAATATGAACATCATGAGTAGACTGAGATTGTTTAGCTCAGAGCTAAGAGATTACCTCTAAACTCAGCTGCAAACTCCAAGGTTGGGTTGACAGAACAGTCAACAAGTTCCCCGCGTTGTGCCAAGCTGACAGGACAGTAGTTCCCAAAGACACCTACACGCTGCTCAAACTCCTCTGGTGTGATGCACAGTCCAGCTATACCAGCAGCCTCATCTGGTGGATAGAAAAATTATCTGGCCAATCTTTTATCTGGCCAACACGTCTTAACTGGCCAAATGTGAATAAATCTTAACTGGCCAAATGTGAATAAATCTTAACTGGCCAAATGTGAATAAATCTTAACTGGCCAAATGTGAATAAATCTTAACTGGCCAAATGTGAATAAATCTTAACTGGCCAAATGTGATCAAATTTAAAAACTGGCCAAATGTCAACATATTTTTCTGGCCAAAAGTTTCTTATAAAAACAAAAGAATTGAAGTGCTTGTAAACTAAAAATCTGATAAAACAACCTAAAATCTCTCAGTCAATATCTACCATCTTAGGACCTACCATCTCTCAGAAAGACCTACCATCTCTCAGAAAGACCTACCATCTCTCAGAAAGACCTACCATCTCTGAGAAAGACCTACCATCTCTGAGAAAGACCTACCATCTCTGAGAAAGACCTACCATCTCTGAGAAAGACCTACCATCCCTGAGAAAGACCTACCATCTCTCAGAAAGACCTACCATCTCTGAGAAAGACCTACCATCTCTCAGAAAGACCTACCATCTCTGAGAAAGACCTACCATCTCTGAGAAAGACCTACCATCTCCTATCCGTTGCAGATAGTCCTGGATACGCTGGATGCTGTGGATGGCCAGTTGTAGCGTGTTGTCCCACACCCACCACTTGGATTGGTTGCCGTTGACTGTCTGGTAGTTCTGGTGCTGCTTTTGGTACCAGTCACGAACTTGTGGTGCTGTTTTGTGGTAACAGGAGAGCTTGATGGCCAGAATTTGGGCGCTGTCATGTAGCACTAGAGGCCTGTAGCATACATTAGTGAGACAGTCATGTAGCACTAGAGGCCTGTAGCATACATTAGTGAGACAGTCATGTAGCACCAGAGGCCTGTAGCATACATTAGTGAGACAGTCATGTAGCACTAGAGGCCTGTAGCATACATTAGTGAGACAGTCATGTAGCACCAGAGGCCTGTAGCAAACATTAGTGAGACAGTCATGTAGCACTAGAGGCCTGTAGCATACATTAGTGAGACAGTCATGTAGCACCAGAGGCCTGTAGCATATATTAGTGAGACAGTCATGTAGCACTAGAGGCCTGTAGCAAACATTAGTGAGACAGTCATGTAGCACTAGACTAGAGGCCTGTAGCAAACATTAGTGAGACAGTCATGTAGCACCAGAGGCCTGTAGCATACATTAGTGAGACAGTCATGTAGCACTAGAGGCCTGTAGCATACATTAGTGAGACAGTCATGTAGCACCAGAGGCCTGTAGCATACATTAGTGAGACAGTCATGTAGCACTAGAGGCCTGTAGCATACATTAGTGAGACAGTCATGTAGCACTAGAGGCCTGTAGCAAACATTAGTGAGACAGTCATGTAGCACTAGAGGCCTGTAGCATACATTAGTGAGACAGTCATGTAGCACCAGAGGCCTGTAGCATACATTAGTGAGACAGTCATGTAGCACTAGAGGCCTGTAGCATACATTAGTGAGACAGTCATGTAGCACCAGAGGCCTGTAGCATACATTAGTGAGACAGTCATGTAGCACTAGAGGCCTGTAGCATACATTAGTGAGACAGTCATGTAGCACTAGAGGCCTGTAGCAAACATTAGTGAGACAGTCATGTAGCACTAGAGGCCTGTAGCATACATTAGTGAGACAGTCATGTAGCACTAGAGGCCTGTAGCATACATTAGTGAGACAGTCTTGTAGCACTAGAGGCCTGTAGCATACATTAGTGAGACAGTCATGTAGCACTAGAGGCCTGTAGCATACATTAGTGAGACAGTCTTGTAGCACTAGAGGCCTGTAGCAAACATTAGTGAGACAGTCTTGTAGCACTAGAGGCCTGTAGCATACATTAGTGAGACAGTCATGTAGCACTAGACTAGAGGCCTGTAGCAAACATTAGTGAGACAGTCTTGTAGCACTAGAGGCCTGTAGCATACATTAGTGAGACAGTCATGTAGCACTAGACTAGAGGCCTGTAGCAAACATTAGTGAGACAGTCTTGTAGCACTAGAGGCCTGTAGCATACATTAGTGAGACAGTCATGTAGCACTAGAGGCCTGTAGCAAACATTAGTGAGACAGTCATGTAGCACCAGAGGCCTGTAGCATACATTAGTGAGACAGTCATGTAGCACTAGAGGCCTGTAGCAAACATTAGTGAGACAGTCATGTAGCACTAGAGGCCTGTAGCATACATTAGTGAGACAGTCATGTAGCACTAGAGGCCTGTAGCATACATTAGTGAGACAGTCTTGTAGCACTAGAGGCCTGTAGCATACATTAGTGAGACAGTCATGTAGCACTAGAGGCCTGTAGCATACATTAGTGAGACAGTCTTGTAGCACTAGAGGCCTGTAGCAAACATTAGTGAGACAGTCTTGTAGCACTAGAGGCCTGTAGCATACATTAGTGAGACAGTCATGTAGCACTAGACTAGAGGCCTGTAGCAAACATTAGTGAGACAGTCTTGTAGCACTAGAGGCCTGTAGCATACATTAGTGAGACAGTCATGTAGCACTAGACTAGAGGCCTGTAGCAAACATTAGTGAGACAGTCTTGTAGCACTAGAGGCCTGTAGCATACATTAGTGAGACAGTCATGTAGCACTAGAGGCCTGTAGCAAACATTAGTGAGACAGTCATGTAGCACCAGAGGCCTGTAGCATACATTAGTGAGACAGTCATGTAGCACTAGAGGCCTGTAGCAAACATTAGTGAGACAGTCATGTAGCACTAGAGGCCTGTAGCATACATTAGTGAGACAGTCATGTAGCACTAGAGGCCTGTAGCATACATTAGTGAGACAGTCTTGTAGCACTAGAGGCCTGTAGCATACATTAGTGAGACAGTCATGTAGCACTAGAGGCCTGTAGCATACATTAGTGAGACAGTCTTGTAGCACTAGAGGCCTGTAGCAAACATTAGTGAGACAGTCTTGTAGCACTAGAGGCCTGTAGCATACATTAGTGAGACAGTCATGTAGCACTAGAGGCCTGTAGCAAACATTAGTGAGACAGTCATGTAGCACCAAAGGCCTGTAGCATACATTAGTGAGACAGTCATGTAGCACTAGAGGCCTGTAGCAAACAGTGAGATAGTCATGTAGCACTAGAGGCCTGTAGCAAACATTAGTGAGACAGTCATGTAGCACTAGAGGCCTGTAGCATACATTAGTGAGACAGTCATGTAGCACCAGAGGCCTGTAGCAAACATTAGTGAGACAGTCATGTAGCACTAGAGGCCTGTAGCAAACAGTGAGATAGTCATGTAGCACTAGAGGCCTGTAGCAAACATTAGTGAGACAGTCATGTAGCACTAGAGGCCTGTAGCATACATTAGTGAGACAGTCATGTAGCACCAGAGGCCTGTAGCAAACATTAGTGAGACAGTCATGTAGCACTAGAGGCCTGTAGCATACATTAGTGAGACAGTCATGTAGCACTAGAGGCCTGTAGCATACATTAGTGAGACAGTCATGTAGCACTAGAGGCCTGTAGCAAACAGTGAGATAGTCATGTAGCACTAGAGGCCTGTAGCAAACATTAGTGAGACAGTCATGTAGCACTAGAGGCCTGTAGCATACATTAGTGAGACAGTCATGTAGCACCAGAGGCCTGTAGCAAACATTAGTGAGACAGTCATGTAGCACTAGAGGCCTGTAGCATACATTAGTGAGATAGTCATGTAGCACTAGAGGCCTGTAGCATACATTAGTGAGACAGTCATGTAGCACTAGAGGCCTGTAGCATACATTAGTGAGACAGTCATGTAGCACTAGAGGCCTGTAGCATACATTAGTGAGACAGTCATGTAGCACTAGAGGCCTGTAGCATACATTAGTGAGACAGTCTTGTGGCACTAGAGGCCTGTAGCATACATTAGTGAGACAGTCATGTAGCACTAGACTAGAGGCCTGTAGCAAACATTAGTGAGACAGTCATGTAGCACTAGACTAGAGGCCTGTAGCAAACATTAGTGAGACAGTCATGTAGCACTAGACTAGAGGCCTGTAGCATACATTAGTGAGACAGTCATGTAGCACTAGAGGCCTGTAGCATACATTAGTGAGACAGTCATGTAGCACTAGAGGCCTGTAGAATACATTAGTGAGACAGTCATGTAGCACCAGAGGCCTGTAGCATACATTAGTGAGACAGTCATGTAGCACTAGACTAGAGGCCTGTAGCAAACATTAGTGAGACAGTCATGTAGCACTAGAGGCCTTTAGCATACATTAGTGAGACAGTCATGTAGCACTAGAGGCCTGTAGCATACATTAGTGAGACAGTCGTGTAGCACCAGAGGCCTGTAGCAAACATTAGTGAGACAGTCATGTAGCACTAGAGGCCTGTAGCATACATTAGTGAGACAGTCATGTAGCACTAGACTAGAGGCCTGTAGCATACATTAGTGAGACAGTCATGTAGCACTAGAGGCCTGTAGCATACATTAGTGAGACAGTCATGTAGCACTAGAGGTCTGTAGCATACATTAGTGAGACAGTCATGTAGCACCAGAGGCCTGTAGCAAACATTAGTGAGACAGTCATGTAGCACTAGAGGCCTGTAGCATACATTAGTGAGACAGTCATGTAGCACTAGACTAGATGCCTGTAGCATACATTAGTGAGACAGTCATGTAGCACTAGACTAGAGGCCTGTAGCAAACATTAGTGAGGCAGTCATGTAGCACTAGAGGCCTGTAGCATACATTAGTGAGACAGTCATGTAGCACTAGACTAGAGGCATGTAGCAAACATTAGTGAGACAGTCATGTAGCACCAGAGGCCTGTAGCAAACATTAGTGAGACAGTCATGTAGCACTAGACTAGAGGCCTGTAGCATACATTAGTGAGACAGTCATGTAGCACTAGAGGCCTGTAGCATACATTAGTGAGACAGTCATGTAGCACTAGACTAGAGGCCTGTAGCATACATTAGTGAGACAGTCATGTAGCACTAGACTAGAGGCCTGTAGCAAACATTAGTGAGACAGTCATGTAGCACTAGACTAGAGGCCTGTAGCAAACATTAGTGAGACAGTCATGTGGCACTAGACTAGAGGCCTGTAGCATACATTAGTGAGACAGTCATGTAGCACTAGAGGCCTGTAGCATACATTAGTGAGACAGTCATGTAGCACTAGAGGCCTGTAGCATACATTAGTGAGACAGTCATGTAGCACCAGAGGCCTGTAGCATACATTAGTGAGACAGTCATGTAGCACTAGAGGCCTGTAGCATACATTAGTGAGACAGTCATGTAGCACCAGAGGCCTGTAGCAAACATTAGTGAGACAGTCATGTAGCACTAGAGGCCTGTAGCATACATTAGTGAGACAGTCATGTAGCACTAGAGGCCTGTAGCATACATTAGTGAGACAGTCATGTAGCACTAGAGGCCTGTAGCATACATTAGTGAGACAGTCATGTAGCACTAGAGGCCTGTAGCATACATTAGTGAGACAGTCATGTAGCACCAGAGGCCTGTAGCATACATTAGTGAGACAGTCATGTAGCACTAGAGGCCTGTAAATTACATTAGTGAGACAGTCATGTAGCACTAGAGGCCTGTAGCATACATTAGTGAGACAGTCTTGTAGCACTAGAGGCCTGTAGCATACATTAGTGAGACAGTCATGTAGCACTAGACTAGAGGCCTGTAGCATACATTAGTGAGACAGTCATGTAGCACCAGAGGCCTGTAGCAAACATTAGTGAGACAGTCATGTAGCACTAGACTAGAGGCCTGTAGCATACATTAGTGAGACAGTCATGTAGCACCA